CCAAAATGATCGTATTTCCTGGTTACACGATGCATCTGCAATGCACGATATCTATCTCAACTCGTACCTTACCATCTCAGTCATGGAACCCAACTCATGCAAAATGCGATTCCTCGGCAAACAGCGCTTCGGTGAGCCTACCTGGCAAAAACTCCTTTGCACTACCCGCCCCGACACCGCCCCTCCTTTGGACCTGTTAATACGCCCCGGAAAGTTCTACCCCAGATCATATCGAGACCGATCATCTCTCGACACAAGAGGATGGTGCCTACAAGAATCCGTCCTACCGAACCGCAGACTCTGCTACGATGGCAACGAAATGATCTGGGAGTGCCTCTGTCGCCAGCTCTGTGAATGCGGACACGCAGTGGCACCCCAAGTACCACGACACACGACGCTCGATTATGGCAAGCTCGGGGCTTCCATCAAAACCGAAATCCTGAAGACAAAAGTCCGATCCGAGAGACAAGGATATCCAGAGTGGCATCGGTCTTCGCTGGGCTCACGGTTATGGCTTGAGCCTCACCAGGCGCCATACCAGAGATGGAGAGATCTTGTCTCGGATTATTCCCACAGGTCACTCACTAAGAAGCATGACCGGTTACGAGCTATTTCTGGCCTGGCAAAAATGGTGGGAAATCATATGCGGCAAGGGTCCGAAGCAGCGGTTGAGTATCTGGCTGGCCTTTGGAAGAGAGAGCTTCCGTTTGATCTGTCGTGGGAGGTTGAGCCCCCTAATGAAGGTGCGGAGATACCGGAAAGCGGGACCGTGAACGCGAATGAAGCTGCATACTATATCCCGACCTGGTCGTGGGCATCTGTGGGAAGACCTGTCACCTATCGATTTGACCTTCCCTTGGAGATATGGAAATATGAGCCCGTGGCCGTTGATCAGTGCATCGTCGAGCGGGTTCACTGTCAACATGAGCTACTGGAGGACTCTATGAGTGCTGTTACAGACGGTTCTATTGTTTTGACGAGCGCCTTTGCGCCAGTAAAACTGATACACCTTGAGGAACTACCAGAAAAGCAGAAAGGGCAAGTCATATATGAAGACGAAGTCCGATATTATACCTTCGTGCAGTGCTCAGATGGACACAAGGTAAGTGTGACCCTCGATAAGCCGGAGGTGCACAATTCAGACGAATCATATTACTGCCTCCGGTTATTTTCTTGGGTGTCTGAACGGAATCAGAGGATGGGCCCGGAAACGTGGTTCCTCATATTAGTGCCATCGACGCACAAGCCAGGTGCTTTTGAGAGAAGGGGTGTTGGTCTGTGGGATAGATTGCTAGCAGGTACGGATAGCAGGTCGTGTCCTATCTTTGAGGGGGGTGAAATTGCTACGGTGGAGATTGTTTAGAGAAGATTGATGCTTGCCTGGGCTTGGGTAGAGATATGGTACATTTGTAACAGATGATCTACACTAGTTTGGCTCTGGGTTGTATAGTCTGCTGGACCGTATGGCGGGCTCATACTGACTATAGCAATGATGCTTAAGATTGACAGTAGAAGAATGAGAATACGAGAATACTACAGCCTAGTGTGGCTATGGCGGGATATCTACAGGATCCATGTTGCATAATATTTCATGGCAATTGGACATCACATTTATAATCGCCATAAATCTGACTGCATCTTACTCATCCCCAACACCCATCACTTCATCGCACACCCCTCAAGCCAATACCACCTCCCCATTTCATCCATCACAACTAAATCAAGGCTCCAAAAGAGTTAACTTCTCCGGCTGCTGCAACAACAACAACGGCCCAGCAAGTACACTGTCCTCCGTCGGCGCCCCAGCCTCATCAGCCACAGCGAGAGCAATAATACCCGCTCCCTTATCAAATTCCCCCGGAACAACCGTCTCATTAGTTTTGATATCAAACGGCACACTAATACTCAGCACCCCATGAAAGAACACCGCATAGTAATCCCCTCCCTCCGTAAACCCAGGATCATTACTAAATTCCAGCTGAATCTTCGATCCGGGATGCCCAGTAGTAGTATTCGTCACAAAACCAATCTCCGGCAAATTCTGATTCGGGTACGGATACTCCGGGTTCTCTGAAGGACAACTCCCCGACACGACGAAGGAATTCGTCAACGCCAGGATTTGGTTCGCGTACGGGTACACCGTATCCGCAGGTCCAGCGAAGGGACTCACATCCCAGATATCAATGAGGGACCAGACGTTGTGACGGGTCTCGACCTCGGCAACGGCGACGAGTGCGGAGCTGGTATCAATTGTGTTGGATTCACGGACGAGGCCAGTCAGGAAAGCCATGCTGTTGACTTCGATATAGACTTGAAGGGCGAGGAAGGTTTCTGGGTCGTTGTCGAAGCCGAAGCTGTAGTTGCAGGGGCCTGGTTTCAGGGATGTAGAGGAGATTTCATCTTGGAAGATGCGGATGTGGCCGGCTTCGTTGTCGCGGATTTCGGCGATGCGGTCGTAGGTGCTGTTTGGGTAGCCGAGGTCGCTGAAGGAGGAGGGAGTGAAGGCTTCTACGCCTTGTTGGTAGAAGGAGTAGATGATCCATTCGGCGCTGAGGAGGTTTTGGAAGAGGAGGTCATCGGGACCGGCGGGGCCGGAGGCTGTTGCTGGGATGACTCGGGTCCAATTGGCTGGGATGGGGGTGGGTTTGCCGGTGTATGTTGCGAAGAGAGGGGATTCGCCGGGGACGGGATTGGGGTCGAGTTTGGGGGATCGGGCTTTGGGGAGGGCTAGAGATAGCCCGATGAGGGAGGCTAGAGAGAGGACTTTGTGGGATAGCATCTTGATGTGGAGCTGAAGCTATCGGGTCTTCTGAGTAATCTCAGCTGAGCTTTTAAACAAGAGATAAGTGTTTCAGATGGGCAGTGTAGATTTCAATTGAATGCTTGGGATGAGCACTGATATTTATATGGTCTCTGCCCAGCTCGTTGGCCTTATACAACATCAACCTGGACAAGTACTGACATCAGACGCATTGACAGCACTGAGCTGCGCCTCTCTGAGCCTCTGTGCCCGAACCATGATTCTCTGCAGTGCATCTATAGGATAAATGTGTCGCACGTAGTCGTATCCCGATGCAGTCATATTCCGATGTCCCCATCAGGTCCAAAGTCGATCAATCGTAGCAGCATCTTATATGCAGATGAAGCTAACCCTAATCTGGAAAGTGATTCGTAGGCACGACTAGAATTTCCCGATGCGGTAACGCGGGCTAGCCGGCAGCTCAAAAAGCCAAAGAAAACGAAGCCTTGCAACGTGGACTCAGCCCTATGTCAGTTAGGCATCGCCCATAATATTAGAAAAAGGGCCGCGCTCATACAAGCATTTTGGTACGTAGCTTGGCATTAGTCGAGAACTGAGTTTTAACGTATCAGACGGAGAATTCCTCCGATCCGATGCTGTTGCCTTGTCCTTGTAGGGCCACGTCTCAGCCATCGAACGAGGATACTTGCCAAAAGCGGTAATGTGTTTCGTACGGGCATACGAGACTTCAAAGGCTCTCATGAAAGAGAAGTCTTCAAGGTAAACTTTCTTGGATGGCTTGTCTATAAAGGCCGCATCCGGCCGTGCTGTAGCTCGGAGCTATGATACAAAATTTGATTCATTCAAGTCACTGGGAAGATAAAGAAAGGGAAAATTATCGTGTCATTCTGTCCACTTCCTAGTCGGATCAATACCAAGAATGACTGTCGTCACAGAAAAAGGTGTTGCGATTGCCGAGTTAATCGTCTATATACCCATATCCTTGGTTACTCTCTTCGTCCTCCGCCGCCACGGCTTTCACAGACAGCTCGGGTGGATCTACCTCTTCATATTCAGCGGAATTAGAATCGCAGGTGCTGTGATGGAGATCCTCAGTGATTTGCATCCAGACAACACCTCGGATGTGGAGTGGGCTATCATATTGCAGTCAGTGGGGCTCTCTCCACTGCTGCTGTCTAGCCTTGGCCTATTGAAGAAAGTGTATGCTATCTCATAACTAGCATTGTTGCTTTAAATCAACCAAGAAACTCACAATTGACAGTTTCGATGAGATTTGCGATCATGGGCCATCAGCCCAAAGCTCCCAAGCCACTTCACTATTGCAGAAATTGAGTTCCTTCAGCATTGTCGCAACGAGGATGTAAGAACCAATACTTAATCCGGGGAAGTTTTGAAACTGACACAGTTGAATTTAGTCTAGGAATCTATAACAAGAAAGCAACCGCTATCTCTGGTCGCAGCAAAGTCGTTCAGTTACTCCATATCCCAGCCCTTATTGCGTTGATTCTTTCGATCATCGGCGGAATAAATCAATACTCGTCGAACACATCGGGTCATTCTGAAGGACAAAACGAAACCAGAGCTGGAATTATACTGTTCCTCGCAATATACATCGTGCTTTGCATCCTGTGGTCGACAACAGTCAGGGATCTCCCTCGGATGACACCAAGCCAAAAGCGTATCGTCGGCGTGGTTCTGTCAGCGTTACCATTGATCGCTTGTCGTCTGCTGTACAGTCTTATCACCGATTTCAGCCATGACCGTCAGTTTTCCTTGGTCGATGGAAATGTGACTATCCGGCTTTGCATGGCCACCATCGAGGAATTTCTTGTGGTTCTGATGTACACCGTGCTGGGCGTGTTCACTCCTCGTTCTGAAGTCGCAGCGAACAGGACAGATTCAATCTCTCAGAAACAGTCATATCAGTCCGGGAATATGCACTTCCATACTTCGCCTTTTCATCCTCGCAATGCTCATAGCCTTGGCGGGCGCGAGCCAGTTTAGCCGAATGCAACGTCTCCCGGTAGTCGCGTCTACCATGTCGCGAGAATGAGGCAAACAGAAGTCTGGAAGTTGAGAGTTTTATTATAATGTTGATTTTTTGCCATATTACATTCAAACGCATTTGTTGTTTGAAAAGTCGAAGAGTCAAGAACCTTTTTCATGCCTGAATAATACTAAATCGGTGTAGAGAAGCGGAAGGCGTTGTCATCTGTCTGTAGATCTCTGGCTTCGTTCCCTACTGCCCCTCCTGGTCGCCTTGTTCCGGTGAATAATACTCCGGGTATAGCCAGGCCCGCGTGCTCTCGCCCTCTTGTACCAGTTGTGCCATCGCTAACGCCTGGTTGATTCCCATAGAACGGCCAATTCTGATTAAACAATCTATGATCCAAGCTCGAAGTTCCTTGGACGCATAACCAGAATCTGCAGCAATCAACAAAGGCCACATTAAGGCAAATCCCCCGGCCGCTGGAACCACAAATGAAGACGCATGATGCCTATCTGCGTCTGAAGAGCTTCCAAAGGTTGGATGATTGGAGGTTTTGTCGACATGGTTGTCATCCACCACTGATCCGAGATGAAATGGCACACTTGCGCAAATATCCTCAACTAATTGACGGGATATTTCCTGGCATTGTCGCAATAAATGATGATGCGCTTCTCTTTTGTTGTCGAGCAAGGGTGTGTTCATGGCTTTGATTGCTTCAACAATCAAGTCCAGGAGTACCAGCCTGGCAGATCGATAGTTGTTCCAGAAGCTACTTACGGTAATATCTCGGTAAGTGTGATATTGGGCTCCCCAAACAGTGTTAACCATAGACCCTCTGTGAGCTAGGGCAGCGTTGACAGTCCTGTAGCCCATTGAAGCAGGTATATCGGACATTATCGATTGGAGCTGTGCGTCTAATTCTAAGGCACAACGCACTATGTCCGAAGGGCAGCTTATAGTACCCTCCTTGATGTCTGCACAGAGATCCCCGAGAAGAATGGTCACGCCACTGAGTCGATCGATGATTGCATCATCTTTATTCGGTCGGTATTTTGCTGCTTCTTGACTGAGATTACGAATCACTGCCGATGTATGCTTTTGCCGATACACATGACTGAGCACCTGGGTAACCTCTGATCAGTATCTTCTCCGAATGGAGTTTATATTTGTCCCACTGAAAGAGATATAGCTGAGGATCCGACTAGGTTAACTCACTATCTGGGTACGTAACTGACTGAATAGCGCCAATCCTTCCGGTCGAGATATTTGCTCTCGACCCCTGGTCTCAATTAAAATTGCCGCGCCATCTAAGTGCTTTATCCATCTTGTCATAAAGAGGTCATCGCCGCAGGCCAATACCTGGGAGAAATCTCGTTAATATAAGCCACGTTGCTACTCAGGTGAATCTCTCACTTCAAACATGCTCAATAGCACCACTGTTGCTAAAGTTTCATCGCTCGTACGCAAATGCGCGTTACCGAGAGAGTTATTAGTTTGCGACAACGCAGTCATATAGTGTTTACGGGCTGTATACATCATCTGGGGAGACCTATGGATATTGGACAAGGCCGCCAGACCAGCAGCCGTAAGAGCATCGTTCACAGCGGAGCTCTCCAGGTGGTTTGTTAAAGACGAAAGGTACGGCATATACGCCCCTCGATCACCCTTGGCAATGTAATTCACAAAGAGATATCCCTTCGCCAGTTCTGCGGTTGGATGCGATAGGCTTGAGGAAGGTGAAGGCGAGTAAGTCAGCATTTGGTTGCTGTTACCCTTGACGGTCCGCTTTTGTCGCTTGCTAATTTCTTTGGATTCCCTTTCGGCTTTGAGTTGTGCCTTGCGAATAACATCACGACTTTGGTCACGAAAGGTATACTCCAAAGCAGATCGATACCCGGGACAGTCAACTTTGGCCCGAATGCACTGGGAGCATGCTGGTTTCCCCCAATCGCACTATTGGATTGCAGTTTTTGTTTAGCTTATTTCAACATTTGAACCATTCACTCTGCCCCTCCCGGCATTTTGCTAATGAACATGACGTTGATCACGCAGATGGTAAAGGAACATAAACAACAGAAATAGAGACACGCCGGTACCTTTAGGCGCCGTGGGCGACAGCGTTCGCAGGCTAGACTTGGCTTCCCGCTGTAAACCATCCTCGTGAGATGCTAAACTGAGTGTCTATGTGCCTGAAACTGTAGGAAATCAATGTGAGGTTACTACCTCCCTTAGGGAGCTTAGAAAGACTAAGGTTTCCGATAAAGGAATTGAGTTGTAGGATAAAGTGAAAGAGGAGATACAGTGAGTATGGCTGATGCCTAAGATGAGAGTCAAGCATTTCACGTGACAGAGCTTATCCAGTCTTAGTACCACGTGCCGGCAACCCAAAACAGTATCTAAGGCCGACATTATTCAGGGATAAGACAATCGACCAACCGTGCAAGATGTCAACATGCAGCCCTCACGGCTATCAGTCTCTCTCCTTATCAGTAAGACTGTGTTACGCGTTGTCAGACACTATTTTACTACCTACACAGCCATATGCTCTGGAACCAAGCCAGTGCTGGTCAGACTCCTGGAAGATGGCTCAGGTAACCTCTCTTTGCCTCAATAGTGGGCATACAGCTAATGGAGAATAGTAGAAGTAGACATGAATAAAGATGGGATATTCAGATACCAGCGGTACAAATGGTTGTACGTATCTCACAAACTGTGCACTGGCTGTATGGAATCTCATTGTTCTATTTAGGAGTGGAGATTCCAAACACCTAGCCGCAAGGTACCGTGACTTCAACCTAGATAATCTTCTTGAAGCAGCCGTTCAAGCGACCGGCCGCGACGGAACAAAATGTGAGCTTCACGTTACCTGCTGGCATCGTATTCATATTCTAACCGCGCGAAAAAGGTGTGAAGGTATTGAAATGCTTGGAAGGACAATACAATAAGGCATTTGTCTTAACCATGAATAATGGCGAGGAACTAGTTGCCAGGTTACCAAACCCGAACGCAGGCCCTTCTTTCTATACAACAGCTTCTGAAGTGGCAACTCGCCATTTCGTATGTAGCATTCCATTTGCTTTCAAACAAGATACTGACGGACCCCAGGTTCGGGAGGTCTTGGGGATCCCAGTCCCACGTATTTATGCCTGGTCAGCGGATTCATCAAGTTCGATAGAAGCTGAATATATTATCGAGGCGAAGGCCGAGGGACATTCCCTTGGGAGCCTGTGGGGCCGAATGTCCAGGTCGTCACAATTTGGAATCATTGACCAAATTGTTGAAATAGAGAGGAAACTGGCATCTGTATCGTTCCACATGCAAGGGTGCCTCTACTACACTTCCGACCTCAAATCAAAAGTTCCTGATGTGAAAGGCCTCGATACTATGCTTAGCATATCGCCAGGGCTGAAGATAGAGGATTGCAGGCAGCTGTCCTGCTTCGGAGTTGGACCATCTAATGACCGAAATTTGTGGAATGGCGAAAGACATTCGATGAACCAGGATAGAGGACCATGTAAGACTTAGACTTATCTTCCAAAGAGGTAGAACTTCTAGTTCGATATCAACTCTACTGACAACCGACCAGGGACCAACCCTATCCATTACGTGACTGCTCTTGGAAGTAACGAACTGGACTGGGCAAGATGCCATGCAAAGCCAAGAATGAACTACTACCGGTCAACAGAGACTCCAGAAAATCCCAACGAGTACCTGGCTCTTCTCCAGCGCTATTTCGACATTGCCCCACACCTAGTACCAAAGCAGCCCTGCTCTGAATATGACAACATTAACACGCTGTCACATCCAGACCTCCACCTCGACAATATATTCATCGACCCAGAAACAAACCAGATCACTTCCATCATAGACTGGCAACTCGCAGCCATAACGCCATCATTTTTACAACATCCTCACCCGCAAATGCTGGAACTCTCACTTAGCCCAGGCAGCGAAGAACAAAGAAGCAGGGAAAAGGAGCTACTCGAATACTACTACAAAGTAACAGAAAAGTTGAATCCATCCCGAGCTGAGGCATTCAACGACCCATACCTATCGACACGAGTCGCCCCCATTAATCTGATATCTGGATGTTGGGAACGCGAGGACACTTTCTCACTGCGTGAGTCTTTGATCAAGGTTGCCGCATACTGGGACCAACTCCGGCAAGACGACGCACCATGCCCGGTTGACTTTAATGTCGATGAGCTAGCTGAACATGAACGCGAAAGGGAATTAATTGGGGGGCTTTCAAACATCGTTCAGCAGTTAGAAGAAGAAGGACTTATTCCGATCGGAGGGATGGTTCGACCGGAGGAGTATGAGCATGCCAAGATGGTGAGTGAGTACTTTAAGAGCGAGTTTATCAATTTAGCTGAGGGAAATCAACAACGGGAACTGCATGAAAAGGTATGGCCTTATTAGGATTGAATTTGTGGATTTACGATGATGTTGTCATGTTAGTAGGTCAGAATTGGTGGGATGTTTCTTCTAAGTGCAGATTGAATCTGCTGTGGTTTAGACCACGAAGACGGTAATAGAGCCGCATCATTAGGTGAAGCATCTTTTTTTTCGGGCGACAATCTTATGATATTGACAGAAACTGAGGGGCTAGAGAGATATATCGAAATATGCCTACTATATGAGCAAAATAATCCGAAGGAAGTGGGCTGCTGAAAATCACACTCTCCGGACCTAGACAATACTACCACGATTATTACAGGGCATTTAATAGGGATATCCCCTACCGCCAGATTCCACGAGGATGTAGTATTGGGCTAGTCTGCCTTACGAATATAGCAATGCTGGGCACTTCAGCCGCCGTCTTTCTCATGGCTGAATAGAAATCTACCGATCACCGTAAGGCCACGGCCGCGATTTATTCAAAACACGCATCTCGTCAATGCGCCATCGATCCCACATCACATATAGCCACGACCGCAAATCTTGCGCATTGCGAGCAGCAAAAAAGTGTTTCCGCTGGTTCCGTTGATTGGCCCATCGCCATATATTTTCTGGCCCACTGTCTGGGTCACGGAACCATGGCCGAGGGATGTACTTTTCTTCGTCCTCGGGATTAAAATCATCGAGATTAGGCGTTTCCTTCCGCCCGAGCAAACGAGTCATGTCATTGATGAAGGAGTGGAACACCAAACCGTCGAGTCGTGTTACACGTATGACTTGCGCAGTAAGTCCGTGTCCTTCTCCAGCGCGAATCGTCGAATATGAGTAAGGCCGCGAAACAAGTGAGACTCTACGTATGATTGAAAGATCCACGAAGTAAATTGGGGTATAAGCTCTGGCCAATTGGATCTGAGTTTGGGGTCCAAAAGAACTAGGATTTGTTTTCTCAGAGTCAGTTCTGATAGAACAATGTCATCATAAAAGGATGGAAGAAGAAAGATGAAACATACCTGGGAGGATGAATTTTTCATATAGGGACTCGGAGACGCAGACTAATTGTTCGTTCTCCCATGGTGCAAAGTTATCGATATATAGTTTGCCGGTGTCATATATCAGTGCATATTTCCAGAACGGGTACAAATTGCAAAATGTTTCAAATCGATACAGACTTCGACTAATCCGGTTTCTCTCCAATTTGGTTGGCGGAACAACTTGGGGGTCATTCCAGTAGGTGTAGGTAGACAAGAATTTTGTCACTATATGGTCGACAAAGTACTGCACGGTCCCGTCAAATCGGCCTATCGAGCGAGCCTGAGAGACTTTCCATTCCATAGAGTCGACGAAGTGGTGTTGGTCGCGGGCAAAGTATGGCGTCAAGAACTTTTCGGCCTGGTCGATGGACCAGTCCTGGATTTTGCTGGATGCGTGAGTTGCTAAGACATCATGCAGCAGATCAGCGTCGAATTGGCGTAGCACGACTGAACGCACGATAAATTCTTCTGCTCCTTTGAAGGCGTTATACAGGCGTGTGAGGTGTTGTAGCCACTATAGGGCGAGTAAGTTATTGCATTCTTTAACGAAATGATCCCCTGCATATACGTACGAAAACCCGCGGTTGATCACATCTAGACGACGACTATAGTCTATTTGAGTGTTAGCTGATAGTATTCATGTTTAATGGAGAGGTTGAATGCATACCATGCTGTAGTGCTGCATGAAACCCAAACCCGTCGTTCTGGCTAGACGACATCTCTGTCAGAGAATCTCCAAACAGAATGAATTGACCATACGGCTGGTGCAAGGCCTGGTCCTCAGTAGGGGAAGCGTGTTCGGTCATTGTAGTGCTTTTTGGTATGTCGCAAGTGAAACTAAAACTGGATAAAAAAGATCCTCTGTCAAATACTAAATATTGAGTTCCTACAGTGTCTTTTAACGTTGTACTTCGCAGTCCATAATGTTGATGTGATGCTATAGATACTCGGGAAGGTAATGTCCAGTTTTGGCAAGTCTTGGCTAAACCTTAATATGTGTATCCGCGATGACCTCTGAGCGATTGGTCTATTTCTTCCAAGGAGAGTAACTTTTCTGGACTTTGAAGAACGTCTAGTCTAATTATCGGAAAGATGGATTGCTTTCTGTACAAACCACGTTCGCTAACAGACAGCGGGTAATGGTTCCGAGTTCAGACAACCGTCTCTGATTTACCTGCCAGACGGATGAAGTAGCAGGTTCATGGAATTGGAAGGTGTTTTCATCCTAACGAGACGCCATGCGACGTGACAGTATGCTCTTGTGACCAGAAAATATTTATATCTACCATCGGCTTGTTCGGAGCCTTAAGAGATAGATAAAACTAAGTGTATATTTCCCTTGGTCACCATCGACTGTGCTAAACAGCTTTGACTCAACTCACACCCTCTTATCCCCGAAAATGTACACTCTAGAGCTTCTTACCGGAGCGTTCATTCTCTCCCTGTACTTGCTCAAGCTTATCTGGGACTACTTCCGCGATGCAAAAGGCCTACGAAGATACCCGAACTACAACCTCCTCTGCGGCATCTCTAACCTTGGCTGGTGTCTAGTGACCTGGCGGGGAGGGATCCGATCAAAGTCCCTCAGCGAGATGCATAAGAAATACCCTGTCATCCGCATTGGTCCAAATTCGCTTTCTTACGGGGAACCAGGTGCCCTCAAAGACATCTACGGCCACGGCACCAAATGCGTCAAAGACGTGTTCTACCAAACCGAAGCTGATACGCACTTCAACCTGGGAAACGTCATTGATAAGCAGGACCATACGCGGAAACGAAAGATGCTGTCTGGGGCGTTTGCAATGAAAAACGTGCAGCAGTGGGAGTTTAAAGTGGCGGAGAAAGTGATGCATTTTGTTGAAGCCTGTGACAAGTATTGCACGGAGCCGTTGTCCAAAACAGCTCAGCAACCTGATCCGAGAGATACGACATTCGATTTCCGCGCGTGGTCAAACTTCTTCACGATTGATGCAATTCTTGATATTGCCCTGTCGGAGAAACTGGGGTTACTTCGAGCTGGAAGTGACCTTGTGACTGCTCAGACGGTGGACGGGGTCCAATATCAAGTGCCATTCCGGGAATGTCTGCACGCATCCAAGATAGCACATACCCGAATCGCCTATGCGGATAAGTGGTATGGGTTCAACAGCAAGTACACGACACGGATTTTACCGTCCCACCGGAAGTTGTGGAAGCTGAGCCAAGGATGGGGAGATTTCGTAAACTACCAAGCGACCAAACGCATGGCTCGTACGACTCAAGGCGAGAAGTTGGATGACTTTTTCCAGTACCTGATGGATGATAAGGATGGAAACCCTCGGAACCTCGAATGGGGGGAGATTGCGTCCGAGGTAGCAGTCTTGTTGGACGCTGGCTCTGCGACCACAGCCATTGCATTGAACAATGTGCTATTCTGGCTGCTGCGAACACCGAGATGTCTGACTAACCTCCGGGAAGAAGTGGACGCTGTCCTCGATCCAGACACCGCGGTAGCACCGTACGAGAAAGTGAAAAGCCTCCCATATCTGCGAGCATGTCTGGATGAAAGCCTTCGCATTACTCCCCCTTTCTCATACAATCTGCCGCGGCGCACCCCACCGGAAGGGGCTACGATATTGGGAACCTTTGTCCCCGGCAGCACATCGGTTTCAATGTCATCGTTTGTTGCACACCATGACGAGCGCATCTTTGCAGACCCCGAAGCCTTCGTGCCTGAGCGCTGGCTTGGGGAGGAGAGTCGACAGCTGCAATCGTCTTTTGTGCCTTTCAGTAGTGGTGCAAGAGCGTGTATTGGACGGAATCTCACATATCTGGAGCAAAGCGTTATGCTTGCGACTGTTGTGCATCGGTATGAGTTTGCTCTGCCGCATGCGCAGTGGGAACAGGATCGGGTTGAAGTTACGAATCTACTGCCAGGACCGTTGCCTCTCAAAGTATGGAGGAGAGAGTTAGTATAGATGTCATGTATCCGTTGTAGCTCAACCACGAAGAATGCAGCTCAATTATCTCACTGCACTAGGTGCTGGGTCATGTTTCCGAGCCTACATCATCTTTCAAGTAATATGCACATTAACAAGGGTTGAATCATGGGGGTGGACCTAAGGACTCCCAGACAAAGTATGGTTTAAAGACCCAAACTCCGCCTGCCATTTTTTTTCGCAATATCCTCACTCATACCCGGAGCAATCGTTTCGTCGCCGCGCTCGAGCCTGACCGAAACAATCTCCATATTCTCCTCCACAGAAAGCACATTATTTTTCTTGTGCTTTCATGGTGATCGTCCCGTTCGCGATGGAGATCCGTCACGACAGAAGGCGGCGCAATCTCAACGACCCTGATCTTCTCATAACCGCCCTTTGAATTGGTAAATTATTCGGCGTAACATGTCGTGGATAAGCGTATACTTCCAGGGCTCAAGGTGGCGTCCCATGGCGCGCAGCTCTCACGGAGTAGAGCAAGAGACAAGGTGAGGGTGGGTGATCTGGAATGTGGGAGAGGACGGGTGTCCGTAACAATACGAAACGAGAATATTCTAGTCAACTCCGTTCATTTCCGTATTAGTTACGGGTCCTAAATATATCTGGACCAAGTTCTTGCCAAATAGAGACATGTGAAGTGAGGCCATAGTAAGAGAGGGTCTGGATATAAGCTCGTCTATGCGGGTACCAGGGTATGGCTGTGGAGATGTTGGCGGCACGTACCCCGGACCGATTATTCCATGGGGCTGCTGCGTAAGGAGCATACATATCATGCTGCAGGGCCTGCTGTAGCGAGGTTTCCGGGCTGACAAGTCAAGGAATATAAAATGTTTGACGGAGCAGCAATAGAAACAAGATTCCAATCTCAGTACACCTGAAGACAAATGATGTCCCTATCTGGCTTTCATTAAGTCCTGTCTCTCGGCCACCATGTTGGCAATCTCCGTACCAGCCTCCGTTCCTAGGCTCCGGAACCCTTCAATGACCCCCTCGCGATCCTTCTCGCCCATTTCCTGGCTCATCTTAAACTTCCCACCAAGGCGGGTGATGTCAACCCTAATGCCGATGATATTCTTCTGCATAATTTCGATGTAACGGGCGGGGGCGTCGGACACTTTCCAGGGACTTGGCTTCTCGTCGCCTCCAGTATATCCCATGAGCGAGGATTCGGCATGCTGGGAGAGATCGCTAATCTGGCGAGATAGATACTCCGTAGATTCGACACCACGATCAAAGTATACTGTTGCTTTTCCGTATGCTTGCACGGCAGAATAGTTCCACGTCGGCACCACTTTGCCTGTCGCGGGTTTTGTGTCTGTGTAGAATTTTGGCGTCACATAGTGATGGAAAGATCCAGTGAATAATACTAGAACTTCATTTTCAAGCTGTAATCCGCCCTCTTTCCCCTCGGGGATCATAGAAGTAGCCGACTCGATCAAGGCTTTCGCTTGGGGGTTCTGCCGGGCGATATGCCCTCGCAGAACACCGAGTTCGCACTCGCTTGAATCATCTGCCACATCGAGAACCCATGGGATATGGCTCGCTTGCAGAAGCGGATACTCCGTGGACGCGATTGCAGTGGTAAGGGTTCCGAGAGGGTTATCCCTAATAAACTGACGAAGGGTGGGAATTTGGGATTCGGCGTGGATCGCTCGGAGATACATGGGGAGAAGGTGGAATTGAAAAGATGGTCGACACAAGAATAGGCTAGTCGTGTCACTGAGTATGGTTGATTAGACAGTCTGGGGAAAACGGGAGGGTGGGCAAAAATATATGGTGTGAGGTGTATGGAAAGTTAAATGCGAAGCGTGGCCTGGGAAGGGGCGGGGATTTTCACACGCCCGGTTCGGTGTTTGCTACCGGCATCTGACAGCGCTCCGAAGCTACCCGGAGGCCATCTGGAGCGACATCTTTGTGAAAGAGAATCCGGATAGGGAATAGCCTGAACTTCTGGCTCGCCGAACGAACGTGTGAACCCTCATGAGGTTTTGGATGAGGCTGGGGACGAAACCATGGAAACGAATTGGGAAAAGAAACCTGAGTATAATTAAGAGCAGTTCTACACCGAAGACTCCAAGCGAGGGATGAAGAGATCTTTTTGTTCTACTGAACTTGGGCGGAGTTCTGTACACAAAGGACATATTTGTGCCTATGTGACGCACGCTATTACAACAAGCAACCCAGCGGCAGGGACAGAATGACCGTTAGACCGGACGTACTTGGGCTGTACTTATAGTCCGATAGGCTCACAATATTCGGCGATTACCTTCTTCCCCCGTTTGTGTTTGTGGGCACTCGCCAATGATACCATGAAACTTCCGCATTAGAGTAGGCAGTATGTGGAGATGAGACAGAAATAGTTAGCAGTTAGACTAACTGTAGAAAATCATCGATGCCAGATGGGAGGACTATTGTCTGCTGTCCCAGGTAAAAACCGATATCTCCGGAATAACTTGGCTGGCGAGGGAGACCATTTTCCGAAAGAACATCCAGAGTAGGCATGAACACCGTTGCCGAGACCGCTACTACGCTGTCAGGTTCAGTGACGTTGATATTCGCACCCCATGTGCAGCTGGCGTTTCAATTCCCACGGGAGACTTTCTAGCGGACTTTCGGAGGACACACTACTAGATTTGCCGTAGCCGCAGTGTGGAAGTATGTAGTTATGTAGGGGAAAAGCCATTAGTTGGGTACTAGGAGTGCATCAGAGTATTAGATAGCACGGAATGCCACCATGGTGGCAGCGGGCCGATCTTAATGTCGGACGTTAAATTACACCGGAAAGTGGCGATTTGCGCATGGGCAATTTGGACTTGGGTACTTGAACGCAAAATGCTGTATGTAGTTCGGGAGGAAGGAGCGAAATCCAATCAAATGCAGTTCCGGCCGACTCGGTCACCGGACCATTTTCCAATTGGCTCGTATCAATTGCTGTCCAAAGCCTGGAGCAGAGGCCCCCAATTATCCAGGATCTTATATTCATCTTCATTGAAGACACAGGCAACTATGTCCGCTTCTTTATTCTACCACATACTCTAAGTTGACTTCGCAGCATCGTCTCTACAGCCCCCAGCAGACGCCGCCCGCCAATATCACGCTCATTATGCAGGCCTATCTGCAATACAGAAGAATTCACCAAGCGGTTAAACTCCACATTGATGGAACTTCCAAAGAAGACGCTGCTGCATTGGGTTCGTCCGAAAGCCAAGGAAATGGTTCAATTCGCAGCCAGCCGCTGTGTAAGTTCATCTCTTTTAAGCACGGCACTCATATGGAAGAGATCGCTGCTGACCGGCGCCGTGATGATAGATCATGACATTCCACCAGAAAATCCGACAGGAGTGCCCTCAGAAGAAATCCGCGTTGCACAGTGGGAGGACTATGATTCCCATTTGAACCCACGTAACTACAGCCCATGGCGGAAGTCTGCGATGACGGCTTTAGTGTCCTTGATCGGGCTATCGTGCACCGCCGCTTCCGCTATCGATTCAGCTGGCGTATCTCAATACAGTGAATATTTTGGGGTCTCTACAGTGGTTGGATCTTTGACAACTGGTGGGTCTTCTTGGTCCAAATAGACATCCCCCATCTTCAAAGCCTTGCATGGTTTATACTGAGCGCGAGCAGGTCTGTTCATGATTGGCTTTGGAATTGGATCTTTCATTTCTGGGCCCTTTTCGGAGACATTCGGCCGGAACATGATATATATGGTGACCATGGTGGTCTTCCTTATTTGGATTATGGCGGCCGGACTCGCCCCGAATATCCAGAGTCATCTCGTCTTTCGCTTTCTTGCGGGATTATTTGCTGCCACGCCCCTTACATGTGTAGGGGGAACGGTCGCAGATATTTGGGACCCGCTGCAAAAAACATACGGATTTATTATATATACGATTCCCGCATTCAATGGTCCTATGATTGGTCAGGTTATCGGAAGTTATATCCCCATGACATTAGGATGGCGCTGGCTGGAATGGATTATGCTAATCTTCGGAGGACTGATGTTGACTGTTATGATATTTCTGCAACAGGAAACACATCAGGACCTCCTCTTAACCTGGAAAGCATCAGCACTCAGAAAGTATTCTGGCCAGGAGTGCTGGAGAGGGCCAATGGAGATACGCGAAGTTACTCTCTGGCAACGGCTAAAGATTGCAATTACTCGACCTTTCATCTGGATAATGACTGAGCCCATCATTATTCTTACGTCTCTATATCTTATCGTGATTTATATCATTCTCTTCCTATTCTTGGAAGGATAAAGATTCATCTTTGAGGACATCTATCACTTTTCCCAGGGTCTGAACAATGTTACTTGGGTTGCAATGTTTATCGGGTCGGCCATGGTGATTTTACAAGTCCCATTCGTCTGGTATGTTTCCAGAAAGCAGCAGGAAAGAATATCTCAAATCCACCCTGAGACTCGATTGTGGTACGCGATGCTTGGTGGCGCGCCGGCTATCCCGATCAGTCTATTTTGGATGGCCTGGACGACCTATGTAAGTGCTAAGAATGAGTTAAGCTGTTAAATACTTGACTGATAGCTCAATTCCCTAGAGCCATATTAGCGTCTGGAGCTCTATTATCGCGTCCGCAGTTTTCGGTTTTGGCATAACAACCGTCTTCATCAGCGCTCATCTATATGTGATTGACGCATACGAGAAGGGTGCTGCATCTGCCTTTGCCATGCTTGTCATGCCTCGATACCTTGCATCAGGTGGAATTACAGTGGCAGGGGGCCCTATTTATTCCAGCATTGGAGTTCACTATACACTGAGCATTCTCGGGGCGATCAGCGCCGTCATGGCTTTCGTTCCTTACATTTTCTACTTCTACGGGCATCACATTCGGCGTGTCAGCCCACACGCAGTGGTCCATGACTAATGCAGACACCCTCTTTACCCCAAAGAGGGAATAGGTTGGATCGGTAAGAGGCGGTCAGAACGGATGTGAGTACTATATGCTTGTTCTTGGACACTAAGCAGCATACTTCAAGAAGCTGTGTATCGTGACAGAAGACATGTATTAAAAATTGAGTCTGGGCGGATATGCTGAACTGCACCGGCTCTTTTTCTTTTTTATCTTTCCTTTTTTTTTTTTTTTTTTTTTTTTGAGAATCGCAGCGTATATTATGGCCATGGCTGAGGTGCTCTAAAGGGCAACTAATGGCAATTAATCCCAATCCGTCCTAGCCTACACGACTCGTTGATGGCTCTACAGGGGTTAAGATTCTCTCTTCCTTAGGGCGACACCCAGAACAACACCTCCCACGCCCACGGAGGGGAGAAGTGGAACAAAGTCTGTACGCCGAGACTCAACACAATCGCCTAAGATTCTGACCCTCCCAAGTGATACCATACAGATACCTTGGTCTAAGGAGACCCGAAGGCTGGCAAGGGAGCGCTATTTCATGTCACCAGCGACATCAATGTGATGCTTTTCCTAGCATTTTGAAAGAGCATCAGTTATATAGAAAGGAACGAAACATAATAGAGTCGCTGCCTGTAGGTGTCATTCCCGAAAGACATTTCGAGGTCACTATGAACAAATGAATGAATCGACTAGGTATAAAAACTGACCATTGTAGCATCTTCCGTTAGTTATTGACGGATGATTACTCTAGCTGACGCTGGTATCAGCAGTGGTTTAGGGCTCTCACAACTCCTGGTATTGCATGGACATTATATACAAAGTAAACAAGGAAATTATACATTCCAGAGTCGTAGGCAGGCTGATTATCCCACCCCAAGAGATCAAACCCAAATTTCTCTAGAATCCAGGGCAATCAAACGCCACCCGGTACCAGTTGCACTGGTGGCCACTCACAGAACAGCTGCCCCAAACACCACCAGAGGGCATTCCATATCCGTACAACCCATCACTGTAGGCAATCTCGTACTTGATCGCACACGAGGGACCGCCGACAATGTTCTTGACATCGACAGTATACGGCAGCTGCGAGTCAATGGCGTCTCCTTCCGCGAAGTTCTCCGTGTGGCCGATGAGGTTGCATTCGTGGTCGTAGATATAGGCGGCGTTCTTTTGAAGGTCTTCGCACGTGTCGGTAGGTTGGAGCTGGTATGCAGCGAACTGGCAGCTGCCGGCACCTTGGCCTACGCAGAGCTTGGCGCCCGAGGGAACACCATCGGCGAGGGTGAGGGTGGGGACGAGGGAAAGGAGGAGGGATGAGATGAGCTGGGTTGTCTTCATTGTTGTGGTTGTTTCTCTTGTAGGTTTGGACAAGTGAGGGAAGTCGTAGTAATTTGGCTTAGAATGGAACAGTCTCTTGGATGATTGGGGAGAACGGATCTTGAGGGCAACACAGAGAGGCTGTGTCGCGATTTATAGACGTCTCTTCATTCTCCCTCCTTCGAACCGAGCATCATACCACATGAATTTGATGGTCCCACCGATCTAGAGTGCTGCTGGAGGATGGCTTATTGCCCCGGTTTGTTTGGGGTATCGGCAATGCTTAGCGAGGATGTTGGGGGCCAAAGGGGCCAAAAGGGGCCAAAAGTCTAGAGGAAGCGGGTACAGTGGGTTGATCCTACGCCCTACAGGCCACTTAGAAAAGCCATACATGACTTCAGCGCTTTAGTGGCTGAAGCTTGTTCCAGCGTAGTGGAGAGTGTGCGAAGAAGGATTACACAGGTTATTCCACAACGCAGGGCAACCATAGATGGGCTCGAGGCTGTGACCCTTAAATCTGATGACTTGGGGGCCAACTTACCCAAAAGCCAATTACACGAGACTTCTGAGACACAGCCATGAATTCATTAGGTCAAAGCCGAAAACCGGGTGAGAGTATTCATCTCCATAGTAGCAGTCGCTCGTGCGGCTACTCAACGCTCAAAAATCGTAGAAAATTGGAATCATTCAATGCGGAATTCTGTCGGCTACAACGGATGGTGAGAACGTGAAGATGTGGGGCATTAGGGCGTATCGAGATTGCTGTCTCAAACTCAAACTCTCGCTTCGACTCGGACTTGAGCGCTTGAAAATTGGCTACAATAACTGTTTTGACGGATTTTCAATTGCACCGCCTGTACGAATGTGCGTATTGTCTTGAGAAATGGCCTACATAAGCTTGTGTCTATGTTCGAATCGTAAATAATTCTGATGACAACTATTTAATGAGCACTTTCCGGCCAGGAGAAGTTAATATTTTCGAAAAATAATATACAAGAAAATGTAATGAAGTAATTTCAAAGGAGCAAAACAAATTGTTGTGAGGACGATATGCCAGAAGACCAATCAAGCTCCAATGCCAGTTGTTGGTGCTGCTGGTAATTGAGCGGAGGGATGGGTTGCCAAGACCGTTAAGCAATACCCATTTTTCACTTTAAATTTAGGCCGGGAAGGGACTTGGTTGTTACCAGTGAACATTCATTAGAGAAATTAGTCAGTAATAGTAGTTTGCTCTTGATACATATTAAACGTTATGATCGCCTATATCCTCAATGTTTACAACTGGTTATTACTAACTAGACTAGATTATGCTAGTAATAACTGGTATTGTATTGGGGCACCGTATACATTCTTCAACGGTAGAGAGCCCAGCCTCTCCTGGCTGTTCCTGCTGATGAGAATTACATTGAGCGCCGTTCAAGCCTTATTAGACACCAGAAAACATGCGTAGGAATAATTGATATTCGTAGCTGTCTGCTACTGTGCCTTGTTATAAATTGGTGTCTTTGGTAGATGGGTGACGGTGGAAGATGTGGTGAGATGTGAGATTGAGTTCGGTTTACGTGCGGATACTATTTCCGCATCACTGGAGGGTCAAACATGTGGGGAAGGTTGCAGTTGGAGTCAACCGCGCTATCGCAATTGAAGATAAAAGCGCCACTCAAAGGGAGTTCCGTAATCGTTGATATTGCCATTTGGTTTTCAAAATATATCTACCCTTCTGGTGCTGGACGACCTTTCATCGCTTTTGGTTCCTCAGCGGTTGCTTCTGGGGATTCTTTCAGCGCTGCCGAGGTCTGGGAGTATCCGCTTCGACCTGAAATAAGCAAGTGTAATAAAGAACCACTACATGTATGGAAACAACAATAATATTATTTAAGAGTCATTGAAAGAGGAACGTCATATAATGGTCTCTCTCTGAGCACAAAGTCTTTCTCCAGTGCCTCGACCAAACAGAAGTTCCAGCGCGGTTCCAGCGACAATGAGCAGAATATAGCAGCTTGTTGCAGCCAAGCAAAGGTCTAGATGGGTAGTCTGTATAAGTTCGGGAGTTAGTAACAAAACTGCCTGACACCATTATATCCGGTTGCTAGTCGTGGAGAGTCAATGATATAATCATCCAGGAACTATCCCTCAGAGACCCAGCATGTGCATTACACCTCAACCCTAGCCGCAAAAGTCTGCAAAGCCTTCTTCGAAGCCTCACGCTCATCCAATCTCTTCCAATATGCCAGGAAGTTCTCTCGTCCCGGCAACAGCACCCAATCACAGAACCTCATAGTCATCAATTTCATCAACCCATAAAAGTGAACATCAGCTGCAGAGAACCTGTCCCCACATAGCCAAGTCTTCCCCTCCAACTGATCATCCAGCATGTTCAACGCTTGATTAATCATCACTTTTTGATTCACTCTCGCCTCAGGCGTCGGAATTCGATGGCCTTTATAGAGATCGATAGTAGCAGGATCATTCCTGATCCAAGCAATAACCAGTTGACAAATCTCCAAATCCATTCTTCTCAGCCACATGCGGGTCTCGGCACGCTGTTCCGGCGTATTTCCAAAGAGCGATGTACCTCCAGCGGCGATCTCGTCCAGATACTCGTAAATGGCCGTGACTTCAGTCAGGATCGTGCCGTCATCAAGTTGAAGGGCGGGGACTTCCCCGCGAGGGTTAATCGCGCGATATGGAAGGCGTCGGTTCTGAAGAGTCTTAGTGTCAACGACTTCAACGTCGAGGTTGAGACCGCCACGTTCGAGGATGAATAGGCGGACGGCCATGGGGTTGGGGGCGGGAGAGTCGTAGAGTTTCATAATGGCGTTGAGTTGTTTTGCTCTCTAAGGATGGCTTTATCTCAGTGCTTCAGAAGTGACACATGGATCTGGCTCACTGGAAGGGATAAGCACTTATATATGTGCTTATGCTCGGGCAAATATCCCATATCGGAACTAGTTGATGCGGGGTTTAACAGGCTCATATATAGCTGGTCAGTGGGGTTGACGCTTCGTAAAACCCGCTAAAGGCCGCTTAAAGCCGGTGACTCATCGTATATACGAGAACTATCGAAATATTTTCTATTTTCAGACCCAGTGGAAGTATCTTCAGAAGTGGAATGAGACGTTGATTGGGGTTATAATCGAACCCCGAGGGGACCTGACTTTACAGTGTTTAACTTTGTTCGATGACTTTAATGTGACTTATCTATCTTGGAGAGAGGAAATCGGCGAATACTTAGACGGAATTGAGGGAGCGTTGATATTACAACGCCCTGTACTGGTGACCATAATAAATGCGACGACTGGTCGCATCCCCTGTAAACATTATGATTGCACTTAAAAAGAATGCAAAACCTATTGTAGACCGTACATAGAGACTTTTTCAGTAATTCTCATTGAAGATGTTCCCTGGCCCTATGCTTAGTAATAATTGCTTAGTAAGGATATTCAAGTTGTCTGGCAGGTCTGAACACAACTATTAAGATACGCAACCCCTCGTATATAGTTTGTGTGTCAAACTTTGACCATAATTGTATTATGCTGTCATAGAATTTATGCTTTTAGTATCTGTTAAACTCCCTTCCTTATTATTTCCTCTGCTACGTCTGTCCACTGTAGCGTGGTGTTGTTTGATGATATTATTATTGAACCCTCGTGTTTGTGGCCTGAAGGTCATGACTATGGGTATTGAGAAAACACTAGCGGGAGTGGTTCGAAGACTACTAACAAAGCCTCTAAGGAGAGTCCTTGTTGTGAGGCAGATGGCGCGCAAAATGTCTAGCCGGTGTGACAGCTTGTTCTGATCATGAAGGTAGCAGAAGTAGATGCTGGCACTCAGTATTCTTTTTTTTTTTTTTTTTTTTTTTTTTTTTTTTTTTTTTTGATAAATTCTTCGACTACTTGTCAAGAGAAATCTGAATTATCATTGGCATTTCTTCATAGTTGTGCTGAATGTATCTCTTCACGACAAGCAGTGTTCTCTATGCAGGAATGTGGGTTCACTTTTTCAAGATTATCGCCCCCCTACAACGAATTGTCATCTTCCAGAGATGCAGTATGAGATCTCATCGTGAGTGAAGTTCGTTGCGTTGGATCTAAGGATTACTTGTCGTTCAGCGTGATATCGCCTACGCAGGAGAACAGCAGTCCGAGTAATGAACGAGATGTGTCAATTGTTGTTAGTAATGTTCGATGGTGTGTGTCACTTATCGAAAACACAGGTACTATGACATCATTCCAGCTTGAGATGTAGTTGAATAAACATGCACTGATCAAACTAGCATCGTGACAACAGCACATGAAGGAGAATTTATCCGAAAGAACATTATCAGACCGAAGGGGATGCAAGGAGCGTCATTATGCATGGTACCTGGAGAAATATCAGCCACATTACTAGGACACGTCATTCCGGTGCTGCTATTTCCTTATGCATCCCGAGAGACCGAGGTTCGACGATATTCTGCTAGGCAACAGGTCAAATATGAGTGGTGAATGCACGAGGAAGAAAGAATGAATGTGTGGCGAAGGTTCGTTTCTTTGCAATGCAGAACCACAACGATGATATCATACCGGGTGCTCTGTGCTTACGGTGAATATCGGGCAGTGTGTTACTCCGAGTTAGGTGCATCGGTATGGAGCAGCCGGACCTCCGGAAGCCATAGAAACAAATCAAAAGTGAGCCCGAGGGTGCATCGTGAGTCGAGTGCCGACGTTTTGATTGGGCGCATATGAACTTCTCCCCGGCGATGATCCACAGGTGGATCTGCCCGGCCCGCCCCACTGTAACCCCAAAATCACAAATCCGGTTTGGAAACGAACTGCTCCAGTATGACAACATCTAGAATGAAATGATCGAGACAGGATGATATATCTATCAGACGACCGGCAGGGTATCCAGCCGTGTCAGACCACTCTAAGAGAGGAATAGTTTCTTATCTTTGCCTGTTCCTGTGTGATAGTATCAATTAATGACATCACACTATGTATCCCCACGAACAGCAACCCCAGACCCAGTCATCTCGCAGTTCCTTTTCCGATAAGGGGAAAGACAGCCAGGATAGCGGGGATGATATTGTCCCCGCATTTGGGCTCACTGGAGCCGAGAAAGAAACGGGGTCCATACGCTCAGATGGAAGACGCGAGTTGAAGGAGAACGACTGCTACGATAAGCTGGCCTACTGCTGGCCGAGATGGAAGAAATGGTCGTATCTTGCGGCCATAGCATGCGTCCAAATATCTATGAACTTTAACACCTCTGTCTTTCCAAATGCTGTGAAGCCGTTATCAGAGGCATTCAATATTGGGGAGCAGGAAGCCCGGACGGGGCAGATGATTTACCTGATCACCTATTCCATTGGATGTGAATTATGGGCGCCTTGGAGTGAAGAATTTGGACGCTGGCCTATTCTTCAGCTTTCCATGTTTCTTATCAATATCTGGCAAATTCCAGCTGCCTTGGCGCCGAATTGGGGCACTATTGTTGTTGCTCGTGGATTGGTCAGTTCCCTGCGTCTGGAATGTGCACTATGTCATGCTAACATGTCTGTAGGGTGGAATCTCGACCGCTGGCGGTAGTGTCACCCTAGGTCTTATTGCTGATCTCTACGAAGCCGAAGACCAGCAGTTCCCTCTGGCATTTATTGTCTTATCGTCTTGCATCGGTACAAGTATTGGAGGTGTCATAGGTGGACCGATTGAGCGCTGTACGTATCCTCCTTATCAGAAAGCCGACCGTAAATTATCCACAAATTACTGACCGTTCATCTGGCAGACCTCGACTGGCAATGGTTCTTCTGGATCATGCTGATCTTCGGCTTCGTTGTCGAGGTAATCCTCCTCTTCGTCCCGGAAAGCCGTTCGACAATCATCATGGACCGCGAAGCCAAGCGCCGCCGTGAATCCGGCGAAGACCCGAATATCTACGGCCCCAACGAGCTCAAAAGCCCCCGCATCTCTCTCAAAGAAGCCGGCAAGATCTGGATCCGTCCTTTCTACATGTTCCTCCGCGAACCCATCGTCCTATGTCTCTCCCTCCTATCCGGATTCTCCGACTCCCTGATTTTCACCTTCCTCGAGAGTTTCTCCATTGTGTACGAAAAGGGCTGGGGCTTTGGTATCCTCGGCCAAGCGTGGGCCGTCATCCCGATCAATATTGGCTACGTGATTGCCTATTTCTCATACTTTCCATGGTTCTGGCGGGACCAGAAAATCCGCGACGCGAAGGGAGACGATGCGCTACCTGCTGAGCGGAGACTCAAGTGGCTTCTTTATCTAGCCTTGCTTGAACCGATAGGATTATTCGGTTTCGCATGGACATCTTTGGGTCAGGAGTATGGCGTTCCGTGGATCGCATCCATGATATTTTCCACCCTTGTCGGTATCGCCAACTACGCCATCTACCTTTCCTCAGTTGATTACATGGTCGCCGCGTATGGTGTGTACTCTGCTTCTGCGACGGGTGGAAATGCCTTCTGTCGTGATCTGTTAGCGGGTATTGCGGCTATGTATACCACCCCGATGTATGAGAATATCGGAGATAAGTGGCACGTGGAATATGCTACTACCATCCTGGCTTGTCTTTCGTGCTTGGTGGTGCTTCCAATTTACATCTTCTATTGGAAAGGACCGCAGATTCGCGAGAGGAGCAAGTTTGCCCAGACGCTGGCGTCGGATCGGAAGGCTAACCAGGGCCATCGGGTTAGTAAGGAGGATGCTGCACCGTAAGGAGATGGCAAGGTTGCAGTTAGATTTGGAAGCCTGGGGCTGGATGACCTGGGCTGTACATTATGCTGGCGTGATGTGATATAGATTTGGATTCATAACTTTGTATATACGGATTATGACTAGATACACATATAGAGGGCTGCTATGATAGAGCCCAATAAACTTTTGGGACTTAATACTTGAAAGGTTGACTATATTATCGTAAACAGAGATTCACTGAGCATTACAAAAAAAAAAAAAAAAGAAATTGAAGAGGGGAGACAGAGCTGATAGGGTCTCGGGCCTCCAACCTGAACTGGTTACGGTCAAAACTCACTGAGCAAATTGACTTTTGACCAGTAAGCCAGAAATGCTCCACAGTTGGTACAGATCTTGTAGGTCTGCTATTATATCTCCTACTTTTGGGTTCCTCTGACTAACCGTTATGGATAATGTTGGCAAGGAGCCACCTTTTCTGAGGAGAGAGAATGTAATGGAACTCACACACTCGTCGATATTGTCAATGAAATTCGGATTCTATGCCAAATTTTCTGGACTCCTGCGTCTGGATATAGCCAGGATATGGCCATGATGCTCCTAGAAGAAGGAGATATATTGATTATTGAACCATCGTAGAGAAGGCTTGACTGAGATGCAACGACAGTCGGGATGAGATGTAACGTAGCACTCGTTATGGCACAGACCGCGTGGGAAAGTAGTCAATACTATGATACACACCATCAATGCACGGGTCTTTAATGACTCATTGAACCACACGTGCAAAACATAAATAGTATTTCGCGCATATGAATGACGAGTTGGAAAAAGCTCAGGCCGCGGGTGGAGGCGCGTGTATGTGGGGAAGTTGAACAAAGAACAGAATCTTCTGCTATACCATGAGAGGTCGCACAGATCTTGTGAAACACGAAGTCTCCAGGATATATCCTGGCTCATATGACTTTTCCGATAAGTTGTGTAACATGTACACAGGCTTGCTGGCCGAACACAGCCGTGAACATGTTCGGTGGCGCATTGAAAAGGAGAAAAGTTTCCCAGGTGGACGGTTACATTTTCGGCCGTGCTTGGTAGCCATACTGCTCTATATATCTGTCAATCTTGATGGAATCAATAGTTCCTCATCATTTCATCTCAGTCTCTCGACGGGTTGCTACGTTACCATGGCCTCGGAGCGAAATAGAGAGCCCGGAACCCGGAGAGGAGCCTCCGGTAATGTTCAAATTGAGAAAGGGCTCGTCAAGTCTGGCTCAGCAGCTGAGCTACTCAGCCCGGAGGAAGACAGAAGGATTTTTCGAAAGATCGACATTTGGTGCAAATCCAGCCCAGACCCCGAGAAGAAGCACACTGTCTAACTAACAGTGTCCTCACAGCCTGCTACCTCTCATGTCCATCTCGTACATGTTACAGTTTCTAGATAAACAGGCTCTCTCATTCACATCCATTCTAGACCTTCCAGGAGACCTTCATCTTAGTGGTGATGAGTTTGCTTGGGCGAGCGGCATCTACTACTTTGGTTACATGGTTGCTGCATGCCCAGCGGCTATGTTGATGGTCCGCTGGCATGTGGGAAAGACAATTGCTATTTCAATGTGAGAAAGTTACACAGAACCGCATTTAACGGACATTATAATTCTGACTGGAAGAATACAGATGTATATGGGGGGTGATCTTGACAGTAACAGCCGCTTGTGACAGTGCTGCGGGGCTCCTGGTTGAGCGATTCTTTCTCGGCGCAGCTGAATCGGCCATTGCCCCAGGCCTAAGCGTCATTGTTGCCATGTGGTACAAGCGATCTGAGCAGCCGTTGAGACAAGCCGCATGGTTCATTGGAAACAGTTTCGCTGGTATAACCGGGGGCTTGATTGCGTATGGAATTGGACATATTCAGAGCATGGCACCTTGGAAAGTAAGAGGTTTTTGACGGAATCTCTATTTATTGTAGAGACAATCGCTAACCCTCGCAGGTCGTATTCTTACTATTCGGTAGCTTAACAGTAGCTTGGTCCATCTGTTTCATCTTCCTTATGCCCGATACTCCAATGCAGGCTTGGTTTATGAACGACGAAGATCGTCTGAAAGCTGTGACTCGCGTGAGGATGAACATGACTGGGATAAAGAGCAGCGAGTTCAAGCGGACACAGTGCATCGAAGCCTTTCTAGATGTTAAAACCTGGATATTATGTGCCATAACCTTCTTTGGCCAGGTGCCTAATGGTGCCCTAACTACTGTGAGTTACCAGCTGCCCTCGCCCCATATTATGTATCTAGCGTACCCAGAATTGACCAATACCAAGTTCGGTACAATAGTCGTCAATGGTCTAGGATTCAGCACCTTCAACTCCCTTCTTCTTCAAGCATCCTGCTACTTGGCTATGCTTATCGCCGTTCTTATTTCCACCGCTGGCAGCTCATATTATACCGATACTAGGACTTACTGGATGGTGTGGAACCTGTGTCTCGCCACTATCGGCACGGCTCTGATACGCGAGCTTCCAGCTCATCTCATGTGGGGTCGATTCGCCGGCAAACTACTCATGACGTCCGCTGCTGCCAACTTCCCTCTAACGATGTCCTTGTCATCGGGTAATGTTGCGGGATTTACGAAGAAGATGACGGTGAACACAGCTGTACGTCAAATTCTCCTTGTGACTACTTGTGACTACAACCTATGGGACTTGCATTCTTGGAACCAGTAGATGCTGACTCCAAACTTTAGATTTTGATCAGTTTTTGTGTTGGAAATATCGTCGGACCCCAACTATTCTTCGAAGATCAGGCGCTTACCTACACAACTGGATTCCTCGCTATTATGGTATGCTATGCCGTGGGGATCATTTTATGTGGGGGAGCTCGCTTTTACCTGGTGTGGGAGAACCGACGTCGCGATGGAGTATACCCACCATTCCACGGCAACGAGGAAGTTGATGGAGATATTGCAGGTATGCTCGATAAGACAGATAAAGAGATACCCCAGTTTAGGTATGTTTACTGAAACTCGTACTTGATTTTGTGTCGCTAGACAAGCTGGCACTCTTTGGTGTCAAATGGTACTTCTAGCTTAGCTGTGATTGAGTCTTATGTCCGGTATGCCTGCCTCACGGGCTTGTCTCCATTGTAATAGAGGGATCTAGAATCAGTAAGATTAGCCACTGAATGTCTATATGAGCTCCTACATGAGGGGTTCTAGCATTTACATTTACAGGCTGTGGGGCATAAAATGTTGGTCTGACCAGCCGTATCTGAGCCACATATCACGAGGCTGATGTAAGAATAATCCTGTAGGAAGTGCTGAGGCATACGCTTGCACGGTCTTAATCTTCATTTTCTTACTACTGCTAAAGGATAGAACAACTGATCAATTAAATAAGTCTAACGAAATATGTAATAATGTGGTCAACCAATATTAGGAATTTCCGATGACCAAGTAGCAATATAAGCGTCCGGCGGAAGAAAGGCCAATGTCCTGAACATCTCAACAACAATGAACAATCTTGCCACAATGTATGCAAGCATACCAACAACCCCCAAGATTATAAGCAATACAAAGAGAACAAACGCTAGAAGAATATAGGACAAACCAAGAACAGCTAGTGCTATCTCCGCAGGTGTCTTGATCGTCTCCCAGCGCCGTGGCGGTGAATCCTGCGATTCTATATCTCTCTGTGGATCCTCGGGTGGGGGCGCTGACTTGTCGTCCTCCCAAGTAGGGATTTTCTTTGGACTTGTACTGGTTCCGGTATCAAGCTCTGTGTTAGGGTTTGCTTGGATTTGGTCGGGGCTGGTGCTCGAGTCCGTTGGGGCCTGTCCGGCTGGGTCGTCGGGCTTGGCATCCTCGGGGGTCGAAGAGTTGTCATGCTTGGTCGCTTCATTTACGACCTCCATTGTTCTAGATATTATGAGGAGCACAAAGTAAAGCCATGTGCTGATCAGTACGCAAGCAGTACACCACAATGACGCCGCCCACCAGAGATATTGCTCCACTGTGGTGGGGAATTGAAAATCCCAGGCTATGAGATGGATGCCCCCAAAGATCATACTGCCGATGAACATCCACAAGTCAGTGAAGATATTGCTCAACTTGCTCGGGTCTTCTGATTCGTCAATGAATCCATTGCCAATTGGATCACCCGAATCCCGGCTAGATTCGAGCGTTGCTCGTACCCCTTGTACAATTGCTGTGAATGTATCCAATGAACTTGTCCATATCATCGTCATTGTAGCCACTTTGGGCACTACCTCACTTTCTTCGACATCTGCGTTCGTCTCAGGGTCCCTTCTAGACATGGTCTCCGATTTAGCATCGGTTGATTCGTTATTGTTTGCGGGTTCATGGTTCTTGTCATTTCCGTCGCTGCTTTTTTTGTTGGCTTTGCTGGTACCGCCGTGGCTTTGGATCTTCTCTTCAGTGCAATACTTGCATTTGTAAAACTTCCACTTGCTGTGTTTGTCTTCAGGCTCAGGGAAAATGGAATCCTGAAGTTCTCTTAGCAGCGCTTCCTTGGACCCACGATATTCGAAGAGAATCGGCAGCTCAACTCCTTTAGGCTTCCCATGGTTAACGATGTACATTCCCACCGCACAGAACGCAAAAGCAACAACGGTAACCTCCAGCTGGGTCACGGCCAGGCCATAGGCCCACCGTGATAAGATTTGAATAACTACCCAGACAATTTGACCCACGGCAAGGAGCCGCATGAACATATCCGATTTCGAACGAGCATTGATTTCCTCCTCCGATACATTGTCTAGCCCTGGTATAGATTTTTCTTTTTTGCAAAGAAGTTTTAAGGCTTCGACGGCTGTCAGATAGAAGACTTCTTCGAACTTTTTCGCGGGATCCCCGATGAGTGTAGATTGTATTTGCTTTTCTGGCTTCTCGCAGCAGGACGCCGAAGCTATTGGTTTCAACGTGCTCGGCCCCCCCATCGGAGAGATATCATCTTCTACAAGGGGGCTCGTACTGGTCTGGTGGTCGTCTTGATCTTCCGTAGTCGATTTCTCGTTCTCCGAAACGGGTCCACCCTCCTCGGAATCGGCAGTGCACCGCAGCGCAAACCCTCCCATATTAGCGAAGAGAACATGAGTCCTCGTCCAGTTCTTCTTCCTGAAAACTGCTTCATAGTGGTAAAACAGAGAATGCCCCCGGACCTGATCATCCCAGTATTTGGCGAAAGGAATTTCGGGTGCAAGCACAGTAAGGAGAAACCACTTCGTCGGATGTTGATATTTGTCCACCATCCATTTGAGCCATTTTTTGAAGTCCTTTATTTCCGGTTTCGGTGCATACTCAGGGACGTTGAGATGAAGCACTGTCCAAGTGCAGGCGAGAATGGTGAATAGGGACGACCAAAGGATTTGCAAGGTGCCACGGGTGTTTGGGGCTGACACGAAACTGGTCTGTTGGGGCGGAAGCGTGCAATTTGTGTGGAATGTACTAAAGGCTTGCACTTTGGATGTCAGAAGAAGAAGAGGGAGAATAAGGTCAATAGTCCTAGGGAGCATTGTGATTGTGACGTGTGGTGACACGGGGGGAATAGGCGTGCACTGTGGCCACTGAACCCAATACAAGCGATGCGGATCATGGGTAGCTTTGTAGTCGATATGACCATCCCGTCAAAGCCTAGCGTTGTCAGTGTATAAATTTGTTTGTGGACATGATCTTCGCGGGAGAAGACTTCGGAAGCAGCTATGAAGAATCCTACCTATCTACGTACGAAGCGCTGGGTGGTGATTTGCTCGGGGACCAAATCATTTGATCGGCGAACGGCACGGGCCCCAAATCTGTGTGTAAAATTAGACACGTCAGTTGCCCCCACCTTCAGCTGTATTCAGCTCTACCTCTCAGCAGCCAATCATCACTGCAAGTTAGATTAATGAACGATGATCCTCTCAAATTCTACGCCTTGACCCGTCGCCTTGGGCAGAAACTGACAAGGCTACGAATGGTTTGAGAGATACAAGGTCACACCCAGAGAGTTTGTGTGGCGTCCGGAACCCTGAGCTGACCCAACCCTTCTTTTTGATTCCTACTGCTGGAGAAATACAAATCGGAAAAGGAGTGGACCTTGTCTAAGACTCTAAGTGACCACTACCTGGTTAGTAAACGATGCTTAAAAGACTTGCATAATCACGCACTATGCAGATCAGCAAGAAAGCCACGCTAAATCACAATAGCAAACATAGGCGACTGACTGAACATCCGGGTTATATAGGTTCCATGATTCCATAGCATAGATCTCAAGAGAAGGATGCGATGTTTTTCATAGCATATCTAAACAAGACTATCTATAGCAACGTTTTGTAATATGTCCTGCATTTATGTTGGTTACAATTTCTTGTGAGGGTAGAGGTACCTAGAGGGCTGAATAGCCTAAGACGGGTTATAGATTTGCTACAGTAGCCGTCCGTGGACGATCGCCCCATCTACTCCCATTTGATTCGCCAAGCGGATGCCGTGACTGTCTCACCAAGAGCCCAAAGAACCTCAATAGAGACCGGCATGTGGTGTATACTGGAGGAAAATATCCGTCATCTTTGATTGTTCTATTGACGAGCGCGTGATGGACGTGGATGAGTATGAATACGCTGCTATTGTCATTACCAGAGTAGGATGTATGTATTTGTTACAATCAGAATGAACAAGAATCCATTATTTCACTTGCAGGTTTCGCATGGCGCATTGTGCGTCGAGAACATAATTCGCAGAGTGACTCATCAAAATCGTCTATTTCGCTTCGACCATATTTTAGGTACACTAGTAACTACCAACCCAAGGGTAACAATAGGCACTCAGAGTTCCGCAAAAGCAGGAAAGGGCTAACAAAGCGCTGGAACCTGCCATCCTAACCTGATCTGGATGACGAAGTCTTAAATAAGAATAGAGGCATTTGGCGTAACCATGGTTTCGAAAACCGAAGTTCTAAGGTCTCGTCTATCCCTTTTATGCTCAAAGAAACAATATTTGACTCAGTGTTAATAGTCCAATTAACAGCCCAGCAGTAGATGTTGTCTTGGATGATGCCGAGGAGGAACATGTTTTGTAACCCGCCGTGCCTTTTGCTTCCAAGTCAGTTATTGCTCGCCACACTACCAAGAAAGGAAATGTGGAGGCGAAGGGACAAAGAAGAGAGAGGTTCGAGGGCGAAAGCTTTTAGGAGTAGATACCTGAAGCGTAATAGCACATATGTCGTAGCTCCACATACTGTCTGCCCACCGGGTGTAGTTGAATGTCCCATTGCACGAAGAATGCGTGCATTCTAGGACTTGCGACGTCCAGTTACTAGAGACCCCGTCCGCATTCTCACAAATGCATTTCAGATCGGAGCGGTCGGTGCTGGCGGCTAGGGTGGTGTAGTTGGTACCACAGGTCCCGTTGGTGACCAACTGCTGGAGATAGTCTGAATAGCAAGGTCGGTAACACGCCAAGAAATTGTCGATGAAGGAATCAAAAGAACAAGGAATGTAATCCATCATTGGAGGAACAGCAAGCACGAGCAGGAGGGGGGAAAAGGACAGGAATGGATGGTCGAAGAAGCAGAGGACACAAGTGACGGACCTTCACCAGGACGGATAGCAAAATTTCTGCATCGCTGGCTCAGGCAATTCTTTATGATCACTTTTCAGACACCATATTGGCGAAGTCTACGGAATTAGTATTAGTGCTAACTACTAGCTTTCCTCTAGTATACCTCAGGTTAAAGTGAACCAGGGAAAAAGAAGTCTTTCGGGTTAAGTTCATGTGGGCCCCACTGGGATTGGAAGGTTCGGGTGAGGGAAGCTTGTTGCAGCCATTGCAGAGTCGATCAGAGGCATGAATGGAGTGAGGCAGACGGCGCGGGACAAATCATTTATTCATTATTGTTGTCTACATTTACCATGTGAATTCAAACCCAGGGGGTATGAAGGGCATAGGGCCCTGTTAATCAGGGTCTCAGGGTCCGACAGTGTTCGAGATGAACGCTTTTGGATGTTTTCTCAACATAGAAAAACCTGCTCAAAAAAAGGGGGAAGCTCGGCAAATCGGCAACAAAACCGGCCGCTCCGATCCGATCGGAGTTTTATCGATAACGGCTTTAATTTCCAATTCAGGGCAAAGGGAGGCTCTTGACATGCCATATGGGATGGCCCGCACTTGGTAGGATAGATTGTAATGATCGTTAAGCACCATGTAAATGTTGAAACCTATTAAATGCCTCACACAGTCCCTGAGCATGCGTCACATGTATCTGTCAGCTCCATATACCGACACGGTCGAAAGATCTTCATGGTCGCGTCGACAAGACGGCGGCAGTCCCCGCGTCGGAGAAGAGCGCAGATTGACATCCAGAAGATCTACGGCTGTTGTGGATTGATGAACCCAGAAAAGCAATCCTGTGAAGGAGATGGGATCAGTGAGGGTGAATGATATTATTGCGTAGGGTTAGATACAGGCAACGTCTTTCCCGCTTGACTGATTAACATCACCATCAATTATTGTATGATCTCGGAACTCACCATGTCGACTATTATGTCCGCCTTGTCTCTCTCTGCTCCCTTTGGGTGATGGGCTTTCTGGGCACCTGGGACTGTACTTCCCTCGACGGCTCGACCCAGCTCCTCACGGAAGTACTGGACGACCCCTATGGCCCGGCTTCCGGGGACCTGGAATGTTGGCTTAGCGGACCTTCACTGGCATTCGCCTTCCCATCAATCACATAATCTCCATTCTTAAGCGTAGCCTTCCACCTCTCTATTGCAGGCGTCTCGCTCTCTACAGAAATGATCCCCTCTATCTTCACCCGGGCCTAACTCGCAGAGCTGCACCCGTCCGCCAACTTCGTGCCCCTGCTGTCTCTACCCCCGGCTTATACTCCCGGCTATGGGTCAAGGGATTTCTATTATGGGATAAATTGATCGCCTATTTTGTGATGTTAGTTGTCGTAGCTCTCGAGCTCCACGGAGCATGGTCGAGCGTCGAGCCACGCGGTGGAGCATTCCGGTGGTCGTGGTCCCTCCTCGAATTGCTTGGGTCATCTCTTCTCCTCGGACCGGGGGAGACGTGTCTGCTAGTCAATTGGCTGCGGGGTGAGATTCTGTTCGGTTGGTGTGTTGACAGGAAGGGGGAGAGGAAAACCGCGAATCTAGTTGAGATTCTTCATCAGACTGCCAAACTTTCTATGTTTGCTCACTGATGCCATTAGCCATCTTGTAGTATTAAGAGATTCGTACGGAGCTGACCTAGTTGCTGACAAGGACGTTCTGCCAAGTGATAGGATTCAGCCGGACGGTCAAATGCGAAGACAATGAGAAATCATTTTCTCTCATGTGAATATCAGCCCACGGTAAGTAAAATCGAGAATAATGGTTAGCTGAAACTATGAATTTCACTGGAATTGATAAACTTTGTTTCGTAGCTAATGAGAGGGATGATACAAGCATCGTTGACGAGGGGACATAGCCGTGTTCAAGGGATCGGCCGCCGAACCCAGATTGGCTCTGTGTACTACCCCGGAGCATTGGATATCCTGTTTAATGGAGAAACACGGGGGTATTATACAACATTATCTCGAAAGCTGTTCAGAAGCAATGTAAGCTGATCGTGCTAGGAAGGCTTTAACTGTCTACGGATTACTGCTCTAGATGTGCAAACCAGGCATGATGTAGTTCGACCCTGACTCAATCAGTCCATGCAGGCTTTTCTACAAACATATAGCCTTGAATTGACACCCCTTACACGCCTTGACTGATAATCAGTATTACTTCAGAGGCCTTGCAGATTAGTGCTTTGAGATAATGACAGCGGATCATAGATACTCAAATGTCAGACTTATTCATCACCGAACTTGTCTCTTCAACATTGTCACCGCGTTGAACTTGAGATTTAGCGACTATGAGGTTTCTGATAATGAGAGGCCATCTATACGCGATTTTAATTTCCAATAAGCTCGATTCTTCATAGACTGTCAAACACGGTAAGCTGGTCCTCGCACAACAAGTAGGAGTATCAATCAGGTGACGAATGCTTGTGATTTTCTCATAAAGTGTTGGGACAGTAATCTTTCCGTTGCTAGTCTGACTAGACGTGATATATTATTTTTAGTCTAGTGGTTAGTGCGCCGATATACGTAGTAATGCAATCGACAAACTATGTTATTGCAGCACCAAGCTTCCTCATCTAGATACAGCTTTTTCTTTACGATTTGGCTGACGCTGGATGCGATACAGTATGGTGACACATGGCTAGAATGACCCACTAGGCCGCACAAGACATTGTTGAATCTTAGTGGACGAATTGAAGTTGTCTGTCATTCAATACGAGAAATTCCATCTACGACTGACACTACGCAGATCGTACACTAAGCTCAACCAAGGACTTTATTCAGGGTTCTTGCCAAGACAGTGTATGTGATATCATAATAGTCATCTTCGTATAGCATCAACGCGAATCCCTGCTCCGCTTGAAGAACAACAACATATAAATCACACAAGCGATCGGCCTGAGTTAATGTCATTCTACCCGAATTCAAGACACTCTAAACCAAAACATCTTAGCATCCTTACCGCAGCGATGTTGTTCCCCATTCCCAAAACGACCGCCACTCCCACGGAGGGAGAGGTGAAGATCCCTTTGCTGTTCTTCGTTCAACGCATTCAACGGTATGATCTTCATTCACACACCCCTTTACCATCGTATTGTTGCTAAATCGGGCATTTGTCAAGATTGATCTACGAGGTCCCCTCAGACGAAGAGGCCATGACCTTAGTAGATGACAACTACAGTTCTGATGCGTTGTTTGAGTAAGCAATCACTCTCCCATATCTCGCTCCACACGACCTCTACACCCCATATCTCAACATTAAGCCTGCACATATAAACCCCCGAGAAAAGGATGGAGTTATCGATTATCTAATCTCGTAATGGACTTCTTCCGCAATAGATGGAATTCCGAGCGACTGGACCTAGACGGGTTCAAGAAGTTTGTTCAAGAGTGGCGCAATCGCTACACCTTCCTCGACTTCGAATTTCACGAAGCCCTTGCCACGCCTGATGTCAACGACGAAGAGGGACGTGGAGGCACGATCGGCTTCGCGCTGAAGGGACGCGTCGTGTCCAAGGATGACGGGAAGATGTATGGAGGAAAGGCACAGTAAGTTAAGAAGTCCTCCACTTGTTATTCAATGCAAGGGACTGATGTAGTGAGCTAGTGCCATCTTCAAGGTCGAATGGATTGGAGATCGTCGGGTCATCACCAGAAATGCTCAGGTCTTGCAGGGACCCTACGTGGTTGAGGATGAAAGATAAGATATCCGGTCACATGGCACTTTGTCAGAGTGGACTGATGATGTTGGCCTGATGGGAGTCCATAGCCGGAAAGCCTTTCAATTATATGTTTGGTTACAAGTGCTATCGAACTTGAATTCATGTTTACATTGCGTAGGCCCGAATTTGAGAAGGACTAGTTGTTATTCCTGATCGCTCTCCACGATCGCTAATGCCAATACTCTCGGATGGCTGATCCAATTCTATGTGCTAAAGCATCCTCCAATTTTGATTACTTAACTAAGTAATTGGTAGCACCATTTGTCACCACGATGAGCGTCAATCAAAAACCCAACCTGTCTTAGCTGCATATTGCACAATGAAATTATCCGTTACAATAATTAAAATCAAAGGCAAAAAACATACAACAGAAGGGATTCGCTGGTGGTCACCCACCCAACTACTAACCTCCCGGCGTGTGGCTTAAGTACGGCTGAGCGGACGGGAAGCCCTGTTTTCCACACCCTGTGGTCGTATGTACCATCTGGTTCTTTGGTATGGGTAATATTGGACTTTGCTCGATTGAAACGTTCATGTTATCCTTGGCTAATTCTACAAATTTGTCCCCTTGGCTTCCGTGCCTACCAAATCTTCGCAAATATAGCACGGGATCAGGAAGAGAGCGGGAAACCAGTTATGTGCCCTACGTCAGGAATGAACTCCCTTGTTGAATAGGTTTGCTGGTATTTCTGACGGGCAGTTCTTGTGGGTTCGATTATCAGCGGTGTTGAAGTCTTGGTTGATTGGGGGCGCTAAATGTGAGATATATATAATTTGTCAACGGGATATATAGTGCGGCTAATAGCAAACAAAGCCCCTGTACTTCCCGATTGCCCAGACCATCCGCCTATTATTCAGTGATAACTCATACTTACTAATCTCTTCTAATTTTCTGTGTATGGACATCATTTCATGATGTTTGGTTGTGAAAACGTCCACCTACAAGATCACTGATGATTCTTAATTGTCACTATAACACCTCACCAATGCACTATTATTCGTACGAGGAAAATCATGAATAATACTAATGGGCTCACTAACAAGTCATCCCGATGCTTGATATTCGTCGAATGGAGCTCATTGGGCGGTTGGCTGTTACTTGCTGGATAAGCTCGTATGCGTCATTCCTACGCCATACAGTGCAACCCACGGTTCGCTATATCAGCTATCATCTTCCTCCCTCACCAACTTCAGCTTCATAGCCCCAGCCACATACCAATCAATACTCTATCACTAATTGAAGCATACAACATGTCCCGTCGCACCACAATTCCCGAGCAGCCGCCCCGACCGTCCTCATTAGGGAGCTGCATCCTCTACGGCTGCGGAGCGGGTCTGCTTGGCGTCGCTGCGTAAGTCCCGATAACCACCTTATCACAAAGAGCGACCAATAGCCTGACCACTTTGACCACTTGACAGAATGACAGTAGGCGAAAAGATCGAGCAATACTTCACCGGCCGACCGAATTCATATGTACCGGGGCACACTTTGGAGCGCCTTCTGCGACTACCCGTTCGCCCCGATTCCGAGCGCTTCGGATTGAACATGGCAATGCACTATGGACAGGGAGCGGCTGCAGGAATCATTAGAGCATTTATGAGCGCATACGGTGTTCGTGGACCATTCGCGGATTTTATGTTTGTCGCCATACGGCTTATGATCGATCAAACATTGGAGAATGTTACGGGTGTTGGGGCACTTCCTTGGTGAGTTCGACTAGTCTTATTGCATACATGATTGTTGGAGTATGAAACTAACTGCCTATAGGACCTGGCCTGTTAATGAGCAGGTTATCGATATTCTCCATAAGGGGGTCTTTGCGTTTGTGACGGGATACTTCACGGATAGGTGGCTACAAGGGTGATAATGTATTCAAGGCGGACGATTGGTGTGGAGTCGGTGGGTTTCAAGACAACAGTCCCGGAGGATAGACGCATACGATGAGGCATCAGTGGTTTACATTTAGCCCCTATGATCGAGCCATGAAGACTCCGACTGTACTCGATGAGAAGTCGAAATCGAAGCCCTCCCCCAGGCACGGAAATACCGTCCATGCCTCGCCGTTGGTAAGTTTCGGAAACCACATATTGGGAACCTACCGAATCATTGAATTCACGCGGGATTTCGGGGTACCATTCGTATTCAAACTTTGCCGCATGAGGTGGGCGAAAAGGACGTGTCGTGATCACCATTTTCGGTAGCTGCGCACATGCTATGCACTGTATACAATTGCTTCCGATGCTAAGGAAAGCAGTCCCTTCGAAAAGCAACAATACTGATTAAGCTCAGAAATAATTTCTGTCACTCAGCATTTAACATATGTCATGCTTAGAATATGTAGCATTGTAAACCAATACCTCTTTCGGCTAGCAATTATGAGACACCTCCAATAAGAGCAAATAAAACCGCCAACCTCATGGCCACTCTGGTGTACCAAATCGGTCGATGGGACCAAAGGCCTGATACAGTGGATCCAACCACCGATCCACAACCCACAGGTACCCATTGGCTGCCTTCACTTGAGTGACGAGACCTGCATTCATGATGAAGATGGCATTCTCCTCTTGGGTGACAGTGATATTAAGCCCTGTAATGTCACTAGCTACTGTGACCGGACTGCTGAAATTCAGACCCGCAAAGGTATCGCAATCACTGTCAAGCCAGCCATATTGCCACATTAGAGTGTTGAATGGGCTTTTGTATGGCGCGACAAGAGTATCTGTTCGAGTTGACGTTAGCCAATAGCTCTGTGGCTTCACGATGTGAGAGAACTTACGGAATATGGGAAGGATAGTAGGCATCAGATCATAAGCCTCATTTTGTGGAGCAACGAAGAACTGCGTACTTCCTGTCTGTTTCGACAACCGACGTAACGTATCTGGGGAGTTTTCAAATAGAATCTTCGTAGAGTTCACAAGGCGCGAGTCACTCTTCAGGAACTCTCCAATGGTCAGATCTGTTGTCTCGGTAGTCGGTGCGGTTGTCCGATTGCTGGGTCCACCACCATAAATTAGGAAAGGGTCAATAACCTGGTCGATGGCATGGATCAAACCATTGTCTGCAACAATATTTGCCGTCACGATGGCGGACTGATCGTCAATTTGTACGGTGCCATTTGAGGAAGTAATGGTATCAATATAGTAGCCCTGGACTGTTTTGGTCAAAACCCCGTTGTGGTATTGCTCGGTAGTATTGGACACCTGGAGTGAGGTAGATATTCCTCCTGCACCCTCACTTTCAGATACCTTGACAAGATCAGAAGCTGTGAGACCAGCCTCGATGATGTGTGTGCGCAGGAGGGCCTCGGTTAAGGGGTAGGCTTGTTGGGTCATAAGGATATCGAAAATGGCGTTGGGAATCTTGGCCCATGCCTATACGTTTAATTAGGTTTACGTCTTGCGACGGGTAAATTGATAGAGTAAATAAGACACTTACGTCGTTAGTGGGAGCAAGGAATGTGTAGTTACGTTTGTCTTCGTCGTAGTTGTAGCGTTTGAGAAACAATGGATTGATCTCTACAATACCGCCGGTCAGGTTGTACACCTCGGCGTAGGTAGATAAGTCGGGTATTTGCAGGAGGGTATCCATGAGGGGGGAGGCTGTAACCAGATAAATAGAAATTGCAGCTAATGCTGCGACGGTTATAAGAGTACTAGCCATGATCTCTGAGTCGTTGGCGCTGGGACAAAGCCAGAAAGAAAACTGAGGTGATTCTGATTTCCAGTAATACGGGACAGTGCTTGCCTTTTATATTCGTTAGTCTTCAGCACGTTTACATAAGACCTGGTGAGCTTCTTGTCGGAGAGGCTGCCGTCGACATGATACTTACTACTACTTGTTGAACGTAAAAAGCTTAGGCTGCCAAGTGCGAAGCTTGTCTTCGATACTTACCACAATCCCCGTGCTCATGTTGCGGGGTAGTCATTAAACTCGGTTAGAAAAGCCGAAGTGCACTATATCAAATGGTGCTGACCTCTGCACACACGTTGATTGTGAGACGTAAAGGTGCAGCAAACATTACTATATTGGCGATGGCACTTATGGGCCAATCGCGGGTTCGCTTCCACACACCCACAAGTCTAGCCCATGTACGGCGCTCATCCGTATGACCATGCTTTGGGCACGTGTGATAAGCCACGTTGCACTAGTTGAAGCTAGCCTCGTCGTCTTACATGAACATACGGGCTAAATGTTGACTGTATGTTGCTTGTTTGTGTGGCCCCGAAGCTCTTCGTCGTCTTTTCCGCCAATCGGCTCCTTCCTGGACTCGGCACTTTCAGTAGCACTACTGCATGATGCGAGACATCTGGAGTCCGCGCGTCAAGGAGAAGAAAACAGTAACGACTCGAATGGTAGGGACAAGTACCATATGTGATTACTGTGATTAGCATGTCAATTGCAGAGGAGAGGGCCCCGCTTCTGACAAGCATTTCACTTGGGATACGTAAGATGCTGATGTTAGAGTTCAAACCGAGTTCCTCTGATATATCCAACATGTAGCTCAAACCGCGCAAATATAAACAATAGTGGGAGCCAAGATAGGCATGGGGTGACAATTTACGAAGCCGCAGCAATCACCGTCGATACCACATCCGTGTAACCCGAGTCCTCTTTATCTTCTTCTGTAGTTGGAATACTCCATAAAGAGTTGCCTCCGCTGTAGGAGGGCAGCCAGGGATATAAACGTCCACGGGAACAATGCGATCCACTCCCCGAACAATACTATAACTATAATGGTAATACCCTCCACCATTAGCACAGCTACCCATGCTAATGACCCATCTTGGCTCAGGCATCTGATCATAGCACTGCCTCAGAGCCGGGGCCATCTTGTTTGTCACAGTCCCCGCAACAATCATTACATCGGACTGTCGAGGAGAAGCTCGAAAGATGATTCCCAGGCGATCTTGGTCGTATCGGGGCATTGAAACGTGCATCATTTCGATCGCACAACACGCTAGACCAAAGCTGAGGGGCCACAAGGATCCTTGACGGGCCCAGTTAACTATCTGATCAAATGTCGTACTTTGGAAAGTCAGCACAATATTCATTGGTGTGACGAGCAAGTCGGACTGCTTACAGGACGTGCTCGGCCATGTTCATAGGCCGTTTCTCGGCTGAAAGAGCCGTAGAAGTTGATGGAGCGCTCCCCTGATCTTGCTGTGAAGTGGCAGCCGCCCTAATATTTCTCGAAGAGAAGTCACGGCGGGGGTAAAAGCAAAATTCAGAAGGCGTCACGAAAGTCGGGCGCAAACGCGATCGGAGGCATTGGGATAGAGCCCCTGTTGAGTCAGTAAGTCTCCCAAATTGCGAGGAACAACGGACCATTGCTGATATTAAATGATGAGCCAAATCTCGATATATAGTTCATGACGTCTTAGACAATTGCTACTGACGGGGTCACGAACATATTTCTCCTGGTCACTGAGCCTCCGGAGGGGGGTATACATTGATGTGGATCATTTCCCGACTAGCATGTGGGATTTCCCGACTAATTGGCACAGCGGACTAAGCAGGGTCAATGTATCCCCACTGCTTTTGTGCACGTAATGCACAAAAGCTCCCTAGATACGCACAGAGGTTATTCCAATTTTGACAACTGCAAATTGACTCGGAACAACAGTTTTGTTGGGGTCTATTCAGCTTCGATTGAACGAAGTGGTTTCAACTGGTCTTTTGCCACCATCCCCACATGTGCTACAACCCTTCCCGCCGAACTTCCCCAAAAATTCACTTCGCCGCTTCATGCACCTACTCTATCATGCCGTCGAAGAATCCACCAATGCCACACAAGAGTCCGTCGAGTACGCGGACTACTCGTGAAAGGAGTTCTGTGAGATGTACTGTATGCCAAAAAGTCTTCTCTACCAAAAGCCACCTGCGTCGACATGAAGCGAGTCGTAAGCGACGCCGGCCCTCCATTCATTCCGGTATCTAATAACAGCTAGACGGACCATCGGAAAAGCTAATTTGTCCACTCTGTGGTGGTGACTATCTCAGAAGGTATTTTTTATTAGAGAGTATCAGTGGATTAATAGCTCTGACTTACTTCTGACCACCAGGGACGTTCTACGTCGCCATCTTCAACGATGCGGGCACAAGGGAGATTACCGACCCCCGGCTCAAGGAAAGCCAGGGAGGAAGCGAAAATCATGTAACGCCTGCGCTACGGCACGAGTATTTTGTGACGTAGAGCTTCCTTGCGAGGCCTGTCTACAAAAGGGCCTGGATTGCTCGTTCAGCCGCACGCACGAGCAGTCACCCAGACTCCCCGAGGCCAGCCAAGACACAACTCGCCAATTGTCGGAAGATATCAATCCGTCAACGGAAGGGGAGCCATGTCATCGCCCCGCAAAGTTGTCAATACCGTTTCTCCTACATTATACAAATGTAGAGAGTGAGTCAAAATACGAAAGTCTCCGCCTGCTGTCTCAATGTACGGGCGCGGATCCGCAAGTCGGTTGTTGTGCTGTGGACCATCAGCCAGAAAATTCATGCTTCCTCACAGATCCTTGGGAAAGTATGTTTCACTCTTTCATATGTACTGCTAATCTGGACGCACCATGCGACTCGCAAACCAGTACGACATATTTGCTTGGTCATGCAGATCTTGAGAGCATTTCCGCCGAGCTCCTAGGAATACTCGCACAACAAGATACACTAGGTCAGGAAACCCTGGGCGTTGATAAGGCCAAGCAACTATTCACCCCTTGTAACATCGCCAAATTTATCAAAGCGTTCTTCGACAATCCATTCCATAATCACTATATATGTCCAGCTGCATTCAACTTGAAAAAAACCACAAATCTTCTTGTTCTCACAATGGTGCTATTAGGGGCGGTTTACAGTAATCCTTACCGTTCAGATGATCTGGCAACATACTCAAACCTCACCGAACATTTAGTCTTCGAAGGGCCAGCTTTCAAGAAGTTGTTACATGGAAATAGTGACGTCCTCCATTCCCGTTGCACTTTACAAACCCTCCAAGCTGCAATGCTCGTCGTTATTTTGCAGTCCTATAAGGAAAATCCTGATAGCATAAGACGCATCCGCTTGCAACGCATGCCAACTATCTTTACTGTCATTCGTATGCTCGAGTTGAATAAGATTACGAATGACTCTTTTGCTGGTGCTTCAGACTGGGACACATATCTTCTCCGTGAAGGTCTTGTCAGGTGGGCGAAAGACCAACTCCCGAATTCCTTATTTCACTTGGGCTTACATTGTGTATCAGAGTCATGGCAGGCATCTACCTGCTGGACTGCTATTGCGTTATCTTCTTTCGCTATCCGACTCTTCTGAGACTCGATGAGATAGCTTTCGAAATACCGCAACGAGATGACCTATTCCATGCTCACAACGCCGCTGAATGGGAGGAACTATCATTGAAGGATCAGAAGCCCTACGTACCATTACGATTGCGGACCGTTCTTCGCGACTTCATGAGGCCCGAAGGCCAACCTCCTCAACATGGGGAATATTTTCCGAATACTATATTCGGATCATTTCTTGTTCTTTCCGGTATGCTGCACGGCAGATTTCCCTATCTCCAGTTCTAGACATCTATAGACCCTGACTTACATTATCCTAGCGATACAATGTGTATTATTTGACCTGTTAGCCCTGCACACATTCATGGATGACATTCGGGTCTTTGAACCGGTGGATCGTGCATTGAATCGGTGGAAGATCCACTGGGACTCAATGTGCCAAGGGATTGAACCAGGTACTGCCAAACGAGCCGGATTCATTATCCATGCTGCAGAATTTTGGTGTGTTGCCAAGGCTCTCATAAAGCATCCATCTGCTGCGTGGCCTGAAGACGGCAACGATACTTTAGATACGACACAAAGCTTTCGCCGCCTGGTAGACAGGTTGATGGAGGATGATAATACTGCCAATGGAACTTAGCACGTTCTTCATATTAAACAAATGCAAAGGTCTAGATAGCAGCTAGGATAGTTTGCTGAATACTATTTGTAAAGTATCTTTTATACTATACAAGCGTTGGTCCTATTAGGGTATTTACAGGATAATTGATCAGTAGTCACTTCTTTCGGGAAAGAGAACTTCTCCCTTGACCGGTTGGAGTTACGTTATTTTGTTGAGAAGATAGCATCGGCTTATAATATGATAAAGTTCAATGGAAACATTTATCAGGACGGAGGATGAAACAGAATACTTCTATGCAAAAGAAATAGTATTTTGGTAGTTTCTGAGATTCATTTCCGTGGCCTTTGCATTCGCATGACAAGATAGGGAAAACCACTCAACGAGAGAATGGACAAAAACCTATACTAAGGCCAGGGAAACTAAGTACGTTGCCCCTTATTCTGAATACCGTTGATTTCGCTCAATTTGCCGGCGGAAGTGTCTGCTCGCACTGGTGGGTGTCCTGAAAGTTGCCCAATGTCAGATCGGTTTTTTAACGGTCCCAAGAGAACCACTTACCGGGTTGCATGTGCCGCATGGCCAGATGAGGCAGTCTCCAGCGTTGGCACATTGCTTGCCGCACTGGGCCATAGAGAGGCCTACGAGGCAAGCAGTATAAACGAGCCACGAGAATTGCATGATGGGTTGGTAGTCTGGGTAGCAGTTAGGAAAGCGGCTTCTGGGTTCAGGAGAGAGGCATACGTAATGTAGAACGAGTCTTCAGAGTTGTTAAGACAGTGGTTTTATGGGTGAAGTTCTGGTGATTAGAACCAGCGAGGTCCTTCCTATGTACTCCTTTATATACTTTGCAAAGGTTACAATGAACAATCCAAGGGTCGTAGTGTAAAATCGTTTACAATTTGATCACCGGAACAATTGTGGTATGTCGTCCCAGAATAAATGCAAGGGATGGTCATACGATATTCTCCTAACTTCCATCTGGGTGCTGGAGGTGGAACACTGGTGTTCCTAGAACTATTATTTCTTGCTCTGGTTCCCTTAGACTGACTATACAGTTCTTTGGTGGATTCGGCCCATCTTTACCCCAATGTACTCAACATGCCGCAATATGAGAATTATTATGGATGTGTTGATATCTCGGCCGCTGCCTACTTTTGTCAGACCGCTAGTACATATCACAACGTCCCATGGCAGTATTCGCATTCCGAATGGAGACTCTCTATGTAATCTGACATATGTCCGCTTGACGAAAGGGATATTTTCCCAGCTTGACGGCCCCTGCATTGACGTGTCCTGTCTCCACCCAGACCCGTCTCTTTTCTTCCTGGTTGGCTTTCATATTCTATTATTTCTATAGCCTGCAACATACTACCCTTGCTTGACGGACCTCCTGCCTACGACCTCTTCCTGGTGTTACCCCGGTCAACTGCTGGCCGTCCCCCGCACCCTTCCCCACATACCCCGAGTTAGCCACCCCGCGGACATGCAGCGTCGATCAAACGCCGTATACGAATTTCAAAGATAATGCAGACATCCAATGAGCACTTATTTGCTCAACTGATATCAATTGAATTTGTGACACACCAAAAGCAGCCTACGTGTGTTTAACACCAACTTTGCCATAAAGGCCACTATTAGTAGTTGATTCCCCGAGTCAAATTTGACAAAGCAGGCTGATGGACAATATATACAATCTCTGCTATTTCCTTGACGACAGTTCATTATTTATATCCTTTTTATCCTTTCCTAATGTGTGCATGACATACTTTGAATAGTCTAGAGTAAGTGTCCCTATTTTAACATTCCAGTAGTCACGGCGGTCCTCTGAATCAGAGAACTCATGTTCTCCATAGGCATGAGAAGCGGTGAGACAAGACATCACTATAACATGTAGCCTGACGAGCATGACTCTGCATATCTATACCATTAATATACTGAGGATGCATTCAGTGACAAGGAGACATAGTAACACAGCATCGCTTCCCTCACAATTGAGAAGGGCCAATGCTTCCCTGTCTCGTCACAGTAGAAGAGGGACCTGAGACATCCGCGGAGATTTACTGCGGGGTGGGGTTCTGCAGATCAAGATCTTCTGTCTATGGCAGAGGAGAAGGGCACAGCAGTTAGAAAGTGACTTTCGGTCTATCCCCCTTTGTTCCCATTTATTGTGTATCGTTCTACATTTATATGGCCCGGAACGCTCCGATGTCCCTCAAACTCTCAATAAGCACAATTAAGCACGAAGAAAAGCATGCCACGACACAGGAGAGACGTTATTTTATACAATTTGGTTCTAATGATCGCAATTTACTTAGCTCCGAACCTCTAGCTAATCATTAAACTTATATGAAGCCGATGCTTGACAGATATTTATCCCCAGATCTCAGATCCCTGCCCACGTAGGGGTCCCTGGCAACGAATTCGCGGACGAGATGGCCAAATGCGCCACCGGGTGGCTCCCGGGCAGTGCGACCAACGGCCCCAAGGTGCTGCAGGTGCTGGATTATCAGACCCTGCAGTTGTCTGCCAATGCCTGGATTAAGGTATTAACTAAAAAATAATAGCACCGGCACTGGCAGTATATAGACTATAGTAAGACTCTCTAGTAGTATATTCCAGAGATCAGTATAAAACTAATATAACTTTATAAGAATCTGACTCCAGCCCAGCAGAGCATCCTTTTCCAAGCCTGGATAGAAAAAATCAGTCTGAATATATTTTTATATATAGTTTAGAAGGTTAATTTAACCTGATACAAGTAATATTATATAATACTAGAAATAATGTACTATATTCTGTTTATGTATAACTTATATAATAAGCTCTAATATTTAATCTAGTATAATATCTAATCAGTACCATAAAATCTAAAAGAGATATTAATAGAATAAAAATATATAATATATATAATAAGCTTTCTGCTCCAGACAGGATATTTATAGTATCTATTATTACTGAAACCGTCTTAGATATATAATATAAAAGAAGAGTAATTATTAATAATAATAGATATAAGCCCTGGACAGCAGAGAATCAGATATAAATATATCTTAAAAATTATAAAAATATGTGATGGGTAAAGAGTATATTTATAAATTTATATTACTGACTTAATTCTTTATATATATTGAAATAATAATAATAATTAATTCTAATAATAAATAAATTATTTATAAATTGCATGCACACACGTATATAGAAACTTATTAAATTAATAAGCTATAAAAAAGAAAATACAGGATCTAATATAAAATTATAAAGATATAACTTTTATAGCTATTATAAAAGATAAAAAATATATATGAAATCCTATAAATCTCTATGACTATAATAAAAAGCTTATTAAAAGATTTATATGGGGCTTTTATACAGATCTCTATAGTTATAGAATCTTTGACCAGGCAGAGAACAGGAGTGAGCGGGTCTAGAGTTTTATAATAAAATTTATTATAATATTCACATGAGATAAAAAAAATAAAAAATATAATATAAGAAAATAGAAAAAATATACAGAAAAAATTAGAAAAGATATATAAATAAGATTAGATAATTCTATAAAAAATATTCTTATAAAGATTATTTATAAGATACCTACAAGGAAATAGTTATGCACATTCTGATTAGTCAGTTTGAACTTAGGAATAGCTTTATATTTAAATTATAATATTTGAGTGATATTGTAAGATTATGAGAGTTCTATATAAAAAGAAATAAGAAAGGAAATAAAATCTTGTATATAGAATTCCGCAGTACAGAGGCTTACTCAGACTGCAGGCATCTTGCAAGAGCGCCCTGGCCGCGCTATATTAGGGTAACCCAATCTATCTATCTATCTATCTATCTATCTATCCCCAGATCTCACATGACAGATACCTGCCGTTAAGGCATCACAGGCTGCCGATGATCACGAATCAATGATGAGAGATGTCCCACGAACGACTCCAGAAACCCATTTGCATCAGTCGGACGAGGAATACTAAATAGCAAACAATCCATCAAAAGCATCAATTCTTCACCCACTTCAATAGCTTTCAAGAAAATAGGCACCTGCAATGGCAGTAGCATGTGGTCTTGTACAGACATATCGAAGTCTGCGGCTTGGAAAATCCCCACCTGGTTATAGCCCTCATATTGAAGGGCTACCTGCGTAATTGTAGAGCTTTCTCTGGTTCCAGGAGAGATGCAGCCATGTCTTTCAATGCGTGCAATATCCACGTCTGTATTTTCCATGGCCTCAGTTGCAGATTCTTTAGCATTTCGAAGTAGAGCCTCGAAGGTTAGGATACTGTTCCACCCAATGGAAAACCGGACGGGAGTAATTCTGGTGAAACAACCAATCGTTCGCTCTACATCCACATGAGGCCTTCCCTCGTCGATCACAAAAATACATGTGTCTGAAGCACCATTCTGCGAGAGCAAGAAGCTTTGCAAGGCTGCAAGTATAAAATGGGCAGGCAGAGCTCCAACAGAAGCTGTTATTCGCTTCATGCGTGAGAACATGTTGGGCGCCAGGGAGAGGGTAACGCGGATTCGATCGCTTCCTCCACCTGGAAGCTGATTAGCGGGAGCTGAGTTGCTTATAGCGTCCAGACATGGTCTGCTACAGACTCCGCTGATGCTCCTAGCATGTGATGGCACCTTGCTGTTCAGTCGAGCGCTTTGCCACAAAGCAAAGTCCCCGTATGTAAGCTGAGGTTGCTTGACAGTTGTTGTATCCTGATCATTCACAATGACATCATAAAGCCTGCACCATTCCTCGAGGAAGATAGCCAGACTGGATCCATCGAAACACAGAGGATGTGCAATGATAAGTAGTTTGTGCAGACTACTATCAAGTCTTAATAAGATGGCGGCGCCGACTTCACCATTTCGTACGTTGAGTGGGAGTCTCCTTTTCTGGGAAATTGACTTGTCGATATTGTCGGCCGGGTTGTCCAACTTGGTCATGTCATAAAACATGAGATTGAATCTGCCCATAGCCATGTGATACTGTATGTTTATATCCCCGAGTTTAGGGATAGCTGTACCTAGCGCGCTGTGGCGGTGGACGAGAATGCGGAAAGCGCCTTCTAGCCCTTCGACTGAGGGCATGCCTCGAATGTTCACAACGGCCGACATATTCGAATCCTCTCTGATCAACTTTGCCAAGCTCATCTGATACGTGGACAAAGGAGCCTGAGCTTTAGATTGTGTAAGAGATCTAATGATTTCCCCCTTTGATGTTGGGATGTTGGAGTTGATGGACGAGGGAGTGTGAGTGCTTTCATGTTTCCTCTGCCCCTGGCCTTGGTGACCAAGGTTTGTCGACATTGAGCTAGTGGCTTTCAAGACGAGAGAATGAATGGACTTCGCGGCGAGAATGTCAAACATAGATATGTCGACCTCAAGGACCTCCGTGAACCACCTTCGAAACTCAATAGCTATAATGGAGTCGAGGCCATAGTGAGATAAAGGGTTGTCGGCCAACACCGATGAGACCCCAACACCAAGAACAGATGCTATCTTTCCTAAAAAGGCTTCCAGTACAACCTGATTCAAGGTATCTTTGTCACCTGCGGTCTTAATGAGGGAACCAATATTCTTGGCATTATTTGCTGTTGTTAACCCCTTCCCGTAGGCTCTGTTGGCATAGAGGTTGCGGAACAGGGATCGATCCGCCCAGAATACATCAGGATCATTGACATTGACGCCGACTATTATTTGATGCCAATCCAGACCTGGTGGACACGGGTGGGGCTCTCGGAGCGTGACGCACTCCTCTGCCAGATACATAAGTTCCTTTTCAGTGAGAATATCCCACTTGCTTCGTTCCAAGCTTTGCTTGGCTGTGACATTGTTCGCAACTAGACCGCGAGTGGTGACAGTACCGCCGTTCATTGCAGTTGCGACAAAGCCATTCTCACGTCTCCACCGCATAAAGGCGTCTATCCAAGCATTTGCCGCTCCATAAGCTCCCTGTCCTTTGTTTCCGCAGATGTCTGATACAGACGAGAAACAAACGAAGTAGTCAAGGTTGAGACCAATAGAAGCCTCGTGGAGGTTCTTGGCTCCCTGGCACTTTGTGTGCAGAGACTTCCGAATTTGCGTCAAGCTAGTAGAGCGGATCATGGCATCGTGGAGCTCAACAGCCACGTGGAAAATCCCTCCGAGGCTGTGGCTGATTCTATCCACAACGCTTTTAACATCAGCCAAAATACCAATATCCCCTTGATAAATATCGACTGATGCTCTCTTCGACTGAAGCCAGGTAACAGTTTTCCGAGCCTCCGGGGTCGTTGCACCCGAGCGTGAGAGAAAAGCGAATTTCCTCGCGCCACGAAGATGCATCCATTCTGCAAGGGCAGTTCCCAGTCCACCAAGTCCACCAACAAGTAAATATGTTTTGGAGGGAATGAAGAGTGGCAGTTGTTGATATGGGGTCGGTTTTACGAGGACTGTGTCATCGTCCTTTGGGATCAGTATCACTTTCCCTGGTTTGCGACCGAGTTGTAACATCCGGAAGGCCTTTTCAACCTGACCGAAGGAAAACGTATGCAGCTCCGAAGGGGGTTTGATGATGCCACGACAGAACATATCGAGGCCCCTGGCAAGGATTTCGCGGCCCAAGCTCGGTCGCTCCTGAAACACGAGCACCATATCGACGGCCGCAAAGGTGGCGTTGCGGCGGAATGGCTCCATGTTTAAGCCTGAGTTTTTATGTATATCACGCTTCCCGATTTCGATAAAGCGGCCAAATTTCTTGATACATCCCCACGATGCTTGCAATAGATGACCGGCCAAGCTATTCAAGACGACATCTACACCCTCGCCGTTAGTTGCGGTGAGGATCTCAGCAGTGAATCCATCATCTCGGGAGGAGAATATCTCTGAATCAGCCAGACCATAACGCTCGCGAAGAAACCTTCTCTTTGGTTTAGAGCAGGTCACGAAAACCCGAGCGCCGATGTTTTGTGCAATCTGAATGGCTACTTGCCCCACACCACCAGCTCCTGCATGAATCAGAACCGTTTCCCCAGACTGTAGCCGTGCGATGTCCACAAGGCAGTATAGAGCCGTAGAAAGAATCACCGGGAGGCTCACTACCTCAGTAAGTTCTACGGAGCTGGGAACCTTGTGACAGAACCTGGCTGGTGGTCTAACGACGGTGCCATGGGCCCCCATACCCGGGCTGAAAGCCACAACCCTGTCTCCTACCTTGAACTCCGTTTCATCAACACTTTTACCAACTTGTGTGATGAATCCCGCACATTCGTCGCCCATTTGATAGTACTGGATAATACCCGTGGCAACTGCAATATCGTGAAAGTTGAGCGATGACGCCGCAACCTTGATCTCGACTTCATCATCGCTCAATGAACGGGACAGGATATCCTGATTTTCCACGAAATGCAAAGATTCAAGAAGCCCAACCTGCCCAATACGAAGCGTGAGTGCTGGGTAATCACCGAATCTATCAAGTTGTGGTTCGGTTCCTACACCATGGGGGAGCTTTCGGTTGAGATCCACATCTTCCTCCACTCGTGGAATGTAGATCTGCCCATTTCGCTCAGCAAACTCCTCTTCTTGTTTATCGTACGTGGCGACTTCGATAACTCGCTCGGCAATTGAATCAGCTGTGCTTTTATCTTTCACGTCAAGTGACACGAAGAATGAATCTGGGTTTTCGTTCCGCGCTGTTCTCAAAAGCCCGAGCAGTGCGGCTTGATCTGGGTTTTCGCACTCCATGGTCGCTCCCTCAACCAGCCAAATGACCTTGATATTTTCAGTCTGTAGCAGTTCCCGGACGCCGATCCAGGTGTTGTCTGTGGAGTCAAATGGTTCATCTAGGATAGCAAGCACAATTACTACCGATGTGACGAGGCCGTACTTCGGGACTTCCTGGAGCTCCATCGTGGAAGCGATGTTGATGTTTTGCGATAATTGTAAGTGCTGTAGAACGGCTGCTGTTCGCTCTGACCGTCGATATGACGCTGGCATGACAAGTGATACTTCTGGCGGAGCGATAGCGTGTTTCGTTGCATGTACAGGTCTGAAGATGCCCCACGGCTGAGGTGTAAGGATTTGGTCCATAGCACCCTCTCCAGTAAACGACGCCTTTGCCATGACTGCACCCGAGTCGTTCAAAAATTCAGAAACCTTCGGATTCCCGAAGTGATCTAAATTGGCATCGACCACCACCAGATCATAACGGCCGGTAGGCTCAGTAGATGAAATCGAACCTTTGTTGAACGATGTAAGTATTTGTTGATCTGCCTTCCCGACCACCCAGATATTCAGTTCTTGGAACCGTGCCCGTTGAGTTCCCTTGAACCACAGAGATTCCTCAACAATAGCTGGCACCTTATTTGGCTCGGAGGTGATGTAGAGAATTCTTGCCATAGGATATTGGAAACTGAATAGGTCTAGTAGCTGATTTACATCCTGTTCTCTGCTTCCCAAAGGAATCATGGATTTATCCGACAGAAAGTCAAAACAGGGCTGCCAGCGCTGCCGGAAGAACAAGGTTCGGTTGCTCGCCTTTGCACTCCGCGTCTCCACAGCAGTAGCTTCAATGTTGCGTGCCTCGATAACAATATTGCCATTTGGTTGAGCTATTATAATATCATTAATTGCAAGTCTGGGACTGGGTAGCTCCGTGAATGTATAAACGTTATAATGTTGCACGTCCGACGTGCCGGCGGTCTTGACAAGCATGCCTGAGATGTCCAGTGACCCCATAAAGGTGGACACAAATGCCTGTGACATCTGTCTGTTCAGAAGTGCCTCAATGACAAGAAACATAACATGGAAAGAGGCATCCAAGAATGTTGGATGGATGATTGTTTTCTGACTGAGCTCGTGAGGTGTCTGAAACTTGGGGTCGAAAGACATTGTTGTCACACCAAACCCATCTCCCGTGGAGACATCATTTTTGATAAGGGCGAACCGTGGACCATACACCGAATGCAGGTCCTCGAGTCGTGAATAAAGTGCCGAGGGTGTCATGTAGCGGTCTGACTGCTCTAACAAATCCTCTAGGTGAGGATATGTTTTGGTTGGTTTGATTGGCTGGGGAAGACCATAATCGACGCTGATCCGACCGCGACAATGTTCTATCCCCTCATTGGCCTCATCGTAGGATATTATTACAAACTCAAACCATGTATCCGACGTTGTGCGCGACGAGGTTGTGGCGGGGTAGAGCTCCGTCAGTATTTCATGCCCTTGTTCCGAGTCTTCCCGTAAAGTTAGGGCCGCTTTGATGGAAACATCCCTGACCTTGATCATCTTCATGTTAACTCGCTCAGACTCAATCCGTACCGCACCCTCGATCGCCATACAGACAAAAGCTGCCGCGGGGAAGACAACCTTGGAGTCAATTACATGGTCTTTCAGCCAGGGAAGCTCGCTGAGCCGAATGTAGTTGCGGTACCGCGGCATGTTTCTCATTGAACCCGGAACAGGGGCACCGAGAAGAGCATGTTTCCATGGACGGTGTACGTGCTCCGACACTAACCGAGTCGTAAACCAATAATCTTTATGATTCCAAGAGTAGGAAGGAAGGTCATAAAGCCTCTCAGTGGCTGGCTGGTGAACAACGCTACCGTCGACGACGGTCTGTCTCTGGTTGATTGCTTCCAATTTGGCGGGATATCCAAGACAAAACATCTGTCCGATCGCTTCTAGCAAAGACTTCTGAGCGGACTGGTTGCGTGATAGTGTTCCAAAGTATGGAAGTGTCAGTGACAGGGAAGAAACTGTCTCTGTGGCTGGGCTTTTCAGCGCAGGGTGTGGTCCAATTTCAAGAAGGACATCAACATTTTGTTGATCCTCATCATCCAAGACAATTCCTGTTAGTGCATCCGAGAAACAGACCGGAGAAACCATGTTTTGAGCCCAGTAACTAGCTGTCATTTCGTCTCCATGGCACACTCGTCCTGTGACACTAGAAAACATGCGACAATTAGCACTCTGGGTTCTGAAGCTTGGGAGCTCTTCGATGGCGCGTTGGTATCCTGGTGCGAGGGGTACCATATGATGGGAGTGGTATGCTTGCTCAACCTTCAACAGCCGTGTAAATACTCCACGACCATCTAAGGACTCCTTGAGTTCGATGATAGCATCTTTATCTCCGGATATTGTGACACTGGTAGGACCATTTATTGCAGCAATGTTCAGGCGGCCTTCAAAGCTATGGACCTCTTGCATAGCGGAGCTCTGCCCCATTCCAACAGCCATCATGGCGCCAGATAGACCTGTCTGTGTTCCTCGGCTCATATATACGCCTCTGTAGTAAGCAATGACAATCGCTGCTTCGAGCGAGATTATCCCAGCCGCGTACGCACAGGCGATCTCACCAGATGAGTGTCCACAGACAGCAGTGGGAGTGACTCCCCAGGCTTTCAATAAGCACACCAAGGCGAGCTGTATGGCGGTGGAAATTGGCTGCGAAAATTGGGACTCGGTTAGTCTGGAGACATCCTGGCTGCGCAGGAGCTCTTCTCTAATGGTCCAGGAAGGTCCATCTCGAAGCGACTGTAATACTGCATCACACTTTTCCAGGACCTCACGGAACAAGGGAAACTGCTCGATCAAGTCTCTACCGGTATCGAATGACAAAGCACCCTGCCCGGTGAATATAAAACCCACTCTCTTCACAGGGCTACTTGCATCTACCCAGCGTGATGTGGGGCGTACTGCAGTCAAGCCCTCAACAACCGACTGTGGATCGTAGCCGATGCAATATGTTCTCCAGTGGTGCAACGTTCTCTTCGTGGTAAGAGTATGAGCCAAGTCGGCTATGCGTAACGTATCTTTATTATTCAGATACTCTATCATCGCGTGCAGTCCACGGGCCCCAGCATCTGGGCTGTGAGAAGTGATTGGGAGTAGGTATGATCGTTTCTCTGCTGGCCATAAACGGTCAACTCCTTCTTCCTTGTCGCACCTGCCATTATCATAGCCCTCAAGGATCACATGTGCGTTGGAGCCTCCATATCCAGAAGAGTTAATGCTGGCACGGCGCGGCATATCATTCAAGGTGCTCCAAACTGTCTCACTCGTTGGCACCCGGATCTTCCATTGTTCAAACTTAATAACCGGGTTTGGGTCATGAAACAACATGTTAGGCGGGATTAATCCTTTCTCCAAAGCGAGTGTGGTTTTTATGAGTCCAGAGAGACCGGCAGCGCCTGATGTTCGTGAGTCATTTGTGGTGTGGCAACTCATGATGAACTTCGCTTGCTTCTTACCTTCGAGATGGCCGATATTGGGCTTGACACTGCCGACCCAAATCGGCTCCTGCCTTCTTTCTGTTCCAAAGACCTCACCAATGGCCCTCGCTTCGCGCGGATCACCGGCTCTCGTGCCTGTACCATGAGCCTGGAACTTGTGATCAGCTTCATGGGCTTTTCAAAGAGTCTCATGGGCAACCTACCTCGAAGTATTGGGTATCCACTGGGTCTATGCCTGCAGAGCGGTAGGCCGTTCGGAACAGGGCAGCCTGGGCCTCAGCCGATGGTAGTGTAATACCCTCTGTTTTCCCATCGTGATTTGCTGCTGTTCCTCGCATCACTGCTCGGATTTTGTTCCCAGTGGAAATTGCGTCACGTTGACGCTTTAGAATGACTGCACATACACCATCGCCTCGTACATAGCCACCTCCCTGAGCATCGAAACAGCGGCAACGGCCGTCATCACTAAGAAAACCCATGTCTGATATTGTCTGATAGATGTTCGGTGCAAATTGAAGGGCTGTCCCAGCGACAATGGATATGCTAGATTCACCGTTCAATAATGATTGGGATCCCAGATGGAACGCGACGAGTGACGAAGAGCAGGCTGTGTCGATCGTCATACTAGGGCCTCTCAAGTCATACAGGTAAGAAATGCGGTTGCTGAGGATTGGGTTTCCTGTCCCAGTAAGCGCATAGATAGGGTAATTCTCGAGATCCTTTGCCTGTAGTGAATTGTAGTCATTGGCATTGGCAAAGGTACCACAGTACACCGAGGTATTAGTGCCTCGGATGTCCTTCAGAGGAATTTCCGCATTTTCAAGTGCCTCGTACACCACTTCTAAGAGGATTCTCTGCTGTGGATCCATTGCAGCTGCTTCCTTCCCCGAGATCCCAAAGAACTCGGCATCGAAATGACCTAATGGCTGGTCAAGAAAGTAGCCATGGCGCGCGTTGGTCTGTAGCAGCGTTATCCTGGCTGTCCATCTCTGTTTCAATAGGACGGCTTACCGTTCCGTTATTCAGGCGATCTGGATGGTAAAAGGCGTCGACATTGAACCTTTCCGGCGGCATCTCCCTGCGCAAGTCCTTTTTCTGTAAAATGTTGTCCCACAGCTTGCTTGGACTGTTTGCACCGGCCACTCGGCAGGCCACGCCAACTATGACAGGGGGGTTATCCATACTGAAAGATAAGGGCCGCTGAGTCAGTATGCTACTTGGTTATGGGTGTGCATCAGACGGGTGGACGTCCTGGTATTTATCGAGGAACCTCGATGGCGTGTACCTGATAGCAGACCAGTTCAGTCCATTGGGAGTGGCTTTACGTGCTTTCAGGTTATGGTCAACGCCAATGCACTGAACGCAGGTTACTATGCCCGTAATTGCCGTCGGGCCATCCGATATGCGTCATCTACGTCTCTAACATTCTCTTTGGGAGCAACTGCAGGTTTACAAACCTTGTCCATGCTGACTTGAAAGCTTCCACGTAGCCGATGTTGCAATTGCTTAAAATGCTTGAAAATCATCTGCGGCCTCCTTGCAGCCTTTCCATGCTGTACGAAGCCATATTCCTGGACCACCTTCAGCCAGCACACCGCTTCCTTGTTATCTTGGGCGAAGTGATATAGATCCAACCTCTGAATATCTTTGGACTCTTTACAGTTCTGCTTTCAGCAAGAATATCTCTTCTCCCTTGCCCGCTGTCCTACATAGTGCCAGGTCGACTAAAGCATGTCCCCTCCGATCAGAGTCCTCGGTCTACATGGGAAGGGCTGCAACTCTGAAGTGTTCAGGTCGCAAACAGGTGATTGCCCCCTCGTCATCAAGTATCTATCGCATGAACAATTGGTTTACCTTCTCAGAAATATTTCGGAGACTTCTGTCCGATCTTCCCGTTCAATACGATTTCCCCGATGCCCCTCTTCCCAGTCCACCAGCAGCAGGTGTAGGGATTGTATACGAGCCGCCATATTATGCATACTGGCACAGCGACAACCTCAAAAGTATCGAAGATAGCTGTTCGTGGCTCAGGACCTATATGACCCGCAATGGCCCTTATGATGCGGTGATGGCATTCTCCCAGGGCGCGATGTTAGTCTCCAGTATGCTACTTCAAGACGCGGCAGGCATATCCAAAGCACTATCGCCGGTTAAGGCGGCCATTTTCTTCTCTGGGGGTCCTCCGTTGACAGTTATGGACAGTCTTGGATTTGACATTCCAGAAGACACCTGGGAGAGGGACAGAATATCGCGCTTAACGTTAGACGTGCAACCACACCATCAAGCCAGCAAGGAGACATGGCAAGGGCCTTCCCTTGCGAAATATGAGATCACAGAAGAAGAACTGCGAGCGGATATCGCGGGGCCATGGACAATCACGATTCCTACTCTCCATGTTTACGGATCCAAGGACCCCCGATACGAAGCAGGGGTGGAGCTTTCAGCATTGTGTGATTCGACTCGCAGGCAATGTTACACACATGACGGTACCCATGAGATACCTCGGTCTCCTATTATCAATGAGGAGATTGCAAAGCTTATCAGAACGCTCTTGTGTAACCTGCAGCAATGAGCCCTCCTTGCCTATTTCTGTTGTCTTACCTAGGTTGGCAGCATACATGAGGATCCTTGTTTCCTTCTACTCTTTCTACATGTCCAGCATGTCGATTACAGAGATCAATTCCTTATCCCTCTAGCCATAGCGTTTCAGAGGTATTACGGGATCCATACGCTGTTTCCACTGATCGGCATTTCTAGCTTGTTTGCTGAATCTCTTCATGTGGCTCTTCTCGTGCAAGTGTAATCGGACTGCGATGATTACCTGAGAGATAATAAAAGCAAGTCAAGCCGAGAATAATTCTTGTCCCTCCATCCGACCGTTTTAGTTAACTTAAAAGCTGCTATACACCCAAAACGAGACCAGGGCCAGACCTTAACGGAGCCGTGAATACCCAAGTTAGCAGACGACTATCTCATACAGATCAGAATGCTTTGTTTTGACGAAACCTGTAAGGCTTTCTCATGCTTGTATCACCTTATTGGCAAAACACAAGTAATGAACTCAGGATCCCAGTTTTGGGTTACACGCCCACCATCCACCACGATACATACGCCCCGATCTCCACTAGTCACCATGAAGGCCAAGCAGTTCTCGTTTCGGGAGCCTCACGTGGAATCGGCCGAGCTATTGCGCTTTCCTTTGCCAAGGGAGGAGCCGCAGCTATCGCTCTGATCGCACGAAACAATCTCGATGAGACAGAAGCGGAGATCCACAAAGTAGCGAAAGATGCAGGACACGAGAAGCCAAACGTCTTAAAGCTCCAGTTAGATATTACCGACGAATGCGCTGTTAAGAAAGCCGCTGAGAAGGTCAAACTGTGTTTCGGTCGCCTGGATATTCTAGTCAACAATGCTGGCCGCCTGCATGCTCTCTGCCCCATACTGGAAAGCGACACGCAGGAATGGTGGAAGACACTAGAGGTGAACCTCAAGGGGACATACCTTGTGACTCGGTTTTTCCTCAATCTAGTCCTTCAGGGACAGCAGAAAACAATTGTGATCACCAGTTCCATTGGCGCTATATCGGAAGTTCATGGGATGTCGTCCTACCAGATTAGCAAAACTGCGTTGCTTCGCCTGTCGGACTTCCTGATGCACGAGGTTGGCAATCAGGGAGTCCTGGCCTTTTGCATACACCCTGGGATAGTCCTGACTAAGCTTGCTGAAGTTATTCCTGAGAGTGAGCGAGATATATTCGTCGACAACCCCAGATTGTGTGGAGATACTATCTCTTGGCTCACTGAAGAACGTCGGGACTGGTTGGCTGGGCGTTTGATCAGTGTCAATTGGGATATGTTGGAGTTGAATGCTCGCCGGGAGGAAATTGTCTGGGGAGACAAGCTCAAATTGAGGTTCACGTTCTGATACGAGTGGATCAAGGATAGCTATTTTACAAATTCTTTCATCTCAAGAACATTGATCATAGATATGGTAGTCGAGGTTGAAGTAACCGGAAAGTGAGTTACAATAGAGGTCTCCCAAACACTGAAGCCTGATCTCTGCCACGTACATAGCCAATGAGTGAAATAGTTCAGGAACTCAACGTGGGTTTTTGTCGAAGTGTGACCTTTTAGGTATAACCTTTCCTTCCCGATGTCGTACAAGGGATATCACCTTGCCTCATTTCCAAAACCCCTATGCCAAGCCTAGAATCCCAACTTATCCTTCGTCGTGTGAATGTAGTTGAATTCCTCCTGAAGGTATAATATTTCCTTCGCCTTATCCTTATTTTATTTTTTTTATTTGTTTGCTCATTTGATGGTTCCCTCCCCCCGCCCGTTCCCTTTTTTTCCCTGTGTTGTGGTGATGGTAGCATATGCTAGAGCCCGATGATGTTGATGCTTATTTTAGCACCACACCTGGAAATTCGCTTTCAACTTACAGTATATCAAGATTAAGTGTTTATATACAAACTCTCCATCATTTCAGATATAAGGTTGTGGGATTAATCTAGACCGTTTTATGCCAATATCACGTCCTTCACAGCATGATTAGTAACGTATTTCGGCAATCCCCTCATGAGAACTATTCCTCTGCATGCGATAGCGCACGACCCGCGAGCCATCAGTCAAATCCTTGGTCACTGGACGAAGACTGTAGCCAAACACCCATGGCGACAGAACAAATCTGAGTAGATAGTATATCACACCCAGCCCGAGAATGCCTAGGGCTACCACCGGACTAAGCCAGTAAGGAATACTCGATGTGCTCGAGTTTGGCGGAACAAAAGGCATGACCAAGAGGAACTGCAAACCCGTCTGTGTTAGTACATTGGCATATCAAAGCTAGGATAGCAAAGTAAACTTACAACATTGGCGGCCAAGTAGAATACAATGACCGGCCATGGCGCAGTGTAGGACGACGACCACCCCTCGGATGGGGTGAATCGCATCTTCACCAGACCCACCGTAATGGCAGTCAACAGGGCGCACATGGGATACGAGGAAAGACCAACGACAAATGAAAAAGCATCCCCTGCTGGTGGAGCACAGATAAATAGAATCGTGACGCAGAGATGGACGAATAGTGCTGCGATCGGGGTCTTGAACGGTCGGTTCTGCATCATGATGTCTGGGAATGGGGTAATGCCGTCTTTCGCTAACTCTTGCAGCAAGCGCGCTGGATAAACGACTTTTAGCCCAACAGGTATATAGGGATAACGGAAGAGTCACTTACGGACGACAAACGCGACACCCAACAAGTGGCCGATAGCGGACAAAGCTACAAGAGCGGGTAGGGCTCGCGTTGCGGCTGTCTCACCGAACACATTGCGGAATAGGCTGGCAGCAATCGTGACGTTGGCTGATCGGAATTCTTCTTTGGATACACCAGCGAACTATTTGAATGAGAAAGAGAAATAAGTCACCATATTCTGAGTCTACCACAGCTGGGGCCAAGACTTACATAGGCGACATTGGCAAGAACGTACAACACCGTGATGATCCCCATGGCGGATGGGAGTGCGATGCGGAGGGTGCGTTCCGGGTTCTTTACCTCGGAGAGGACCGCATTCACATTATCGTACCCTTGGTACGAGAATATCGCGTCTAGCAGAGCTGTACCGATGTCATATCCATTCTTCGAAGTGCCTTCAAATGATGTCCTCAGGTCAAAGTTATGAGGGTTGGGAATGCGCCTATGGCCAGCCAAAGCTGCGAATCCAGTACACACGATGAACAGTAACGTGAAGAGCTTTACCATGCTCAGCAGATCCTGCATTGCGCGCCCGAGCCGGGGAGCGCAGGTGTGGACGCCGACAGCAAACGACACGGCTGCTATTGCTAGCCCTCGTTCCTTCCAGGTCGTGGAGTCTACCCCAGCAGCAGATAGGAGATACTCCGAAGCAGTGATCGCATTGCTTGCAGAGACCTGTAAGAACAAACAGAAGAAAAGATAGATGCAAGTCTGCATCTGCTTCGGAGAGAAGCATCGCTCCAGATACACCTTGATGCCTCCCGATCGAGGCATCCCGCTGCCGAATTCCAGCATCACCAGGGCACCGCAGGCAGAGATGATTCCGGCCACCACCCAGAGTATCAGCGACAGTCCTACACTGCCAGAGAGCTTGAAGATAGTTGAGGGTGTAGAGAAGATTCTACTAGCCGTTAGCAACTCTCAAGATCTAGATCGGAATGGCGGAGTGAATAGACTGAACGATGGACCTACCCAGCGCCAACTATCTTGTTAACAACCAGAGAAATGGCTCCCAGCACACCAATCTTCCGTTCTTGAAGTACATGGTTCTCGTTGACTGTGAGTCTCTCGCCACCCTTGGGACTTTCATCGCGAGAGCGAGACGCATCCGTCTCGACTGTCACTTGAGAAATCGTGTCGCGGCCCATGTCGACGGAAAATCCAAATCATCCAACCCATCAACTTCCGCCCGAGACGAAACAACTTATATGTCAGTGGTCTCGTAGAATCCCTGCGGCTTCCGTCCGAAATTCTCTCGAGCCGCCAAGGTGGCTAGCTGCTAGTGGATGAGTTCAGCTGCAGGCATGATGGCGTTATTCCCAAAACCCCACTAGCGATTCGCAGGCTTATTAGCATCCGTCTCCCAAACATCCACCTTAAAATACAACCATGCCCTTCCTTTTTGCACTCCAGGCCCACTTCTAAGTTGGAGACAGCAGTGACGTGCCCTCTGCTGATAATTCCGTGACTGCTAACGCTGTTTTCACCGAGCCTAGACGCCCCTCGAAGCTCTTACATCTACATGTTTCTATTTAAATGCCTAATAAAGTGGGGGTGGTTGACGAACGAGTCTTCCTACCCTTCTTATGACATGGCCTTTTCGGTGAATGTCCAATGCTAACGGGAAAAGATTGAGCAACAATGTGATGGTCCGATCGCGCACGACATATTGGTCCACGAGAGGTTGCAGCATGCAGTATCTGCCATCATGCGCGAAGTCTATCCCGGGTTATTCGTCATAAAAGTGATCTTCGGAGCACGGGGCTTATGAGGGGTAGGAAGACGAGACTAACAGGGCAGATGAGCACAGAGTTGAGCAGGAGTATACTATTGATAAGTACCGCGGTACGCCGAAAACTAACATAAGTGTTCAGTTGTCAGAGCTCACTGCAATTACAGACTAATCTGTTCCTTGCTCTGCCTCCTTCTGACCGCAATCACCCCATTCGGATCCGCCGCCAACATTGTCCCAAACACTATCGTCTCGGGCTTTTTCCCAACAACTTTGAAGTCGTACTTCATCAGGATATGGCACAACGCTAATTTTATCTCGTTCGCCGCAAAGAATCTTCCCGGACATGCGTGTCGGCCCAGTCCGAAGCCCAAGTGATTCGGGGACGAGTTAGCGAACGCTGCGGTGTGCTCGTGGCCAGGCTCGTTTCTGAGCTTGAGAAAGCGATCGGGAATGAAGGTTTCAGGTTTAGGATAATATTTCTCGTCCCATTGTCGGAGGCAAGGGACAATGATCTTGCAGTCTTTCGGGATGATCGTGCCGTCGGATAAGGTGACAGGTGCCTCGGCCATGCGGCGCATGGAGACTTGGTGGTGGGTATGTTAGCTTAGGGACACTTCTTACCAAAACCATCAAGAACGGGTCAAGGCAAATCAAAGTATACAAGGGTCGCTTATACGATGAAGGCGTGAGAAAAGAAAAATTAAGGGATACTATACCGCTGCTGATTGGCTTTAAGCGCTGACTCTCCTTCAACACACTATCCATCAATCTTAGCTTCGCCAACGAGGACCTTTCCCAACCATTATTAAAGACAGATCTGATCTCGTCTCGCATTGCTTCAATGAGCTCTTCCCGCCCGTCTAAATCGTATAATACCTGCGTGAGCATATCGGAGCTGGTGTGCACAGCCGCACTGGAAAGCAACAACTGCGCAGAGACAGGATTATACTGTCTTCCATTCGCAACGTCCTCCAACCACTCTATTGTATCTTCATGACGTTCTGGATCTCTCCCTTCCAGCTTTGCGATGGACTTGGCTTTTCGACGTTCCTCTATGACCGGCTCGATAATGCTTCGGGCTTCTCGTATGTCGGCACGAAGCCTTCGACAAGATGGCTGGAACTTGGACGCCAAGGGGCGCAGAAAGCGAGGATAGATGCGCAGTTCGAATGTTGCCTGGAATAGGTCGATGGAGTAGTCGACGGAAATCCGTAACCATTTGGGGTTGTGGCAAATCTTATCGCCTAGAAAGACTCGGGAGCTGATTTGAGCGATGATCTTGAGCATCGTTCGGCTCAGGGGGATTTCATGCCATTCTGGTAGTTATTAGTTTTATCACGACATACAGAAAATGGTGAACAATATTAATGATACCGGGATCATCAGTCCAATGTTCCTGCAATGCGACCGTTGCCTCCTGAGACAATATCTCATTTAGATCCTCTGTTCTTGTCAGTTGCTGATACTCCACAGGTATGCGACAGAAGCCCACCCAAGTTCCGGGTCAATTTTGTCTTCAAAGTAGTCTGAAAGATCTCATCATCCTCCAGAGCTTGCATCTGTTGCTCGAACCCAGGAACATTGACATGCATGTCCTCTATTAGAGTCTTTCGGAGGCTCAGTGTTTTCGAATTACGGATCTCGTCGGCATATTTGGGGTCCAGGACCATCATGACCCCATTTTCGGTGACTATGTTGAATGCACTTGCCTTGAGATGGTCAACTAATCATTGATCGCTGCAAACTACGAAAATTTTTACCTTTTTCAGTCCAGCCTTGAGCAGATCCTGTGCGTTTGTGATGAAACGTTTCTTAGCGAGCAAGTCGATAAATTCAAATCGTCTCTTTGCATTAATCAGGGGCAGTCCGTTCTGCGAGACGGATGTATCCCTCCATTGAAGGAGAAAGATGAGCATAAGAGAAAGCAGGCAGATCAAAGTGCCTAGCCCGAGAGGATTGCCATGCTCTTTGGCGTCGACATTGAGTTCCATGGCGGGCGCAATTTGAAATGAGTCAACCGGTTGTGCTACACCAAAGGGTGAGAGAAGGGCACTGGAAGTTCAATTTATAATCGCTGCAGTCCGAGCGAGCGCTCAATTTAGATCGGTCTGGTATCGTCCTCATTATCGATACATCCGATGTTTGCCATGTATACTTTGCCTACAGCTTCCCAGCTATCCTTGTTGATGGGGTACTGATCCTCATGGCCTGAACAGATCGCGCCATTAATGTCTCACATTCTGGCGTATCATCGAATAGTTGAATAAAAAGGTATTATGCGTGCATTAATCGAGCTCGGAGGGATTTGTCGGCGTCTCTTCGACCATACTCACGGCCTGTGTGCACAATGTGGAATCAAACATGCAGGAGACTTTTGATAAAAGGTATGGCACATGGAGGGCCACATTCCAGCTGAACTTTTGCCAGGAAGGTGCCCACCAAATGCAAAAGGATATCAAGGTATATTCCCAGTCCACTCGAGAATGATTATGTGCTTTCCAGTCCAGTTTGTGATGGGCCTATGCAGGCAGAGTCATCTCCATGCGCGCTTTTTCCACTTTACAACGAGAGCTGAAGGGAATTGGGGTCAGTAGGATTCCCGTGTTTTTATGTTCCAAAGGTGCTGATGGCCCTTATGTACAGTGAAGCAGCATGTTTCAATTGATTTAGGGGCGTGAACCGGCTATTTCCCCCCAGGCACAAAAACCCAGACACAAAGTCAATTTGTTTTGCCTACCAGGCGCCTCTAGCAGGGAATATGTAGCATTTCAAGGCAACTCCTTTCACCGAACTAGCCCGGCTAGCTCAATCGGTAGAGCGTGAGACTCTTAATCTCAAGGCTGCGGGTTCGAGCCCCGCGTTGGGCTGTTCAACTTCCTCTTTCCCTTTGCCCGGCTAGCTCAATCGGTAGAGCGTGAGACTCTTAATCTCAAGGCTGCGGGTTCGAGCCCCGCGTTGGGCTTTCTTTTTGGCTAATTTTCGGCCCGCTTGCTCAGGAAAACTTAAATTTCAAACAGCACTCACTAAAGTCTTTTTGTTAAGTAACTTTTTGTTCGCCTGCTCATCTGGTAGGCCTACAAAACCATCTTACTTACTATTTTTGTCTATGTATGGGAAGTATCTATTGCCCGCTGATAGGCGTCTCAAACATAATGTTCGCAAACAGCAAGTAGAACAAATACTCCTGGTCTACACCAGTTAGCTTTTTTTGGCTACGTAGTTACACATGTTTGTTTATTCTCCTGGCCACCCTAGTCAGTAACCAGAGTCTCTGTCAACCACATAGTCTTTGACCATGTGTGGTAATGCCTATGAAGTTCGCCAAAATAACCTTCTACCCAGGCCACTGAATGCATTTCTGATCTTATAATTTATAATGTTACTGAGCAGACAGGTTCATTAGTACTTAACCCAACTGTGGGCAGTCACTAGCAGAGCAATCGATCAAATCGTGTTTCAAATTGCCACAACTCAATAGAGCTGCATCTTGGTCCATACTATTACGTAGCAACCTGTTTCAAAATGATTCCATACACTATATCAGCATCCTTTAGACCTCAGGACCCGACTGCCTCCCGAATAATTTGCAACAAGCTCTCACTACCTCTCTCCGCCTCCCCATCATCACCCGTAGGAAGTCTCTGCGAAGCAAAGGCCAGAAACACCGCCTCCCAGTGCCCATCAGAGAATTTGAACAACAAACCACCATCCGAGTAAATCCCATTGTCATATTTGGGCAGACTGCCCTGGTTCATATGAATGTTATGAATTCCAGATCCAAACGAAGCACCGAAGATATAGGCAGTGGCAGTTTCATCATTAATAGCCGCCTGAATGATTGGCTCCAGCTTATCCAGAATGTCATTGTCAGGTCCGTCGATGTCGTGCTTCAGGATCTCGCCGGCAAGAATGTTCACGAGGCCTTTTGTGCGGTAGAAGTCAAGTCCCTCTAGATCGGTGTGCTGTGGAGTATAGTGATTATAGCGAAAGTGTCGGTGGTCATGGTGGCGATGCTGAGTGCCATTGTTATGGCTATTGTTGGGATCCTGGATCAGGTGGAATCCCAGCTCCAGGGTGTCGAGTTTGTCGGTCATCGGATGGGTGAAGTCTTTATCAACCCAGTATACCAGACGAGATTCTTTGCCGCTGGATTTGACATTAATGGCAGCAGTTCGCTTGCCAGAGGAGTCGTCTCTGAAGTAGAGGTAGATGTGTGGCGTGGGCTGGCCACGGCCCTCGGCGTAGTAGTCAAACGGGCGACAAGCCCAGACACCGTAGTGGGGGACAGGCATGGTGATTTGGTACTGGCAAAATGTTCTGATCTGTATGTTAGTCACCCGAGTTGTCAGTTAGTACTGGTAGTAATGCTACTGCCATGATGCAGGTTCAGATCGTTGCTGCTTTCGCCTTCCCCGGCTCGCTATTTATACTCAGCATTTTTCTCAGCGGACTAAGTGAGAGGTTATTGTAACTATGGCGTAAAAGCAAGCACTCGGTGAAGTAGTATATTTCCTAGCTCTCGTATTCCAACCTGTCAGAAGGGAAGGTCTGCGGTGTAGACTCATCGAGACCGACCGCCACCCGAGGGCGAGATGCCGACCGTGCGAGCTGCACCTCGGGTCCGGCGGGGTGAGCGGGGCAGAGATCCACCCCGCAGTTTTAAGCTTCACAGCGCTAGTCCAGTGTTGGCAACGGATCCACCAAGCTAGTATTGTGACAGTACCCATGTAAATCTGGCATCTATCTAGCCTTACTCATACAAATTGGGTGCAAAAAGTCTCGTGTGTTACTTTAGCGCCAATATGTGAGTTTATTGCTCTTTTAACACCTGAGGACTTGGGGGAACTAATCAGCCTCCTCGAGACCATCATGTAGAATGCAATATCGTGAGTCGCTTACCAAGTCGTCATCCAGCCTACGATGAGGCCAACATGACTCTTGCCCGGTAAACCTATTATCACGGCAGGCTTTATCCAACCTCTATATTAATGAAAACTTTTCTCATGAGAGGTATGTGGGGACTGGGAAGATCCTCTCAGCCGTCTGTGGCTCGGGAGGAGCCGTGAAGTATTGCGCTGCTACTACTGCATGGTGACCTTGGCATGCCCCAATTTGCGATGGCGGCTTCTTTAGAAGAAAAAAAGTGAGTATACAGTGAATACAAACACGCACAGCATTTATGCCCAGAAAAACGGGAAGTGCAGCTTCCACTGACAGTTCATACCATGCTTCACACTGGTCATTCACTACGCTTCAGTTCCACATATAAACACTGTCATTGATCCAGCTTTGCTATCACCACCACTTCTACACCCCGTTTTCTACACCCCATTTCCTGCACCCCGTTCCGTGCACCCCGTTCCGTGCACCCCGTTCCGTGCACCCCGTTCCGTGCACCCCGTTTCGTGCACCTTGTTTACTGCACCGCGTTTGCAACTACCGTTTCACTAAAATCAAGTCACCCACGAGTATCCGTCACAATGAGTCACTTGCGCCCGTCAGGTATACTGCCACAAAACAAGGCGCCTGACTACGAAATCCGACTCGTTCTCGAACCAGCCGAAATCCTCACCCCGAGCATTGAATTGAAAAATGACGTCCAATCTACCTTCAACATGCAGCCGAGTCCCATCATGGAGATCATAGAATTTCTCGACACCCCAACCAAGGAAATGTTCGGGGCCGGCTGGAGCGTTAGCGCCCGCAAAGCTCAAGGCGATAGCGCTGTCGAATTTACGTACAGACATCACTACCCAATCAAAAACAGCGATATTGATAGCATTCTCATCCACGCCAATTTGCAGGGTTTCAACAATGAGCCCACTGGTGATAGTCGGGAGTTCAAGGCACAAGTTGAATGGGGTTACGAACAAAAGATGCTCTCAATGACCACCAAGAAGAAGCTGGATGGATTTCTACCCAACGAACTAGAATTCCCTAAAGCAGACAATTTGCGGCAGATGCTAATCAGGGAAGCGCCAAACAAGTTCAAGCATTGGAAACTTCATGACTGGGGTACTTACGCGTTGCAGCGGTCAGTCATTCATGGCCCGATTCATGTTGATCGCTACTCCGGGTCGTGGGATGGCAAGCCGATCGGCCTTGAGGTTTGGCACATGGTGAATGCCTTGGCTGAGAGAACTGATTACATCGTCGAGCTTTCCTTTAAGACGATTAATCGTTCTTCGGCCTCGTCTAAGCAGAGGAAGCTGGTGGATGAAATGAAGAGTAAAGGCTGGCTAGTTGTCGAGGATGAGGATCTGGTCAAGACGGGAGCCATATTGGATGCCTACGCCTTTTGATCTGGCAGCTTTGTTGGAGATCATTCATAACCAACCCTTGTTGGGACGATGAAGGAGCGAAGTGATAAGTGGGAATCTTGGCATTCAATAACTCACAAAAATGCCAGGTTTCGAATCCTTCCATTGCTCCTAGCAGGATGGACGTTCTGAATCTTGCACTGGCATCTAATATTTTTTTTCTTTTGTTTTTCCTTCTCTTTCCTTCTTTTTGTTTCTCTTTGTGATTAGTTTTTAATGGGTTTCGTCAACCACAAACTATCTGCGAGCCCCGTATCTGCCATGTTATCTATTGGAAGCCTACAGCATCATTGGGAATGGTGTGCTAGTCACAATGATGGATTGTCTTTCTTCTTCTTTGTAGCCTACTCCGTTGTTATCTGACATTAAATAGATCAATGAAAGTGGGTGTTCTTATACATTGTATCTATTTCTGGGTACGGATATCATCCTAGTTCTGCCACAGTAAGCTACAATGATTAATCTGATCACATACAATCTTCCGATTGATGTGATATGTCCCCGTAGCTAATCCATAAGGAGCCACATAACCAGCTTATGCTCCGAACCACTATCCATACATGATTATACCTTCGGCTGAGTTTTCCACACGGATGGAGGCTAGTCTGGACCATGGTCCAAATTGCGTTGGGTACAGTCGAAGAGTCTGATAGGATAACATTATACGAGGTCAGAAGACCGCGAACCTTAAGTTTAGAGTTCCTTGGTGTTTGTTGATGGGAAACTCCATGGGAAGCAACCTTGGTACTTCATTCTCACACCATCCGGGTCAGCCCAAGTAACTTTAATCATCTTAAGGAGTTGATCTGCGTGTAGATGCGCAATTTGGCTGGTAGCATCGTTTTAGATCAAAACCATCAAGTTGTGAGATCACTTACAACAACAGAAGAGCAACATAAATAAACTGAGTTCCTCTGGGAGGCCTCAGGATCCCATAGACCAACATGTAAAAGAAAGAAGAGAAAAAGAAGAAAAAAAGAGGCGACACTCTTCAGAGTCTAAGACAAGGTCCCGATACGGATCGAACGCGGGACCCTCCCACAGAGTGCCATGTAAGGCCCGACGCGAAAGGTCAACCGCTAGACCACCCAGGTTTGTCCTACTGTGGGGTTTCCAGATCTTGTTTATATTGAAGGTCCCTGAGACAGAATAGGGGGGGGGGGGGGGGCGTAATTTACCATTGGTTTACGTGGGATACGTGGAATAATACATGCTGAGACATTCACTGCAGCGAGGGTCACCTGATCCTTTGGCTTGGGATGTGAGGCGAGGACCGAGAGATATGATATATGCGAGGCACGAAGTATACGTTCTGATAAGGGGCAGATGTGCTTTATTCAGATCTATTGATTCCTTTGGTGTGATAGGAGCGGTGTTGATGCTACTCAATACTATAGACAACCTAGAGTACTCTCGCATTTGCAGACGTTGATACTTGTTTACTTGAGTGACGTCGATAATCAATATAGTAATGTCCACCGGGCCAAGATGGTAGTTTGGCCCTTCGAACCTCGCTTGTTTGATCTAATCGAGCATAGGTTACAGATCCACCAGAACCACATAGTCGACACCGGGGTATTTGCTAGCATAATAACGCCAGTTATCGGGCAGTGGTGATATTGATGTTAGCTGAGAAGTTGGTCGAAACTCGGGGACCCTGCCAGCGAGGCGGCGGCGGGCAGCAGCGCCAATTCAGCAGAGGGTCAGACATCGGGCTCGCAGCTATTGTCTTCTCATTTCCGCAACCATGCCAACGACCTCACTATCGTTGGTGACGCTCCCTGGGCAAGCGTGACTGAAGACCAGTCAATAAGCTGCTAGGAGCACTATCTGCAGAAGGGAAGGTTCTGGGAGATTCCTACAGTCGGCTGAAGACTTTGGCCACCGACTTCAGCTCGCTGAGTATCGAAGAGGTACTTCGGCATCTAGCTGGCATATTCGTCGGCATACTCGTGCACGGTGTGCTGTCGAGCGCACGGGTAGTTGTGGATGCATTGATTGATTTCATCCAAAGCTTTACCGATGAGGCCATGTCCCTGTTGGACACCAAGCTCCATATCCCCGTGGTGACCGATACCTTGAATCTCCTGGGCATCCCCGACATCTCTTTTCTAGACCTTTTCATGTGGATGGGAGCTGTCGCCTACACCGTCGTTTACAAAGTGATAAATAATGAACCCCATTTCCCAGACGACGGTAATTTCGCTGCTCTCATCGCCGCCAGCAGCTGGGACGAGTTGAAACAGTCGTTATCTTCGTCACCAGCTTCCCCGCGCGCGCTCTTCCCAACTGCTCAGCAGTCCATTTACGCGTGCGCCAATACCATGAGCAGGATGATACTGTTCATCGGCAACATTGCCCTATTCATGGAGGCTCAGGCACCCACGGCGGGTAACACCCTCAGCGGATTGGAAGCGGTCATCAAGCTCATAGTTGTGGCAAGCGTGGTGGCCCAGCAATGTCCTGTCACCCAAGGATCCCATCCAGGACTTTGGTATGAAGGTTCTTTCACGCTTTTGTTTCGGACTCGATATTGCCACCAGCTTCCTTGGATTCACACCCGTCTATGGCAAGCTCGTGGCTATCACGAGCAGGTTCCCCTATTTGCTACCGAGTGATGGACGGGCAGTGGGTGCTGTCTTCAAGGCACTTCTCCTCATTTCCAAGTTGATGGCTACGTCGTACCATTTGTATGAACTTACCAGTGAAGAGGCTGGTGCGGCTCGATCTGCAGCTATCGTGGGCGAGGTAGCGAATCTCACCGGGGCTGTAGTTACAGTCTCGTATGCGGCTGAAATGAATGACAAGGAGCTGGCAAGCCGACAGGTTCCGATCCGGGTTATGACTCTATGTGTCGATCTTTGGTCTGATTTACTGGTTGCCGAATCAATGATCCATTGATGCGGAGAAGATAGTGTATGAGGGGTAACCGAGCTATTTGGTGCCCTAGATACGTCCAGTTAGTCGAATCCAGTCACTCCTTCGCCTAGCCCGCTTTCCAAGAGTGATAGTGCATACTTGCCTTGGTTAGAGCAAATCATCTTCTCTGAAGCACAAGCACGAAACCACCCTAACGTACATGCATCAAACTTGCATATCACCTCCGAACCCCTCCGGTGCCAACTCACCCAATGCGTCATACGAGGCTACTCCACTTGATTTAATAATCCCCCGGTACCTTAAATTTAGCTCACCATCCTCACCCTCTAAGCTCCCATTTCAACACCGAACACGCCACAAATGTCCACCAAAAGAACCCACCCCGTCATCCACCACCGCCAAGCCATCACCTCCCTCCCACCCGAATCCTTCCCAAACCCCGCCCACGGCCACCTAACATGGCGTACTCTCCTCTCCTTCCCTCAAACCCCGACTTCCGACATGTGCGCCGGTCTAGCAGTCTGTCCTCCCCGCACAGGCCATCTTTGTCGCCACCGCCACACCCAAGCGGAGATATACTATATTACTTCGGGATCGGGGCATGTCTTTATCGATGGGAACGAGTATGAGGTTTTTGCGGGCACGGTCGTGTTTATTCCCGGGGATGCCGAACATGGGGTTGTTAATCGGGGTGGGGAGCCGTTGGAGTGGTTTTATGTCTTTCCGACGGGGTCGTTTGGGGATGTGGTTTATCGGTTTGAGGAGGGGATGGGGGTGAAGGAGGGGGAGGGGAAGGTGAGGGCTAAGATATACGGGTTGGGGTTGGGGTGTGGCTGTTCTATTGTGGTGAGACTTTTTGCTTGATTAAAGGATTCGATATTGAGTGATGCCCGTACCCTATATGAACCTAGTATTGGTTGGTGCTCGGTAGTGTTGATGCATGATACTACGGAAGACGGGGATGGTTAATGACGGTGCACATTGAATCCACGTTTATTCATATTTGATATCATAGAATATCTCCACGTTATATCCGAAATTATACGCATCGGTATGCCCGAAGATGAAAGCCCCCAACAATGCAAACGCAGGCTATTGACGTTGTATGATGTCGAATATCTGAACATCAAATATGGCGTGGATCACCTCCGGACTGCCAATTATCAGGCCAGAAATCGAAGATACCGCTGAGCGAGACACATCGCCAACAATCTAATAAATGTACCCGGTCCACAGGTATTCCATGCATCGTAAATCTCAAACGGGCCGAGTAGATATAGCTTTATGCAGGTGTCATCATAAAGGCTGAGTCTAGTTTGCTGTCGTTGAGGGGGGCCGAGTATCTGTCTGTGGGCTTTGCTAATAACGGCTGGGCCCTCATGCCGCCTCAGATAACATGTATTTTCTGCTAGGGGATCAGGAACTGTCTGAGACATGAGGGAGGTTGAGGAACACTTACGCTTTTCTTCCTTGCTCTTCATTCATGACGTCGTCCACTCATGCGACCATCGCCATATGCATATACTCCACAACCTATATTGATCTCGAGAATATCAAAGTATATGGATATCCCGCGAAGTAGTCACCGTCTGAATTAGCTCAGAGCTATGCTCTTTCTAATAAAAATCCCACTCTAAGTTCGTATTAATGCTTTATAGAGCTCTCAGATAGAACTGGCGACGGACAAAACGCATTCCATGTAGGAAGGGTGAAAAAGGAGTGAAAGTGATATGCTTCCAGGATTTGGAGCGGGGCATGCAAGCCGGCGAAAACCGCACATCGAATTGCAAGTCACCTTTGTATCTAAATTCAACCAGATAAGCCTCGGTAGAATATCAATGGTTTTAATTTCTGTAGTATCAGGTAGAGTCGCGTATTGTGTGGCGTGTATTATGCCAAGCTGGTAGGCTCCGTATATTTGTGGCACAGGCGGCGAATCGCCTAGAGAGCTAGCATAGCAATAGTCGCCTACATATACTTAAGTGGATTAATAGAAGAATATAGAATCGATATTAGTCCTTTGAAGCAAATAAGTTCAATTAAAGTTGTAGAGCAAGTAGCATATCCAAAGTGCATCTCAGTGCAAGTGAAGACCATGCTTGCTCAATCGCGCGGCTTGCCTTGGAAATATCATCCTCACTTGTCCCCGGGGCAAGCCTTCGCTCCTCTTCTTTGTCATTTCACGAGCAGATTGCGCAGCATCTTCATCCTTTTCGGTTAAGCATTGGGCAAAATATATCCCATCATCGGCATAATAACATTCATAGATATGCAGATGTGACAACAACGGGAGTTTGCGGATCTTTAGGAAAAGGTCTCTCCATTCACCTGTTGAGAGAAACACTCTGCGGATGTCCAGACTCACCAAGGTTCTCTCATAGTTGAATATCCTTGCTAGAACTTCGAATGGCGCAGTAAAGTCATCTAGTTCAATGTGCTCAATTGGAGCGTCTGGGTGCAGCCAACTTTGCCGATTATAGATTTCAGGATAGTTGGCATAGGTGCTGATACCCACTAGGCGGATAGATCTTAGCCCACGGCCAAGGCGGAAAAGATGAAGGAAAGCTTGGTCTACGAAGTCGTCCATAATTGCACACCAGTCAGAGACAAACGTGATATCAATGTGTTGAAGTTGAGGCAGGTATGTGCGTAGAACGCCCTCGAGCCTGCGGAGACAGGGGGCCAGATATTTGGGTGAACTGTACGCCGGTAAATCGATTTTGATTTCTCTTAATTTGGGAAGATATCGGTGCGCACGTTCAAGGGCCCAGAGCATATATACCACTGCGTGCGGGTATTGGCTGTGGTAGTCAATTTCAAAGTACTGCAATGAAGGGAGTCTTTTAAGGCATCGATAGAGATTGTTATGAGGTCGTTTTACAGCCTTAACGAACCAACCAGTCGAAAAAATTGTGAGGGAGCAGATGAATCGACGGAGGTCGCTCGTAAATATGGACTTTATGCTGCTCGGAGACTGCACGTGGAGAAGTTGAGGCGTCTCTAATAGGCGACTCACACTCAAGCGTACTGCACTTAATAGAACTCGAGTGGCGCTTCGATTGAATGACACACTGACTAAACGCAGGCACATCAACCGTGCAATTCGGTCTTCAACCTCTAGGCCATAATTTGCAAAGAAAAGCGTAACCTAATTCATGTTTAGCAAGTCACGGTAGCAAGACAGAGACAAAAAAGATTCACCTCATCGTAGAGTTCCTGGGGAAGTGATGAAATACCACGCGTGTTGTTCTTTCCGGTCATGATGGGGAAGACAAAAAGGCACAGGAACTGATGAAATTTCTCTTCCTGGAAATTTGTGCGATGGTTGGTATGATGTGGGAATAAGTAGACGGCAGTCTGCGAGTAGTGCTAGGAAACTTGATGGGGGCGGATCACATTATCGTAAGTGGCCACCCTTTATGACTGAACATTTATCTAATAACTATGTGAAAAGCTCAGGTTGATGCAATATCCAAGTAAGGATATGATTTCTATGAGGTAATTTAAGCTACGGTAAGTGCGTGATTTCGGGGTTGTCTGTAATCTGATGATTTTCCATAGACACCCATAGTTAGGCAAGAATGAGTTCTTCGACCTCTACTTATATTGAACGGGACTTGAGTCTGTCAGGCGGAGGAGCTACAGTGACATTGTATGGCTCCCGAAAGTATCTACGAGGCTCTAAAGTGGACCTCTAATTAGTCACAGACAAAGCTGGAAGACTTGCATTATGATGTACACCGTAGGATACTCCCATAAGGTGTCTTTGAAACTTACAACGCTGTTCCTTTACCAGAGAAACACCCTGGTAGCACTAGATCAATCGTTTTCACCTTTATATTAGGATTTACCTTCCCACAACCCCCAACTGCTGCTTCGACTTAGAATTCCGGTGCCGTCATTCAGCTGACAGTGACGGAAAACATCCAATGTTAAAGTGTAGAATAAACCCGGTCACGTGACACTTTACCAAGCAACAATGAAGAGTCCTCTACCTCATATTTTCCCGACACGGCTTTTGCCGCAGCATTCACTTCCTTTCTCCTTTTTTGATCATTATGATTTGGACTACTTTGTGATGAACGGTTTCCAGGAACTTCATGGACGCGGAGTCAGACTTGACCCGAACTGCCGAAGTCAAAGCCCGTTGCTCCAACCCCTAGCCGAATCGGGTATAGATTACGATATGCGAAACCCTTCACAGCTTCTATATAAAGCTCAACTGTGAACAAGTGCTTGAACAATTATTGTGATGAATTGGTTTGCTTTCACACTCAATATTCTATTCTTCATAACAGGCAATTGCTCATAGGAAAGGTCTACTGACTTCTAAGCAATCTGATATTGGCGCTGTGGAAAATGATACAAGACAAGAAGGAAGCACCAGTGAAGAAAACAAAGACCAGTGTATCATTTCTTTTATGTAGCTTTGAGTACTCTACCACATTGCAGAAGCCCATAGAAGCCAATCATGGCTTGTCTAAATTTCATCATTGCACCATACACTCAGCAGGGTGCTATTAATTCAGTGTGAGGGTCTGCCGCGCACAGGATATCGCATGGCCAGGGGAATATCCGAGGAACTAAACTAGGTGTTCGTGAAACCAACGGTGGGTGGGCCGTTCCTCGTTTAAAAGCCAAGCAGGGTCCAATCCGCTCCATTTGTGGAGATACTCGCCAACATTCCTGTTTGTCTCCTCTCGGACTCTACCTTGAATTCCTCCAAATGCCCATGTCGACCTTGACAAGTCCACACGCCGTCGAACCGCAGATACAAATTATTACCCTGAGATCATGCCTCATCTCGGGCTTTATAGCCTCAATAATACCGAGGACTTCTTCCCTTGGCCCGTGCACTTCGGGTGATGGCAGGCCGAGTTAAGCAACATCTGGAGAGATCGGCACGCGGTTAATATCGAACCGTGTGGAGACAGGGGCAGGGCAACGTTGACTTGCGTCAGCTCGTCCTATGGCGAGTCATGCCATGTCAGGATATCCGTCAGCAGATCAACGGTCATTGAATAATGTCATTCAGGGTGACACTCCTGTTGGTGGAACCCATGAAAGTTTTGCGAAATCTAAACAGTTTCTCCAGGGTCTCTGGCTTCAAGGGGAGGGGCTTGCAGACATAGTTCTTGTCGATCATCGGAGTAAGTTGGGCTCTCCCGGCCGAAGGAAAGGGTATAAGACAATTAAAGCAATGTTCCCCGCCAGAGATAGTATTAGATATATCACGCTCACTTAACATTGAGCATTAATTTCTTCAACAACCGGCACCATGACCTTGTCAACCTCCTTTCTCGTGGCAACTTACCTTCTCTCAGTTACCAACTCGGTCCACGCCCAACTCACAGGATCTGTTGGACCCTTGACTTCCGTCTCAGACAAGGCCGCCGTCAAGACGTGCAACGTCCTCGACTACGGAGCCAGCTCAGATAACACCACCGACGTGGGACAACCCATTATCGACGCTTTTGCTGACTGCGGTAGCGGCGGTCTCATTTACGTCCCTGAAGGTAACTATCTCTTGAAGAATTGGGTCTCCTTGGAGAATGGGTCTGCTTGGGCTATCCAGCTCGATGGCGTCCTCTACCGCGACTCGTCGCCTTCCTCCCAGTCATACATGTTCGAGATAAGCGGTGGCAGTGACTTTGAGCTCCTTAGTTCAAACGCAACGGGTGCTATTCAGGGTAGCGGTTACCTTTACCACCGTGATGATACTTACACCGCTCCCCGGATGCTGCACATTTCCGATGTGTCGGATTGGTCCGTCCATGACCTGGTCTTGGTCGACTCGCCCATGTTCCACTTCGTCATTGACGGCGGCTACAATGGAGAAGTGTACAATATGGCTATCCGCGGTGCCGACCACGGTGGTCTGGATGGTATCGATGTGTATGGTGACAATATGTGGATTCACGATGTGTGTGCTGCTGTCCCTCAGACTTCATTTTTGTTTTAGCTAAGCTAACGATGTGGTAGATTATGGTCACCAACAAGGACGAATGTGTCACAACCAAGGTGAGTGAACAGCGACGTGTTGCAACTGCCAAAGTGCTAATTCTAGCCGCAACAGACCAACTCCCACAACTTCCTGATCGAGAACATCTACTGCAACTCCAGTGGCGGATGTGCCATCGGATCCCTCGGTTCCGGCGCCAACGTCAGCAACATTGTCTACCGCAATGTCTACACCTGGGACTCGAACCAGATGATGATGATCAAGAGCAATGGTGGCTCGGGCGATGTATCCAACGTCGTTTTTGAGAACTTCATTGGTACCTAACCCTATCTTTTCTCTATCCTTCCCCAACACACAACCTAATACCGAAATAGGCCACGGAAACGCCTACTCCCTCGACCTCGACAGCTACTGGAGCAGCATGGATGCGATCGACGGTGACGGCATCAACTACCACAACATTACATTTCAGAACTGGACGGGAACCGCCGTCGATGGCGAAACCCGGCCGCCTATCCGGGTCATCTGCCCTGAAGACACTCCTTGCACCGAGATCAGCCTTGTCCAGATCGACCTGTGGGTTGAGGAAGGTGCTTACGATGAGTATGTCTGCAAGAACGCCTACGGATCAGGCTACTGCCTCGACTCTGCTACCGGCACCACGACTCCCTATACTACCACTACTTATGTGAACTCTGCTCCGACGGGATACGAGGCCCCCACTATGACTGATGATCTGACCACCGCGTTTGGCACGTCGGCTTCGATCCCGATTCCTACCATTCCGGCGTCGTTCTTCCCTGGTGTGGCGCCGATTAGCGCCTTGGCTGGGAGCTCTTAAGGGGCTACAGAATTATCGCATTAAGTATGAGAAGGTCTGAATGATGAGGATACTTCAACTGGCTTGTCGTACTTACATGAGGTATATTGCCAGCTAATAATTATAATATCATCCTTACCCAGGAACTTTTGCCTCTTAGTTTAGTCAGTTCATACCTAAACACGGTGCACGTAGCATAAGGTTTCTAATGACTATGTTGAACTTTCACAACAAGCGGCTTCTTATCCCAAAACCACCATATCCCCTGCTCTTCCCAAATCGGCAACTCCACACTTGTAGACAGATCATATCTCCATAGAAGTCTCGCCAGAATTACTCTCAGTTCCATCCACGCCAGATTCTGTCCCGGACAATTATGTGGTCCCAACGAAAACGGATTGAACGCTTCCTTCTGTCTCGCACTGTCTCCACGGAACCGCTCGTCTTCTTCTAACCATCGTTCTGGCGCAAACTCATTCGGGTGGGTGAAATTCCGTGCCGCGCGGTAAGACGCAAATGGAGGGATAGAGACAATCATCCCCTCTGGTACATATTGGCCGGCTACTGTTGCTCCACCGCGCGGGACCTGTCGGCGCATCGCGTCCGGGATAGTGGGGCAAAGCCGCATTCCTTCCATGAGGACTGCATCGAGGTATGGGAGAGACTTGAGCCGAGTGGCTGTTATGTCTTGCTCTGTAGAGAAGGTCTGGTGGAGGAGGTCCACTAATTTCTGTAGGGTCTTCTGGTCCTTCTCTCGCAAGAGGTAGTTGATGATACCTGTGATAAGGGTGGTGATTGATTCGCTTCCCGCTGCGACGATCATCATCGAGTTGACTTCCATTTCTTCCTGCGTCATGACCTTTGACGCTATCATTGTGCCCACGAAATCTGGGTGTGTGGTCGAAGTAGCGCCAGCTGAACTGGCTGCCACTCGCTGTGCGACTTTTTCGTCCGTGACTTTCCACATCTCCATAACTGGTTTTAGCGCGTCTGCAGGAGTAATTGCCAGTAGTAGCCGGTATAATAGGGGATAGAACTTCATCGACCCGATGATAATAGCAGCTTTGAACTGACTGACTGTTTGCACCCACGGATGATACTGCAGTCCCTCCAGACATCCAAATGAGCTACCCCATGTCAGATCGCCGATCACATCAAAAGCGAGGTAATTGATCCATTCCACCAGGTCCACGTCGGCACTTTTATTTTCGCCTTCCTTAGTAGAAATCTTCGCATCGAGCTTGTCGAATAGCGTGTCAATATACTTCTGGACAATCGGCTCCTGCAACGCGGTAAACTTCTCCGAGAACCCCGGGGCAAGGTTCTTGCGAAGACGGGCATGTTCTTCCTCCGAGCATGCGATCAGGTTCGCGGCAGTCTTGCCGGGAGGTTGGTCCTTGTATTGGTGGGGACGGACAAATTCGCGGTCTGTGTAGATGTCGCGCCAGGATCGGGGGTCGAGGAAAGATAGTTCGTCGGGGGCGACGCGGACAATGTCACCGTATTTGGCGTGGAGGTCGCGGATGCGATGGGGTAGGTGACCACTGATGTTGGCGTAGATGAATGGGAAGCGGAATATGCGCCAGAGCAAAGGGCCGGGGTAGATGGAAAGAGGATGGAGGTAGAGGTTGTAGATGATGAGGGTGGTGAGGTACTGTTGCTGTTAGATGTGATGTACAGGTTCCTTAGAGATAGTGGAAGTACCTACAAGGACAAATAGAAGGGCTACAATGGCAATGAGGGCCATTGTGCTGAGTTTGCGGTGGTAGAAGTGTTGAATAATAGAGTAGAAAGGATTATGAATCGGAGGATGGTGAGAGGTCATGCGGGCGATGGGTTGAAAATCCCCCGGGCGGCAATCAGGCACAAAACAGCAAGAGTGGGGATTTTCTCCAACAATCAAGGCTATCTTAGTAGTGCTTAATGTAGTTCAAATTAGACTGCATGCGTGATTGGTTGAAGCCGAACCGACCTGCGATACAGTTCTCTTCGGATCAATAATATAAGGCCAAAGCATCCGTAGATCCCCACAATAAGCACTAGCCATCATTAGTGTCAGTGTTACATGCAGCGTCGCAGCCTCGCGGTGAACAGTGATATATATGGAGGGGTATGTCTACTTCGCCGCCGCCCACTCTGACAAGAATCGCGAGTGACAAGTGTATCCACGCATGCCTTTCTCATATCGAGATTCTAGGGCAAGCAGACAAGGTGTCCCGTGGAGTTCTCTCATCCAACGCGTTAGCAGGAAGCCATGCTGGTGAGTAATTCGGTCAAGAAAATTGATCGGATGATGATGGATTGGGAAATGTAGAACACCTGGCTTTTTTAAAACCGATGGGTGAGATGACAAGCTATTGTCTGCAAATATATCTAGCTGAGTGATGCCGATGTTGAGGATACTGACGCATAGTAGCTGAAGCAGCAGTATCAAGACGAGGAACAACATATATGTTGAACCGACAAGACTTTTCGATAAATATTCATAAAAGTTATTATGGCGCTTATAACTTATTCGGTGTTTCCAATATTCGTATTTCGGCTCATCCAATTCGCCCAGTTTTCTGAACATGGAATTGAATCTCAGCATGGGGAGAAGGCCAAGATAGGGATGAATTCTGGGAAGCATTGTAGGAGGGAATTTCGAGGATTGAATACAGTGAAGTATTCCTGGGTGAAGCCCGTCAGTGCCAGATCTCTTCTGATCATAAATTGATTGACTGAGAAATGAATGGCTCTGCAGTGAAATAGATCTATGTGCCAAGTATTTTGCTATCACAGGCTACCAAATTCCTATCGAGTCGGCAATTAATGTGGCTTCCAATCTTCTTCGGCCGTGGTATAAACGCAGTCAGATAGTGGTGATGTTATAGCCACACGTTAGTATTTCGAAGACGGCGATAACCATGATAACCCTAGAAGCATACTAAAATACTGTTCTTAGTTGACGCGGAGGAGGGAATATAATCCGATGAATAGTTAGTAGGCCCTGAGTTAATGCAATAAGTGCTTGCAGTAATGAGGTAGGATACCATCAATTCAAGTTCAAGAGCATTATATGAATGATTCCTTCACACGAAGCATCATGCTTCACCATTGGAAGCAAGCCAGTCAACGTCTTCCCACGGATATAAATACGGCCACTTTTCCTCCCAAACCTTCTTCCCTTCTTCATCATCTTTCCTTTCTCAATCTCATCTATGTTCTTAATATCCCAATGTCTTAAGTCTTAAATATCTATAGTACCCAGCTCTAAATAGCCAGTTACTTTCCATGATCAACATATACGTCAGCTATAGTATACTTCAATCCCACGTTTCTCATGGCGGATATTCCCCATTTGGTCATGTTCTTTGCTGTAGGCGCTGGTATATCAAGATATACGTCTACCTTCTCAAAGACACTATGTTCGGTAGAGTGATCCTTTCCTAAGTATTGCATGATGAGCACTCGTTACCCCCAAGGGACTTTCATATCTTATGCTTTTACTCCGGTAGTACTCGGTATTGATGACCTCAAGGAGTATTTGCCGGTTCACAATACAACACCCCCCCAATTCAGACAAGTGAGTGACTGCCTTGTATTTGAGGAGAACAGAAGAGCACGTGTTGTGGCTCTTGCCGAAAAGGGCAACGGGACAGCAAACCAGGCATACTCCTTCTCGCTTACGCCTTATTCTTCCCCCACATTCCCATCATCTTCCATTGTTCTCTCGTCTCCCTTCTTCTCTATATTCTGCTGAGCATCGCGTCTTCGACTCCGATTTCGTTCCCCTTCCTTTCCCCCTTCTGCTGTGTCCTAGTAAGAAGCCGACTAACTTACTGTATAGGTACGACCCTCATCCCAGTGGGGTATTCTCCCAGTTTCGCGTGTTGATTAGACAACCGTGGAATTCGGGTTCACAATCAAGCCATGACTGCTCGCGACGTAGTCTTGCTCCTCGTGAGCGTCGGTCGGTTTGGCTGCTTCGATAATAGGGGTACGTGACACAGGCAGTTTCTTCCAAATTTATATAGAGTTGGGTTGGCTGACAGCATGTCTTAGCGGCATCTCGCCAAGAGTGCGGTGTATTTAGGCGAGGTTTAGTGAGCGTTCCTGTCCGGTCCGACACTCACATCTTCCTGCTGACCTAGTAAAAGGCTCTCTTTGAGAGCCTCACTTCGTTGCTTACTCTGTGTATGTTTACGAGCCTTCATTGGCTAAGGACAAATGGCATTGTACTGACAGGCGCTAGCGGCCTCTCTTCGGGAGTACGATATATTCATCCGAGCGTCTATAGAGGGACTCGTTCAAGCTCTCTTCGAGGGTCTTGTCTTTTTGTGCTCTTTCGTTCCAGACGTTTGGTGAGCACTCCGTCTCCATAAGATAATGTTCTGTCAACCTGCTGACAAGGCAATCAGCCGCTATTCCTTCGAGGATGCGGTATATCTTGGCAGATATCGGTGAGTACGCATGTCCATTTGCCAAGGAGGCTTCATAGCAACCCACTAACCTAAAATGTAGCGCTTCTCTTCGAGATGTGATGGTCTGCCAGACCCTGTGGTAAGCGCTCATGTCTTTCAGATATACCCGACTTTATTCTTCCCGAGTGTTACACCGATTTGTGTCTACGCTGGCGGAGACTGAGGATTTTCCGCCAAGTCTGATTGATTACAGGGGGGTTGGGCGACCATAGTATTGAATATTTAGTGTCTTGTACTGTGATTGGATTTATTGCTAGCTTATAAGAGTACTACTGTACTCCCAAGCTTGAGAGCTTAGGCATTTATCACTATTTACTAGACGAGTTGCACGTAGCATAGACCTCTACTGACCCCGGCCAATGCTCACAACAAGCCACTTCTTACCTCCATACCACTGAACCTCTTGCTTCTCATGGAAAGGAAACTCCACATCCGTAAGGCTAGACCTCTACACGAGTTGCGCCAGGATACCCTTTGGCTCCCTCCATAGTCTATTCTGCCTAGAACTAATTGAACACTCTCCTTTGGGCTGGCGAAATTGCAAAGCGCGGTAAGAGGCAAACGGAGGGATGAACACGATTAGCCCTTCCGGCACAGATTGGCTAGTTATCGTGCTTCATCATTTTATATAGGATCTTCTGGTCCTTCTCTCGCATGAGGCAAATCCTGATACCGGTACTGATAGTTGTGGCAGACTTGCTCACTGTGGCGATAATTACCAACTAACTGACCTTCACCTTCTCGGCTCATTCTCTTCGAAGCAGTCATTGTTCCCATAAAGTCCGGTTGGGTGGTACTGGCCACCACCCGCTCAGCGACCCTTCGTCAATAACCTTCCACAACTTCATGCCGGATTTCTTGGCCTCCGTAACCGTAACGGCTATGAGTTGTCAGTATAGCCCACCTCACAGCCATTCTCATTTTTCATATCTTCGTGAAGTTGGCACTTGATGTTGAGATAAACACTCTGGCCAGGCATCACCTGATCATTCGCCACCTTCTGCTGCTTACGTGACCTCACCGCATCATTCTCGAGGAGCTCAGGCTTCCATACCACAGTCCATGGATAGAACTTGAAGCCTTGAAAATCAGGCCTTTTATTCATGCGAACCGCAATAGCCAAATTCTGTGTACAAATCTCCCACTTTCACCCTGCCACTGTGCAGACTACAATACCCTGTAATGGCGATTATGAAGGCCATTTCTTCCCTATTGTTGTTCTCTTTTCTTTTCTTTTTTGCTCTTTTCTTTTTTCATCTTTATGATTATCGCTATCATCGCCGTCTTTTTCTTCGTTTTCTTCTTCGTTTTCTTCTTCGTTTTCTTCTTCATCAGCATTACATATATGGCTGGCTTTGGCGTGCACTATATTGTCCAATCCATCTGACCAGACCAACCCTTTTGGGCGACGGGTTATACCCCTTATGCTTCCGCAATCATGTCCGGGTAGCGGGAAGAAGGACGCGTTGCAACCAACAATGACCGTCTTGCTAATAGTTCATCACAGTTACTTCACATGGATCAAATGCTCATGTCTTTCTTAATGTAAGCATCTGCCTAATATCGAACGTCAGTCAACGAGAAATAGTCCAGAAAGGCTGTGAGGATATTGAGCGAGACTGGGTGGTGCCACTCATGATTCTCTGATACGCCAGAAAATAGTTGTAGTACGTTACGATACGCCGTATGCTTCATCCAGGTAGGTGTGGAGTCTTACCTTTTGCTAGAGAGAAAAGGAAAAATAGAAGTAACATTCGTATTCGAAAGACCATTCTCGCTGAAAAGGGAAACGAGGAAGCAAACCAGACATATTCCCTCGCTTGTTCTCCCCACAACGATGCCTATCTCTGCTCCCCTCCCCTCTCCTCTTGCCTTTTCGTTCCCTACGCATCACGTCGACAGTGTTCTGCGTGCGGCCTGCGCTCCCTCCCCTATTTCCCCCACTAGTGTCTTCGTTTGCTGTGATCTGGTACGATAATATTGAACCCCTGCGCGTTTTGGACCTGAATTGACTAGATCTACAGTTTTTGGCTCCTCCCGGAGGAGTAACGCGTCGTCTGTACTGTGTGAGTTGGTGAAACCGTGATGTCTGTGGAAGGGAGACAGACAATAGCTGATTACCACTAGCAGTTCTGCGTCCTAGGGAGCATTGGCTTCTTCTTGTGTGCTTTTGTTCCTGTGTGCTTGTGGTAGGTACAACGAGCAGGTCACAGTTTTCGGGGAGTATCAATTGGCTAACAGCATACCTCAGCCACCTCTCTTCGAGGTTGTGGTTTGATATTGGTAACGTTGTGAGTACATCCATCGATCTCAGAGCATGAAGTTATATCAGATAGCTAACGGTAGTACCAGCCACCTCTCTTCGAGAGTGTGGTTTTTATACTAACCCCTGGTAAGTATATTTGCCATTGGAAAGGGTCCAGGAATTGGCTAACATCATTATCAGCTGCCTCTCTTCGAGAGTGTGGTTTTACCATCTTCCTCCACCGGGTAAGTAACCTAACTCTTGAGGCGAAATTAGCCAATCTAAATTGTCCCTCTCCCTAACAATTGGCTGCTACAGACAGATATCTCCGCCTCGTCTTCCCTCCACCTCTCCATATCTCCGCCTCTTCCGTCGTGTTCGCCATGTCTCAGCCAACAACCGCAGACTGGTTTCAACGCCCTCAGGGCAGCGACTACCCCAAAGGGCTATACAAAAGCTCCTGCACATGGCGTAAATGCGTCCTTGTGATTGAATCTGCGGGGAACAAAATCGAAATGACTGCCAAGGTCCAGGTCATCTTAGACTCTCAACAGCCATACATCTCCCTCTGCCTGAAGAATAAGGACCAGGGACAGGTCATTTTCCCATTTCAGGGAATTCACTTTCATTGTGGGATCGAAGGTGAAGGGGCACAAACCGACGACTGGATCAACACATTGAGGACAACCTTTCCGCTTCTCCCTGCGCAGGACAAGTTATACTATTACGCAGTAAGGTCCAAGAGCTCGCCTGTGTTTACCAAGGTCCAAAGGCCGTTGATGGATGAAGAGCTCAAGGAAAAACTGAGAAAGCTCCGGAACATCGAGTGGTCGAAGTGCGACTCGTATATCTTTCTTCAATATAAGAGCAGCTACACTGAAGTTTCGCCTGCGCTCGATTTTTCAGTGAAACTCCACAATCTCGTGCACCAAGACTGCGATGGAGAAGGATTCTGGTATTATCGCCAGAACCCAGAGTCAGACGTTACCAAGCGGCACCCGGAGATGCCATGGCTCTGGATAAATACTGAAGACAGGCGGGAATACATCAAGTGGCAACCCCACAATCCCCTGTTCTTCGACGACAACGACCGCATTTGCCGTCTTCTGAAGGCCTCTAAGAATGAACGCTACCAGCAAGTGCGGGAAGTTTCTGATGTCTTCAATCCTACCCGGCAGCATGAGGCATGGTGCACTGAGAGTGATTTCGGGCTACCAGGTAGCACGCACCTGGTACATATCAAGATCTTGCCAGTGCGACCAAGTGACAAAGTGGTCGTCCCCAAATTGCAGGAGAGCACCAAGGTAAAATTCGAGTGGGCTCTCAGTGGTGTCCCCTACGCCATGGATACGAAGCTTGCTGATCAGGGAGCTGTCACCCAGAGTGACTCTAGTGCTGACCTTGTTCTCCGCGTGACAGGCCAGATCACACTAGCACCGGGCGTACGCTCTCCCATCGTCACATCAGCAGAGGCAAACACGATGCCCATTGACGCCCAGATTGAGGCTCTTGGCGAGGCAAGTAAATCAGCTCTTGTCTTTGGGGATCGTTCAGGAAACCAGGGTCGAGGTTTCTCGCTGAGGCGCACGCTCCTTGCCCATGGAACCGAACTCGAGGAAGGAAACCAAGGCTACTTCACCCTGGATGTCCACCAAATGTCGCCCGTCCGGCCGGATGTTGAGCGGGAGAGGATAGGTCACCTTTCACAGACCTTCCGACTTGATGGGGCCCAAAGAGAGGCCTTTCAGGCTTCGCTGGTGAGAGTCGTCTGCGGCGTCAGCCTGATCCAAGGTCCTCCGGGAACTGGAAAAACCAGTACGGCCAAAGTGATTGTCTGCACAGCGGCAGCGCTTGGCTGCAAGATCCTCCTGGTTGCTGGGTCCAACAAGGGTGTGAACAACCTTGCTGCGGCGGTGATGAAAGCCCTCCAACGGGACGAGCAACTACGAGGCTGGTGTGGCCAGCTCGTCCGGTTCCGCACACCGCGATACCAGCTCGAAAGAGCGAGGGGTGGTGAATCTTCAGATGAGGGCGACAACCTGAGTAACGTTCAAGCTCACGTTCTCGCCATCCAGTACGCCCAGGAACACGCCACCATCGACAAGTACGCCCGGTCTCTATTAGAACGCCTTGCAGACGACAAGCAGCGACGACTGAGTAAGGAAGAGCGGAAGGGTCTCAAGGGGGACTACGAACACTGCGTCATGAAGGTCCTGCAGAACGCCAAGATCGTTGCAACAACCTTGAGCAACGCGTCCCAGGATCTTCTGAGACGTTCGGGTTTTGAACCTGTCTTCGTGATTTGCGACGAGGCAGGGCAATGCCAGGAAGGCGAAATCACCATCGCCCTGACCATGCCATCGATTCAGGTGGTCGTCTTGATTGGAGACCCGAAGCAACCGCCGCCAACTGTTGTCTCAGAACACGGGACCAATGAGGGCGCGTTGTATTTGAAGAGGTCGTTGATGGAGAGGCTGCACGAAGCAGACTACCCCTGCACGATGCTGTTGACCAACTACCGCAGTCACAGCCACATCTTTGACATCTTCAACCGGTGGATCTACAACGGTGCGCTGAGATTGGGTCCCAACAATGACAGCGAACAGCGCGTCGGGAAGGCCTGGGACACCTTCACCCGCTCTCGTCACTACTTCCGCGGTTACGGTGTGGTGGGAGTTCGCCGCCTTTTCATCAGCGTGATTGGGGAGGCCATTCGCGCTGAGGGTAGCCAGTCGTGGTTCAACCAGTCGCAGGCTATGGTGGCTGTGCACCTGCTGAAGAACCTTTTCGCCTATCGGATGAGTGACGGTCAACATATTCGTCCAGAAGATGTCATGGTGATCTCTCCGTATGCGGCACAGCGAGCTTTGGTCGGAAGGCTCATGGGCGAGCACGGGGTAAGCTGCAGGGATAATCTTACTGTGGATGCATCCCAGGGTCAAGAAGCTCCCATGGTCATCTTCATGCTGACGAAGCCGTCGAAGGACCCCATCAATGTCGGTTTCATCGCCGATCAGCAAAGACTCAATGTCGCACTGAGCCGTGCACGCGAGGTCCTAGTCATTGTCGGAAACCGCTTTGTCTGGGATAAAGACGCCCTTGACAAGATCAAGAAGTCTCAAGGCAAGACGGCCAGGTTCCTTCTCCATCTTCTTAATGACACGAGCAGGCGTGGTCATACCATGGTGTGGCACGGTGAAGCCACAGTCGAAGATGAGAACCCTGTCGGGCCAGTGGAATACAAATGCCCTGATCGGTCAATCTATCAGACGGCCGCAGTCTCCTCCGCCCCCGTTTCCTCCAGGTTCGTCCCCGCTCACCCCCCCCCCCCCCCCCCCCCAACGGCCCGCCCAACCGTCTGGTGGATCCTTCTCTACAGCGCCCTGGAGGCCGTCTGCTAGACCTGTTCCTGAGATTGAAGGACCAGGAACACCATCTCGACAGACGCCACAGGTAAGCATGCCCGTTGGTCCGTCCCGGCAGGCACCTGTCGTTCGTCTGCCAACGTCCACAAGCCAATCAAGGGACATCGAAGAAGATGTCAGCATGGTGGACGTTGAGAACTCCGAAGGTCGGCAACTCGTACAGCAATCCGGCTGTCCGCCCTCTCCTGTCCTTCCTCCTTGGCATGCTCGCCAGCGATCCCGCTCTCCCCCTCATCGCGAAGTGACGTACCGCGAGCGGTCTCGCTCCCCTTCGAGCGCCATCGACAACTGGCTGCTCACACGGGGTGGTCTGCCTCAGGTTGATCTAATTCCTCGTGGCAACCTCGTCTCACTACCAGTCGAGGAACTGGAGAGCCAGTATAGACTTACCCGCGCCGCTGAAGAATTGGCTGCTGCAAGCGCTCGGCGTACGTGGGTTGAGGAGGAGCTCCGGCGTGTGCGTCGCGACAGAGATAGTCGCAACAGCGACGACCAACGAGATGGTCAGTAGGAAGGTGATATACTTTAGCTCCCTAGAATGATGGGTCGGTTTCTCGGAATAGAGAATAAAGGGGACGTGTATATCTGGAAGAGTGAAGAAATACCATTAGACATGGATGACTGTCTGTGAAGAGAAATGCTTGTATGCGGCTCATAAGAGATTTCCAAATCCGGGGGTATTTCACTATGATAGTTTTCCGAGGTGCTAAAATCTTTTTGTAAAAGTGGGATGATGAAGAATACTAGTGGCATATCAGTGAAAATATTACAATGGAGGAAAATATGCGGCCTATAATGGTTATGTAAGAAAAAAACCTAGGGGTTTATGCAGTTAGACTTAATGAATAAGACTTATGAAGTTGATTAAGGTCTATTATATCCTAGCTCTTATGATAAATGTGCAGATAAGATAAACTCATGCACATAAGCACAGAACCACGCAGTCCCTGCGCTAGTGTCTAGTAGTTTCCAGATGCGTGGCGATTAAGCTTTTTCTGGGGTATTAATGCAATATTATATGCTTTAGTTCGATAAAGTTTGTCTATTAGTATAAAAAGACTTGTAATAACTCAATGAAGGACATTAATGTGGACCGACGTTCGATATACCCTTTGTGGACTGTAGTAACAGCAGAATATATATTTACTTAGTAGATAGACTACCTAACTAGTCCATTACTCCCAAAACAACATACGAGAATCCAACATGAATGAAAGACAATATCATAGCTATCCTGGTATTTGATGCTGACGGTTTGAAGACTGAGACAATTAAGACAAAGAAATCATGGCAGTCACATGCGATGATCCGCAAACCACATGGTTGAGCCGACGATTAACTAAAAAGACGGACTATCGATCGGGAGCTTAAATTGAAGCTCCCGTGGAACCGACCCGAGGTGGAGCCAGGAAACACAAAAACAAAAAAACGTCAGCGACAGGACTCGAACCTGTGCGGGCGAACCCAATAGATTTCTAGTCTATCGCCTTAACCACTCGGCCACACTGACTATTTGATGAAACAGGGAGCATTTAGACGATAGATAATCCACAGCATTACTATCTACCACAGCAGATCGAATGCTTCACCGACACCCCACATTTAGACATCTAGATAAGCATAGCCTACAACTACTCATCTGATCCATTGGTATCTGCTCGAAGCAACGAGGTTGATAGAATGTCCTGGTACTAGATGCTCCCATACTGAGGTAATCAACCAGCCAGACGCCGCGCTGTCAAAGTAACATTCATAAACCCGGCCCATCCCATTCCATCCTTTCGTCACCCGCACCAGGGGCGCCAGGGGAATCAAATCCAAATCACATCAATCAGAACCCATCCGGCCCTCGCATGCCAATTTTTACCCAGACCAGGTGTCCGAAGTTCGAAAACAAACAAAAAAGAAATTCCCGCGTTCCCTCAAACATCGCGTCAATCCCAGAAGTGTCGCGTGGTCTCGTCAGTCCGCCGAAGCGCGCATACATATTCATACAATACAGAAGCCGCACACATAAGAAATAATGGTACAGACGAAGGATCGCTCAATCATCAGCAAAGAATGGAGGAAAGGAAAAAGAGATAATCAAGGCAAAGCAACAAAAGCAAAACGCAATGGTGGGGAGCATGTATCCACCCCATCAGCGGGCAAACTCGGTCCACACCGTGCTGAGCCACCCGACCGGAACACCGACCTCCGACGGCGTCGTCGCCGGCAGCTGGTCGTATTCACATCCCTCCAAGAACGCCAGCACATCATCTCCGCCCAGGCTGGTCGACCACAACCCATTGGTGTTGACTGTGTCAAGCCCATCAAGTGTTACCGGTGGTGACGCTCCCGGGTGGCCGACAGAGCCAGGTGGGGGCAGCAATGGCAAGCTGTGTGAAGTAGCCGCATTGATGGGCGGCAGCGACTGCGAATAAGGCGGAGGAGGCTGCTGACGATTGTTCAGCCATGAATTGAGAGGCTGCAAACGGTTGTTGGGCGGCGGTGCCCCATACTGTGAGGATCCTGTTGCCGTCGTTGTTGGCGGGGCACCGTACGGGCCAGGGGGTCCCAGAGATGGGAGATTGGGGGAAGACGAGTTGTATAGTCCTGCGTCAGGATGGTGCTGGAGAGATGGTAGAGAGTACGGAGACTGGGACTGCAAGGAGCGGCCTGGGGGCAAAGGCAGACTAGGTCGTCGCTCCCCATCCGGGCCAGGGAGCGGCATCCCGGGGCTATTGATGGGCACCCAAGACTCACGGCGTCCGCCTGCACCATCCAGTGGAGGCTCGCCCGTGTCTCCAGTTTCACTGCGAACGGCATTGCTGCCCGCATCGCTGAGGTTGGTAGCCCGATCGCTGACTGCTGCCAGGCCATCATCCTCCGCACTGTTATCAGGCAGTTGGTCTTCGATGATACCGAACTCCAAGAACAACTTCTCCAAGAGCTTGAACTCCTCAAGGCCTCCACCAGCGCCGCCTTCACGCACCGGACGAACCCCGTTCATATGCACATCAACGCCATCCATGTCCATCTTACGCGAGGAGCGGCGGAAATCGCGCTTGACCTTAGCGAAATAACTGTGCAGCCGGTTGAGGGTGCGGAACCAACCCCGCGCCATCTTCAGACGCAGCCGCATATCGCGCAGGATGTCAAGGGCCTTACGGGCTTGTGCCTGGCCTTGAGTGTTACGGTCTCTTGGAGCTAAAGCGGCATCCGGGTCCATGTGGGGGAAATGGGCCGCATACACGCCGATGAAAGCGGCGTTATAGACAGCAAACCCGACGAGAGGGTTCTCGACCAGGACGCCGCGGTCTTGGCAGGTTACCGCCAGATCAATCATCTGCCGGGCGGCATTGAAGAGCTCCCGAGCGCTCTCACGCCAGAAAGCCTCTGCCACACCGGGCTTCTCGACGGGGAACAGCGGTTCGTCCAAGGGCCCAACCGGCTCCGAGCATCGTACGGGCAGGAATGGGATATACGCACGATGAAGGACAATGACCGACAGGAAATAGACCACATGCATGACCGTATACGGGGAGAGCGTGTTCTTATACATGATATGCGTATCCGTGTTCCGTGGAGAGTACTGCAAGTTGCGCGAGAGGCTATCCTGGAACTCGCCCAGCATCGCTCGAAGCTGCGAGAAACGCGAGTCTGGGTGCCATGGGGGCAACTGTTCGTTTCTGTGGCTGGGGTTAGACTTTCGATGTGGACGATCGTTTTAAAGCGGCAGCTTACCTTCTTCCCCCAGCGCAAGACCACTTGGCAATACTTCCCCAGATGCGGATGATACGAATCACCCGACTGAGCACGGATTCCTCGGCACCAACCTCCCATCGATCAATTTCATCCTCACTGGAATCCTTACGTCGCGAGACAGGCGACCACGAAGACTTGGGATCGGGAGCACCATTACTCGGTAACCGGTCGTCACCGAGAGCACCCAGACTTTGCCGGATGCTCGGAATCTGGACGCCCTGGGAGCCGAACGATTGCGGGCGGCGGGCAGCCGGTTCACTGAGACGGGACGTGCGGACCCGTTCTCCAAACGCAAAGGCGTTATCGCTGGGAAGTTGGATACCCAGCTCCTTAACACGGATCATACGCGGGCGGTATTTGCCGCTGCTTAAGCAACGGTCCAGAATGAAGCATGCCCAGAATGTGCGACGTTTCGTCTCTAGCGCGATAATATCATCCGAGGTCTGTTCTCTGGGCTCCACCGGCCGACGGGATAGACCGAACATCTCAACCTCCGTCTTCAGTACGGGCGACCGGGGCCCGTCGCGAGACGCCAGCTCATTCTCCAGCTCGAAGGGAAGACCCATGGCTTGGGAGAGCCGGATGGCCATTCCGACATACAACCAGGCGCTCTTGCCGCGGCACATGCCCCATTCATGCAGCGCCAGCATGAGCAATGCTTGGACCCGGGTGAGGTCCGTGACCGCGAGACTGGCGCCGTCGACGCCGGCCAGCCGGCTACGCAACGCCGTCGCATAGAACTCCGAGGCGACAAGAGGATTGGATGGATTTCCGGGAGATGGTGGAGAGTGGAACGCGACCAGTTGGGGATGGAAACGAGCCGTGAGGGCGAGAACACCGAGGGGAATCAGCGGATTGGGATCCGGCTTGCTCGCAGGCGGACTTTGCGCAGGATCGCGCGAGTGCTCTGGATGGGTGGACGGATTGGTAGAGGTGGTGGAGAGTTGGCGCGTTTGACCGATGAAGGAGGCAGGATGCAGGAAGGGAAGCATGGTCGCAAAGTGGGACTGGAAAAGATCGAAGACCGCATCCCAGACCTTGGTGGTCAGGACCGCCGAATCAAGCACATCGAGTGCGGATCGGGCGCCGTCCTTTGCGGCGGACGAGGAGATGCCCGGGGCCTTTCGAGACCGTTGTCGCTTGGGGCTATCCCAATCATTGTTCCGTTCCTCGCCCTCGGCCAGCGCGGCCAGGTCTCGCTTGGCCGCACCACCGCCCACCCCGATGGCGGGGGCGGGATATACACATTCTCGACCGGAGGATTCACAGGCGCGGCAGGTGGTATCGATGCCGGCGTTGACACATTTTATCTTGCTTCGACGGCAACGAGCGCAGGCGATACTGGATCGCATTGTGACGACAGAGGCGGGCGCGAGAGACGGGATGCCCGTCTCTCCGGCAGGGTAGGTGGGAAGGAGGTGAAGATCACAGGCGACAAGGTAGGGGAAAGTCAAGGGGAGAAGGTGAGGAAGAGGAGGGAGAGGACGAGGGACAAGGCCGTCCCCGGGACCACTGTTGACACGAGTGGATTGTCCTCACGTCCGCCGTATTTCTCCGGTAGTTTTTCCCCGGGATTCCGAACCAGACTCCAGACGGTCTGGGTCGCAAGGGGCGACAGCGATGACCGGCCGCGGCTGTCGTATTTTTGCCGTCAGTACTCTGTACCACCCCGACTAATAATGAACAGAGGGAGAGGGATTGTGTGTGTATGTGTGTCTATATGTGTGCACGGGGGATCCACCCACGGTAGGAACTGACCTTGATTTTGGGGAAACCGCGCTTTGCTGGCGTCGGCTTCTCTTATGCCAAATAGAAAAAAAAGAAATCTGGACGAGGAAGTAAGGAGGGTAGTGCAGTCACAACACCGACTAGATACCGGGGATGATGTCGGGAGGAGGCAGACACAAGGCGCGCGCGCGGAGTAGCGGTAGTAGTACAGAAGTACTAACTAGTAGATCAGAGAGGATGGATGGGTGGGCGGCGGCAAACGGAAGGCAGAGGGAAAAACGAAAAGAGTGAGGGAGGGAGGGAGATGAGTGGAGCGAAGGGTGGGATAATGAATAAATCGACAGCCGGGGAACGGGAAAATGAAAGCCAGGGAAGCCGAATCGAAGAATGGAGAGAGAGGAAGGAGGAATAATTATTCAACCCACGATGTCACCAATAATGTGCGACGTGGGTAACGGGCAGAGAGAATGGAGTCCAGTCGGGTAAGAGGGTCAGGTTAGAGTGGGGACTGGAGAGATTTGGGGGGAAGAAGCAGAGAGAGCAAGCAGCAAGGTAGGGATAAAAGCCGCCAGCCGATGGTAGTTATCCACCAGACAGACAGGGTTGGTTGGTTCCGGGAAGAAGTACGAGTAGTAGTCAGTAGTAGTAGTAGTAGTAGATACTGGGTGTTGGGGAATGAGTGTGCGTGACAGTGTGAGTGTGTGTTCCTCCAGGCTTTGACTAAAATTCCCCTTAGAACGGAATACGCGGAGTGTGGGGGAGGCCGAAGTAGCGTGAGGCCCAGGGTCGGGGCACCGGACCGGCAACGTGAAGTTTGGGGGAAGGTCAATCAGCCCAAAGGATGTGTGTCGGGTGGATTAGGGAAGGGGAGGGATGGGGGATTTTCGGTTGTGGGGAAGAGGAGAGGGGAAGTAATGACGAGAAGAAAAAGAAGAAAAGGAAGAAGAGGGGAAGAGGAGAGGAAAAGTAGAAAAGGGAAGCAGAGGAAGCTCGTGAAGAAGGAAGAAGATGGGGGAAGGGGAAGAGCCAGAGGCAGAGGCAGAGGAGAATGGTGAGAGCCGCCCGTCGCCTCAGGTTTAGAACAGGATGACTCCGGCCGACGGCGAGACAACAGACTGACTTTGGGGGGGGGGAAAAAAAAGTAAAAAAAAAGAAAAAGGAAAAAAAAAAAAGAAAAAGAAAAAAGCAGCCAGCAGAACGGATCGACCCAAACAGGCAAGGCCCATCCGCATTTGCGGAGGCCCGACCCAAGTTAGTCCGGAGCGGGTTAGTGCGGCCTGAGGATGCAAGGACGCGACCGAGCGGCCGGAGAATGGTGGAGCCAGATTCCGACTGCCGAGAGATGGAGTAGTGGAAGAGTAGTGGTTTGGAGAATGTGAGTTGAGAAAGTAGGAGAAAAGAAGAAAAAGGTAAGTAGACGGAAGGGTAGTAGTAAATAACACTTCTTACTGGGATAGTGGATGATGAAATTTGATGGGTGGTCAGATGGGAAAAGGGGGAAGAGAACCAGAGAGAGAAAGAGGTGAGGTGAAGAGAGCAACACACAACACCTTCAGTTTCCCCAGGGACGTGGAAAAAGTGTAGAAAATAAAATAAAATAGAATGAATTATTGTTTTGAGAAGAGGCGGCTTCGGGTAAATTACCTTACAAGCCATGCCTGACTCCAATACTGGGGTTCCGTCCGGAGAAGGCCTGTCCCCGTGGCGCTGATGGGGTCACGCCTGCGTATCCAATCTTACCCAACGCGGATTCTCTCGCTCGGCTGCCAGTTGGCGCGGAGGGCCCGACCGAATGCCATTCGGTTCAAGTGGCTTGTGTTTCCATGCCCTTTGCTCCATCCCCGTCATCCCTCTTCCACATAATTGGAGACACGGTTGTAAGCAAATTCTGATGACGATGATGATGATGGTATTATCTACGTGGAGAGAGCTTAATCAATAAAGAACTGGGCATTCATCACTAAAAAAATGACTACATACGATGGCTCCGGGTTTACCTTTTCGTACCTGTACCGACCGACCGAGATGCCGGTTACCAGCAGCCGTGTTGTGGAACGTCACTTGACCGCCATCTGCCCATTCCATTACCTAACATGACGGCCCTTGAGTTCGCCCGGTGAGTAGTCAGTTACTAGCTGTGTGTCATGGTCAAACACACTACTTTCCCTATTATTTTAAAATCAGAATAATAATAATAATTAAAAAAAAAAAGGGTCGATCGAACATAGGTAACCTTCCAGCAAGTGTAGTACCCTCCCCGGATTTATATTAATAGGTCAGATCCCTTATACCTCGCATGGCATGGGAATGGAGTTCGCCCCGTAAACCGTTACAAAATCCGGGGATTGCATGACGCGAGGCCCCAAAACGACAATACCCCCGAATCCGAGAAACCCAACCAGATTGCGGGAGGAGAACGAAAGGGAGGGAGAGAAGGAGAATAGGGCTCAGCTCACTACTTGCTTACTCCTGCTGCCCATTCTTCCTTTCTGTGGTGAACAAGACACACCAAGTCATCCCACCCACACCTCCTGAACTCTTTTTCCCTTTTCCTTTACTTAATAAACTACTACGTACTACAAAAGCAGACCACCGTACCCCGGAATTTTCAAAAGTCTAACCTCCTAGCCCACAGACCTTGTCCATTCCCTTTGCAGACTAATGAAAGGCCAAGACACCGACCACCTTCCAATTAAACCATCACGACACCACCCCCCAGTCAGGCCAAACGGAAGGGTCGAAAATGAGGGGAAAGACACGGACGGCAAATGCTTCTAGCCCGATCGTGGGTTGACGAACCTCGGGTATCGACGCATCTGAAAGAAGCGAGGGCCAGGGTACAACGGGGAAGGGAAGAGAAAAGAGCTGCTGGTCCTGCCGGTTTTCGTGAGAGCGTCATCCCTCCCTCACTTTTTCTTTTCCCCCTGCATCGGATCTCCCCGCGGGGGAGAAGCGAGATGAGATCACGATCATCCGCCTGGGCTGGGCCATGGACCTTGGTCTTGCAGGACTTTGCTTCAGCAAAAGTGTCTGCGTCCCGTTTGGGCAAGATTGGCTGGGGCAGGGATACGATTCCCGATCGACACGGCAACTGGCTGCTGACCGACAGTGCTCTCTCTCCGACTGTACAGAGAAGTACTTACCTACAGTATGAATCATGCAGTTCTGAACAGACCTCTCCGATTGATGGGTCGACTACTTCTCTGGTGATTTTCGATGATCTCTCCGTCTACGGGTTATCCTAATTGGTATCCTGCTTACTGGGTTAACCCCCGTTCCCCGTCACCTCACCTCACCTTTACCCTACTTCAGTCCCCGTTCGTAGTTCCAACCAAACACCCACAGAACCAAGTAAGCCGACCGATCGGTGACCGCCGGCAAGTCCCCGCGTTGCATTTAACCGGTTGTCCCGTGGCCGCTGAGTCGGGCCAACCGGCGATGCTGATTGGTCTCCACCGCCACCCGAGGCAGAACAAGCGAACCGACCCCGCAATTACCCTCCGGACTCTTGCTTTTCTGGCCAGAGTTCACACCATCTTCCTTTCCATTTTCTCTTCTCTTCTTGTCGTTCCAGCAAGTCAGCCAAAATACCCATGACTAAACACTTCTTGGCGGTGCAACGGGTGAGTCGGACATCCCCGGAGCATTCGCCGACACGCTCACGGCACCAAAATCATCACCGACTTGTTCATCTCTGATGATGATGATGATCATCATCATCATCATCCTGATCAGACTGTGAGAGCTCCCTCATCCCTGCTTTACTGAATCGAGTAAATTCACCCGCTGTCATCTCCAACTTTCGCATGCGCCTCGTCGGGGTTTCCCATGGGGTAAGGATGAGCTGAGCCTGTCAGCGTTTGCATCTCCTGCAGTGTTGTTGCAACCCCGAGTGTCGATCCTGTCACATTGGGGGAGTCCGTGACAATTGTCACATGGACCATCGGGATGTTGGGTAGTATATATTCACCAAACGGGCCGCCGACCCGAGGAACAACAATGCTACTTCACCTCAGGTCCAGGGTCGTAGTAACTACGGGATTCACCCAGGGTGGAGGGACAAGCAACAAAGTCCTGTTCTCCCCCACGGACTTGTACCGAGCAACGATGTCATCCATGTGACCCCATGACATCTCGAAACCCTCCAGCGTGCCTTAGTTCGGCGACCCTAAGCCTCTGTGCCCAGCCAAACAAGACCCAAAAGCCAAAATGACCACCACGCGAAAGAAGCCGATCCACCGCGCCAAGGACGAGCCAACTCCCGTTGTAGTAATGGCGTCAATCCTACAGGTGGCCCTGTCAGCCCTCCCATTCGCTCATCCGGCGCCACTTATTTCCTTCCCGTCTCAGGATGCCACGCGCTGGCTTGACGCCCGGCTGGGGCTAGTTACGGAGTAGAGAAATAAAATAATCACACTAAAAGAAAAAAATTGCCCGAGTCACCTCCGGCCCCGGGGTGGAGTGGGCTGGGCATAAGTCTTTTCCGGGGTTGCTACCAATTGCCTTTTAACCCTTTAGCCATCCCATCCCATCCCATCATTTGGCGCGGAGGCGGAGAATTATCCGCCGGACGGCCAGACACTGCTACAGCTGCCAATATTACTTTATTAGTGATAGTAAGTATTATTAGTATCGGCGAAGTGCTAATAATTTCCACCATTCCAAATCGTCTTGGTAAGCAGTAGCAAGCAGCTACGATAACTAATGGAGATTCCGTTTTCGTCGCTTGCTTCACCTTATCGTCTTAACTCAAAACTTACTTTTTCCCATCGGGAAACTCTCCAACGCCAGCCAGCCATGTGGAGTAAAAGAAGAAAAACCAAAGTACCTTTCTTCTTCTTCTTCTCTTTCCCCCGGGGTTCAAATCCTGGTTCCCAACTTCGCACGTGAACCGATACGAACCCTAATCGGAATTGTCGAAAAAATAGAAGGTGTGGAGGAGAAAACAAACTTCGCCACCCATCCAATTCAAAGTAGACAATTATCTGGCCTCGTCGGCTGATGCAGTGGACGTCGGCAAAAGATACGTATCGCCATTCAGCCATGTAGACGACTCACCCAAGCCACAACCCAAGTCGTGGAAATGATCTTACTCGGATTCCAGTTCATTGCGTTTACCCCATTAACAAAAAAAATAAACAAGCACATCGTATACATAACATAAACTTAAGACATAACTATTGATCCATCGAAATCGGAACTCCCGGATAACAAAACAATCCCAACCCACTCACCCCAGCTGTCAGAGATTCACCCCGCCAGCCCGAAGTCCTCCAGAGTGATCTCCCGAGGTTATCATGGGCAAGCCCGTTTTCTAGCTCCGTCGGGAAAATAGGAGGATGCTTACTACGTATCTAGGCACCAGCTGAGCTGTCGTGTCGTGTCGTCGCCGATGTGAGATTATCGGGCTAGACTTACATCAGCTGGGAGCTTGAGCTTGAGCTTTCGCTCACTTACGGCTAACTGGATGGCTGGGTGGTCGAGGCCTCGGGTTGGGGTTGGTCTGGCCGGGTAGCATCGATCCCATCTCGTTTCATCCCATCTCATCTCATCGGGTTTGTTGGCGATTATAGTAGAATTGGCGAATACGCGGCCCTGTCTCGGGACGTAATGTGTACATGGAAGGAGTGGTTCTACGGTGGTAGGTATGGCTGTTGTAATGGACAGATAGTATTATGGACTGACATTCAGGTCTCGATACTGTGAGAGAGATATTCCCGAGATGAGCATCCCCCCGCCGGAGATAGAAACCCCGAGGGAAGGATGAAGACACCCCGAAGAATTAGATACTCGGGAAGTCAACGAGGGAACGGTTATCACATTTATCTGCCTAGTCTTACAGTGTAGGTATGTAGGAAGTCTAGTCTTCTACTGATGTCTTTTCCCATCAGGACACATAGCTAGAGAAATCAGACTCCCGTATTTGCCCGGGATATGGCTCCCGGAACCATTGTGATTTCCGACGGTGGTTGGCTCTGTCTATGGGCAGGGAGCTGATTCCTAACCGATATTTGTTCAAGTAGCTTCAGCTGGTTAGAACGATGCTGCCAATTTCAGGTGCTCCGAATGACATAGGAAACTTCTTATTCATTAAAAGTTTTTTCATCTGAATGACTGTTCACGTCAACTCCTAGGGCATTTGGTTTTCCTTCTTGCTCTGCCGTGGTTGAAGAGGTCCATCCGCTGCACGTAAGCAGTTGCCGGTATCTTTTGTTTATTGATGTGCAGACAGCCTTCTGTATCCTGTGCAAGCTTCTTCCAGGAATCATCTAGTAGAGTATCATCTTATATCTAACGATAACAATTCTCCTCTGCGCTTGAAATTTGATTTCACTATTCCGATATGCGCATATAGCGGAAACATACCCAATTTGGTAAGCGGGCCGGTTTCTAAAACTGCAGTTATGACTTTTCACCTCCATGTCCGGTTCTATCATTGATAATGAATTCGCTGAGTAGGTCTTACCAGAAATAAATGCTAATTATCGCATACTCATTGCGAGACGCAAGTAGTTTGACACGTTTTCCCTTTCAGGAAATAGAGGTTTAGTACCACTGAATCTTGTGCTGGAGGACAGCTATAGCAACGTTATTGGTATTTGAGCCACTAACAACTATATAGCTGGAATGATACACCAATAGAAGCTATGGATTGAAAGCTTAGCACTAATAGTGCATTTAGACGTAATCTATAAATATCACATACATTTGTATGTATATCGAACACATGATCTGTCTGTAGTTACTACCTATCTTGTAGAACTATCATCGGGGAATAGACAAGACATGTATTTGGTTGCAAGCTACAAGCCGCACGCTTTATTTTGCAGTGCTATGGAAGAATCCAATGTTATACGTCGTCATGCATTCATTTCGTGCCATAATGCACCTGCATAGCTTCCATTCTCCCCGATCAACCCTACCCTCCGATGACCTCAACCCAAACCCAACTATATCTCCCCTCCTTCGAACCGAAAGAAAAGATATCAATCAGATTGAAGAAGAAATCCCCTCATATTCAACCGCCCTCCCATCTCTAATCCACACTCTCTCCCCCTCACTCCTAAACGGCGGCGGCACCAACGCATTGATCTTCCACAGGCGTCTATCGGTCTCATCAACATGATACTCGAAATCGTACCCTTTATCCAGAAGATGTGGCTTCATAACGCTATCCAATCGACTCGTCGTGCGTGCATATGCAGCGTCAGAATCCGGCACATGCAGCGCAATGTGCGTGATGACTATCCGGACGAAGGGTTTCTCGTCGGTGGGGTGTTTGGGTGTGCCTCCGACGTAGACATCGTCGGGTTGTGTCGCGATGAAGTTTACAACCACGTAGAAGGCGGGGAGCCCGAGGTCGGTGTAGAACTTGGTGATGTCTGAAGCGAAGGAGTGCTTGGATGATGGGGTGGTGAAGGTGGTTGGTGGGTGGTAGATTTGCCAGAGGGGCATTTTGAGATGATATTTTTCGTTAGATTGGGTGTGATGATGGGGGCTGGTTATTGTCTACGAAGCTGATGCTGGTGCTGAGATATATATATATTCAGCTTAATGATGCCTAAGCTGAGCGTTGAGTGATGTTACAAGACTCGTAAGGTTGCGCCATGATTACTGATCCGAATATGATTAGTGATCGGGCCGATAACAAGGATACAGATCTCGGTCAAGGTTAAATTTCAGATCGTTGGAAAGATAAAGTTGCATGGAACGATCTAGATGGATTATAGGTAACAGCGATATAGCAGAAGGTAAGGGTCCCTGGTACAACTCTGATGGATTTGTCACCCGCTCTTCGGAGTGCTGCGCCATGCCGAAGCTTACTTCCGCAAAATGCATCCGTGACTCGGGTTATACGAACGCCTCAGGATTTATAAGATTAGTGAACCATCCGGTTGCAGTCACTTAAATGTTTACACGTTTGTCGTCATTGCTGCTCATGGAGTTACAAATCAGGTGCTGGAATGCTCTTTGTTTGGTCCTACCACACAAGGTATAGAAATCGAGAGCTGGGCTTCGATAGTAGAAGATTTCACTTGGAATATCAAGATCCGTCCTAATCAACAAAATGACTACACCTCTTGTCTTCGTGACCGGTGCAACCGGCTTCATCGGCTCGCAGGTCGTCGCTACTACACTCAAAGCCGGCTACCGCGTGCGTCTGAGTATCCGTAGAGCAGAGCAGGAAGCTACCTCGAGAGAGCTCCATCCTGGCTATGGTGACAAGATTGAAGCATGTATCATACCTGATATCTCTCAGCGGAAATCATTCAAGGATGCCTTTCAAGGTGTAGATTATGTTTTCCACCTTGCCTCTCCGATTCCCGGCGGAGGAAACGACTTCAAGCAGGACTACATTGAGCCCGCTGTCAGAGGCACGGAAGCAATCCTATATGCTGCTTTGGAGTTTCCTCAGATTAAGAAAGTCATTGTCATGTCTTCTGTGCTTGCGCTGGCTCCCGTGACTGCTTTGCTTACCAAGGATATCTCGATAAAGGGTGAGTACCATAAGAGATAGCTTACTTGAATGATAACCAACGCATAGCAGACAACACCGGAGAAATTATCCCCGTCGACATGAACATGTCTTTCCCGGAAGATTCTCACGGCCACGCACTGAAATACGCTGCTTCGAAGATCCTTGCGCACCAAGCGACACGCTCATTCTTGGAGAACAACTCTCCTCATTATAATTTGATAACACTCCATCCGACATACGTCCTGGGACCTAGTATGGTTCAGAAGACCCCGGGCGAGCTTAGTGGCATGAACGCGCTCTTCTGGTTGTCAGTTACCTCAGGCCAAAGTCAAATCGCCAATGCCTGGGTGCATGTTCACGATGTCGCGGATGCACACATCAAAGCGCTGGAGAAAGATGTCCAGAGTGGAACAGAGTTCATCTTATCCAGACCGTCTGTGTCCTGGGAGCATGCGGCAAATTTCATCAAGAAAAAGTATCCAGATGTGGAGTGTAGACTGGAACCGCCTTTCGAGGGTCATTGGGCGCTGGATACCACTGCTGCTGATCGCATACTGGGTATGAAGTGGAGGTCGGAGGAACAAATCATTAGAGATGTTATTGAGCAGCAGTTGGAGTTGAGGGAGAATGCTCGTAATTAGGCAATTGGCGTGGAGATGTGCTGTTCATGATCCCGTGTGGGTTTTTCTCTGGAAACTAAGGATGAACGTGAGGGTGGGGTGATAGTCAAGGCTGATAGCCAGGCTATAACTAATTCTGTGATTTATATGGAATCTTTTGGGCCGGAGGAATACCATCAGACTATCACAAGTTGCTTCCGTCAAAGACTGTCAAGGTGAATAAAACAATCCCGGATGCGTGCCACGTCAGCACACATGAGGGGCTGCTCCCCCAACGAGCTGAGCACTAGTACAGTTTGAAGCTGCCTATATTGGAGCTGTAGTACTGCTACAGGTACTTGGCCAAACTGGGACCGTAAGTCTAGAGAGCGGTTGTCAGGTGTACAACCTGGAGAAGAGCAATATGCTGATAGAGTACATGCACGGCCGAGGTCATCAGGAGTAAGAATGTACTATGAATTTCGTTTCCATGATTCAACCTGAGAAACATAATTACTGTTGAGAGGGCTGTACGTCATCCCAAGGCCATAAAAAATAAAAAAAACACACAAGAAGCCTAGCATTTGGCCTATACTGGATTAGCCGTTACTATGGACAAAGCGTCTAGTACAGGGGCAAAGCTGCTGCTGACAAGCCAAGAAAAAGGGCAAACAGTTTCATAGAGGTCTCTTATCCTTGACTTTGATGTAAGCCCCGGGCGCCGATTTGGAATTTCGTTGTACCACAATCGTCGTATCATCAGACTGCACCCTCTTCCGTGGGAACTTTTTGCGCACCAGTTCTATCAGTTTTAGTTCTTGAAGCAGTCTCAAGTAAGCCCGTCCTGTTCTATATTCTTGAACCACGATCTTTTGGTTCAGAGTGACCTTCCACTCGATTGAATAGTGGATACACGATGGCGGTTGTTCATCAGTGTTCCCTTCGCTCTAATAAAGCAAAGTCGATGAGAGGGACTTGGCATGCTTGAGTCAACGATGGTTTGGCGAATCGATGGTATGGTTTGAGACGCTAGACGTCGATTCTTCAACCCAAACTTCGCCTGTCCGCTACCAAATGCCTGGCATTACTTCTGAACTTGGAGGCCTCAACCTCTGTTCTAAGGCCAGTTGGCCCAGTCGAGAAGAAGATATAAGAGGCAGATGTACACCAATGTTACGACAGTCGAAAACAGTAAGCTCAACCAATGCATATAAAAGCTATAGGTTAACCCCATGCTTATCTCCTATAAGAAGTTGGCAAGTATATACAATGCTCCTAAAGCACTGAGGCTTCTGTCCAACCCACTTCGTCATTTTTTCCTCATCATCAGTATTCTTACGAAAAGCTAGTATCTTCTCTGATTTACTGGACTACCTCATATCAAGTACAACGACCAGAAATAATATCAAGAAAGTGTTTACAAAAACGAGAAAAGATTATAAGTGAGACTGTCGTCTGTTATACATTCTCCGTTCTGGCCTTAAGGGCAAATTTCATCCGGCGGTGCATTTGTGCATGGTGGCTGAGAAAGCTCAAGAGCATCCGGACTTCTTACAGGCTCACTCTCTATTTCGTTCGCCTTTGCATACTCCATTATAGGCTCTAGCCTTCGGCACTTATGCCATACACTGAAATCTGGGTAGTTGATTTGGCGACCCTTTACCCAGCTCCTTGTCACGACGCCAACATCGCCGTTGCATTGTATCACTTGCCTCAACATATCAATACAGTGATCTGAATAATATCAGAAAAACGTCTTTATAAAAGATAAGAAGAAGGATGCTATACCAACATGGAGCCGAAGAGTTTCGTTTGAGTCAGAGAACTCTACCGGCTTATTATCCAACTTTGAATAATAGCCATAATATGTGTACTGTCGGACTAGATTGACGCAGTGGAGCTATTAACAGAGTTAGCAATTGGAAATATATAGAGAACCAAGATGAGACTTGAGAAAGGCGAGCAACCTGATGAAAGACTTCTATACCACCCGCATAACCATCTCCCTCGGCCTCGAGCACCTTGACTTGAGATAATGGTTTCTTTAAATGTGGCATATCTTCTTTTGCGATCTTGAGCTGGGCCACTATAAATCGTAAGTAACACATCTGTGTATACACAATTGAGGAAGTTAGATCAAATACTATGAGTAATGCGTTTCCATTCATCGTCCAAGCGTGGGTTGGGAGCTCCCTTATATGGATTTGTGTCGAACAAGCTTCCTTGAAACCGGACATTATCATATTCCACAAGGTCTATGAAGGGTGCTATCGATTTTTGATGTTATAGTTAGGACAGTTCGAATCATAGTATATATGGAGCAAGACATACAATAGGCTGATAGCTGGGCTGCACATTGCTGGTCCGTAGGGTAACTCTGGCGCAATCTCAAGCCTGATATTAGCATATAGAATGAGAGGAGGAAGACCAGTATTTGCGAAGTCAGGAGCCATGGTATTGCCCAACAGTGAAGGCGACCTAGTCTTTGGTGATTGCCCTTGTCCAAAAGGGGGCCACTGTCGTCGTCTATAACATTGTCTGGTAAATCATTCTCATGTGATGTTATCGAATCCATGTTAAACAATGAGTGCAATGAACGGTAGTAATGATAATAATAACTTCTTAATTCTTTCGCTCTTTATTCAATTGACTTACTCTTCCATGAAGATGGCGTACACTTAAGTGAAAGAACATAGAAGAAAGCTGTCTCCAATCTCAGATTGAAAACTAGGGATATATCGACTTCATGCCCAAGCCCTGGGGACTTCAAATATCCCCCAGGCCAGATAGTTGGTAGAAGCAATAGCAAAATAGCGGTCTACGAACAATAATCGTGGCTAAGTACGTTTCTTCCGTGAATTCCATGTCTACACTCAACAGAGGCAAACCCTTGCGAAGCAGATCATACGTAGATCGGAAGGGGAAAGAAATAGTAAGTGGGTATTATGTGTATGACACCCCTGCACGGCCTAAGATACATACTCCGTAAGGGGGTGAAGGTTTCCTCACGCTGGGTCCCTGCGGGCTTGGAGTAAAAAGTAACGAGGCTGCTGACAAGTTGGTAAGGAGCCAACAAGGCCAGCCCCCAACATGCTTCAGTAGTGGCGGCTGTACACCAGCTCACGCAAAGCCTGCTTTAACTTTGAGAATCGGTGGGACCAGGTGACTGAGCGGTAAAGCCGCTGACTACGACACCATCACGGCCCACCCGCAGGTCATCCGCTGAATTGCCGAATTCATGCATAAATCAGGCCTGCTGGCCCAGGTCCGTGAGACAAAACTGACTTAGGGCCCGAAACCGATCACTATTATGGGAGAAGAAGGTGACGACTGCGACTAAATGGTCACACGATAACCTATGAGGGTCACCTGGGTTGAGGTATCAACTACGCGGATCCAAATGGAAGGCAGAGGGTGATTAAATAGGGGATGGGCACTGTGGCAGGTGCTTTTAATTGTGATAAACTTTTTCGTTCGTTAACCTCCTATGTATGATTAATAGGATATTTGGGCGTTTTGGACTCAGAATTTCGCGTCACCGACGAGGCGCCTGCATAGCTAGACGTTCAATAGTTAGGCTCTGGCAGGTTCATAGAATTTTGAATCGTTGATCAATCAACTGACCAGCCCCCCCTCCACCAGAGAGGGTGCCAATTATAGCAATCAAGTGTGAGGAAGGCTTCAGTGCCCTATGAGAGGCAATGAGCATTATTGTTGATATGCGGCAAGGGGTATTACTCACATATGACCTCAATACCATTTCTTCTCTCCGTATCTTGGCCCTAACTACCCTAAGAAAATTTCTGCCTAGTTGACTAGTCTATTCATACCCACAGGTCAAGGTAGTTCTCCTATAAAATGGGCCCTTTCTGCCAGCTTCTGAACCAAGACAGAAAAATTCTTTACACAGAGGCCATTGTTCCAAATTCTGTCTCAATCTACCATTCTACTTCAATTCAACTTTCTAAACGATATCCTACCGCCATTTTTCCTTTCGATCCCTGACAAAATGAAGTTCTCAAATGCAGGCTTGATAGCCTTTTCCGCTCTTCTTTCCATCAGCAGCGCTGTGCCCATGGACAAGTACGCACTTTGACTATGCCTTTCAATTCTTTTTCCTTGATGTGGTGATCCTTTATCTTAACGTAGTATATAGGGCTAGCACCAACAAGGTTCGGACCGAGGAAGTTACTGGCCAGTACGACTGGCCCCAGCATCAGGCCCGCGCCGAGGAACTTACTGGTCAATATGACTGGCCCCAGCATCAGGCCCGCGCCGAGGAAGTTACTGGTCAATATGACTGGCCCCAGCATCAGGCCCGCGCCGAGGAAGTTACTGGCCAGTATGACTGGCCCCAGCATCAGGCCCGCGCCGAGGAAGTTACTGGTCAATATGACTGGCCCCATAATGAGGCTCGCTCTGAGGATTCAATCGCGAAATAAGACCTCTGAGAGAATCATGAACGGAGAGGATGGACTCTGAATACTAGCTTGATGTACGCGGGACCAATAGTAGGAAACGCACTCTTCTTTTGACTGCAGAAATTGCAGAAATCTACGAAGTACAATCCCTTATCTTTTCTCTAGCTAAAGTATATTTTGACGTACGTCATTTATGTCTATTGATTTCTCATAAGTACAATTACACTACCTCTGGACGCGTAAAATCATAATAAAATGGACATATCTGCTGCAGGATCAGTAATAACTATGATTGGTTCAACGCAGCTACAAACAAGCTGAGTACTGTTATAATAGCCAATGGTATGTATAGCATTGACAAGGCGGTGGAACTGGTCTTTCAATTTTACACGCAAAAATACATATAATTCTACATTACCAGAGGTAGTATGTATGTTCAAAGGATAGTGTGATGTCTATCCGATCGGGCATGTGGGGCTCAGACACGTATGAATTTGTTTAGGTGATTTGCTAGCGTTGTCGCAGATCAAATGGCGAATCGTCTAGATGGTTATACAGCATACCATGCATAAATAGCAATTTCGGCTCATATATCCGAAGCTTTATGTCGAGTTGGTCTTACAGAGGATGCTGGAACCATTTGGTACAAGATCTTCAAATAGATCACTGCTAGTAGCAAGAGAAAGTCATAAATGAGATTTTCCTTTTCAATAGTATCTCACTGCCGGCCTTTGATCCTCTTAACCTACGCATCCTTACCTGATCGATAGGTCATTCTAAATAACAGATATCCCTGAAATTCTTTGTGAGTCCGCGTCGGTTGCTTGATACGTGGATACTTTGGTAGTTGTGACCCACGAAATATAAAATCTAGAATTCACAATTACTACCTTGAGTGGTTTTTTAAGGTCACATCATTTCCTAAAGAAAACCCCTCTCTCCCCTTCATCAACCAAACGAAGCTGAGAGACTGATAACTAATGCTCTATGAACTAAAATATGGAGTATGTGAGAGCCTAGAAGATCTAGTGTTTGATTACGCATAGCCAATGTGCACTATTTCTGTCTTCTGCTAGGGGAGAGTAAGTCTGGTTACGTTCTCACCGCAGTATCACTTCATTGATTTCCCCTATTCCACTAGCTATGTACAGCAGAAACTTACCTGCAAGTTAAAACTCTATATGGAGTGCTCTGTGGTGATCAGCAAGCCCATTCCTATTCCTATGTGACCATTTATTCCCTCCTATTAGTTGAAAATACTCTATTTTTTGCCACTCAGCTAAGAGAGTATTTGAACGACCAAGATGGCCGGTATACATATTCTCAGCTGCAATTTCAAGATTGACACCTCACTACATTACGTCTAGGAAGATGAGTCTAGTCGAAGTGACACTACCTCAGGATTTTGAACCTAGATTCGTTATTTTGTCTCTTCACTCGGATAGATATTCTATGATATTGCATTTCTTTGTTGGCTAAAGCTAGGGATGAAGTTATGAAGAGCTTCCAATAGTGATGCACCGGGGGAATCAGGACTCTGTATCTGTAATTAACCCTACGGCAGGCTGGCTGCGCCTGGGGCCAGTCGGTTGATTAGCGGCGTCAATTCGCCGTTATTTCAATCCTTACCTAAATTACTACTTCTCAATGGTGACCCTATAGCCATGATGAAAAATGCTTAGGTAAGATGATGGCACGGGCCACGGAACGGAGGGATAGATAATACAAGACATACAGAAACTACAGAGGGGCAGAGGGAGACTACGTGGATTGCGAGGGATCTCGGGGCCTCAAAGGGGGAAACGCTGACGCATAGGTTACATACGGATTCCTGAGGGATTTCAGACAATTGATTAGGCTAATTCAGCATTGTAAAACGCTTGAGAACATGTCCTGCAGATAGAATCCGTGGCCACGGCCCATCAGCCGTCAGCGACTCGGGAAGGGCCCAAATAGGGGCTGTATTCAGATATAACTATTCGATCAATCATGTATCTGGGTTTCAATCCAGCATTCATGAGGTATATCATATTCTTCGTCAAAAGTATTCTCCCAGTGTCTCAGTCTTTATTGAGTGCCTTGCATGTTGTAGTATGAAGATACCAATGCAGGGTAATTCATGATATGTAATCTTGAATTAAACGGGGTGTATTAAAATAATATGACAGTGTTACTGCAGAATGGTAATTAAAGATATTCTGCTAGGGGGGTGGGTCCTCGTAGGGATGGGTGTCATAATGACTGCAGGACACTATTGCCGTGAAGTACTCAGCCAGCCACATTCCTCAACAAATGCATGACGCCCCATCTAATAGTGTATTACCGAAGAAAATCGCGCATCCATGGTGTTAGAATTGCCGACCCCAAGTCAAAATAGATAGATCTGAAATCAAAGCATATTTAAGATAATGAGTAGTTCAACCATCACCTCTCAAGTCGTAGGATTGGCGTCCCACCCTCACTCAAGCACCTCATCCCGTGTCTTCTCGCTAGCAATTTGAGATGGAGCAGCTCAGATTACAAGCAGTTTGCTTTCTTCTTGAGGAAGTAAAGACTTCTATCGAGGAACTGCAAGATAAAAATACAGATAAGGCCAGAGTTGCAGCACATGGAAATGTCATAAAATTGGCGCGGGCAATCGAAAACCCCAATGACTTGATTTTGAATCTTTTCTTCTCTGTGAGTCATCTAAAACTTTCCCTCACTAGAACTGGCCTAATACAGAAAGCCTACTCAACTTATGGCCGTCAAGGTCGGTCATGATGTCGGTCTTTTTGCAGCCCTTGTGGGGTCAAACACAGCAGTCACCAGCAAGCAGTTAGCTGCAGCGAGTGATGCCCACCCACTCCTAATAGGTAATGTATAAATTGGCCTGCTGTTTAATTGTGCAATATCTAACTAATACAGAGCGGATAATGCGTGTTCTTGTTGCAATGGGATTTGCTGAAGAGCAAGAAGGTGGAACGTACCTCGCAAACGCGCTCTCAAGGGAGATGACAGAAAAAGCATCTACCAGTGTAATTGAAACACTGTAAGTCTCCCATTTTGCTCTTACACATCCCAAAAGGGGATATATCACTGACGTCCTTGACTCAGATTTACAGATGTTGCTCCTGTTATCCAAAAGACACCAGAATTCCTCCGAAAGTCTGGGTATCAAAACCCTGAAAATGGCCGTGAGGGGCCCTTCCAATACACTTACAATACCAGCCTGTGCACATTCGATTGGCTTGCGGAGAATCCTATTATCCAGGCACGCTTTCACGCTTATGTAGACGGTGTTCGATCAAATCGGCCATATTGGTTCGACTGGTTTCCGGTGCAAGAGAGGATGTTGAATGACTGTGCTAAAAACCCAGATGAGCCGCTTCTTGTTGATATTGGTGGTGGAACTGGGCGGGATATCTCGGCTTTCCGGGATAGATTTCCAGATGCAATAGGGAGGCTCTTCCTTGAGGATCTTCCCTCAGTGATTGACCGAATTCAATCAGTGGATCAAGTAATAGAACCGATCAAGTACAACATATACGATCCCCAGCCTGTTCATGGTAGGTCTCCTCCCGTTTCTGTTCACCTTTTGCTGATGATAACTTGCAGGAGCCCGCGTGTATTATCTCAAATTTCTACTCCACGAGTTTGATGATGAAAACTGCAAAGTTGCGCTTCGAAATATCACAGCCGCAATGAAAAGGGGTTATTCGAAACTTGTGATCGATGAGTTCGTTCTTCCAGATCAAAATGCTGGAATCTTTTATTCTATGCTTGACATGGGCTTGATGGCTTTTAGGTCAGGCATGGTGCGTACGCAAACACAATGGACTACTATTCTCCAGTCTGTGGGGTTACATGTCAATGTCATCTGTTTTCCAGATGGTAATGGCCCCGCGATTATTGAGGCGGAATTGTTAGGCGAAGACTTGAGTTAGTTGCTACTTGACCTTGGAATAACCTATTTGGGTAGCGCACTGGAGCAGTTTAGCTGGGTAGGCCCTCATGGGCTAGATGTTATTCAGGTGAAGGGGTAAATCTTTGACTTTTATAATATAGGGAATATATACCATTCATATGAAGTATACTGATGGCCAGAGTAAGTAAGAGAGTGACTAGGCATACAAGTTGATGGGGCTAAAAGCATTTCATCCTCAACTTCAGAGTATCTGTAAGTAGCGACAATCTAAGTTGAAGAACATTTTCCTTCCTGTAATCAGCTATACAAAACTTCACTCTGAGATAATGATCCAGACCAAATAGAGTCTCTGCTTGAGTATAGGGTACGGGGTCAGGTGTCGATGACTGATGAATATGTAGTCAAATCACCCACAAAACTATTTCGTAAATTGTAGCCTTCAATGTACACTACATGTACGAACCAGACATATTTTAGAAAGGCCAAGAACCTAAATACTTACTTATAAGCAGATAAAACCCATCGCCACGGTAAAGTGCGCCACTCTATTGGGATTACTTTCACACTTGATCAGCATCACTTCGACATCTTGTCAGGTGCACGCGATCATCGGCCACTAACTAGTCGCCTCACCAGCAAAGAGCCGATCAAGCCATTTACTTGCGAATTCGGCTACAGGAGTTATCCCGTAGCTCACCACTGTGAAGACTCATTATTCTAAAGTCCAGTGATAACATTTCATAAGTACCGCACAAGGTTCTAGGTACATGGAAGAAGCAGGTGATCTGGTCGTTTCTTGCCACACCTTTCTTGTCAAGGCATTTTTGCCGAGATTTTCCAGTCACCTTTTTGACCACGCCTCTTTCGGCCATGCTTCTTTTGGTAATAACCGCCGACCTCAATTTTAACTTCCTCACATCTCTGCCGCCGTGACCATACAGACTCTCAAGAACACAAAGAATTTTCCCATGTTTACTACTGGAGTTCTGCTTGGATATCAGGGTACTCCAGGTCATCATTTCGAGCGAACAAGTCATCGGAAATGCCAGAACCCCAAGGACAGAATCTATGCCCTCTATGGTGTCAATCTGGACCTCCAGAAGGCTTTCCCTCCAGATTATAACAAAACATTTGAGCAGGTTGCGCTGGAGACAACAATTTGAATGATCGGTCAAGAGAAGTCCATGTTTCTCGTGCTAGCTCCTTGTGCTGCACCCAAAACATGGAACACTCGGATACCTTCTTGGGTGCTGGATTATCGCCCAGGCTCCGCACATTTCATAACGTCTTACCGGAAATCTAGACTAATACGCCCCTTGGTATTCCATGCAGGCTGCCAGAATGCTAAGCCACCCGACAGTGGATTAGAGCATATGATAACCAAGGTATCCGACAATAGATCAATTTTACACCTCCCTGCTAGGCGATTCGCTAAATGCCAGGCTTTGTTGCAATTCTCAATGGAGACACGCATGATTGCAAGTCAACTCATTAAGGTCTTTGAGATGATAGAGGAGCGGTGGAAAGATATCGGTTGCATCGAATACTTGCAACAACATCTTCTCGACACATGGTTCGCTTATCACCTTGGCTCGAAAGGAGATTACCCAGAAGACAAGATACGTGGTATGCTATTGAAGATAGCGGAGTTAGATCTACCAGTTACCAGGAGGGAAATGTGGGAGATAGAGGGTGCTTCAACGGTCCTTGAACATCTCCAAGGTCTTGGAGGCCACTGGCTTTTTTTAGCGCATAATTCCTATCTCTCCCTCTTTGGAATCAGTCGAGAGACAGTGGAAGATGAGGACATCTTCACTATCCCGGATCTCTTGAACCGCCCGCTCATACTTCGCATCAGTGACATTGTGGTCAACAAGGGCGCGAAACCGTACTATAAAGTAGTTGGCCAGGCCATCGCGGGCAAAGTATACCACCGTTCAACGCTCGAAGCTTTCACACAACAATCTATAGAAGAGTTTCTTGTGCTTTGACTTGAAAGTTTGAGCCATGTATTTTAGTTCCGAAATTATTTCCTTGTTCGTTAACCTTATCTTGATACTAATGAAGTTTGGCTTCACATGGCCAATGCTGTGAAACCGTTATACCTGCACACTTAAAGCTTCTTCTTTGGAAACCTTGGAGGACAGTATCAGGATATGAAAGAATCGGATCACAAGAAAAAGTCTTTTTGGTCTCAAGTGAGTTTGCAATTCCTAATCGATGGCGTAGTATTTGTGAGAAGACTATACCTCCTTTACACACATGTCCACGCCAATCAAGCGATCTTATAACGGATGGTTCAGGGTATGGTACAGACCGGTGTACCGGTATCATCTAAATGGCCCCACTGAAATTATAAACAAGGGAGTTGCAAAAGAACAAGCCAGCAACCCTGCCATATCCATGAAATTATTAGCGTATTACCTTTGCATAAATTAAACCCTTTGCAAAATACTATCGACTAAACCATCATCATGCATGAGCCAGGCTTTTATAGGACCCGCTTCGGAGTGTTCGGAAAAAGCAAACAAGCCCAAAGCAAGCAAAACAAGCCTCGGCTGCCGGCGGATACCCGCACCGCAATGACTTCATGGCCAAGCAGCAACTAATAATGGGGATTCTTCGGGCTAATGTTAAACATACAAAAGTAATATATAGGTCTTCGTGATGATCAACCTAAAAGTCCCCGAAGTCTGATATATTACTTATACCCCCAGTTTACCCAAACCTCAACTACTGTAATTCCCGCACATAAACCTCGAATCCCCTAAACATTGCACTCCACATCATGGCCGAATTGACCTCACCCATCCGCATCGGTGGCCTCGAGCTACACCACCGAGTAGTAATGGCCCCATTAACCCGCAATCGCGCCGACGCCCAACATGTCCCGCTCCCTATATCCCGCGACTACTATGCACAGCGCGCCTCCGTCCCCGGTACCCTGATCATCACCGAAGGCACATTCATCTCCGCTCGCGCCGGGGGCATGGGCCATGTTCCCGGGATCTGGAGCGATGATCAAATCGCCCAATGGAAGATCATCACTTCCGCCGTCCACAGCCAGCGCAGCTTCATCTTCTGCCAACTCTGGGCGCTAGGCAGGGCCGCCAAGCCAGACGTCCTCCAGAAAGAAGGCGGATACCGCGTAGTCTCAAGCGGAGACATCCCCATGAGCGAATCCAGTCCCACGCCAACCCCATTAACCGAGGAAGAAATATCCGAATATATCACCGACTACGTGCGCGCAGCGCAGAACGCCATTGCCGCTGGGTTCGACGGCGTCGAGATCCACGGCGCGAACGGCTACCTTCCCGACCAGTTCACACAATCCGTGAGCAATAATCGCACCGATCGATGGGGCGGTAGCATCGAGAATCGCTCCAGGTTTGGTCTCGCTATCGCGAAAGCCGTGGCGGATGCCATTGGACCCCATAGGACCGGGTATCGCATTAGTCCTTGGAGTACCTTCCAGAGCATGCGGATGTCTGATCCCCGACCGCAATTTACGCATCTTGTGCGTGGCCTGGCGCAGTTGAACTTGGCTTATTTGCATGTGGTGAGGCCACGGATTTCGGGGTCAACGACAGTGGAGCATGAGACTGAAGAGGAGGATGAGTCGTTTCTCTATGAGGCGTTTGGGGATAGGGGGGCTATTATTCTCGCGGGCGGGTTTACGGCCCAGACGGCTACTGAGGCCCTCCGGGCGCATCCCGGGTATCGTGTCGCCATTGCCTTTGGGAGACATTTCTTAGCGAATCCGGACTTGCCGTTCAGATTGAGAGAGGGGCTGCCGCTTAATCAGTATGATCGGCCGACGTTTTATACGCCCATGTCGCCGAAGGGGTATGTTGATTATCCGTTTAGTGAAGGTTTTAGTCCTTCTCAGGGGAAGTTGTAGCGAGGCTGCAAACGAAGGCGAATAGATGTATCCTCTCGAATTTTCAGCATTGTCAGCATGTTCTCTGCACTATACACCTCATTATAACTTTCTCCGCAATACTTTCCGTCAAGCCATAATATAGCCCGGAAAGTGCCAAAAAGCACCCTGGTTTAGAACAATACTATTGCGGACTTAAGGGAGGTGTGAAATGATCTTATGGGCACAAGCCCAGGAACCGACGGCTGTATGATGTCTAATCGCGGTACCATCAGAGACGGAACTGATTCTGGTACAATATTAGAGGCGATTTGAAAGGAGACAGCCACCATACCTAGAAGACCTGTCGGTCGGTGCGCATTCACGCATGAATGAATGACTGAGTACATGAGTCAATGCTGCGTGCATGTCCTGATGCACGTGCGGGATTTCAATGTCGCACACTACCCACTCCTAAAAGAGCAATATATCAAGTTGGCAGGGATGGCCATAGTGACGGGATAAACCAGTCATCCGCATGGTGTTGGTGGAACGCGCGAAAGGGGGTTCAATGCGACAAAATGGATTATAATTTTACCTTTTCCCAAGCAAGAGATCCACTCTCTAACATACAATTATAGACTACCTCCCGCTATTGGGCAAGTATCTTAGCCTTGGGGGTTAGCGCAGCGTCTGAAGTTGGGTGAGATGACCTTTAAGGCTGTGAGAGATTCTTGGCGCCTCTAGTGAGTCATTGCGCTATCTAGTTCATAATGATCGGGGTGCAGATCAGGCTAGCTCGTCTGTTGGAACTGCTCCACAGTATTTCGAGGCTGTATGCAGGGGCCAAACCAGAAAGTTACTTAAGTAGAAATAAAATGAGTATTTTTGGGCCAGTGAAGTATGTACTAAGTTCATACAGAATTTTATGATTTTTTTTTTGTTTTCTTTCTGATACCTGACCGAATTTGGTCTACACTATAATGGCTAGGGATGTTCAAGCGAGACTGGCATACCTCCAATGGCAACCCAGCTACACTCATACACGCCCTTATAGAATTGGTGTATTTGCTGGACGGAGAAAGCGCGACATCGATCGCGACAAGACGACGAATTTAGTATTTCATGTGGCCGATCGTCCTGAGACTATCCGAGATATTAGGGGACTGACTGAACCTCCTCCGTCCGATCTTGATACCAACGGTTTCGTCTACAAGAGATGCCTCGCACCGACTCTTACAAAGTCTTATGAGTACTCAGATCCTCATAAGGTCAACGATATCTTCTTGCCAGAATGCGAAGCCATTCTGAAGGAACACGTTAACGGGGCTGGTGAAGTCATGATTTTTGATTGGAAAGTACGCTGTAACACAATCATCTTATGTGTCAACCACTAAGCTCCTACTTTCGACAGATCAGAAAGAAAAAGAGCGCAAAGGAGAAAAGGACGCGAAACCCGAATTTACAGGGGTTTGCGCGACAGGTTCATATAGGTAAGCTACATACAGTACATCAGGCGATGAGCGTCAGAAGAATGTTTGTGCTGACATGACAAGACACACTTCTAACTCGAGATGAGATTGGAACTCCTTTAATGGAGCGTATACGCAATCACCTTTCAGAAGAGTCTCAACACCTTCTTTCTGGGCGAGTCCAACTGATAATGTGAGTTCATAGGTTATCCTCCTCTCTTGCCAGACCTATCCAGGCGGTTAGATTAGTGATTGCAAGTGTAACTGACATATAATTAGACTCTGGCGACCAATAAGCGGGCCAATTGAAGATCACCCTATTGCAGTATGTGATGGACGAACCTTGGACGCATCCAAGTTGATTGAGTCCGATATGATACGCGGGAACTATACCGGAACTATGCTCTATCCACAATATGAGCCAAGCGATGCACATAAATGGTATTATATGAGTGACCAGGACGTGGAAGATGTGCTTCTGTTTAAAGGGTTTGACACGAAGGAAGATAGTGTGAAATGTGAGTGGTTAATCAACCTGTTTAGCTGTCTTCCAACAGTCCATATCCCTGTCAAGCCGGTGGGTTTGGAAAGGCGTCGGGTGTACATTGACTAACGGAACTTGCTGCAGATACACCTCATACTTCATTCAGTCCTCTGAATACAGCGAAAAGCCCGTGCTCTAGGGTTAGCGTTGAGGTGAGGGCATTGGTGTTTTCGCGCTACTAGACAAAATCCTAACATGAGGGACAAAGGAAGAAGTGTAGGGTAGAACATAGAAGAACACAGATAAGCGAGCATACGAAGGGAGATAAATAAAGCATTCCGATGTTCAAAACTATATTACATGATCTCAAACGTCGCTCGGCATCACATTCGCTTCGTATAACTATTACAGCTCATTTATCAGGATCCTGGGGGTTTAGAACCAGCTTTTTCGGGCTGCGCCCTTCCAAAACGTCGGTACAAGCCTCCTGAATGCTGTTCAACCCACCAGCTCGCTTTTCCAAAGGCGTGGGGGTCACATTTCCGCCCAGTGCCCCGGGAAGATACTCACGATACCACCATTCCGTAAAATCACCATATTCCTCCTTCTGGGTAGTCATGCTGAAGAAGTCGTAAATTAAATCGACATTTTGGGCCAGGTTTATCTCTTTACTCTGCGCACGGACAGATGCAAATCTCCCACCGTTTGGTTGCAGGATGTCACTTATAGCATTTGCACTTTTCGCATCACCCGAAGCCGTGAAGATATAATCAAAGGGCCCGAGACTCTTTAATTTGGATACAATCTCATCGTCCTTGTAGTCGAGAACAGTGGAGGCTCCAAGGCCACGAACATAATCGAACTTCCGCGGGGAAGCCGTTGCTATGACTTCGCAACCGACCTAGAAAGCCATGTTAGATTCCTACCGAATAATACCATCGAGCTATTTTGTGCTCACACTGGCCGCATATTGAACAGCGTAGCCCCCCACAGATCCACTACCACTCCATATAAGTGCTTTCCCTTTGCTATTTGTTCCTGGCTTTCCCATACCCAGGTGCAAGTGTAATGCAGAAACAGCTGTCAAAAGCGCAAAAGGTATTGCAGCGGCATCATCAAAAGTCGTGCTGGCTGGTATCTTCGCGGTCGTGGCTTCTCTAGTCACGACGTATTTCTGCCAGCCCCCGTACTTAGCTTCTTTGAGCTGGTAAGTAGGTGTATCGGACACGACGCGGTCGCCCTTTTTGAATTTGGTGACTGACGATCCGACTTCATGGACAATACCGGCAACTCCATTGCCCAAGATGAATGGGTAGGGCACATCCACGTATGCTTGGGCCCGGATATTGGCGTCGAGAGGCTGTATGGCAACAGCATGGTTCTATCACGCTTCTTAGTTACACGACTTCTCCAGCATGTTTTCAGGCAAAGTGTTGATGCACCTCGATCACGATTTCATCAAGCGAAGGGATATTGTACGCCGCGGTGAATCGCTTTAGATCACTTTTGGGCTTCAGAATCCAGGCGGCTTCGTTCAGAGGCGACATGGTGCCTTGATGATGGCAATTCGCAAGGTATAAGTTAGGGGTGGCGACAGAAGCTGTCAATGCTCTCAGTATTTATTTTATCTATTTATCTTACTACTTATAATGTTGCTCTGAGTAGCAAAGGTGCACAATGACCTCAGAGGTTTGAGGAGAAAGCATAGCCCCACAGGAGCTTAATAGAGCCCAAACTAGCAGATGGCCAATGATGAAAAACATAAGCATTATTAATTTTTACGAGATCGACAATTAACCTTTTCAGTCGTCGGGGATGAACTTAGAGTCATATGAGTGGGCTTTTCTCTTCACCTTTACTTGCGCGAAACTTTGTTCTAGAACATACGTGCCAGAAACATACGCTTTAGAGTTTGCTTGGAACGAGTGTTGGGGTCATCTAGACATCATCAACCAATCTTTGGCTCTCGTATTCCGCACCGTAACATCCGAGACCGGAACTGGCCGATATGTGTACATCTTCGGAAATTTTTGACAAAAGGCAATCGAATCGTCAGGTCCTTCATTATATTGTTTTATAGTGTCCATGGTATTCCTGAGCTACAGCACATGCATAAGGCAGAGTTGGAAAATGCGAAGCTCTGGACATTAGATTCAACGACGGGTAAGTTTCGCCACAAGTTACCCGTGGGTCTTCTCTACATTGACAACATTTCTTTTTAAGCTTTAAAAGAAGGAAGTGCCACTGAGCATTCGATAAGGCGGTGCAACTGTTCAGAATTCAGAAGCAACACCTAGCATGGAGCGGACTGCCGCAGGCAACAGAGAGTTTGTTCTCTGTTTCGATGGAACTGGATATAAGTTTCGCGGAGACGAATCAGACAGTAATGTCCTCAAGATCTACAGAGTGAGTAGTTAAAACATGAGCCAATTTCTTCAGGCTACACTCACATTAATCGAAGATGCTGAACCGCCATGACCCTCGTCAATTTCATTATTATCAGCCGGGGTTTGGGACGCATACCACCTCGATCTGGCAAGCCAGTAAAGCCAGCACTAATCGCCTGAAGAGATGGTTTACAAATATGAAGGACTCCGCGGCAGGCACAACATTTGAAGAACATGTCATTGACGGTTATAGATTTCTCATGCGCTTTTACAGCCCCGGAGATGCCATATACATATTTGGTTTTAGCCGTGGAGCGTATGTTGCTCGCATGCTTGCGGAAATGATAGACCACGTTGGCCTGCTAGAGCCAGGGAATGAAGGGAAAGTACGCTACGTCTGGATGACCTTCTCTAAGTGGGCAAAATGTACCAACAGCGTCGACACTGGCCAGACGGAAAAAGATGATTTATATAAGTACATGAAAGCCCTACGAGAGACATTTTGTCGTCCGGTATCGCAGATTCGCTTTCTCGGATTGTTTGACACCGTCAACAGCATTCCACGATTTGAGGTGAATCGCAATAAATTCCTGTTTCCGTTCACGGCGAAAACCTCGGCTAGGGTAATTCGGCATGCTGTTTCTATCGATGAGCATCGTGCCAAGTTTCGACAGGATTTGATTTCAGATTGCAATCCTAACAGGCCGTCGACGCGGCGCAAGAAGCAGGACCAGCCAGAGCAACAGGGGCGTTGCACAGGCGAGGCGTTCTATCGACCAGCCCCCGCTAATACGCTCTCCGAAGCTAAGGATGGTCTCCGTGACGAAAGCCAGAACACGTGTCAGACTCAGGACATCGAGGAGGTGTGGTTCGCCGGATGCCATTCGGATATTGGCGGCGGACTAAAGTTGGATGACGATGAAGCCATAGCACTGAGCCATGTGCCATTAGTGTGGATGGTACAGGAGGCGCAGCGTGCGGGGCTTCAATTCGATCGCGAAAAGATGAAGCTCTTTCATTGCCTCGATGACCCAGCTGCCTATAGAAATCTTCCGGGTCAACCGGAGCCAAGCACTGGGATCCAAACGAATGGAGATTACGCAGTTGAGAAAGGGAACGAATTCGACTTCAAATCCGCACTCCGAAGGGCAACTACAATCGGACATGTACACGACTTCCTACAGTATGGTCAAGGTGTGTCGTGGCCCACCGCTTTAACGTGGAAAATAGTAGAGTATCTTCCGTTTCGGAGATTGGCATTGCAACCCGATGGATCTTGGAAACCCGTTCGGTGGCCTCTCCCTCTTGGGGAGAAACGTGACCTTCCAAAGGGAGCTAAAGTTCATGGCTCAGTCATTCGCCGCATGAAGGCCAATCAAGACTACAGGCCGGAAAATCTACTCAGAGATGGGAAGGGGAAGAATAAGCGACCTTTGGATAGTGGAATCGGCGCGTGGGAGGTGCATGCCTATGAAGGCTGTCCAGTGCGAGAGATATACCGCCGAAAGTCGAGCGAAACCGGCTAAACTGGTTTCGCTTGCTATATTGCATATTTTGCCATCGACAAATAACGCATGAATCACGAATCTTACTATGACGGCAGCGAGCCGATTGCAGGACGAGACAGCACAAGAATGGAAGAAGAGGACCGGGTCCCAACACGCAGAATTCGCTTCAGATCCAGGCAGGGACTGGGTGCTCGCATTTCTGATTCCAATGGTATGGGGACGGATGAATGACACATCTCTCAACCAAGACCGGGCCTATACCGTCACATTTCACCTGCTCACGCAAGTAGTTGCATATTCTCTCCATATCAAGGGTGCCTTCTTGGACCGGCATTTGGTTGACAGGCTTGCAAGTAGCATCTAAGTCCGTCAGTCCCTCGTTAGTGTGCGGGCTTTTTATGACGCAGTGTGTGGTTCCTTGTTATGGTCACTTGGTGCCACTAAATATGCGAAACCTGTCTACTTTGAAGGAAACACTTTATGCCAAGACAAGGGCAAATGAATTTGATCTATCTAGGGTCCAAGAGGTAGGGTTGGAAGGATGGAAGAGGTGGTGGAAGGCCACGCAGGAAGAAGAGACGAAGAATCAGCTGACGCTGCCTTGCTGCAGTGAATATCTCAACAGACAACCAAGTTGGACCTTGACCATCATCTGCTCCGATAAATTCGGTATGCGACTCTCCTCCAGAGCTGTCGTGATATTTGATTCAAAACGGCAATACTAACTCTAATACGGGATTTACAGGTCTTCATCTTACATGATAGACAATACAAATTATCAGATGTACCCACCCGACCAACTCCGTCTTCGAGGAACATAGCGTACTTCTCTCGGCAATCTGGTCCGCTTTTGCGTCTACTACAAATCACAAGGAATCTCTTGCCCTGTAAACTGTCTAGTGGATGAAATAATAAAGTAGAAAAAAAAAAAGGAAAGAAAAGTAAAAAAAAAAGTAAAAAAAAAAGTAAAAAAAAAAGTAAAAAAAAAAGTAAAAAAAAAAGAAAGCATACAACAGCATTAGTATGGCTGTGATCACCCAAGGCCAGACGTGGGCGTCTTGCCACTCTTAGTGGCCCTTCATGGCCTCCTTCAGGGACCTCAATATCTTCTTCACCCGAAGGGCCAGAAAGCGCATTTTCGTTTATGCACAAAGAAAGGCTGCCCGTGTAATAAATAATATGAGGTCAATTCTGCTCTTATTTTAAACGCTCTCCTATCTTCAGCTCTCCTTTCTCGAATTATAATTTAGTTTTCAAAAGTACCCAATATGGTCAAATATCAAGAGATGGCTTTCTCTCAAATAATCTCAAAATTATCCAAAAGCATTTATGGTGCCACAATTCTGATAATTACCACAGAATATATCCAGAAAGATCTAGAGTAGAACTAAATATACTAATACTTCTCCACTGCTATACATCAATAAGAACAGGTAAGGTATACAAATCTATAACTTATCAAAAACTGAGCCCGTGAGCATAAGATACAAAAGCAGAAAAGAATATGAATACTACTATTATAGCTGCATGCTATTGTTACGGACCCCTGCTAGTTAACTTACTAGTGAAGCGGACTCGCTAGGCAGAAGGTACTGATAGGAACAGTATTCAGGCAAAACTAAAATATGATTGAATAGAATTTCTGATTATTTTTATGATACCTAGAATAATTATATATTATATAATTATAATGTTCAAATTAGAGTGGTTATATAATGTGCTGTTAGATTAATAGGCTACTTTAGCGGAAATAAATCATCTGTCCAGCTGGTTTAACGGAAAGCAAAATTTTGGGCTCGACAAAAAGAACATTTTCTATACGTTAAAATGCTACATTCTCTCTAATCAGTTGAGTTTATCATAGCTCATGAAAGTTTAAAAGCCAACAACTCAAAATAGGAAACAAATAAGGGCTCGAAATATTCTTCCCCTTTTTGATAGAGGCGATCTTCTGAGAGTTTTCGATGAAGTTATATTTGTTAGCGCCCGCAAAGCCGGGCTTCCAATCTAGTAGATATCTGGAGATACTAGTATTGCCGATATAACTTATTGTGAACAAATTAGACATAGTATTGGATATTCTATCCTTGCCTACAAATTTTTTCCTCAGCTTATACTTCCATTTTTCGTTACTGGACTTATAGTTGTTGTATTTGTTTCTCTGTTCTTGGCTAAATAACGTATTAATCTAACCCTAGATGATCATAAAACGATAGCTCCGATCTGTAATGCCGATTTTCTGACTGACATAGTAACTTATTTTGGAAGTGATCTCCGGTGTTAGATGATGATTAAAGCTCTGAGTCTACATGGCTAATTTCTGGGCTACCATTGTTTAGGCATCCACCTCCATAATGTTATGGTCAAGCTTCCATTCAGTATTGATCATAGCTCGATTGATCGAATATAATAAGGATATAGAGAGTCTGAGACAGTCCCTATTTTACCCGGTGATGGGAAACCTAGAATTAACCTAACGCTGGCTAGCCGCAGGCTTGAAATCTCAAACGCAGCCCAGACGCGGGGACCAGTCTAGGTGGGGGTATAGATTAAAGGATTATTTGTGTCTTAAAAGGCGGAGATTTTGCATGCAAGACCTTCGGTCATTTTGTCACCCTTATTATTATACGAGCATATGCTCAGCAACAGATGGAAAGGAGAGCGAGGCACGAACTGCACAGTACATATATGACCTAAGGAAAGAAACTTTCAAAACAGGAACCTTTGAGTTGTTTATTTTTAACTGTATGACCCACGAGCTATTCTCTACAGGTATTCTAGGATTGATATCCTTCCCGTCAGATTCCCCATAGCTTTTTTAGATCTGCGGCACGATCGGAAGTCCTCCAACCTGTTTCATTCTCAATTTGAGTTAGATGCTTCAGCAGGAGTATCTTCTCCGTGGCATATGCCTCTTCCAGGTAAGATCGACCGTGATGGAGGGGCATATTGCGTCTTGATATACTGAATATTGTTGAGGGATGAAAGTGTGCATGATCACCAGACAGACCATGACAAGCCCATGACGATGATGACGATCCGCCGGCAAATACCACTCCTGCAATTGAAAGTGGTTGAAGTTGATTCACCCAGTTCGCACTATATCTATCAGTCAATGTTCAATGCTCCCATCCTTCCAGAATATTCAACTATGGTTGTTCTTGGTTGAAACCTACTGAGATGGATTTGACATAGATATACCACAAAGCTCCCTCGCATGCCAAACAACGTCCATCTAAGAGAAGTCTGGTTAGATCTAGTACCCAATCACAATTTTCACCTGGTTATAGTAGAAATATTGGCCAATGTCAATAACTAGAGTTACTTACAACGTCTTCGACAAGCAGAGACGGGATTTCCGATTCCGGTACGAGGCCAGTTTGTAAGAGGAGCATGCACCCAGTATGATAAAAGGTATTCCCACAAAATAAGAAAGTTCAGAATGAAGATTTGTAGAAAGAGAAAGTGAGGGACTCACTAGCAGATGATGAAGTGTATATTATGTCCGGGAAAACCTTGGGAGGAGAGCATGTGGCCCGCAGCAACGGACACACTTCCCGGGGACGGAGCCGATACCATGCTTGGAGCTTTCCCCACAGCTTAGAAACAGAGACGGTATATGTAGGCCTAGCTTCTCTTGTACCAAATTTGGGTTCAGCAAACATATTGATAATCTGGGCAAATATAAATATGGCAAGATTACAGTAGTCATCCACATCCTTTTGCATGGCTGACTGGATTGAGGTGTCATCTAACCAGAAATCCGCAGGTATCAATGTCGTCTTGCCACTGATAAAGGCTGCCCATATATCTGACCCAGTTATTAGTGATTTGCAAGTACTGGGCCATTTAAGTGGTACCTATTCGAGCGAATGCCCAAAAACAAGATTTGACAATTCCCTGGCTAGATCCATTCCATTTCTTTGCTAGAAGAAGACCAGCGCATCCCTATAAACGTAGTCAGCATATATATAAAGGTCTGATACATGAGGGGCAGCACCAGCACACCTTCAAGTGCCGCCTCCAGTCATGGACACTCGAAGCCATCATTTCGTAAACGCACAGCAGAGTGCAGGTTGCGAGAATTGCCACCCCTGCTGTTGCAGGGTCCTGCTGTAGAAGGTGCTTGATTGTATATTGGTACAGTTCTAAAGTGACTGGGCGCTGTACTTTTGCGACGTGGTCCTGCTGACGAGAAGCAAGAGACATTGCAGCGGCTACAAAAGCCGCGGACTCAGCCATCGAATGCAAGGATCTCATTGTGAAATGCATATTTGAGTCGGTTGTCTCACACCATGTTCCCGTCTCCTTGATATACGAAGAAAGCAAACGAGCTTTTTCCGAGGAACTCACAGGCAAAAATGGCTCAGGCGGCCGCGGTTGGTCCTGAGAAACACCTAGACCAAGCGAGAAAGGTGGAATAAACGTCTCAGTTGTATTCGTGACTATACTGTGCGTGCCATGTGGTGGGTAATGGTGAGTATTGGAAAATGGGGAGAACGTATACTCCCGAACCACGGGCTGGAGTGAGGGCGCGAGTTCTGTGCTGGACTGACATAGATCACTGACACTTAGGTATGAAGGCGTCAATTTGACCTCGGTTCCTGTGGCACGAGAGGTAGAAGACTCTTGTAAATGAAAGTAGGGAATATCCGGCGTGCTTGCGCCCCCGTCAGAGCGACTGCTATACGTAGTTAACGTTGTCGGCGCAGCAGGACTGTTCATTATGGATTTGTCTTCGTTTAAGACATCGTTGTCATTCTTCTCCGATCCATCCACTGCGTCCGATTGGTCTAAATCAGAATTAAACGCATAAGTGTCTCGAAGGACATGATATTGACTAGCAATTGAGTTCGATTCATCGATTATCTGGATCCACGACGTTAGTAAAAGGTACATATAAATTTGAATAGCGTACCCTCATAACACCTTGCGTCGGAACTGGCGAAGAATCATGTTGCCTTCCGCCAGGGCACAAGGACGCAAATTCGCTATGAGATAACTTGAGGTTACGCGAATGGTGGAATAAAGCCCTGAGCCCCCATTGGCAAGTCGTTCCCCGAACTTGACAATTCCTGCAATGTGGGCGGGCTCCATCACCTGTATTGATATTGGTGAGGAAAGAGGCAATTCTGTGGAGGTTCCATGATGTTCTTACACTTCCGGCGACGGCGACGGCACTTCAAGCTAAAAGCAGTTAACTGCAGCCACTTGTTATATGTAGTTGCGAAAGGCTGTTTACCATCCTGACCTCGTCCTTTTCCACTTCACTTTGACCTGACTTGTGGCGGCTTCACTATCTGGCGCTTCCATTTTCCCTACAAGCTTCGCAGGGTCGATATGTAATGAAAGGGGGGTTGTGCGGGAAAGAAAGTTGTGTGGGGGTTTGGGTTACCCTTCGGCTCCATTAGTCACATTGGATGGGCTGGGTCCTTCTACCATCCGCGAAAGTGAACATAAGAAGCGCAGGCGCCGCTAATAGTGCGTGATTGCCACCATTGAGCGATAGTTTTGTGGAGACTTTCCCGATCAAAAAGCTAATCACGTGTTGACTGACCAACAAAAAAAAAAGATGGCAACTGCAAGCACCGCCAAGCCATTAGAACGAAAGTATGCCGCTAGCAAGCTATACAAAGTTCCAAGTATTGGGCAGGTTCGATTCTACGCACTCCCGAGTGATTCCAGCCTATTCGAGTAGTGTATCAGGTATTAGGTCGTAGAGCACTCTATGCACCTCCGCAGCCGCTCTGGGGGTAGAATCATGCAATTGGCAAAACCCAAAGCGAACCGTTGGCCACTCCAACTGGAGATTCTATGTAAACCGGGGACATTGCCTGAGAAAAATCGGTTTTGATGCAACCCACCTACGGCTATCTCTGCCATTTGAGAATAGTGGATGGCAAAGCATTCGTATCGTGGCTTTCCGGAGTCAACTTTGGTGTGAGACAGACCTCTGTACAATACGAAAAGCGCTTATCGCTTTTATAGCAATCCGTTGCAAATGGTTAACAAGTTGATGGAAGTCAACGAAAATTTAGGCTGGTGAGGTATAGCAGGGACGATATACTCGCTATTTCTTTCATTCACGGAGATTTTCATTTTCGGATTTGGAATCCAGTTGAGAGCTTGTTGAGAGCCGAATGTGTTGGGAGAGTAGGACGTTAATGTCATAGTTTCAAATTAACTACTGTGCGTATTAAGATGTTCTATAGACATATGATATCGTCAGCATGTCTGAGACACAGCATTGGCAGGACCATCATATGAGACAGCGATAAATCTCATAGTCTTAGACCCTGTACACAATCTTGTAGTTGGAGATGGCCCCATCACGGTATTCCTGGAACCCTTTTGGCACAGAGTCGAGTCCCTCGAAGAGTTTCGGAGTATTTGGCGTGATGATTCCCAAGGAGAGCAACTCAGGAAGTTCTTTGAAGAACTTGGCAGCAAGCTCATGATCCTCCTTGTGAGGCTGGAAATCCGATTAATAGCTGATTTTATATGTTCAATATCAAGCATGACCTACCGGCCAGTAGAAATCCTTATACTTATGCTCCTTCAAGAAGGCTGTCCAGACAAGTACATCTGTCACCTTAGTTTGTTTTGTCACGTTTTCAGTAGAAGCTTTGCCCGGACGAACAGTACACAAGCCACCGCCTTGTTCAGAGATTGCCTGCGATGCAGTGACCGAGGATGAGCCGTTGCCGATAGTGTCGAAGACATACTTCAGGTTGGAGTTCGTAGCGGCCTTGATACTCGCCACCACCTCGGGATCGCGGTAGTCGAAAGCGTGACTAGCACCAAATGACTTGACAAGGTCATGGTGGCGGGGACTGCAGGTCGTCACAATGTCGAGGCCGTAGTGCTTGGCAATCTGGATGGCGTAAAGTCCGACGCTTGCTGCAATGCGTGAGCGCCTATCCTCTTGATACGCCACATCTCATCGGTTCAACTCACAGCTTCCGCCCCAGACGAGAACAGTCTCTCCAGACTTATGAGGGATGTTGAGACAGTCCTTAGAAAAGAGAGCAAGCAGTGCTGTGCACGCGGCGAGAGGTACTGTGGAGGCCTCCTCAGGAGGGACGCCTTTAGGCAAAGGGAAGCAAATTCGCTCATCTGCGACGGTGTACTCGCTATAGCCACCCAGTCCTTTAATCTCACCTGTTCAAAGGTTTAGACTTTAATTAGGATCTAGGTACCCGAGACAGTAACTGACCTCCCCAAATCAGACCAGCAATCACGGTGCCAGTCTTTAACCTGCTCACTTTATCGCCCGTCTTCTCGACAGTACCGACAAAATCACAACCCAGGACAGCGTCATCTCCGAAAGCATTGGTGTCGAGTGACTGGACTAACAGACTCAACTTTAATCATCACAAAGGCGCGCTTGAAAGCAAGTCTTACCATCAGTAGGGTTCTGGGCGACGTGGGAAATTTTCACCAGCACCTGATCTTCTGTCGGAGTCGGCGCCGCAATGGTTTCTTTAGATAGCTTGCCGCCTTTGGTGACGAGAGCTGTGGCAGTGGTAGGAACCATTTTTTTTGAAGTTTCCAAGTACTATTCCTGCTGAATGAGCTCTCAATTTGATGTCAATTGCTTTTCTTTTCCAGCAGCTGCAGGGTTTGTGTTCGATGCAGCGGGGTCCTTGTGCCTCTGTATATGAGTATTGTTCACCTACAGTGAGCCAGACGACGAGATTTGTAATCAACCAAAATGTCATCAGTAGAGCGTCATTCAATTCACCTAACATCAAATTTGCCTAAAAATTACTTCAAGAGATTGTGTGTATTGAGGTACGCATTTGGCTTCCACCATGACGTTGGCGCTTGCAGATGCCAGAACAACAAGTGGCAGCGGCTAGAATTTCCGTTTATGCTTGGGTAAGTCTTCAGTCACTGATAGCCCAATCGTTGGGAGGTCCCACATCTACCGTATGCAAAATTATTTTTATTTCTTGGCACCCTTAAGAGCTGCACACACCAAATAAGATGTGGACATTTATAACCTAACAAAAGTCTTACTATATTTATTAAATCTAGGCTCTCATAAAAAAAGAAAAAAAGGCAACAGACCCTCTCAGGTGTTTTATCCGTAGGCTGCTCTTATGCTTTTAGCAATCGAGTTTCACTATGCTTCCAATGACTGACAGCGCCACACAATTGTCTGTAGATCTCTCCATGGACCTTTAGTGGTAGAATGACAGCTTAAGGCCTCCAACTGCAGACGATGTCACAGCCTGGCGGACGTAGCATACTTGAATCTGGCATAACTCCTGTGATATTACTAGCCTTGGACCACACCTTAATCCACCAAGTTCAATTAGAGTAATTTAATTGCCTAAAGATCAAATTAGTTCTGTCATTTCTGACTGCAACGAAAAGCAATCGGTGAGTTCGGGTCGGTTCAGCAGGGTACCTGTACTGATTTGGCTAGACCCTGCTTAAAGAGACGATAGCTAACAAGAGAACACGAACCAGATGGAGAATAATATGAACCAATCGGAAGGCCTTTTGACAGCTTGAGTTTGGTAATAGCTTACCATGCTTGCCGCAAAGACGCAAGCATCAGTCTTGAGCGCACATGGCCAATTTATTCCGACTAGGAAGCTCAGATGAACTTTACAACAGGTGGCAGGGTCCACAAAGGAGGCACAGCTTTCATTTTCTCAGCGCCAAGCCCACCACCACCACTACATGCCTACAGCAGGTCCAGGCGCCAGCCCGCTCAGAAAAACAGCTACTGCATTTTAGTGATCATCAGGGGCCTGAGCACATTATACGCCGCAGCAAGCTCGGGAAACCCCGTGTAAGGCAGGGCCGTTCGCATACTGCACCACAGATTCAGTTGAGAGTTGTTGACGATGCTGGATTTAGTATAGTCATGAGAAGAAATGGGCAACTCCAAGCTACGTAATATTTGTGCGAACGAAAGCGGAGCAGTCATTTCGACAAATATTTTCATCTAGATATGATGGCATGGGAGCTTCATTGGATCACAGGAGATTTTTAGGCTATTCTACTAATAGCTGGACTTATTAAATACTATTAGTAGGGTTCGCAACAGCCCTTCGGGATACATAAAGATGAACTGTTCCGCCGGTCTCATTTTGTTCTCCTCTCCCAGGCAGGCTACCCTCTCGAGCAGCTCCCTGACCACATCAGCCTGACCAACACTAGCTACTGCCATTCAAGGATGAAGCTCCTAAAGATCCTGGCAACTATCTTCTTCGGCTTCGTCGTCCGGGCCGAAGTGCCTTCCAACAGGACTGCCGAGACCAAGTTGGTGCAGATCAAGAAACTGCTCATGCCTCAGCTCTCCGAGAATGCCACGATTATCTTTCCCGACTCCGAAAAATGGTATGATGTTACCCATCGTGCTGCTGCTCCCCGCGTGAACCCAGGCTATCTCGCCGTTGTTGAGGTAGCTGCCGAAGACGATGTTGTGAATACAGTATATGACCAATTGTTCATTGAATGACGGAACATTATCTAATTTCTTTACAGATCAAAGTCGCTAACGAGGTCGGAGTCCCATTCCTAGCTGTCACCGGCGCCCACGGCTGGACCGACGATATTAGCAAGATCCAGGACGGAGTTCAGATTCGTATGCGTGGCCTCAACCATGTAGGTCTGAGCCCTAACAATGACACTGCATACGCTGGTGGTGGTGTCCTTCAATACGAAGTCGTACAGGCTCTGTATCCGTATGGAAAGCAAGCTGGTAATCTCTTCTAACCTCTCATGTGGCCCCCGCACAAGCCAAGAGCCATCGACTGACAGGAATATTCTCCGTAGTCCACGGTCTCTGCGAGTGCGTCTCTATCCTGGGTCCTCTTTTGGGTGGCGGTCACAGCGTGCTTCAAGGTGATTACGGCTTCGCTGCTGACAGCTTGGTCTCAGCCAAGGTCGCTCTCCACAATGGTACTGTTGTCACTGCCTCAGCCACTGAAAACGAAGACCTCTTCTGGGGCCTTCGTGGTGCTGGTCATAACTTGGGTATTGTCCTTGAGTTCGAGGTCAATGCTTATGACATCCATCCAGATCCATGGACCTTTATGACCTTCGTCTATGAGGCCGATAGGATTGAAGAGTACTTCGACGCTTGGAATGACCTCGAAGACAGCATTGCCGACCCGGGTTTGGTTGTTTTGAACGGCTATTACCGCAACTTGCCCGAATTCAACGCTGAGAAGGTAATTAACTAGCCTCGTCTTTGTTGCCACAAGTCACATATAGCAGCTCTTGTTAATAATATTCCAGCCTGTTGTGGTCATGGAGCTCATCTACCAGGGTTACAACACCGCTGCTCCCCAGTACATTGAAGCCTACCGTGCTATTGGTCCCATTCACGAGGAGACAATTACTGATATCTACTGGAACGAACTCTTCGATATCACCAACTTTGGTCGTGATGACCGGGTGTGTATCCCGAGTCAGAATTGGGCCGGCTACTCCAATTCCATCGCCCGTTGGGATCCTGCGTCCATGCGCGAAAGCTACAACATCTTCGCTGACCTTGTCGCCACTGAAACTTACAACACGTCCACCTTCATATTCGAGTCCTATGGCCGCAAGGGTGTCCGCAACTTCCCCGATGACTTCAACGCTGTCTCACCAGAAGAGCGCAACAGGCATAACATGTTGGCTGCCTTCCTATTCTGGTCTGGTGATGACGAGACGGAGCTCGCTGTGGCTCGCGAGTTCGGAAAGAGGCTCCAAGTTGCCAGCCGCAACGGTGAGACTGCGCACTCCTATGTTAACTATGCCATGGGCGGCGAGGAGCTTCCGCAGGTGTACGGCCGTGAAAGTGACCGCCTCGAAAAGCTTCAGACCATCAAGGCCAAATTCGATCCTCACAACAAATTTGGATTCTACGCCTCCCTCGCAGATGCTTGATGGCAAAGATTAAATGATAGGAGTAGTTTAGGAGGATAGGGAAGAGAGCCGGGATATAGATATATAGGCTCAGCCCCTTATCCGGCCTTGGAGTCTGGTCTTGGTTGGCACTGCAGGCTTTTCGATGTTTCACGCTTCGACGAACGAAGTATCGGTCCTGGTCAGTGATAGACCCCTTGGCTGGAGAGCTAGCGTAGACAGTATCCCCTCTGATGCTGTCTAATAGATTTTATAGAATAGCGTAGGTCAACCTAAAATACATATATATGAGATGTTGGTCATTGGTGGAGTACACGAAGCTAAATACAGAGCGTACTAGCTCCGGCCCTAATCTATTGACCAACTTACGGACTGATAATTGCTTGAGGTCATCCGAGGTTCTCACAAGCTCGGATGACCCGGATGCGCGACTGAGCTGTCATTTTAGCTGATTTGCTGCTATGACTGGTCGCGTTCCTTTATTCACTTGACGCGCTGGCGAGCAATGGGTACGTAAGGGTCGGTCTTTAGAGAAGTTATTTTGGCCTAGGCTGAGCTCGGTTGTTGGCCCACAACCAAGTATATATGCTATAAAGCTGCCAAAATGCACTTCGTAAGTCTCGTGTCTGGTCATGTATATCGGGCTGCGCGACACATTGTGCAGATTCTTAGACTCCACCAGTGGTAAGGTAGATTTGCAATGAGGCATTCTGGCAGTAGCGATTCCTTATTATCTTAGACAAAGTATTGCTACTGCACTTCCTGACATGCGCGATCATAGTGTAGGTTCTAGAACATTGATAATTCTCTTCCACTCAGTCTGTACCTACCTTGCGAGTGTCATCTAGCCTTGCTTTTTGAGAATCATTTGAATGGCCATGGGCTAAAATGACTCATGTATTGTACATTCACACTTAAGTAAACGAAGTAAGCTGTCGAAATGATACTGTTTCCCTCAATAATCTCTGGGCCGGTGTTTCCCAAACGCAGTGACACTAAGTGCTGCGGCTTTGAGGGGCTTTTAAGCCTAGGGTACACCAGTCGAGCGGAAAGTCGAATACGAGTACAATCTTTATCACGAGGCGGGCAACCCCACAGCATATGGTATTCACATTAGTCGGCAAATTTTTAGATTAGTTAGCGTTTATTTCTATTGTATAATGGGGACGACGGACAGGCCAGTGGTGAGATGCTTTATGGCAGAATAGCTATCCTGAGGAAGGGATACCGTATTAAGGAAACTGTATATTCATGCCTCCACTTGCCACAGTGAAACTATTCGCTCCTATTCGGACACCTATACAGCCAGTGAGAACCATAATAGCAGTATTAAAATGCTGACTTAATGTACTGAATGGTTGATGTAAGAAGCGAGTTGTTTTCCACCCAGTATCCGGCTCGTATATTTGTGTCACGTAGATAAGTGGAAACGTATTCGACGGATAAGACGCCACCAACCATAGCGTCATCATTCAGCGGCATGACAATGGAAACCTGCAACTGGGAAAGCGAGCTGTCACGGGGACAACGTGCATTGGCCACACAGCGACTACCTGGTCTCGACCCAGCAATATCCCTTCCCAGATCATGATGTGATAAGATAATAATCCGCCAATAATGAAGAGAAAAAAAAAGGCTTTGATATCAATCGTCATTGACCTCCGCGCGAGGTGCAGTTGTGGCAGCACGGACGTGTCCCATCACCTAATACGCGAATGGAAAGCTAGTAAGCAAAGATTCTACAGAAATGGTGTCGGACCGGGAAAAGTAAAAGAAATTGACTAGCTTATATCTTCGTCGCCGATCGCGACAAAACTGTATAAGAAGCCACCCCCGTGAGTAATGAGCAAATTCGGGGTAGCCATACACACGAAAACACCTACCACCCAGTTTGCGTTCTACTCCTTTAAATTACCTCTTCTGACTGTGTGTGCCTTGGTATTATTCACAACTGAGTGATCTTTGCAGCATAAACGCTAGCGCTTATACGAAAATACCTAGGCAGGTCATCATAAGTATCCAAGGGGGAAAGAAGACAAGAGCAATGACAGATGTGGGTTTTATTCACTAGGTTAGGTGACAAAGGTGGAAGGGAGGGTGGAGTGGTGGAAAAAAGAAAGAATTAGATCACTCGAATGGCAAGTGAAGGGGCAATTTTGGGCCTATTATTTAACAGGTACTGGAACGCAATTATAATCCTATACGGCTCTCGTAGGCACACCCTTATCTCAGCATTTTCCACAGAATAATGAATTCCAAACTCTCAGGCACATAGCTTTCCATCTAAAGGAAAACTATGAGAAGCCCCAATACCGTGAGTTGGCGAACCCTTGAGCAAAAGCAAGAAGCAAACAGATGCATATCGCTCTATAAACCGTCTAAGGAAGAGGCCCGTCGCGGGCATAACTCATCCAAAGTGGCCAAGAAATCCCGTCTAATTATCTGTGGCATCAAATTACTAGTTAAGCGAAAGCTTGTCGTTCCTAAAACGTTGCTGTACAACTTATCCAAATCTGGCGGAGAAAAGGCAAGTAGAAGCGCCGACGTGGGGCATATTCGTGATATATGATGAAGTGGAACCCTGATTGATTCCCGAATTCCTGTAGGGTCTGGTCACTGCCAATGAATTGCCGATGCCTGTAAACCACTTTCCAGGGAAAACGAACTATTCCGCACCGAAAGTTGCCGGAAATTAGAAAGCGTACTGAACCAAGCTTTTTCAGCCATGGCCCGGACCAGTACGTGTTTACAGACACGCCAAGCATCTGAACGCCTAGTCGCATGAGTGCTTTGATTCTAAAGGCTAGCAGGGAAGTCAGCGAATACGTGCTTTCCGGCCTCATGCCTAACAATAAAAAAAGACCAACTGCAATTATGATTATCATTGAGAGGCCAGTTCACCAGTATGTTCCACTCTTATGCTCTTCACCTTGTTTCAAAAATGTCTCCCTGAACTCTGAGATTTTGTCGTAGGCCTACTAAAAGCTCAATGATTTTGTGTGTTCTTCAAAATCGACTCCTGGGTGGCTTCTGATTGTAGACAGTTGCATCTCAGACTCAGTCCATTCGCCTAAATCCTTGATTGTTGTATATCTTTCATTATTGGTGAATGACACAGGGCAAGGCATGGATGAAATGGAGTTCTAAGGATGGGGAATAGTGATGTAAACGAGCACAGCGTATAGGTCGACAAAATCTCCATTCCACGGGTGTCCTGTTTTCTGAAACAGATACTGCGCGTGTCAATGTGTGCTATCTATTACTAGTGAAAAACTATATGAATTAGAATAGAACAAACCACATGAGTATCTGAGTCCTCTGTGGAATCAAAATCTATCTACTGCAATTTAGGGCTCCGGCTGGCCGCGGGCATCTCGCTTTCGGCTGGGTAATTGTTGCGTGAGGCAATCGCCGTTACACTTATTCTGTGCAGAGAGTCTTATTTGTTATTATAATTTACCTCTTTACTAATTACCTCCTCATAGCATGCGTGGTAGATTGATTATTGATAAGTTAGATTTAATACTCTTATATCAAATGCCATAGATACACTATTTCTACTCGGCAAAACGCTATAGGGACATGAGGCTTCATGTATGCATAGATAAACATATTATACTGTGCTACAATTGGAGCGAGTAATACAACGCACGTGGTGAAGAATTATCAATATAGAAGCTACTTTCATTTCAGTATAAGCTATTGGCGGATGCTTAAATTTAAACCGGCATATATCAGTATACACTCAAAGACTTTTTAAATAGAGCGCCTATTTTCATCGTCACCACCGATAGTAGTATTTTCCTCCTCCCAGGGGTTATCCAATATAACAAGGTCAAGAGTTATCGCCTTTTAAAGTTATCCTTAGATCTTGGGCGTTTTGTTTCTGTGTTACCAGATCTGGTAGACTTTGACGGTTTGGACTTGGTCTTGGATTTCGGTGTGTCTGAGCTGAATTTATTGCTAGTTTCCTATTGTATGCCAGACTTGCTACTACGGGACGTGGAATGTCCTTTGGTGGTTTGTTTCAATTTTCTTCCACGATCTTACCCCCGGAACTTCGTGTCTTCGATTTCTGAACGAATTTAGAACTGCCTTTCTTATTCTTCCCTTTGAGCCTATGTTCGGTTACGTCGGTAGGTTCTGTGTCGCTTTGCTTGGCCTTGTTACTATGTCGCTTACAGCTAAGCTTAATCGTATTAGCCTTCTTATGAATATTCTAATGCTGAAAAGATTTTGGGGCATCTGGTGGCCCAGGGTCTGACGAAGCCTTTGGGGTGTGAGGATCTGTCATATGCTCCTATTTTTGTTCTTGGGCGGCTTGATCATCGTTGTCTCTCTCGACTTCCATTCTCTTGATGCTTTCGCGCTCGATGTTTGGACCGATTCTCTGATTTTCTATTATTATGTTCTCGGCATTTCCTATTTCTCTAATCCCGTCTGTGAACAATTTCCACAATGTCATATAATACACCATTTCACACAAGCAGAAATACTGGCAAGTATATGCTGCATTCAGTGCAGCGGTATGTGCAACTTTATTCCTGTACAAAGTCCCCTCTGTGGGCGGGAAATTCATCCAGGGTGGCTACCACATGAGGTGCTGGGTTGATGGCAGACTTTAGGGCCCACATTTACTGCGGAGGAGAAGGAATGCCTGCGCCATCTTTTCCTTACCAACCCAACAGACGATAAGAGTGCCTTGGAGACAAGAAAGGGAAACAGTAAATAGTACCTATGCTGGATATTGAAAACAGACTAAATACAGTCTTGGCTCGGAAATGATGGCTCTCATTCTTGGGAAAGGAGTACAGGAAGTCTGTGTTACCGCGGGAGTGGCTCGTTAGGTTGCGCAACCGAGCTATGTGGGATCGAGATTGACAGGTCAATTGTCAGGTACTGATGGCATTTCATCAGCTATATCCTCGTGGAATCAAAAAATTCTTCATACCCATCCTCGGAAACCTTTGCTACCGGTTTCCCATTAGATAAGGAGACTCTTTCTCTCACAGCCCATAATACTCTTACAACTACTGACGACTAATATTCTCAAGTACCCATATATAATTGATTATTCACTCATCATCCTAACACTCTTCTCATCCCTTGTTTGCTTATTCACAATTACGTGTTCAGGAATGCTGGTACTAGAATATTTCAGGAATTAGGATAGACAGATAGTTCAGGAATTCAGACCCTCCAATCCAATCCATTTATGGCCGCCACTTTGGCATATGGGAAACACCGATTTAGGTTGACAGATATGATCTTGCTACTCTATTGAGCGTCTTCGTCAGTCTCGTAGCCACTGTGTCAACTGGCCAGGGCCTCAGCGATCGATCTTGTTGGGCCACCTCAAGATTGTGAATGACTCCATCACTACCAGGAACTGGCAAAGACACATCGGTAGTCCGTTGAAGATGCTGAGAAGACATGGAAATCTCGATCCCGATCGATGGCCATACCTATTCTATCCTCTCGCTTATGCCACATGTTCTATCATTTGATTATCCGTCTTCTTCGTTTGGATTCCCTGAATTTTCTGCATTTCATTATCTTCGTGCTGGATATACTTTTGCGGGCGCTTGACACAGACCGCGTCCGGGTCATTGATGACAATTAATGATGGGTTCGAACGGTAGTATGAATCAAGATCTTCTAATGTGCGGTTCGCTTTGACAGGGCCAGGGTTAGTGTGTCTTGATGAGAAAGAAAGTCAGCATGCAGGGCTTACCTGTTTCAGGATAAAAGAAGTAAAGAACTGGCAAAAACGCAGCATTGAACACTGTCCAAATAATCCAGAATTTCCATCCAATATTTTTGATTCCAATGGGAGTAATTTCCACAATGACAAAGTTTGTGATCCTGTGTACATTAGCATGATTATTTACCGAGATATGTTGACCAGCAGGTTACCAATTAGTTGCTGTTGCCACAGCAGCGCCCTTGCCTCGCATCTGGAGCGAGTTGATTTCAGTTGGATAAAGCCATGGGATCTCTAGCATACCAAGACCAAAGAAGATGTAGAACAGAAAGAAGAACACAATGGAGGCAGAGCCAAACTTATGTTCATCAATAGTCCCAGCTCTTGCCTCCGCAAATGATAGCAGGATCGTAATAATCAGGAAAGCAAAGAACTGACCAGCAGTTGATAACAGCATCAGGCCCCGGCGCCCCAACCTTTCAATAAGCCCCACTGCGCAGCAGGTACAAATCAGATAGGTCACAGAATTTACTGCGGTGAGAAGCCGTGCCAACGAATCAGAAAGTCCGACAGAGTTAATCAAAACAGTAGGCAAGTAGTAGGACATGATATTGATCCCTTCAAACTGCTGCATGAACTGCGTGCCAGCACCAAGAAGAAGTCGTCTTAGGTTCTTAGAGTCCGCAGTATTTGTCTCTCTGAAGGAGAATATATCGCGCCACCGAATAGCATTCTCGCGCTCATAGTAGATAGTGTATTCGATTTCGTTTTTCTGTGTTATGATATAGGGATCATCAGCGGGCTTATCTTCAATGCATGCAAGAACTTTGCAAGCTTCTTCTTCGCGACCTTTTTGCAGAAGCCATCTGTGTTAAAGGCCGTACAGTAAGTAAATGCTTCCAAGCACATTCGTGGTTCCCCCGCGTGAGAGAATAGGGCAAACCGGCCACGATGAAGGAAAGAAGCATACCTTGGGGACTCCGGCAACCATGGGACAGTCCCGAATAAAACAAAGATAAACATGAACTGGAAAGCGATTGGAAACCGCCAGGCCACACTTCCACCGGCAAAGGATAGGCCATAATTTATCCAGTTCACCATCGAAAAGCCAAATATATTCATGACCAGTTCAAGAAACACTAGCTTTCCTCTCCATTTAGGCTGAGAGGTCTCTGTTTGCCAAAGTGGCGCTGTTGCCGTGTTAATGCCGTTCCCCAGCCTGCCAATGATATTAGTGACGGGCAGAATACCGCACCGGTTCATCATCATACATACCCCAGGATGACCCGGCCAACAAAAATCTGCGGTAGACTGTATGAAGTGCATTGAAGCAGGGTACCAATAGCCATGATCACTGTTCCTAGCAGAATTGATTTCTTCCGACCAAGATGCTCGCCAATTGTGAAGGCAATGAGAGCACCAAAGAAGCACCCAATATCATAAATTGCAGTAACTGTGGAGAGAGTTGTGGTCTTGGACGGTCCACCCAAGCCATGCACAACTAAGAAGTTTTTCGTGACAATGACGCCGCCTTCACAGAGTCGTCAGCCTCTGGATAACTAGTTTTCGAAAAGTTTTCGAAAAGTGGGAAGGAGGGAGGGAAGGGTGGAATACTGAAAAGACCTTGATCGTAACCGAACAAGCTCATGTCAGTGGCACAAGCCACCTGAGAACGGCACAATCAGCAACCTCCGAGGTCGATGGGAATAGATTAAGGACACACAGTGATCCAGAAAGTAAGCCATCCCCCGGTCATCCCCATGTATGGCTTGTTTTGGCGATTGATTGAGGAAGACATATCTGAGAAAAAGTACCGTGTATATGGACCCAGAAGGAGCATATAACCTTGGAAATAATGGAGCCCAAAAAACTGGCCTGGACAGCGCTTATATACCACATGATCTCGCCCGAATTGGGAAAGAGTCGTTCGCTTCCTCCGCTATCTATAATGAGAGACGTCTGGCGGGCGAATATCAACGTGGGGAAAAGTCTGGGGAATACCAACAGCACATCCTTGAAGTTTCCCGTTTGCGTGGACTTGGAGATGGCCTGAGCGTTGGAGGAATACAAAAAACAGTAGTGAGGGTTTTTTTATCTTGGTTCTGTTCGCCAGATCCACTTCCCCTAATAGGGAATTTAGGAGTAGCTTTGATGTTTACCCCTGACCCCATCTCGGCATGCCACCGGCCGGCGGCAGGGAACACCAATAAGACATCCCCAAAGCCATGTAGTTCTATCCCTTGGTTTATACGTGCTCCTGATTTACCTCGGAGAAGGAAATAGGGAAATAAAAAAAAGTCTATATTCGGAGCCTCTATCTAGCTGAGGAAAGGAAGTCACACGACTTTCAAGGCAAAGTATATCCACCATCAATAATCATGTTGGACCCGGTCATGTAGCAGCAGGCGTCACTGGCGAGGAAAACATAGGCCTTTTTTTTTTTCGGAATTAGTATAGACATCACTCCCTTGCTGGTGGGACTTACGGCTTTCAACTCGGCAGGGTCACAGATTCTGCGGCCGGGAATCATCTTCAACCACTGGTCGAAAAGCTCCTTTGGCTGCTGCGTGAGCACTATAGAAGACATCATTGGTTAGTCCTTGCGATATCATGGTCTTATTTGGCACTGAGGCAACTTACTTTTGGTCATGATGAAACCAGGCGAGATACAGTTAACCCGAGCGAAATCGGTCCACTCAACAGCCAGGCTTTTGGCTAGGTGCACGGCCGCTGCCTTGGAAGCATTATAGGCAACCTGGGTTTGAGGGATATTCACCAAGATTGAGCTCACTGACGCAGTTATGATTAAGTTACCCTTCCCCTGCTTCTTGAAAATTTTGCCCGCTGCCTGGGCTGTCCACATTGCGCCATCGTAATTAACAGCATTGTCACGGCGCCAGTTCTCCTCAGTGTACTCCAAGTTGGGGCAGTTAGTGCAGACACCGGCATTCGCAACAACAACATCCAGGCGCCCATAACCAAACTCTTCGGTGATTTGATTGATCGTAGCCGCGATTGTGTCGCGACGAGTGACATCTGACTGGTAGGCTTGCACTCGCTGACCTGTCTCTGTGGCGATCTTGGCCGCAATTTCAGGAGCATTACCGCTGGAGGTGTATATGAGGGCAACATCAGCCCCTGCCTCTGCCAGGCCACGCACCACTTCAATACCAATTCCCCGGGCGCCTCCAGTCACAGCAGTGATTTTACCTTTCAGAGAAAATTGAGAAAGCACGTTGTCGTGCATCGTAGGAGGCTGATAGAGAGGCATCGTGGTGCTTGTGCTTTCTTGTTTCTATCCAAAAGGATCCGTTGGGGCTGGCAAAATCAAAGAAAAAGAATAGCAGACGCAGAACGTAGGTAGCAACCCGACTGGTTATTGAAGGAAAATATATGTGTCGTCAAGGCGACTTTCCCATCTACTCTGTTGGTTTATAGAGTTGGAGCGCTTAAATTACTGCAAATGGAAGCATAGGCGATCCCGAGCTATTCCAAACAAGGGAAATGGGTTTTAACTAGTTAACGTAAAGCTTCCACCAAATGATGACTAAGTGGGCTCTGCCGCCACTTCGCGCTGGACACCGAGCGGTACTGGCCTCCCCGTTTGTCCACCCAAAATAATCGGCATCCTCAATGTCCCCGCGTATGAGAGATCACCACCTTTCGGGCCGCACTCGTCACTTTACCCAAAGTGCTGCTGGTTCAAGGGGTCGCGAAGCCCTGCGGTCTCGGACAGGTTGGTATGTGATGGAGTTGGTTGAATCAGTTTGATTGTCTCTGACTTTTCTTGTTCTGCTAGTCCTGAGTGTCGCAGGCGAAAAACGAAATGTGACGAACAGAAACCTGAATGTGGCCAATGTCTCCGAGCTGGCCGAGCTTGTCGTATCATTGACGGCCTATTTCGGCCTCATTCATACTCTTTTCTTGTATCGTCGTCATCGTCTTCGTCGCAACGGGTGCATCATGCGTCCTGCCTGGAGGGCTACTCCCCCGAAGAGGATGGCCTGCAAAACGGGGCACAGATATCGCAGCAAAGTAAGACTACAGAAACAAGCTCCACAATCGAAGTCTCTCTTTCTATACGCAAACATACATCTATATATGCACATGTGTGTGTGTGTGTGTGTGTGTGTTGCGCTCATTGGCTAACTTATCCTAGCAACTGAGCCTGTAGTGCAGGTTCCGTCTTATAGAGGACAGCGAGCAAGGACTGATTCACCTAATTCACGACACTTCCAGGGTGAGCCTGGCCAGGAATGCTCCGTAGGAATTGCCGTGGGGGCTCAACATGCCCGCACACCTTTTGAAGCTGAAAATTTTATGGTTGGGGTGTCTCCCCCAGGCACCCCGGAACCACTGGCGGAACCCGGTCCACAGGCCATCACCAGAGCCCATATCCAAAATGAACGAAATGCTGCAATAGTAGCTCCGGCAGCGCATGGCTTCTCTGGCCTTCCAAATAGCACCCATGAAGACAACCGTCGAGATCGTTGCGAGGTTGCATTCTTCCTGCGACACTTTTCAGAAGGGCCTGGCCAGTGGATGGACGTATGCTGCGACCACCCTTATTTCAGTGAGCAGGTAGCCTCATTATCACCTGTATGCTCGCTCATTCGATATTCGGCGGTTGCACTTGCAGCAAAACAGCTGGGCTATATGAAACAACCAGAATCTAGCATTCGGCAGACGCGGAGCCATAGATTCATGATGCACGCTTTTGCAGATTCCCATCTCGACTTTTTATGGTATGGGGCCAAGTATTATGACAAAGCAATCCAGATATTCTCCAAACAACTCTCTCGTGAGGATCGCTCTATTTGTCAACTGTCCCCTCGGGGGGGTTATCAAGCCGGCCTCCCAACCCCTGAAAGTAGCGAGTTCAGGTTAGCCGGGGACTATGATAGAACGGGAAGCACGCTGCAAATTCTCGCGGCCTGTATACTGTGCCAGTATGAGGACTTGAGTGCTACTATGGCAGCCTGGTCCAGCCATCTGGACGGCATATACAGGTTAATCCATGGCTATCTCAATGAGACTGCCACCCCGCCGACGGCCTTCCACATTCCGCAACCGATGAAGACAATGGATGCAATGTACTGGTTTTTTTCTATAAATGATGTACTAGATGCTTGTGAGTTTTGCCTTTTACTATTCATCGAATATATCTTCTAGCTCATACTTTTGCAATCAGTTGTCAACAAACGAAGAACGCGGTTGGGGTCTAAAAATCCTCTCATGTGGCGTAAAATGGGACTCCCTCTCGACGAGGATGGAAAGCTACTGGTGCAATACGTTGAAGAAGTACATTCGGAGAGCGTATTCTTTAAATATTTGATCTGGCTTATGTGCAAGCTGGTCAACTCCGATCTAGGTAACACAGTTGAATGGAATGCAATCAACAAGCAATTTGGCGAGTGGCGAGCCATACTCCCTTCAATCTTTTCGTCCGCCATCTCTTGGCCGCCTTTTTCAGAAATCGATGATGCCCAGGACCCCGCAACTGTTAACCTTAGCTCGCACGAGACGTGGTTTCCTAAGGACGCCTGCGCACTTTCAATGGCGTTTTATCATATGGGACGAATATTGCTTTTGATACATAGGCCATTGGAAGTTCTGCGTCAGAACGCGCAACCCGGCACAGATATACTGAGTACATACCATACCCTGCAGCATGATCTTCGCGGCCACGCCATGGCAATCATATCTATTGCACGCGGGGCTCCAAGCGGCACCGTGAGGAAATACCTAATACAGCCTCTATATGTTGCCGGGCGCTGTCTGGAGGATGCAAGTGAGCGCGAGGAGCTACTAAACATACTCCGGCAGATCGACGAGGATCTGGGAGTATTTACAGATTATCGCCAAAGGGACCTTGCTCTTGAATGGGGAATACCCTATCACCCGGTAGAAAAGAATATAGTTCCTTAATGGGCAACAGGTATTCAACCAAAAGAAATCAAAATACGTCTCGGAGACAATGCACCAAATACTGATAAACATCTTAATCGAACTGCATCATACAACTACCCTGCTTCAAGTTATGTTCTGAGATCGGTCATGTCGCTCCCCATTTCATAGTCTTATGAGTTAACCTATTTCTGCTGAAGCTGTCGATCGGTCTCATGAAGTGTATCTGTAACCATCCTTGTTCGTTCGATGCCAAGTACGGAGGCTTCTACCCAGAGATTCTTACCAAAGTCAGCGCTAGATATTCCTGGTGACGGAGTCTCTCTCAGTCCAGTGTTCTCCGTTGCGATTGATAATTGGAGTACGTCTCCCATTATTCCGCTGGTTCATGTAACACGCATCAAAGTCTCTTTCCGGGTCATTGAATATATTACCTGGGAACAGATCTTGGACTACCAAATGCGCGCTAATTAGATGGAATTGATTGTCCGGATGACAGCACACCTTCTTGGACGAACTGTTGTGTCAAAGAAAAAAAAAAAAAAAAAAAAAAAGAAACGTGATTGGGAAGAGTCATAAGATTCAGAATGGGTTAACTCTTCTCGCTCCATCCTCAGGGCGATTCGCTTAATTATATGTAGTGTCAACCTAAATCGGTATTTCTCATACACCAAAGGTAGTGGTATAAATGAAATGAATTGAGGGTCTGAATCCCTGAACTATCTGACTATCCTAGTCCCTTAAGTATCCTAGGGATCGAATTCGTAGATGCATAACTGACGGTAAATAAACATACAACGGAATGATGATGGCGGACTAAATCGTCGCATAATCGTCATGCTCGTGTAACCACTGATATTGGTTGACATGTAGTATTCCCTATCATGAGTTTACCTTCCTTTCCATCAAGGAAGACAAGAGGCTCTGCCATTTTGGTTGACCACACAGAGTATAAGGCATGGCATTTACTCATATTTCAAAATCCTAGACCATAAGATAGCTATTTACCTAGCTGTGTAGCCTCCATCGACGACAATATCTGCCCCTGTCGTATAGGTACTGGCATCGCTGACTAAGTATACATACAAGGCCTTCAACTCCTTTGCCACGCCCTCTCGCCCCAAGGGGATCATGCTCCTCCAAAGGTCCTTGATATCGTTGCTAATATAGTCCGAAAGGCCCGTGTTAATATACCCCGGACTAACAGAGTTCACCCGCGCAAAACTTCTCCATTCATTCGCCAACGACTTTGTCAAATGAATGCACCCCGCTTTGGCAACATTATAACTTGTCTGTTCCTGGGGGAAGTTGGCAATATGTCCACTCATTGAGCTAGTCACCACAAAGGATCCGGTGCCTCGCTGTTTGAAATGTTCACCAAGAGCTTTGGCGCAATGGAAGGTACCCGTCAAATCAGTGGTGATGATATCGTTCCAGTCTTCGACAGAGCCGTCGAGGACGCCGGTGCTTGTGGCCTTGCCTGAGTTGGCAATAAAGCCATCGATTTGGTCGAAGTCTTTGATGACGGAGTCAATGAGGGTCTTCACAGAAGTGAAATTGCTGACGTCGCAGGGGTAAGCCCGTGCTTTGACCCCATAGGATGAAGTAAGAGTGGATGCGTTTGCCATAGCCTCGTCCTTGCGTGTGTGATAAGTGATGGCGACTGAGGCGCCCATTTCAGCGCATCCGCGAGCGGCCTCAAAGCCAATACCACGCGGGTTACCGGCACCGGTGACGACGATGACCTTCCCTTTGAGACTGAGGAGATCAGGGACAGTGGAGGCCTGGGGCACGGAGGTCATTGTGCTTGTTTCGACTTGTTTATTCTTTAACGTTTTCCCCGTTGCCTGTGTAAAATCTCATAAAGTAATAACACCGAATGGGTCTTGGGGTCCAATGATGGATAGAAAAGGGGCGGCAATATGGCAGGTTGGCTGTACGTATATAATTCACGCCAGTGGATGGGATACTCATCAAGGTATGCTGAGCATGGCCGGGGGCCCACATCTATATCGTCATGTCATTGGGCGGCTCTGGTACGGATAATCTTCCCTATATGGCAGAGCAGCCAGAATTTCCTTTTTCGGAACACCAACGCCCCCCACCCACGCGGATATTCATTCCTTGTGCCATATCCACACTCCCATCGAAGGACAGACTCTGGATGATGCTGGGGAGTAATTAAGTGAAGAGGGGTATGAGTATAAAGAGAGGGGTGGGAAGGCGAGCTATCAACCCAACAAGCAAAATTCTCGAATTTCAACACAGTTACTTTTCCAAGCATCATGGAGGTAAAGGAAGCGCTCACTACTATGACTATATATCCAACTAACGCATGTAGAACCCTTCTTTCGTGCTCCGCCAAATCAAGGACGTGGTCATCGAAGACCGTCCCAAGCCAGTCCTTAAAGACCCCCACGATGTTATCATCCACGTGAAGCAGACCGGTATCTGCGGTAGTGATGTCCACTAGTATGTCTCTCGACACCGAAAACATGCATTCTAACTAGATACCAACGGCAAATGCTAATATCGCGCATTGAAGCTGGCAACGAGGCCGGATAGGAGATTACGTGCTGACTGGCCCCATGGTTCTGGGCCACGAGTCCTCAGGCGAAGTCGTTGAAGTAGGATCCTCTGTCTCACATCTGAAGACCGGCGACCGTGTTGCCATGGAACCTGGAGTTCCATGCCGTCGCTGTAACCAATGTCGCTCGGGCTCCTACCACCTCTGCGGCGACATGATCTTTGCGGCTACCCCTCCTTGGGATGGCACACTCGCGAAATACTATGTCAATGCTGCTGATTTCTGCTATAAAGTTCCCGACCATATGAGCATGGAGGAGGCAGCCATGGTAGAACCACTTAGCGTGGCTGTTGCTATTGCTAAGACAGCTGATCTGCGCGCCCACCAAACAGTACTTGTGTTTGGGTGTGGACCAATTGGTGTTCTTTGCCAGGCAGTTGCCAAGGCACATGGTGCAAAGAAGGTTATTGGTGTTGATGTAGTCCAGTCCCGGTTGGAGGTCGCCAAGTCCTACGGGGTTGACCATGTGTTTATGCCTGAAAGACCTGAAGACGGAGTGGATCCTATAGCCCATGCGGAAAGGATGGCGCAGAAGCTCAAGGAAGAGTGTGGGCTCGATGGAGGCGCCGACGTGGTACTTGAGTGTTCCGGGGCAGAGCCCTGTATTCAAATGGGCGTATTTGCTGCTCGCCATGGAGGCACAATTGTCCAGGCGGGAATGGGCAAGGAGGTTATTAACTTCCCTATAACGGCTGTGTGCACTAGGGGATTGGTGGTTAAGGGATCTATCCGGTATTTGACTGGATGCTACCCAGCTGCAATTGATCTAATTGGGAAAGGCATTGTTGATGTGAAGAAGCTGGTGACGAACCGGTTCAAATTCGAAGAGTCTGAGCAAGCGTTTGAATTGGTCAAGGCTGGTCGACAAGATGTTTTCAAGGTGATGATTGCGGGAGTTGTCTAGACGTGGGGGGTCGGGGAATCTTATTAGGCAATGTTTTTAAAATGATTTTGTACGGAATAAACTAGAATCTTTTCTTTGACTTTAGCTTTCAACCTCATTTCTTGTCCCTTGAAGTTGCAGAACGTGCAACTGTATTCCTGTCTTGAGAGAATGCCTTGACGCTCGTTCCCCGTTAACTATAGCAAGCGCGGAAACTGTGGAAGAAAAGGAAGATATATGGTGCTGTCTACATCATGGAATTGGCAGATATGGAAATAGCATAAGAGGGGACCAATCAGGTCGGACTGATGGCTTGCAATCAGCGGCCATTTGATTGGGGTTTCTATTGCTCCCTGGACCAATCTCCAGTGCATAGATACAGATTCTAGGAGAAGGCTTCCAAACAAGATACCGCGAGACGTGTCTCTAAAAGAAAGTAATCTATTCCAGTCCGCTTTCATACGGCACCCTGCAGGAGTAAACCAACAGTGCGGAAATGAGGTGCGGGGGAAGTCGCTGGACATCTCTAATATTTCCGCATATGGCCGAACTAAAGGGGCCCTGTTCTTTTCGGAAAATTATGCATCCACCGAACCACCGTAGAACACTCATGATACAGTTGCCTTTTCTCGCCACGAGTGTTGATTTGGAAAATCTCCAATATTGCCGTATATGGCACAATCGAGAGTAGACTGCTTTTCAAGTCTTGCATTCTCTGGGCTCCTAGTGTGATCATCATCTACCTAGGTACCTTGTGTTCCTTCTCCTGCGTGTTTGTATTTATTTCAACTCAGGAATGGCCCCCCAGCCCCAGTATTTCTCACGGGGAAAATCCACCTTCAGGCTCCCTCCCCCCTCGGCCCCTCTCGTCTCCCAGTGTTAGCGTGTATCTCTCATGTCGGCCCTTCGGAGAGTAGGTGAAAGTCCTCAACAGCCAGACTACAGGTGCGTTGGTTCTTCCCGAAATGCCAAATGTCTCCAAATCCAGCCATTACAGAAAGTCTGGTATGCTAGAATGCTTGGCTGCTGGTACTCTGTTGACAGCCTTTGATAGTCGAGCATGTAGGAAGCACAAGAAGACACATGATGGACAAAGCTCGCAATGGCACCCAAATCCTCATTCTGGGCGTGATAACCAGGATATCCGCTGTGTGTACGGGCAAGACGTTCCCTCGTTCTCCACTTCAACATCACAGAAACCACAGAAACCACATGGTACCTACTGTAGGTCCTGTTTTCCTGAAGAAGCAAACAAAGATGAGTTGCTTGGAAAACGGCGTTATGGTGTAGTACGAGTTGAAGAATCAGAACATGGTATTATTGGTCCCTGTGGAAGATATCCTAGAAGTATCACGGGCTGATTATTATTTAGTTGATATCGGACCTATTGATGACGCTGAATCTGCCGAATAGCGACCAAGGCCAGCTGAATCTACAGTCCTTCAGGGAAGATCACTTATTTCTCCATCTTCAGTACCTTTCGGTCTGTGGAATACCTCCCCCAGTATGGAGGAACCATCAAGATTATCTGATCTTGCTGTGACCCCAGAGATAACAGAACAGAACCCGCCGGAATGTTGTAATGATGCTGTTTACGGTGGAACCAGTCGGGGAAAAGTGGAATGTGGCCAATCGCACATCTTTAATGCCTGTTATTGGGAGACCTATCAGGATCAATGTGAGATAGCATTGTTTTTACGCTGCTTCTCAGAAGGTCCAGGAAAATGGACAGGTGTGTTAGGCAGCCACCAGCTATACTTCAGTCAGAACATGGTATCTTTATCTCGAGCCAGCCCAGTGATACGATACGCGGCCTGTGCCCTCGGAGCGAAATATCTTGGTCGAATCAAAAGGCCAGAGTTAAAAACCCACAAAAACATGCGGAATATCTTCTCTGAATCACAACCGGATTTTATTTGGTATGGAGCCAAATACTACAATAAAGCGCTCAAGCTACTTGCCCACCAGGCTCCTTGCGACAGTCATGGCATCACGAAGGTGCCTCTATGCTCTGCAAGCCAGACAGCTATGACCGGCAATTCTTCTGATTCGCACGGTACAGCAGCTAATATATACCCAGCCATTGCAGAATGCATTCTTTTTCAGTACGTGGATATCGGCGGTACTGTCACAACTGGGGCCGGTTCAAACCATCTCCAGAATGTGGACAAAATACTCAGACTTAGCGCCTACGATGCTGCAAGCCCCTGGCCATCGATGAATGTCCCTGAGCCCGCTAAGGCAATAAATTCAATATTTTGGTGCTTTGCAATCAATGAAAATATGGACTCATGTAAGTGTTGGTATGATGTCTGTCACAAAGATAGTGTTGGTTGCATGTTGACCCTAACCCTACCTTCCAGATGTTTCACGGAGACGGACAAGGTTAGATTCCAAGAATCTTTCGTTGTGGCGTGATCTAGGAGGACTGCCTCTTAACGGTCAGGGAGATCTGCTGCTTGATCATATCAGTGAGCATGAGAAAGCTGCTCTTCTGTTCAAGAGCCTGATTCGACTCCTGTGTCAGCTGCTCAATTCGAACCTGAGTGATGCTGCCCAGTGGGTTTGCATTAAAAGCGAGTTTGACCGGTGGTATTGTATAGTTCCCGGCTGGTTTTCGTCACCACTTGTCTGGGCTTGTGCGCCTCATGAGTGTCCCGACGATGATGTTCGTCGCCCGGCCGCTTTAAGTGCTACATGGTTTTCCTCCGACACATGTGCTCTGGCAATGGCATTTTACTATATGGGAAGGATGTTATTGTTAATCAATCAGCCCACGGAGCTCTTCCTGGAGCAATATGGCGACCAGCCTGACGTCCTTGTCACCTATAAGAGATTGTGGAAGGACCTACACCAGCATGCAATCCAGACTCTTTCTATCGCGCGAGGTATACCTACCGATACTGTACGAAAATACCTGTTGCAGCCCTTGTACCTCGCAGGGCGCTGTCTGCTGGATACCCGTGATAGGCTGGAGCTCCTTGGCATTTTCAAACAAATTGGTAATGATCTCGGTGTCGCTACGGAATACCGCCAGAGAGACCTTTGTGAGGAATGGGGTTATCCCTTGTCCATGTGCCTAGGACAAATTTGAGTGCATGAAGAGCCTAGGTCGATGTATGGAAGCCTGTAGGAGACAATTTCAGGAACAACGTCCCAGCTATACAACGAGCTTTTTTGATCAATAGCCTTTCAGAGAGCATCACAACAGTAGACACACTCCATGCACAGGGTTTGATGGTAAGATTGAGATAACGTAACTCACTACTGAGCGCTGTATCCCCACCGAGCACCGCACCTCTACCTGATTTCCGCGACACGGTGAGATTCAAGCGCTTTATTAACAAAATAATTATATTTTTATAAATATACTGATTAATGAATAGATTAGGATATTTAACCCTAGTATAGCCCTGAATATAGTAATTAGAATATTATAATAGCATGCGTACGCGTGATTTAACTACAGAAAGCCCTAGATCTGTAAATTCAATATCTTGAGTTTTAATTTTATTAAACTTAGAGATCTAGCTCTCTCTGATAGTCTGAATAGGCGTAATACTATATATAACAAAAAAATTATTAGCTATTTCTTAAATAAAGAATAACCAGAGAGATGCTTTATATTAATTAAATAATAAAATTTTATTATACAAGTAAATCCTCTTTATTCTGGGTCAATTTATGGGAGTTAGCATGTATTTTGAGACGTGTAGAGATACTGCTAAGTTATTAATAAAGAATTCTTTCAACGATATTATAAACACAACCTGCTTCATGAATACTGTGAATTTTCTGTTTTTTTTTAAAAAGAAAATTACTAGTAGAATCCTATCTTCCTGCTTAACTAGTTTCTTTTTTGATTTTGATATATTTTTGGAGATATAATAAGTGGTCGTATTAAGAAGGGCAAACTGACATATAGATTTCTGATGAGGTGCAGCACTCGGTGGGGTACAGCACTCAGTAATGAGTTATGTTAAATAAAATTTCTGTGGTGTCTCGAAGGATATGTTATGTTATACACTGAATGCTTCCGTGGCAACTACCAATGCTAGCGGCGTTCCTACAGACTTCAGACTCATGGCTCGCAGATATTAAGAGGGTGTCCTGAGCACTGCCGAGCTCTTCTCATGACTTCGGCGGACATGCGACGGCGCCATAGCGGCTGTTAGTAAATTGTTTGCATCCGCTGACCACACACATTGTGGGGATGAACCAATTATAACACCAAACTTCCAAATTTCAATCAACAAAGCCATCAATAGCGTGGCACCTCGATGCTCTTCAGCTTACGCCGCTCCCTCGCGATTTACCTTTTGTCGTGAGTTTTCCCTCCGGGGTCAGAAGGAAGAGCGGGGCTGTCGATCCCAGAGGCACGGCGACCAGCATAAATTTCCACATCGGGATAGTCACCCACAGGCCCGAGGCGTCTGGGATGAGGCCACGGTCCGAACTCATGAAGCAGTGGCCGGATCGTTTTATGGTCCCCACTACTGCACTGATGGCACGGTTGTGGCAAGCAGTGCCGATCTCGTGGCTAAATTTCCGCCATGGGTTAGTGCAGTTGGTGCAGGGCTCCACAGCCCAGGCGCGCATGCCCTCCAACAAGACTTGGGGAAATCTGTGAAGGCGGGTACGGTGGTGACATGAGCCCTGAGAAGCAACCGAAGTCATTCTTCAGTTCACGGCCTGTCGGTTAAGGCGGCACACGCCGATAAAGGGGATCGGTAGCTCTACGGCGGCCTAAACGCCAAATTGCTTCTGTCTATCGCATCCTGGTATTTTGAGATTTGGCAATACAATTGCGGCGTTACGAGCAAAACAAACACTGCGATCACAACGTCCATCGCACTTCATGGATTCTTTGGTAGACATTTTTCTATGATGCGGTACTGTAGTGCCACTGCAAACAAGGCAACCCAGTGGACGAGTGTTTCCGGGGTTTTCTGGACTTTTCTGTGGCCAAACAGGCGCTCCCCGCACATCCTCCGGCTAGTTCACGCGAAACGGGAGATTGTCACTCAACCAGTGACACAGTGGGGTTATGGAGTTGTCGGGTATATATTTCCAAGATGGGGGCTGTTGAAAGGATATCTGAGCTCGCCCCTAAATGATGTGGTGAATGCAATAGGTGATTTCCATAGACTACATCCAGCTCACGTTCAAAGTGCAAGAAACATCCATTCAATATGAGGCGGACATCTGTTACTGGTCTTGCTGGAGTGATCAGTACCCCGACTGGCATGAGTGGCCTGGTGCAAAACAAAAAGTGTTTGGGATTGGCCATGTTCGCATCTCTCAGTGGTGTCCTCTATGGCTACAACCAGGTAGGTTCATATTATGTTAACCAACCTCAAATTGCACATTGCCTGAACACTTTTCTTCATGCAGGGTGTGTTTGGTCAGGTCCAAGTGATGGCTGACTTCGAGCACCGCTTCTTTACTACTGTGAGTTGCCAATCTCATTGGAGACCAGACCGAAATTCCCCAGCTCATGTCCTCATCAGCTTAACAATTCTTCGACCAAAGGTCTTCTCACTGGCATTCTAGGTACGTGAGCTATAGAGAAAAGAAGCACACCAGAGAGCTAACAACACCTGCGTGCAGAACTGGGAGCATTTGTCGGAGCCTTAAGCAGCAGTCCCCTCGCGGATAAGTTTTCGAGGAAGGCAAGTATCTCCTTCAACAAAATATCCACAGGTCAGCGCTAATACATGATAGCTTTCAATTTCAGCCTGGTGTGTTGTCTTTATCCTAGGGGTCGCCCTCCAGGTAGGCGCGACCAATGACATTGCCTATATTTACTGTAAGAGGCAGCATATACCATAAGGTCTTTTTCGTGTACTGACACCAATTCCTAGCCGGTCGTTGGTTTGCTGGGATGGGTGTTGGTGGACTTTCCGTCATTGCACCCATGTTCAACGCCGAACTTGCGCCTGCATCTATCAGAGGTACTCTGGTAGGTCTGCAACAAGTAGCGATTTGCTGTGGGTGATGTTACGACTAATCCATATATGGTTGTCCTGCTAACACTGACACAAGTGGGCATTATGATATCGTACTGGATCGGTTACGGCACGAATTACATCGGCGGAACCACCTACCCACAACAATCCAGCGCAGCTTGGAGAATTCCACTTGCGCTCCAGCTTCTCCCGGCGATTATCCTTTGCATCGGCTCCTGGTTTCTCCCATATTCCCCTCGATGGCTGATGCTAGTAGGCAGGGAAGAGGAAAGCCTTACCGTCCTCGCTCGCCTTCGAAACCAAGACACCAATTCTCCAGAAGTTCAGTATGAATACCGGACGCTTAAAGTTGGAGCCTATGCAGACCGAGAAGCTTCGCGTCTGCGCTATGGAACCGAAGAGAAGACTTGGCGTACTGAGGTGCTCGAATATGAGCGGATCTTCACAACAAAGGTGTTGCTACATCGGGTCGGCCTCGGCGCGGGCGTTCAAGCTTTTGGCCAGTGGTCAGGTAAGCCTGGAACTTTTTGAGTATACATGGGATTGCGTCAGTCCAATACTTACTTCAATAGGCATCAATGCAATCATTTACTACGCTCCAACAGTTTTCGCACAAGTTGGCCTTTCGGGCGGGAGCATTGGATTACTTGCGACTGGAGTTGTGGGTATTCTGATGTTCTTCTTTACGATTCCAGGTACGCTCATGGTAGACAAGGTTGGTCGAAAGCCAATGCTAGCTTGGAGTTTGGTTAACATGGGCATCGCCCATGCCGTTGTTGCCGCGCTGATTGCTACGTGCGGAAATAACTTTGGGGAACATAAAAGTGCCGGTAACGCTGCTATTTTCCTCATTTACTGGATCGTGGTCAATTATGCAATGCCTTACGGGCCTGTCGGCTGGATCATCACCGCAGAGTCGTCATCGCTCGATATACGTGCCAAGGGAGTCGCTATCGGATCTGCCGTGAACTGGATTATGAACTTTGCTGTTGCACAAGTCACGCCTGTTATGATCACAAACATTGGCTACAAGACGTTCATAGTGTTCTTTTGTTTTTGTGTTCTCGGTCTGGCCTGGGTCTACTTTATTCTGCCAGAGTTGAAAGGATTGTCACTCGAGGAAATTGACGCCGTTTTTGCAGATGAGATCAGCACAGAGGATCGCCTTCGTCGCGAGCGTATTGCACACGAGCTCGGGATCCATAACATGGCAGATGCAGCAGCGGATGGCATTATTTTAGATGATCGTGGAGATTTGTCCCCTAAGCAAGAGATAGAAATGATCGAAAGATAGGTGTTTTCGGATTGCTCGGATATACATATTTGGCTGTGTTGCAAGATGATGCCGGCTAAGGATACGTTCACCCCACTCATTTCTTATCATCAAGAATACAGAGTCCTATATATCTAAAATTAGCTACCTTGAATAAAAAGAAATCCAATTTCAACAAGTTGAAAAATCCTCCTGTTCAGAATGATCTAGGTATTCACTACCAACCTCTGCATGGATGTCAATGCTGCCGTCACAGGACCCTTTACCCACATACCTTACATAGCACCGCATTAATACGGTTCTAGGCCTTGTCGGTCTGGATGTGCCCGATATGGCGCTTTGTCTAGGCAATATTAGGAAAATTTAGCAATGATGATGGTCAAGACCCACTGGTTCGACGGCCATTGCATGCTGGATGGACAAGTAGGCACGGTACCTCGTAGAGGAAAAGCTGGACTTCAGTAGGTTAGATATCGGCCGGTAGATAAACTGCATTGGGAAATTTCCCAGACGTCGTGAATCAGAGCAACATGGGCAGCAGTGTTCTTTTCTTGAATGAAAGCTGGGCTTATGGAGACTTTTATCTTCTGCGTGATATACTAGGCTCTGGCCGCTTATTTTTTTTCTGTGAATTAGCAGACTGATCAGATAGAAGTAGCGGCGACGCTCGCCGATAAGCCACTCGTGCATCCTTTCTCGCTGTAACGAGCTCTTTATTCAATACTTCCTCGTCTCCTCTCCTCTTCTTTCCTCTTCCTCTTCCTCTTCCTCTTCCTCTTCCTCTTCCTCGCCATTGTTCCTCATTCAATCCCTTCCTCACGATGGATGCTCTCAAGCTCAACAGCTGAAGCCTCTCGCAAATTTCCGCCGCAGGCAAGGACGGCGTTAAGGTCCTGACCTACCAGCGCGGTGACAACGTGAAGGAAGGAATCATCCATGTGGGTGTCGGGGGTTTTCATCGCACTCATCTAGCGGTCTATATTGACCAGTTGATGCAGAAGCACGATGTCAAGGACTGCTATCTGCGGAGTGGGCTTACAACCCTTCGATGCTGCCATGCAGGATGCCTTAAGATCCCAGGACTATCTTTACACTATTATTGAGTGTTTGGCTAAGGGAAAATCTGCTCATGTGGTTAGCAGTATTAATACTTATTTCTTTGCTCCAGATAACCGCAAGACTGTCATTGTTAAAATAGCATACCCGGATATACATATTGTGTCGCTGACCATCACTGAGAGTGGCTACTATTATAATAAGAATATCTACAAGTTATAAGTAGAGGATCCTGATATCCAGTTCAAACTTAATCCTGCTAATGAGAAGGTCCTTGAGATCCTGGCTGTCCTTCTCTAGGCGATAGGTTGTAATTAGCGCTCTGCACAGCAAGTCGAGGCTCAACTAGAGGCTGAGACAGTCCGCGTTCTAAGCGGGCGCTTAAATGTTGGTGCTAGATGCACGGCGCCAAGGTCAGGGGAATGGCGGATTCAACTCTCAGTATCCATCTGCAGTGATGCAAAAGTCATTGGCTATTTTCGCGCCTTTTGACTGTACGGAGCAGGAGAAATTCTCCAAAGCGTTGCCGACATGTTCTCTCGGCCAAAGAAAATCACACGAGACCGATGGTGTTATCCTGACTGACTTACTATAGCACCCGCCAGCTCCCACCATTCACTCCTAAAGGACCCCTGATTATGTAATATTCATGATTATCTAATTGGGAAAATCATGTGATTTCATCCAACAACTACTATAGTAACTACATTCTGCATTTGATTTTCTCCCTACAACCACTGTTTTTTTTCTCTCAAAGCGATGCAGCCCCCTGTTGAACGGGCTTTTGACAGCAGAGAGCTGCTTCTAGCCTCAGTGCGTGAGCATGCTCTCTCACAAGGCTACGTTATCACTGTCCGTCGAACAAATGTGAATAAGAACGTCTTTCTTGGTTGTGATTGAGGAAGTGTCTATCATGATCGAATCAATGCTCAAGAAGGAGAGAAACGGCGTTTAACAAGTACACGGCGCATTGATTGTCCATTCAGACTCTATGGAAGGAGGATTCCCGACAGCAATCAGTGGGAGTTAAAAGTCCAGAACCCAGCTGATGATAGTTTGATAGGCCATCCCGCAGCTCCTAAGCTTACAGAGAAGCATCTTCTAGAGATTGTCCGTCTATCTGACGTTGGAATAAGCCCACGTAACATCTTAGCTCTAATCAAAAAGCAATATCCTGAGGCTTTGGTAACACCAAGAGATATCTATAATGCCCGAAGTGCTTTACGGAGACAGAAGCTTGATAAATAGTACTCCAATCGAATTCCTACAGAAGACACTACAGGATGGCCCTTGGAAATATGCTATGAAGCAAGATAGTGAAGGCCATATCCTCTTCTTTATGTTTGCACACCCAGAGTCAGTTAGATATGCTAACCAATATAATAGGGTATTCGTCCTAGATTGCACCTATAAAAACGAATCGATATAATATGCCTCTTTTGCATATTATTGGTGTATCACCATCTAATTCAACATTTAGCATTGCTTTTTGCTTTATGCAGAATGAGCAAGAAGAAAGCTATATTTAGGCTTTAAGGTCTTTTCTCTCATTTCTTGACCCTCTCTCTTTTCATTCAGTTCTCTGTACAGATCGTGACCTAGCTCTTTTGTCCAATGATATACCTCGCCAACACTGATCACCTGACTGCCCCTCGTCCATCCTGGTGAAATTATTCCACTTGCCATCTTTGTTATCCTTTGAACTTTTCTACGCTGATAAAAGTGCATCCACGTCTCTAACATAGTCACTATAGTCTCTCAAACTCTCGTACAGAATGTCGACTCGGAATACATTACGCTATGAATACACGGTCGCCTGGATATGCGCATTATCAATCGAATTGGCGGCTGCAACGGCCCTACTCGATAGCGTTCAGTTCACTTCGCAAACTGGAGATTGACAGTAATACCTACACCCTTGGGAGTATGAGTGGACATAATATAGTAATCGCCTGCCTGCCATCCGCTGTCTATGGAACGAGTTCTGCTACGTCCTTGGTGGCTTATATGAAGCGAACATTTCCTCCTCTTAGATTTGGCTTGATAGTGGGAGTCGGAGGTGGGGTACCCTTCAGTGGAGCTGACGTTCGCCCCGGTGATGTGGTAGTCGGTACGCCTATTGGAAAACAGGGCGGTGTGGGGACAAAGTACTCTCCACCCACCGCAACTTAGACCTAAATAAGAGAGGTACCTGGACATTATACAAAACTTACCTGGCACTCCTGGAATGGAGGTTGGCAAAGATGCCGACGGTCGAGTGATTGTGGGTCTGCTGGAAATTCGTTGTCGAAGGTCATCAAGCTTTGGCCCTCACCGCCTTCGGAGTTGAGGAGCATTACGTATATAAGGCTATAGCGTCCCGTCCCTGATCTTTGACTTCTTATTCTCAGTTTCTCTGGATTATCTGTACGACAGATATTTATTTCAGACTACGCTGCAAGATGGCCCAAGCCTACACGAACGATCATTCTCCGTCTGTCCTGCAGACACACTCTTGGCGAAATGCCAATAATTCGGCAGCTTATCTTCTCCCTCACCTGCAGCCGAATATGAGCATCCTTGATGTTGGCTGCGGTCCAGGTTCTATTACTATCGACCTGGCACGAAAAGTGCCACTCGGGCATGTGGTTGGGGTAGAATATGTGGTTGATCCACTGGATGGAGCACGATCGCTTGCCGCCTCGGAAGGAGTGACCAATGTCAGATTTCAAGTCGGCGACATACACGATTTACCGTTTCCCGATAATCACTTCGATGTTGTTCACGCACACCAAGTTCTGCAACATATTGCCGACCCAGTTCAGGCATTCAAGGAGATGCGGCGTGTGGTAAAGAAAGGGGGAATCGTGGCTGTACAGGAGTCTATCTCCTCAACAATATACCCTGATTCTGAAGGTATGACGGCCTGGCGGGATCTTCAGAGCCGAATTCGACAGAGTAAAGGGAACCATATGAAAGCGGGGAGTCGGCTCCATGTTTGGGCGAAAGAGGCTGGCTTTTCTTTGGAGAATATGAAGAAGAGTACTGGATCGTGGTGTTTCAGCAGTCCCGATGAACGGAAATATTGGGGTGGTGCAATGGAAGAAAGAGCCCGCTCCTCCGGTCTTGCGACGACCGCAGTTCGGGAAGGATTTGCTACTCAAGAAGATTTGGAGCAGATGGCAACGGCTTGGAGAGCCTGGGTGGAGAATGAGGATGGGTGGCTTGGATTTTTACACGGACAGATTATCTGCTGGAAGTGATGCCCTTTTTTCCGATATTTACTGAGAACCTTTCAGCGAACAAGTTATACTGGCGATGTTTATCGCCATACTGGCTGAACATCTTGAAGGACATGGCTTACAAGGCATCCGCAGTTAAATCTACAGAAGGCTAGGGCTATAGAGATACATCATCGTCCTACTCATACTCACGATGATCTAGCGGATTGAATAAATCTTAGTCGTGGAGGCAATCTCTGTAGCTAGTCGAATAAACTCTCCCTTTATAATTGTGCCTAGGAAGTGTATATTCCGCAGCTAGTTCGATAAATCAACTAAAGGGACGCGTAATACAGTATCCCATAATGGCTATATAACGGATTCTCTTGCTTTTCAGTGGATTTAGGTGTTCTAAAAGGCTACTATATAGTAGAAGACCGGGAAGTGGCAGTTACTTCTCTATGATGAATATGGATCTCATCTAACATACGAATTCATTTCCTGGTACTACACGAATCGAGGGCTATAGCGAGAATACGTTTCTCATGCTTTGGCCGTTTTCCATGGGAAGAAGTTCGATAAGCTGCAGACATATCACATTAAATTGATGGGTAGAATTGCAGAGCCGAATATATGAATTTATGTATATGGTCAAGGCTTCAGCCTGCAACTCCTTAGAGCCGACCATTTGTGCTTCCTGGTTCAAAGTGTTGATCTCCTCTTGCACATATGGGATGCCACTTTTCACCTGAACTTGTGATTTAGCTGCTCGATCTCTCCAGGAAAGTAAACTCGCTCGGTGCCTGGCGCCTTTTCAGATTGCGTCACTCGTCTGAACAGGAAGTCCATGCGGTCCTTGAACTCATCGATTTTCCATAAACATGTCAGGTTTGATGGAAATCATAAGATGTCCTACATCAGACACCTTAGAGGGATCGTAAGGCCCGGTAACATTCCCGGCAAATGCAGATCCAGATAGCACACCAGAAAACACGTCCATCATGATAGCCATCGCAGAAACGATCATGTCAAATCTGCAGTCTAGAAACAATAATCTGAACTATGTGAGATAGCACAATTCGATTAGAGATCATGCGGAAGCCGACTGCAACACCTGCTGTGTATATAAAGAAAGTGTTGTGATTCGCATGGTCCAGACTCTAGACTCCGGAGTCTGGCAACGCGTGGCCTCGGATGCTTTCGCTGAAAGGGGGTTATTACCAAAAAGTATCACTCTTGTGTAAGGAACATGCGGTTAAATCTGTTCATGACTTCACCTTAAGTATCATGAATCTGTAGTAAGTCTCTGGACTTTTCTCAAATAGCCAGTACTGTATTATTATATTGCAAAGCAGAAGATATTGATACTCTGTCAGGTAGTAGCTCTTCCAAAGTAATCTTATAGTAGAATATTATATTAAGTACAGAATCTGACTATTTTAGAGTCCAGAATATTCTTCTTAGTGGTGGCCGCTTCTCCAGGAGAACTCTTTGAGGAAATACCTTTGAACACTCCATCTGTAATGCCTTGCGCAGATCCCCAAAGGACACAATTCAGGCTTAGCCATAACATTTCGTGGAACCAATCTTTGGTCTGGCCATGATCATGTAAATAATACGTTTGAAAAATACAAAAAGTCTGGCACCACGCACAACTTGACACTGTCACAGTAACCCACCCATCTTTTGATTAGGCCACTTCCACCTTCACTCCAGTTAATATTGAAAGTTAGGTGCTGAGGTGTCAGGTCAGATCATAGTTCCTCCCAGGCTTATATGCCAAAGAGGGAGTTTCCTACTATGGTAAGAAAGACATTCGTTGGTGCCTGTGTAGGCACTTGATTCCACGATAGCACCGGCTCGAGACCCGGAACGAACGAACAGAGAAATTGAGGACCCTGTTCGGACTCTGACTCGCTCATGCATATAGCCGTGATCATCCTTTCCAAGTAAACGGCGAAGCAAAAAGATAATGTCCTTAGCTGTTACCAACACTTGGTCTCTTGGTTTGGTGGGGAGATTGTATTTCGGAGTATGCTCTTCTAAGTGCATGTCTTACTATCCTCAGAACATCACAGCACGGTCATATTTGTGATCAGTGGCAGGGGCTAGCTTTTGATGGCAGACAACGTCCTCTTTGCTCTCCTGTCCTCCATGTTGTTCCACGGTATAGTTGCGGGCAGCGGCCGTTTTAAGAAAAATTTGTTGTTCCTCCGGGTCATAGACTTATTGTTATGTGATTTCATGTGATTATAGTTGGGCCTTTGCATCATCGATATAGACAAGAGGGGACTTAGAAAATAGAATCATAGCTCCAGAAGGCGAGGGCCCCGTTAACTATTTATTAATAAATTGATGGGGAAGAGATCCCACTTCTAGCAAGATTTTACAACTTAGGCGGGTGAGGGGAAGAGCAGTTAGCTTAGTACTGGGTGCAGCTGCTGGTACTTCATAATGCTCCATAATGCTCCATGATGCTCCATGATGCTGATACTGCTAGCGTATATTAGGACAGCACCCACAGCGTCAGCATCCGGTCCAAGAGACACCCCACCGTCATTTCAGATTTTTGTTAGGATCACGGGCTCATTGACAATTTGCCGCGTAAGTCAATGTAGCTGGAGTACGGCTGAGAGGACGAGAAGCCCTATTCCCCACATCCTATGGTCGTAGGCTTAAATAAGGCTCTGGAGACCTTCAAGAGGATTTTCCACGTTTCTACGTAGTAGTATCATTTCATACTCTTTACCCAATAGTCTAAATCTATACAAGGTTCTCAGCCCTTTATGTCTTGAGTGTTTCCCTAAATTTTTCTGTATAGTTAAGCTCTGTTCTATTTCTTACCAATAAGGCGCTTGAGGTCTTCCAGCTCTACCGCACAATATGTGTCAGCCAACATTTCCATAACGCCAACCATCGTTATTTCTGGGTCCCAAGGGTCTGCCGCAATAACAGCATCAACATCCGCACCGCCTCTTATAAAAAGCCGCACAATCTCTGCCCAACGCGTAATGCCGTTTGGGTCGGTGTCAAAATATCCTATCAGATGCCGTCGGTGCGCATCTCGGAGATGCCGCAAAAGTTTCACCCACGAGGTCATAGGACGTTTGGTTTCGAAATCAATGTACTCGTGGTTTGGGCCCGGGTTAATATAATGACGCCGTTCGAGAAGGTTGTGTACCATATTGGGATCTGATAGCGGGTAAATGGATCTCTCTCGGGAGCATAGAAATTCGGTCGCATAGGTGAGAAGAGGAGTGGTTTTTTCATCGTAGTTCAGAATCCCATGGCCAAGAACGCCATGGTTGCCCTGCGAAATCCATGCGTCCAATTCTTCGGAAACGTAGGTAGTTAAGCCGAATTTCGTCGCCAAGCATAAGAAAGGATGCCATATTGATGGCGCCTTTTTCCGAACGTGAAAGAATCCAAAGGCTTTGGCAGCCCAATGGTCGTTCGGATCCGCATTGGTATCCCACAGCCACGAAAGAGTTCTGTTGAGCTCATTCAAGAAGCGGCGTTGCAGCTTCTCCGCGTCATTAACGATATACCTGGCATGAGTCATGGCGAGAGTCACGTCAGGCCACCACTCATCAAACCGTCTGTGATGCTCAATTTCTTCCATTGGCCTCTTGAACCGGAGAACATGTGATCGTAAAAGCCGTAAATGAGGATCAAAACCAGCTGATATTCTCTGCTCAAGTCCTCTACGAACAGAATCGACTCGCAACCAACCGCGTACCGTACGATGGATGAAGGTGACTTTTGTGTTCGCCAGTCGGCGTATGGATGCACTGTCCCCATCGACATTGCCCGAGAACTTGATACTACGATGGTGATTTTGACTCGGCCTCCCTTGAAGGCTCAATAGTCCAGCAAATCGTTGGTGCATGCACTCTATTGTATCACTGCAGCGTTCTTGGATAAAGACGTCGGACACCTGCGCCAAGTCCCCGTCCGTGGCATAGTCGTCATAACCTTGTTTCAAGGCAAAGGCCAGCTCCCAGACTGTGAGAGAGCTTGCTGACGTATCATTGACAAATTCGGCCACAGTCTCTCGCGCTTCAATGAGCAGGAAAAAAGTTGCCGTCTCCGCGATTTGGGTATCGGTTTGATCCTGAAGCAAAAACTTTTCGTACAAACCGTCCAACTCTCCTGGAAGTTGATCCAACCGGTCTCGCAACCCAGCTAGGCCTTGTTTAGGGTCAAATTCTTTCAAGATGTCGTTTAAAGCCAGCTTGATCCATAGGAAAACCCCGTCTGCCTTATCAACTATCGCCTGACGCAATGCCTCCGATTCTTCTATCGTACGTCCAAGAAGATGACGAACAACAGCATTTTCCCTTAGTCTGTCGGTTGCGTATTGATAGAGATCAGATTGTGTGATTTCTTGTAGTTTGACACTAGGCCCCGTGGTTTGAAAGGCTGCTTCAAACATGTTCCAGGGACGCGAAGAGAGACACATTTTGACACGGCCACCAAGACTGTATTTCTTGAAGAAATTTGGGAGTTCCTGGTGATCTTCATCAAATTCATCGAGGCCATCGATAAAAATGCAAATTTTCATTTCTGAAAGTGCTGCACCCATGAACAGTTGGAAGGCTTCCAAAAGCTCGTCTATATCCCATTCGAGATGGAGCGCAATTCTCTCCTTGGAGGTCATAGTACGAATTTTGGTCCAAAGATTAGGGAACGTGCGAGGGATGAGGTGGGGATTGATCGACAGAAATTGGTACAAAAGAGATCTAAGGAGTCCGCTCTTAGACCGCTGCTCTTTGCTCCCACTAGCCCATGAGAAAAATCCTGCGGTTGAAATGGGCAAGGCACCTGCCCACTTCCGGAAGGATGCATGTGTGGCTGGATGTTCGTAGAGATATTTCATGAGTGTCGATTTTCCTGACCCCGGCTTGCCTGTCACCCAGTATATGGGACCGTAGTTGTCAGTTTCGAGCCATGCAGAAAACCCGTGACGAAATTCAGTTTCGTCCTTCCCCTGACGGCTGTCCGCATCGAAGATCCATTCGAACGTCTTCGGATGTGCTTTGATGACACTTTCCTCCCTGTCATACATGTCTTTGAACGCCAAAGTCTCGAGAATGAATTCGTTCAGGAGGTCCACTGGAGCATTTCTAGGCTGTGCAGGCCGGCTGGACTTAAGCACCCTCACATCTATTGCTAAACTTTCTGGGACGGGGCTGAAAGTGCTCGTGGAAGATTGCGACTCATAGGGGATTTGTCTTGGGAATTGGCGCTCGTGATCCCTTACTGGTTGATGTTTTCGGGGCGTGGTGAACCTGAAGCACGGGAAAGCTCGTTCATCCCGGAAAACGCTGTTGAATGCGAGTAAGATTGAGAATGCCCACGCTGGTGTATCAACTTACTCGGATCCAGGATCAATGGCTTTGTATTGGCGCATCAAAGCAACAAGCCGTAATGCAAGAGCTTCGATGGCATCTTGTGTCCATATCTCACGGATTCGAGACTTTAAGACATGGGGATCGTCAAGAAATTCCTCGGTGCGATCAAGACGAATCACAAGATCGCGTCCCACTTTCAAACAAGCATTAGCGAGGATTGATAGTTCATTCCTCAAGGCTGCTGTCGTGTCTAGTAGCGAGTGGATGGTATAGCGGAGGTCTGTTGACAATGCGGTAAGATGACCTTTCTCTGCAGACTGCTGTCGTTCATCCTCGCCTTGAATCTCCCATGCCGCCTGACATATGGCAGCAGACGCTTTCAGGAACTGACAGGTAGCATCCATGGTGGCATCGGGCCTTTCAGAAGCTTGAGTGAACAAAAAAAAAGTGTCATCATTCCGGAGCTGGAGGCTGTATGATGAGGTAACCTTGTTTTGCCCCACTCAAGCACGACCGAGTGCTCAACTCCGCGGGTGATGGGCTCAGCTCCGACCCTCTTGCCTAAACTAACCGAACTCAAAGATACCGCCTCCAGGACTGGGAAGGCTGTGATTTTAAGGTACTCACAGCATCCCTTCCTCTTAGCCACTCAGGTGATGCTGCACAAGTCAATGTGGAGTGATCGATTTTCCGAGCTCTAGCCTTGTAGATACCGAGCAAGCAGTGAATAAGCGATCGATGCATGCCATGTTTCGTGGTTGTTTTTTTAACCGGAATTCCTTGGTTTTTTTTTCTTTTTCTGCCAATCACATTCCAACGTTTCCACAAATATAATTGGCTCAGCTAAGTAGCTCCTATTTAACCTTCTGCGTCTCCTACTAGTAGGTACCCTCCGTAGCTCGGCATTTTACCCTTTCCTCCCATTACACAATCAATGGAAAAGGCTACACCCTCTTTTGCACGATCTCCATCTCTGGCATTTGGGGCCACACTTCCCACAAACTCTCGGCCCACTACCGAGATTGATGAGTGGATTGCAAGGTTGAAAGAGTGCAAACCCCTTTCCGAAAATGAAGTTAGAATATTGTGCGACAAGGTAAGTTGTTCCTCCGAACATTAGTGAGCATTACCAATACCCCATCATCTCTACAGGCAAAGGAGGTAGTGCAGCCAGAATCAAATGTACAACCTGTCGTACGTATACGCTTATCTTAATCGTTGGCCATTAAAACGACCAATGATTGAGCTAACAGGCGTGACAACAGACATGTCCTGTCACTATTTGTGGAGATATTCATGGCCAATTTCATGACTTGATCGAACTGTTTCTTATCGGCGGGCCATGTCCAGACACAAATTATCTGTTCATGGGTAAGCGTCTGCCCCTCCCGGCGTTTAAAATAGTATCAATATTGACAGAGGCTGCTAAGGTGATTATGTCGACCGTGGTTACCACTCTGTTGAGACGGTGAGTCTTCTTGTTGCCCTCAAGATCCGTTATCCCCGGCGTATTACGATTCTCCGAGGAAACCACGAATCGAGGCAAATCACACAAGTTTACGGTTTTTACGATGAGTGTTTGAGGAAGTACGGGAGCGCCAATGTGTGGCAATATTTTACCGATCTTTTCGACTATTTTCCTGTCACCGCACTGGTGGAGAAGAATATATTTTGCCTCCACGGAGGCCTGAGCCCCTCCATTGATACTCTCGACAACATTAGTGCGCTTGACCGCATGCAAGAGCCCCCTCACGAAGGTCCAATGTGCGACTTGCTCTGGAGTGACCCAGATGAGAGAACTGGATGGGGCATTTCGCCTCGAGGAGCAGGGTATACTTTTGGAATCGACATTACGGAGGCATTTAATCATAGAAATGGCTTGAGTCTCGTTGCACGCGCCCATCAGATGGTGATGGATGGGTATTTTTGGTCTCACCCGGAAAGTCTTGTCACTATTTTCTCTGGTATGTGTTATTCCTGACCTTTGAAATAGAAACCCGCTTATCGACATCTTCAGCACCTAATTACTGTTATCGATGTGGCAATCAAGCTGCAATCATGGAAGTGGACGAGCATCTTTCATATAAGCTGTGTGTATATTGTTCTGAGTCAATCCTTTGCCGAGCTAATGAGCTTTGTTCATTCTTCAGCATCCAATTCGATCCAGCTCCGAGAATACTTGAACCCAAAGTAGGGAGACAAATACCAGATTATTTTTTGTAGGTAAACGAAACATCAATAATGAAGAAGCACCGAGTTTGAATCACATATAAAAATGTTGTAAGAAAGCAATCATGTCTCTTAGTATTGGTTGCCAGCACAGTGCTTTCGGTTTTGATGTCGATAAGCGAACAGCTGAGTCGCATGGTTCTGCTCTAACCTAGTCTATTAGTACGGCGTGGAAATTGGCAACGGTAAGGCCGTTGTATCGTATAAGTTAGACCGGGGCCCAGAGCAGGATATGTGTTCGTATCAGGCCAGACATTATGAACACTTAGTACTAACTAATCCCTGTCATGCTCGACTGATTTTGTTCGAACGAAATGGCCCATCGGGGTATGATCTTTTTAGGATTATCGATTTCGAAAAAAATCGTATTAGTTATGAATAAAAGTGCTATGCTAGGCTTTCCCCAACTATTCTCATGTGTGCCATAAATCATGAGGATCCTGCCCACCTGATCTATTCACTAACCCCGACAGTTCTTTTCTTTGCTTCTGTCGCCTGTCTCCATCTTGCAGCGAATCTCCATTGGATGAAAGGGCCAACCAGCGCGACGAACTGCACGGCAGCGCAGATAGTAAATGTAAGTCCTGCTCCAACACCACTGATCATAGGCATCACAAAACTCGTGCCCCCAGCTGCGAACATACATCGAGCAAGATTGATACTGGCGCTGGCAGCCGCACTTCTCTCGTGAAAGATATCCACGAGGTATGTCATGATAATGGATTGCATTGAGACAACAGTCCAACCGGTGATAAACGTTGAGATGATGGGGACCGCAATGTGGACTTGGTATTGGATAGTCCAACCAAAGAGAATCAATGAGAGACATTGTGCGCCTGCAAAAATAGGAACAAGCCGAAGACGGGCCTTTTCAATGGGAAAATCGGCCTCCCCCTGGGCCTCACCTTCGGCATCAGACAGCGACTCATATTCGGCCTTCACTTTGCGGTAGTCTGCATCCAAGATCTTACCCGTGATCAGGGTTCCGACCATAGATCCCACGCCATTGGCAATGAAAGTCAAACCGTTCTGAATTTCCGAGAGATTATACTTATCTGTGAAGAGAGAAGACATTGCAGTGATACTCATCTGCCAGACAGCATAATATATAGCGAGAAACAATATGATAGGCGTGGAGTGTTTGCTGAAAAGAATGCGGATCGGTCCCAGGACGTCAATGTGCTTTTTAGCAGCCGGTGGAATCACCACGCTAGGATCCCATTGAACCTGAGTGGTTTTTTGATAAACCACTAGAGGATATTTTACCAGTGGATTCCTAGTCGGTTGTATCTGGCTTCCATTGGCCACTAGTGACCGAAGTGTCTCTGGCAAAATCAGGAGCATCAGAACCAGGAAGACTCCGCCGTAGATTGCTAAAAGCCAAAAGATAGACCTCCAGCCTAATGTGCCCGCCATAGCTCCACCAATGATCGGACCAACAGCCACGGGCACAAGAAGCCCAGCTTGGAAAATACCCATATAGCCGCCACGCTCCTCACGCGTTGTAATATCGCCAATAACACCTGAACCAATGGCGATAGTACTGGCACTCCCAGTGCTTTGAAGACATCGGAGAATAATCAACGTCGCGTAGTTCTTTGTCTCGGCTAGGCCGATACATGCGCCGAAAAATACTAGGAAGGTACATGTGTATGCAACTCGACGTCCCTTTACATCGGATACAGGGCCCCACAGACTGGGTGCAAGACCTTGGAATATGAGATATGAGGTGACAGTCAAATTAACAAGCTCCAATGATACGTTCAAGTCCTTAGCGATTGTAGGCAGTGCCGGGAAGTAAATATTAGAGGCAAAACCAGAAACTAACAGGGATTAGCAAAACACTTAACTCTTGAGGCAAGAGCTTACATGTTGCCGCGGTCGAAACCATCGTGACGATAAGCCATTTTTGTCGGTTATCAAAGATACTGAAAGGTGGTTCCGTTGGGACAACGGGGGACTGCTCCCTCCCGACAGATGCCGGAGGCATGATGGGGTTAATGGATATTGATTGAGAAACAGAGGCGCTCAAATAAAAGAATAAATGTAACGAAAGACAGAAGTTGGATGGCAAGAGGTGACTTCACCAAGGAGGTTCGGGAGAATGCGAATCTTACTAAGGAGCTCGGCCAGTTATAAATCGCTCTCACCAGAGCATTCGGAGTTGAGCCCGGAGCTGAGCATCCGAACCCTTCGCCTGGCATTCAGGGGCCGGTATTCAATAGATATTATTGGTGGAGTTGAGAGGCGGGTCTGCGACCCAGCCATCTAATCAGCATCCCACCAAGAGACGGCTAATATTATGGCTAGTTATAATCAGATCCTCACCTACAAGATACTGACGTCTGTCTATTTGGCTAGCTGTGCTTCTCATCAGCTCCGGCAAAACAGGCCATGAAGGCTATACAAATCATCTCTCGGTGCATACATCTATCTTGAATGGCACCGGATTTGCCATTCCCATACAAGAGTGGAGCTTTCGATAACAATTGCGTCATGGCTCATGAACTCCGGTAGGCGTAATCCACCAAATACCCCGTACTATGGAAGACCCTATCGGAGTTGAGCCAAGTATAAAGGTATCTGCACTCCGTCAATCGCACCTCAACTCTATAACTATCAACCTCGCATTTTCTATCAAGACACCATGGCTTCAGCCGACAACAAAGTCGACTTCGGCAAGAACTATGCCATCCTCAATCTTGATTGGATGGCCCTTCTTCTGAACGCGGTTGAAGGGACACCGGAAGGCAAATCGCTCATTGCCAATTACTCTCGATGGAACGACGCTGTTCATGAGAAGACTGATCGGCCCCTTGTCGTCTTTACCACTTTGCAATTCAACCCTGGGCAACCAGACCTGCAACCCAACACACCTTTTTCAAAACTCATTGAACCATTCGGTACCTTTGAAACCGGCACCCCTGGTGTCGAGATTGACCCCCGTTTCACGGTTGATGAGAGGGATGTCGTGCTTCGAAAGACCAGGTGGTCTGCTACTACTGGAAACAACTTGGAGCAAATATTGAGAGCCCAAGGTATCGATACTGTTGTCATCGTACGTATCAATGTGAGAATCCCCCATGCTGCATCCTTTAACTGACCCTTCAGTCTGGATTGAGCTTGTCTGGTGTCGTGATGGCCACAGTTTACCGATTATTTGACTTGGATTACAAGATTTTTGTCATCTCAGATAACGTTTTAGAACTTCCGCCAAACCAACATACGGAGTTCTCTAAAACTATGCTGGAGACTCTTCTGCCCAAGATGAACCTTCAGGCAATCACACTTGAGCAGGCCCTTCAGGCCCTGGATCATTCTTAGTGGATCAAATCAATGAAAAAATAGTGCGCTGAGGTTGTTCATTAATGTCTACCAACCAAATCTCTATTCCTTATTTATTAAACAGCCCCGTTCCAAGAATGCTATATGTGATGTATCTTTTTGACAGCATACTTTGTGCTCAAGAGGGACTTCCTGTTTTCCTTGGAAGCGAGCTGCAAGGGCTTCCCGCGCCAAAAAGCAAGTTCCAATGGCGGTTAAGGGATCGAGACAATTGGGACAGAGCTTTCATTTCTCATCTCGCAGAGTGGGCCGAAGGATACCTTACCATTGATGAGCTTTGGCCCACCCCGGTCGGTTTCACTGGTCATGACATTTCAAGGCGCCAAAAGAGAGTGAATCGCTGGCTTGAAGATGTCGATGAGTTTGGAACAATGATATTCGCGGTTACAGCATGTACACGTGGTATTTGAATTCTATCAAACTTAGGTGGAGAGGAAGAAGAGGCTAGCGCAATATCGGTACGCGGCCCCCTGGGGTCAACCCCACATGTGTAACTCCCCTCTCTGTCTCTCTTGCTCTCTTTCTCATTCTCCGTCTTTCCACCAGTCTCGCACATGAGGAATTAGATACAGTCTGTTGCTTCCTCTTCCTACATTATGCTTTCGACACGTAGCAATATATAACTGGAAACCTCGGAAGGGGGAAGGACGCACGGGCACGTCTTCGCGTAACAAATTGTTTTGATCCAAGGGTTTCAAAGAATGGAAATACGAAAGAGATATGTATAGGCTTTGTATGCCGCTATCAGCCGATCGAGTGCCCATCAAGGGATCTGTGTTCCGGAACGTAACTGCCCTTTGTGTGAGGACTGACAAGCCGCCAGGGGCTCAAGATGCGGACCTCTCATAGGCTGCTAGGATATCTGCTTAAAGCTGTTGCTTTACTTCGCGCCTGGGGGTATGAAGGGGATGGAGAATGTGGGAGCAGTCTAGCCCAGCATCCTTTTTGGCAGGCGTTTCTGCCAACTCTGTTATTTCCTGGTATCCCAGGATGCCTTGGTATCTAGCGCACTGACCGAGGAGATTATTATCCCGGCCTGTGACTCGATCAAACAGAAAATTAACCAAAAAGCAAAGGAGCTACTTATGCCACATCAAAAAGGACTCCCAATCACTTATAATCACTACTTCACCGAAACCCTCCAAAAAATCAGATTGGGCCGCCGAGAAAGCGAACTTAGCAAATCCCTCCAGCAATTTTTCGGTGTTAGGGATTTGAAGCAGCCTTACCTCTCGGAGCATTCCCTCAATCATGATCAATTTCTCAAAGCACTTCTGCAACAATCAGAGCCCAATATGGTGCGCTTTGCTTCTATTGGGGCATTAGACTGTATGCTAGCTTACTACAAGGTAACACATTACCCGTACTGTAGAAAGTGGATCTGTGGCTAATGATAGCAAGGTCGCTCTGAAAAGTTTTATTGACGATATTGCAAATGAAGTTGTCGAAGAGAAACTGATCTCCTCGCTCTCAGATATCCTGTCACCGGTAAGTGTGTTTAACATGCAGGCAGATTGTATTACACGAATCGCGGGGAAGTCAATGGAAAGTCAAACTTTACGCGAGCAACTGAAGAAGGAGCTCTTGATGCTGAGCAAAGGCTCAAACACTTGCAAGCAATTTTTTAGGACTCGAACTGACGGTATAGAAACTCTCGAGTTCAAAATAAATTCCAGAGGTTAACATCACCAGCAGAGGGTAGCTGCAGTCCACCTACAGTGGGCGACTACTCTACAAGCGATATTTCCGATGAATCTCTATGTAACGTGAACTCATTCACTGAGGAATCTGGTAGTTCTACCTCACCTCTCGCTCAAGAAATATTCGTTTGACTTTGAACGAGACTTCGGGCCCCCTTTGTCAACCGGAAACCCACAACTCGAGTCTTAATTCCAGAAAGAAAACGAAGAAGAAAGCCCAGAAAAGTATATTGTCAGTCTCGGACACAAGCTAGTTTAGCAGTTCTACTAATGGCATGTCTAATTCGTCGGGAAGTAATGATCGTCTCGTGCAAATGCGAGCTGTGTAAATATGTAAAACTCACATTTATTCCAAATATTGCTGACCTCAATAATAATGGTCGGACGAGCCTTTTTAATGGGTCAAAGTGCAAGAGCCCCTTTCAGGCGATCTTTGCTTGCCACTGTTTCGGCTTGATATACATGTACCTTACTGAGAACAGATTCTGAAGGTCGCTATGGCAATATTGCGTACTACACTGATAAGTCTTGGACATAGAGGCGATGGTGGCATCAATAATTAAGCTTGGCGCGGGATGCTCTTTGTTCTCATAGCAAACATGCATTTTGTCGCTTAGGCTGCTGACCACAAACTTGGGTGAATGGTTAAACACATCCCTATTTAAAGACCGCCCGTTGGGCCATGGTACGATGATGATCAAGCTACTGGACGTCCAAGTATCTCTCCATGCCTCTTCGACAACTACTTCCTGCTCCTAACAGAGCCTACGAGCCCAGAGAGAAGCCCAACCAGGGTAAAAAGACTCGAAGACAAAGCACAGCCTGCTTAGAGTGTCGCAAGAAGCGAACACGCGTAAGTGTTGATACAGATTAACGTTCTTTATGTCATCAAGAGCTTACTAGCAAAAAGTGCACTTGCTCGCCACCTTGCGAGATGTGCTCTAGGTCGGGTTTCACCTGCATAGTCGAATCATCTACGGATAGGCGGCGGAAAGACTCCCTCAATCGCGCCACCAAGGCTGCTCAATCTTACTCATTACATCAGGTGACCGGCAGTAATCAGTAATATATGTCATGTATACGCCCGCCACACAAAAAACCATCAATGTGTCGTATGAACCTTAATCAGCAACCTTCGAGTGGACCGTGTCTAGATTGCACGATCGACGATTGTTCCTGGGCGGATCAGTGCTCCCCACTCCGAGATTATCCCCGCCGAGAAGACTCGAGGCACGAGTCGCTCCGTTGACAGAAATGGGGGAGCAAGTAATAGCTAACAGTTTTGTAAGTCATGTTCCCCCCTCCCTCCCCCCTTGGCAAGCCATCTCATGGTTCATCACCCAAGAGATCCGAACGCCTTGACCGGCAAAATTATACCAGCCCCGTTCTGAATAATAGAATTGAGAACAGTTGATAAGCTTTGCGCTAGTGGGCAACAATATGGCCTCCCCCCAACCCCCCCTGACCTCCAGGCAAACTGGAAGGGCCCTCGGGAGTCAGGAGGTTAAATATATCAATTCAAGAAAAACAGGAAAGTGCACGCCGCTACCACACGGTGTCCAGGCTTTTGTAATATCTTAATGAGACCTGCCGCTCAGAATACGGCCCAGCATTGATGACCGCAGATAGACATGTAAGATAAAACAATGCCTATTCTATTGCTCTACCCATCTTAAGGCATAATGAAACACAAAATGCATTCGTCTGGACAAGTACATGGGGGGAGTACTCTGAGCTCATGCATGGATAAATTTCACTTTTGTTTGTCCCTTCATGGCTCCTTTGGAATTTAGTACTCGCATAGTGAGATCAGCTTGGGTCATACTTTCCATTCGAGTCTCGGGAGAAGAAACATATTGACTGTGTTTTCTAGCAACCCAGCAGACACCAGGACTCAAAGAGGTGCCAAGGCTTAGTCGTACGGAGGAAGGATTTGATAACTAGGGTAGATAACCATGTAATGATATAGCCACAGGGTAAGCTAGTATACATTATATGAACTTTTATTCCTACTATCCGCAATTGGTTGTATAGGCATCTGCGCCTTTCAAACCCCTCCCGGTCGAGTGTTGATTGTGATCTCCTCAAGAATGTCTGTGTCCCATACCCCAGCCATATTCTTCAGGATATGCTGGGCGTTTGCCATAGACAAAATAGATACCGTCCGTACTGAATCTTTCGTGCAGGAGCCAGGTGTCTTCAAGTAGAGAAAACGCAGCGAGTTCGCATGCTGCCGGACAAAGCTGTCTATGGTCTCCAAGGATAGCCAGCCGTATCCTAGCTCAAATCGCCGGACCGAAGGAAGCATAATCTGGCTCAATGGCTCCAATATCGTGGGGCTATTGATCGCTCTCAGCTCTTCAACGTTACTAAGAGCCTTCTCAAGCAGGTATAACACGAGAGAGTCTCTGGTATTAACGCGCGAATGAAACCCCGATATCTCAAACGTTTTGACGACCACCCCTTCCATCTTGGCCACGACCATGGCTGCAGACATCTTCACCAGGTGGTCTTTAAGGCAACTCACTCCATCCAGAAAGACACGGCCAGCAAACCAGCGGAAGGGTGATTTGATATCGTCGATAAAGCTCAAATGTACCGTTTCCAGCCTCGGGAAGCAAGGCAGAGCAATCATCAAAGCCTCAGTGTCTTGGGCGTTCTCGTGGACGATGCGCTGTTCTCGCGCTCGAGCACTGAAGTAGTGGAATATCATCGAGTAGTAGACACTCTTGCCCCCAAAACGTTTAAATCATCTCGCGCTTATCGCGGTCGTACTCAGCCGGGGTATAGATATGGGTTTGGAAGTAGTCATAGCTCTCATTGTCTGGGCGAGCAGTCAGCACATTTGTGGCACGTGATCCACAGGTTCACTTACTAGGGGGAATTCGTTCCGGAATCTCATAAACAATTGCTCGAACGTGTGAGGTGACCCGAGACTGAGATATTTGGACCAAGCGGTCCAGCCCAGCACTCGAGAAAGCTATCTTGAGTGTTCTGAAGATATGGGCGGCACACAGCTGACGGAATAGCCCGTTGACTGAAGAGAGTGATAATAAAGAGTCGACTTCACGACAAAAAGTCGATGACATGTAGCAACAGCTCAAGTCCAGAACGAACGACGCACTCTGCGCGAGCACGACACCCTGCGAAGCTCACCCCCATCGCTGGCACCCAGCTTAACTACCGTTTCAGGAAAATATTCAAGTGAAGGACTCATTGAGAAATAACCGCGTGGATTATGTGGCTCAAGTACGGCTGAGCGGACGGGAAGCCCTGTTTTCCACACCCTGTGGTCGTATGTACTTGGTTATTCACGGAGTATATTTATGTAGTGCTTGTAGCCAATCAATGATTTGTTTTGGGTGGATAAAGACTTCCGATCTCCTCCACATGATGGATGTGAAGCGGATACATGCCATGGTATAGAGGTTCGAAAAGTGACGAATACTAGGGACCAGAATAAGACAAAGATCATAATTACGACGAGCAGTCAAATCGAGCGCCAACTAGAAAGTGGGTTTGGAATTTCTGTCCAAAACATTGTGCTTGACTTCGCTTAGATCTGCATCTCATATATGAAGGTTTTCGGTGTTCTCAGAGAACAGAGCATGACGTGGGTATCCCCGATACTCCAGGAGAATATTCAGCTTGGGTTTTCAAGTAACGATAGTACTAAGACTTACCTGAAGAGCATTTTGCAGTTTTATATGGCTGAAATTCCAGAATGATGTGATGATGTGATCTTTGATATATAATCTATTGCACTTGCGAGAATAGCCACAATCCAAGCATACCCAGCACCGGCCAAGAATACAGTGTGTTGTAATTCATCCATTAGAATAGTGGAGTATGGCAGTACTGTTTTGTCACAGGATTACCCTGCTCCATCACTTTCCAGCAACGACGTATTGGGATTGTCTGTAGATTCCCCACGGTCATTTGCTGCTGCTTGAGAATTATCTGGTGATCAGCAATACAACACTATATGCAGGCGAATGACCTCATCTCAAGCCGCTCTTATGTGTCAATCAAATCATGTTGCTCTTCTCTAAGATAGTAAATTCACTGTTATGGGTATGGAGGTATCATTGTGACATGATCATGACCCAAAAGTTACCCCCAAGTTTGTGACTCGAACACTTCTACTTCATCTCACTTCTACTTCATCTCACTTCTACTTCATCTCACTTCTACTTCAACTCACACTACTTCAACTCACTACTACTTCATCTCCCTACTACTTCAACTCACACTACTTCATCTCCCTACTACTTCATCTCACACTACTTCATCTCCCTACTACCTCATCTCTCACTACTTCAACTCACTACTACTTCATCTCACTACTACTTCATCTCACTACTACTTCATCTCACTACTACTTCATCTCACTACTACTTCGTCAATCTACCAGATCATCATCAAAGAGCATTCATGGAGAATATACCTCTATTTAGCGGCAAAGGCCGTGAAAGATCGGTTTCTCCTCGAAGAAAGCCACTTTCTGGACTCTTTGACAACCTTTCCATCTCCCCCTCTGCGAGCACAACATCCACCAGCATGCGAAGCATCATCAGCAACACATTCAAGACTCGTGGCTGGCCACCTTCCATATCAAAGGGTTCACGTGTGAACGAAAGCCGCCTATTCTATACTATATCCATGGACTCATCTGCCCGAGCGTACATTCCCCTCGACGATGAATCCCCGAGAGATCTGTTCAAGAAAGCCACAGATTTCTATAAAGTCATCCAAGATAAGCTACAGGAAAAGGGCAGTGATGGTACTGCACTTATCAGTGACACCCTGACACGACATTTGGGTACTGTGATCTTTGGCAGTAACTACATCGAACGTGCTGGCCTTAATTTGGAGGAGACTATCAAGATCTGCGAACGTATCTTCAGGGGAGAGTTCGTTGATCCAGAACAAATACCTGAAAGGTAAGGATATCCGCAGGTAGATACGTGATAATAGCTAATTGAGATATGTGCTTCTTCAGAGAGCCAGATTACGAAAAGAAACTGATCGAGGCAATCCGCTCTAAGACGCCAGCATCCCATATCATCCGAAGCCGGCGAGAGGTAGTCCAACATGCGTTGGCGCTGAACTTCTTAATAACTGAAATGGTCGTTAACGACAAGCCACTTTCTGAGGACCTGATCCTGCGTACCCACCGCATTTTGACGGAGTGTATTGACACGGCTGGGGGTATCCCCTGGACGGAATACTCCGGCAGATATAGAAAGGTACATGTCCATGCGGGAAACACGAATTTCGTTGCGCCCAAATACGTGCCAGCAAAAATGAGAGAGCTAATTGCCGATTTCGAGGGAGATGTTCATAAAATTGAATCTACCCATGTCCTTGATCCGTTCACCTTGGCTGCCAAGTACTGCAATGACTTTGTGATGATTCATCCTTTTGCAGACGGTAATGGAAGAATGTGTCGATTGATCATGAACGCAATACTCCTAAAGTACGCCGGGATCGTCATCTGTCTGGGTGAGCACGATGAGAGCCGCCAGCAATATATCAATATTCAGAAGCGTGCAGGGGAACGCATGGAAGGTTCAGGAGAGCTTGCGGCACTGATTCTTAAGAAATCAATTGCCAGATATCGAACTATCAAGCAGAAAATCAGCGGGAAGAAGCAAGGCTGATGGTTTTCTTTTACTATCTGCGTTTTTTCGGACTTTTGCTTTGCTAGGCTCATTATGCAGTTTATTCTCCGCGGTTAGGAATACTAGGGGACGTTGAGTGGGGATCGATAGCTTGCTACCGCAGCCAGTAACTGGATTGTACTTATGAGAAAACTACCTAGCTCAAGCCGGCTATCTACCGTTGTTTATTTACTCGATGTGTATTCCCGTAGAATCTAAGGAATTATGTGCCAGCATTGGTTTCTGTAACTGACTGTGAGTGCCATGCTTCTGAAACTATTTGATATGTGGACACATTCACTGTCGCCAGACACTTCACCAAATCCTTGTTCGGCCTACGTGGCCATGTCTGCAGCCTTCACTTTACCAGTCTTCCTCTTTCAAGGGCATATTTAAGAACCCAGGAAGCCACCAACTCGACTCTACGTCGCAATCTTTTTGACGGTGGTATATATTGCTACTAAATACGGGAGAATCTAACTACGCAAATGCACTTATATTGATTCGAGCATCCTTTGCAGGTGAGGAATATGTTCACGTCGCGATGTTTATCTAGAACAATTTAATATCTGACCGAGATTGGTACAAGATTGAAAATACTATATAGAGTTGAGTATAAAGCAGAGGGCTAATCAGCTATGCCTATAGCAATCATATCTTTCTTCCTCTGCAGCTCACAATGACAGTGTTCACTCTACGCCGAGACCCTAGCACCTCGAATATCAAAGATTCACCTCCCACCACAGCGCACACAGGCTTTCCGAACCACCATACAACCTCAAAGGAATATCGTGCAATTGGACTCGTTATTTATAGTGTGCGCATCTCGTCCATACCACTGCCTATGTTCTGCCTAGGCTTGTGAAGCAGGCTATATATTCGAACTATATATAGTACATTCTGAACCTTTCCAATGAACGCTGTCCATTGTGTGATCTTACAAGGATTTACAGAATGGCCGAGGAAATATGGTGATCTTTTTCTTTATCAGTTTCATATCACAACGACGCGGGTCCAAAATTCACAATATATAAGACCAGTGGATGGCTGAGAGCGACATGAACCTGCTGTCTTTGTTACTGTCCGTGAGCCTTTCAATGACAAAGGCGGATTTGGTGACTTCAGTCTCGGCGCTACCATTGATGGTTTTCTCGTCATATTATATAAAAGGTCTCAGGTCACTTCCCAAATGCTCTCAAGCCTTGTCCACGTACTATGTCTGCTGGAAACAAAATCTTATTCTCTAATAGATTTGGAAGTGTACGACAACCCTTCGAAATTTACCATTATTATGTCTGGTAAGCAATCAAATCAAGCCCGCTACTCGTTTATTGGCAACACTAACACAATCCATTGTCTACAGGTGTACAGAATTCTGCAGCTGCGGTAGGAGCACACAGGGATGGGGAGAGTAGAACGTCGGACAATCATCGGGTCAAGGAAGAAGACAAAGCCCTGACCACAGGGAAGCCTTCGGCCGAGGAAGCAATTTTTCGTAGTGAGGCCTCGATCTCTTTTATCATTACCCGCGAAGGTATATGCGAGGTTGTCGAAACTTTGATGGATACTCCAGTTACTCCCCCCTCTATATACATTGACCTAGAAGGTATGAACCTCGGGCGAGAGGGCCGGATCTCTACTATTCAGATATTCTTATACCCACATATTCATGTCTACTTAGTAGACATTCATACTCTCGGGGCCACAGCGTTTAATCATGCAACAACTACGGGCACCACTCTTCGATCCATCCTGGAATCATTTATGATTCCCAAAGTCTTCTTCGATGTCCGGAACGACTCTGCAGCCATGTTCCATCAGTATCAGGTAGAATTGGCAGGCGTCCATGACCTTCAGGTCATGGAGATGGGCATCAGGCCACATCCCGGGAAGTACTTGGCCGGGCTGAGAAAGTGCATCTCGCGGGATGTACCCATGACCCAAGCCGATAAGGCTAACTGGTCAGCTACGAAAGAGATAGGGAAGACACTCTTCTCACCGCAGCATGGAGGCTCGTTTGAGGTGTTTGAAGCTCGGCCATTGCCAGAGGAAATAGTTCAATACTATGTACAGGATGTACTCTTTCTGCCTAAGATGTGGCAGATATACAACCAAGCACTTACCCCGACCTCGAGAGAGAGAGTAGAAATTGAAGTGAAAAATAGAGTCAGACTTAGCCAATCTTCGCAGTTTATTGGGAAGGGGAGCCATTTGGTTTTAGCTCCCCAACTCTGGGAGACTGTACCGGAGTGTCCGAGTTCCTGGCTCTGACTGCATCATCAAAACATAGTGATTCACAAACCGATGATAGTTTTCTACATTATCAGGAGCAATAACTGGAGTTTATGTTGGTATAACTATAGCTGGGGGTTGAATATATACGTCATTTGAACATATTCCAAGCTGCCAGACTCGTTGTTGCAAGCCTCTTGTGACGTGTCAGACCCAAAATACTCCGTAACTAGAGCTGTATGGGAATGTAAGTAATCGTTCGTGGGAAAGCCTATATAATATCCGGCCATACCAGTTCGTTCCTGAGCTGTAATCGATCGGCGGCCTTTCAGATGTCGGCCCTCCACGACTATTTACGCCATCCGCTCCAACTACAATATAGCCTTCGTAGATCTTCCGATTGGCCGTAGTGGCAGTAGCCCAGTCGTCGAAGCTCTAGGCAAATATTACTTTCGTCGAAAGTCGGGATACCCTTTGTAGAGGACTTGCAGGACATTTTGTCGATCGATGAAAGAGAATAGCGAAGAGGTACAAGTAATACTAACTACCCGGTGACTTCAATGACTATGCCCACGATAAACACAGCAGCAGGCCAGTCTGCCACCGTGCGTTACAAAAAGTACCACATATGCTATCGACTGTCCGATTGTTGTCCAAGTACAATGGGGAGACCCAATGTTGTTTTCTCATGGTATCCGGGCTCTCGTTTCTTCCTGCATGACGTGGCAGTCCTTGTATCCCCCGGCGATCCCAAATGCCAGCTCAAAGTACTAGTGAATCACCAATCATTAAGACTTCGCAAGGTGTTCTTGTCTTAAGGCCTCCTTCTTTTCGACTCTCAGGATGTACCAATAGCAAAGGCCATATGACAAATCTAGAAAGAGAAACATCCCCGCCGACCACAAAATCAGAGGATTGTCCAGCCAGGCAAATGCCTCAGGCCAGTACCTCCAACGTAACGCAGCCATACCCAGTACGCTAAGAGAACCAATAAACCTCGATATCCTATAAGTGATATGAGAGTCAGCTTCGCGCTGGGTTTAGACCATGTGAGGTGATTTACCATAGAAGATTCGACGCCCCACGACTACTTCCCCGACAGAGCAACTGACACAGGCCACCGGTGCCGAGAAGCAATTGACAGAACGCCGCACTCCATGTATATGCAACTTCAGGACCAATGTATGCCGCAAAAGCTATATGTCCAGTCAGGAAGCCAAGAGTACACACGGCAAAGATGTACCGAAGGTTCCGTTGGACCAAGGGTGCGTGGGACCATTCATTGGGTGAGTGTCTCATGGCGCTGTACATGATCGCGACGTTGACTATAAGCGCAGTTACCGTAACGACCAGTTCCAATCGATTTTTTGGTTGGTATATTACTCCGTAAGAAAATTCCCAGGCAATGTTGCAACAGAGAGGCATAATGCCCATTGCGTATGTCTTCTCTTTGAAAGAAATATGAATCATGCTAGCGTAGTTGACTAGCCAGCCCAGCGTCATGGCTAAGGTGAGAATATTAACAATGGGCTCAACGGCTCTGTAAGCAGCTGGAGCTTGAGTAGCGTCAAAGCCGTCCATGGTGTTATTCCGATGATTGTGGCCGCAGTGTCATTAGTTCGCAGCGATACTTGCGACTGAAATATAGCCGTGGACTTGGTTCGTTCTCGAATAACGACAGCGCCCGAAAAGGCGATGCGCAATCTTATTAGCCTGGCAAACCGCGGGTTATGCAGCGTCAGGGGTAAACAAACATGTGCGGACAGCACTTCCGTAGTTCCCGCAAATGAAAAGCAATTTACTCGAGGATTGAGTACCGGACCGAGAATTAGCACATAGTAATGAAAAAATCGTGGGCTACAGGGAGCAAACATTCCATGTGTAGTGTGGTTGTTGTGTTTCTCACATACCCATGGCCTCCGCTTGGTTGGATGTTGCCTGGGCCATTTCTCTGTTCATAATTGGCAGGAGCAGTCTTATCACAGAAATTTGTCATGGTCATGGATGGATTGAGGCACCTCCTTACCCAGGTCAGGGTAGGTTTGATTTCATGTTAACCCGCGACGACCTAGAAAGCAGGAAGTTACATCACATCCTTCGCTTATCACGGTATGGAGCTGAGTTACGACCTGCGGCATATATGTGGATATCGAATCTAAGTCTCTACCCATGGCGCAAAACTGTAAGTCACAATATCTGTGAGCGTTCGTGTGAAAGAATTATACCACACAATCCCACCACTCCTTGACAGACAGTAACATTGTTATGCTGCGTAGTTCACAATATTCTGGATCCAACATTGCATACTTCCAGAACACATCACATTGGCCCCCGAGATAGTCAGTCGGAGCCACAGATGTCAGTCGCTCTAGATTTGAATATCTTACAAGGCTGGCACTCCACAATAGAGTGCTACTGTCAAGATGACCAGGCTTTCTACACAGGCGTCTCCTCGCGTTACTATACATTATGCGCAACTTCACTTGCCAGTCTAAACGTTCATGACTAAATCATTCAGGTGTCAATAAATGGGAAGAGGCTTTTCACGCATGTCTGAAGCTGTGGGACGCTTACGTGGTAATGTGGTCTACCGGTACCTCCAATTCCCTAAATTTCAGTGCAATTGCGTGTTTTCGCAGGTTCAAATGGCCGATGGCATGAAAAGATGCGGTGTGACCGGAGCCCGACTAATTTGGCGGTAACTGCCTCCCGAACCTTGTCATCACCCGTCCGTGGCCGCTCCCTGCAAACAGCAAGACAGATGCAATAAAGATATACACCGCTTGTTCAACTCTTTCTTAAATTTGGAAGAGTACTGGAAGTTACAGAATAGTCGACAAGGTATCCGATATCTTCCCAGTACACCTTCATATAATGTATATCAGCTATGAGAAACCTAATGATTAGGTTCAATAGAACAGAACGTGGAAGAGCCACTATAGAAATGCACATAAAGAATGTTTGTTGCACCGTGCATGCGATATCTGTGCTCCTTGTAAGACAATTATCATTAGCGTTATTATTATTAATTTCAACTAATTTTCCCTTGGTGGTGGGAGGCGGCTATTCTGCATGGAGATACATCACTGTGAGTAAAAGTGGGTCGACGAAAATGATGAATCGTTTCCACTAGGTTACAAACTCCCTCCGGCCTGCGTGAGCAGTATCTGCATGTCAGTCTCTCTATATTGAATTAGATTGACCGTTAGCTTTGCTCCCTGTTCACTAAATAGCACTGATTACCGCCACAGCACTGTTCTCAGTGGGAGGATGCTTGTTCCTAACTAAATATTCTGCTCCCTGGCACGTGCATAGACAAGGAATGCGGTATCAGTACTCGCCTGCAATGACTCCATGTGTGAGTCACTTGTAGATGGATTGCTTACTTGGGAGGTGCTGCTAGGTTTTATAATCTTGGGTTGAGTCAGGCTTGTGCCTTGCTGGGTTGTTTGATTATCTTTGTGTGCCTTTCAATTTGTGCTTCACTGACGCGGGCGACAACTCCGCTGGCTCCCTTTAACGGCCATTGTGATACATATTTATATCCGCGAAAGTTAAAACGAAGAGGCTGTGACGGGTTAATGGACCCTTCTATCAAAGAATCCTAGGTGTGGCAACGGTGCGATGCGGAGAAGGTATCTGTACACCCGGCCCGCCCTATCTTCTTGTTCAGATTTGGCGCTGGACTACATTCGGTGGCCGAATATGATGTGTGTCGCAGGGTAAATTGTGGGATTGCTATAGAGTACCAATACTTAATGTATGTCAACGGCTATTATCATCCATGGCGGGGAAAGTAGGCTATTAAGAGTATCATTCAATACTACTTTGACTACATCATCCTATATATAACAAGTTCACCACTCATCCTACGAAAACAATCAGGGATGAGGATGATAGTGATTTTTGCGCATAGTAGTGTTGCTTACGCGCCGAGTTATATGCTGTCTATGTCGAATTACAAGCATAATAATGTCTACCAAAATGTGAATAATAACTTCGAGCGAATACATGGAGATCTGAAGATGTGGAGGGGCAGTTAGATTCTGGGGACTGCGAGAACTCTTCGGCAGCCTTAGTATTGATTGTGGTACTTCATGCAAGAGACATGCACAAAATTTTATAAATTGGCCTGCTGGCCCAATGGTAAGGCGCTTGACTACGGATCAAGAGATTGCAGGTTCGAGTCCTGCGTAGGTCATTTCTTTTTATTTTTTCCTGCCCGACTTCAGTCCTAAACGAGGAAATTGGCGAAAGGCGGACTCCAAAAAGGATATTAGTTGGAATCAAAAACAGCATAAACGCAACAAAAAGTGATGAGTCATAGATGTTGAAAGCAATCAGCGCAATACGAGGATAATATCGTTCTTACAGGCTTTGCGGTACAATCTGCAATGCATTGTGCGGATGCTCATCGACCACCATGTACGACAACATGTTCTCATTCTGCTGATATCTGAACTTTTCAATTAGCTGATAGCTTTGCATATTGCAAGATATATCTGGACCTATACGGCGTGCAAATCATATAGCATTGATCTCACTTTCAATTGGCCAAATATTTCATGGTGGCTGAAAGTTGCATGAGGGAGGAGCTCAATGGTCGTGTCGTCATATTCCTAATGCCCGTCCTCGTCTCATGCAACATAAAACGAGCTGCAGACAATTATTGGTTTTACATGTGGCAGACATTTCTTATAATGTAAAGAGACCATGCCTTCTATTTAAACATTTGCCATCTGGCTCATCCGTACAACAACACCTGCTACCACCCATACAGATTCAAATTCCTTTCCATTTGCTTTTCAAGCCCTCCCACGAGGAAGGATAGCCACTAAACCATGGCTGTTGTGGAGATTGTATCTGACTCAAGCAACTACCTACTGCTCATTGTCGCGTTCTTCATATACTTCTCATGGCATGCGGTAAAATTCTGGAACAACAAACACCTCGACAACCGGGAACCACCACCGATTCCTTATTGGGTGCCAGGTAATTCGTCAACTCAGCCGTTCCGAACACCTTTCTTCATCAATGCTAATATTACTACAGGTATCGGCCACACTCTATCTTTTCTATCAGATGCCGATAAGATGATCGATCATGCATTGTAAGACTTTGCTGGAACCAATGGGGCGCTTTCCATCCTAACAAGTCTCCAGGGCATACCTCAAAACAAAAAGAAGTCCCTTTAAACTTCACGTTGGTGGTAAATCGCTCTACGTGGTCCAAGATGTACCATTGATATCAGATGTCCACAAGCGAGTCAAAGAATTAAGCAACGACATTTTCATTGAGCTGTTGTTGACAGCGGCTGGTGTCTCGGACTCAACGAGGACTCGCCTATGGTCTTCGATATCTCCTGAGATTAAGGACTCAATCCTTCGAGCACTTACAAACAACTTCCAAACAGCTCTTCGTGCACACTATCGGAGAAACTCGATAACGTTAGGGTTGCTTTCACAAATCCAGCTAGCTCCATCATCTTTGCCCCTTTATCATCCCCTGAGAATATCCATTGACGGACCGGCAGAGGTCTCATTGCACAATTGGGTTGTGGATGCACTGGTCACAATAACCACTGATTCACTTTTCGGGAAAGTGTGTATAGCCAGATTCCCACAGCTGAAAGACAATTTGTATCTTCTCCATATGAATATACCTGATATATTCTCGTCTCGTCCTCGAAGGATCTTTCCAAAGGCTTATGCAGCTACTGATAATCTGGTGCGGGATTTCGAAGAATATTTCGACCTACCAAAAGAAGAAAGGATGGATCGCGCAGAAATCGTGACTATGATTGAGGACAAGCTTTCCTCCGCTGGACTTTCTAATAAAGAGTTGGCCATGCTGTTTATTTGGGCTTTCTGGGGGTGAGTGAGCTTATTATACTCTCCAGCCGGTCCAACTGCAATATGAAACACTTTGACTAAACCAATAATAGGATGCTCGGTAACTCGTCAACCACTGTGTTCTGGCTCTTGTGCCATACTCTTTATGACCCTACATTGTTTTCCGCAGTTCGGGCCGAATGTGACAGGGCATTCCCGGAGACTAGCGACATGCCCCCACACGAAATCCCAGCACGGCTAGAGAGCTGTCCAACCCTAAAGGCGGCCTTTCAGGAGACGCTGCGTCTCTATGCCGGAATGTCCATTTTCCGCCATGTTTATGAAGATACAGAAATTGGCCCATATCACCTAAGAAAAGGCTCCAATCTCATGATACCCTATAACCGTCTTCACGTGGATAAATCTTATTGGGGTCCCGATGCGGAGGAATTTAAATATCGGCGTTTCCTTGACAATCCCGAATTGGCAAACTCTAGATATTTCAGACCATTTGGGGAGGGCACTCATCAATGCGGGGGCAGGATGGTGACACCTATAATGGCGATGTACTTTGTTGCTACTGTTGTTTGTCGGTATGATGTTGCGATAGTGGGTGGGGTTGAAAAGTATCCGCTCCCCCGGGTCGAGACTGCGAGAAGAATGGCGACCGTGACTACAAAGGTACCAGTGGCTGGTGATGTGCCTCGGATTACGATTAGTCCGCGAGTGAAGGTTTAACCGGGCTTATGTACAGTTATTATAGTCTACTGAATTGCTAATTCACAAAGGTTTGCTTTCACTGGAACATTGATTCTAGAATACACATGGACTTATAGCTACAGAAAATGGAACGGTGCCCTAGCAGATTAGCTTTCTATCCCCTGTTCTTCAATGTAAAGAAGTTACTACGTATAAAATTTCCCGTGCGGTATTGAGCTAGCCGTGGCCTTCATTTGCAGTATACATCCGAATATGAAAGACTGATTCATACTTTCTACCAATTAGTTTCTTGTCATGAATACTCATTCGAGGGCTCAGCAAATGATAATACCTGCTCAAATATGGTTGATGCTCAGCCGCGAGGGTTTGAGTGAAATAGCTGGGCCGCATCATCGTATTGGGTTAGTCCGACAGAAGAAAGGCCCATAGTTTCAATCCGAGGTTTGAAGGTACGACAGAAAATATACCCATAGGGCGCACCATACATGATCCCAAATATAAAGATCATTCGAGGATGAGCCAGGAGCAGGAGATATGGAATTGAATTTAGGGGAAGTAGAGAGATGACATGAAAAACATGGGTCGTTATATACCATTAATGCCTGTTCGGTGTAAATCAATTGAATTACCTACATCCTAGTGGGCAGCACAGCGGACAAAAGCCGCGTCACGCCTCTATAAATTGTGGCAACTGAGTCAAGATCTGCGTAGGTAGGTTAATATAATTGTTACTTTGTTATCCGACGAGAGATACGTGATACATCTTGCTTTTGGCGGTCCTTTCGCGCGGGGTGCTAATTTATTTGCCGGTGTTGCCCAAGCTTCCCGAAGAAAGGAGTTAATGTCCAGAGACTCTTCTGCTTATTTATCTTGATATATGCCTTCGAACTCGATAGCCACAGTACAAGGCACTGCTCCAACAGCTGGCCCGCAAATCTACCCACGCAAGATGTTCAACGCTGGCCCATTAAGCCAATGCTGCTGGGCGCAGATCATAGCCAATTTATAAGATGATCTGCCTTGCATATAATCTGCGCGATCGGTCTCAGGTTCCAACATGCTCGTGGTGAACTTTCATTGGCCTGCAGAGGTGGAGCTCGGCTTCGATAGTCCTATAGTTATCCGTAGCTGCAGAATTATTGATCGAAGAAGCTGAAGAATACTATCATGTGTAACCACATCATGGCGACTATATCGGCTTTCTCAATAATTGCATATTTACCTCTGTGGATTACTAAAAGATTATTCGAAAGCTAGGGACAAAAATTATGAGTCTTCTGTTCACCGGTTTTCTATCACGTGTGCTCGCACCTAACATAAATGTCTCGCTCACGACAGAGCTTCGGTATCTGGGATGGAAAGCTTTGATATTCTTTCTTTGCAATGGAAACGAAGGAGTCTGGACGTTGTAGTCCCCGGCAAGACCAGCGCTATTCTGCTGCTGTTGCTAGTGCTGGTGCTCCACCAAATGGAGGAGTCGCTGGGTGGTCTGCTGTGTTCGCCTCTTTTCTACTCTTCGCCACAACCTATGGTTACTCCTCTGCATATGGGGCCTTCCAGTCGTACTACGAGTCCGACTTATTGCGCTCCAGTTCTGCATCGCGCATCGCTTGGATAGGCACTATCCAAGGTTTTTTCATGATCTCTACGGGCGTTTTTGCGGGGCCGCTCTTCGATCAGGGGTACCTGCACTCCCTGATGACTGTCGGCTGTTTCCTAAACGCTATTGGATTCATGATGCTGAGCTTATCTACAGAGTATTATCAGGTATTTCTATCGCAGGGCGTTTGTAGTGGCATAGGCTGTGGTTTGATCTACGTGCCCGCCTTGTCACTCGCTTCTACCCTCTTTACCACACGCCGCAGCATTGCCGTCGGTCTGTTATCTTCCGGAGCTAGCATTGGTGCGTTGTCCTGGTCGGCAAATACTCCGGTTTGTATGCACTCTCGCTCACTATAGTGGTATCCCAGGTGGAACCGTCTTTTCAATTCTCTTCATCCGACTGCAGCCACGGATCGGATTCCCCTGGACTGCGCGCACCCTGGCTTTTATCCAAGTGGCTTGCTCGTGCATTGCCGTCCCGATGCTCATAGCCACAACCAATCCAAAACCCAGTCCGCCACGCCAGCTCATCCACTGGCACGCACTGAAGGAGTTGAGCTTCGACGCCTATGCAATTGTCATCTTCCTATTTTTTGTCTCCTACTTCGTCCCGCTGTTCCTTTTACCCTCCTTTGCCCAGTCCGCGCTGCACATCTCAATAGACCTGAGCGTCTACATGACAGCTATATTCAATGCCAGCTCCAGTGTCAGCCGTATCGGTTGCCCTCTGCTGGTTTCTCGTTTTGGCCCTAGCAAGGTCCTGTATACTAGCATGGCCATTTCGGTCGTTATCCTCTTTGGCTGGACGGGCGTCCACAATGTTGCTGGATGTATTGTCTTTTGCGTCTTCCTCGGGGGATTCACTGGCAGCGTTGTCACCGTTATTCCGGTGTTGATGGCTCATCCGGTAATTTCGCCTACCCCGTCTGTGTTTGGAACCCGAATGGGCGTGCAGTGGTTCGCCGTCAGCTTGGGTGTGTTGATTGGTGCGCCTATTGGTGGTGCCCTGGAAGGATATGGTGGAAGCAATGGATTCCTGGGTATGCAGTTGTTTAGTGCGTTGGTGATGGCTTTGGCAACAGCAGTACTGCTTGTGCCAATGAAGGCGATTTGGAGATATGATCACGCCCAGCGAGAAAGTGGCGTTGTCTAGATCAATTTTGCCGGTTGCAGGATCAACTAAGCGACAGCCAATGGCAGTTGTATATATTGTTCTGGTGTTGAAAGTAGATTCTCCTTGTTATATGCCGAAAATGAAAATAGAAAATTTAACAAAAAAACTAAAAATAGAAGCTTAGTAGTTAAGTTAGTGCAATTTACTGGCGGTGGGGGATATCGCTTGATTACTACCAGTTCTAGGCGAACCCAGTAGTACGAGTATATATTTTCCGTGCTGGAACAAGTGGAAACGGTCAAGTACTATGACTGAGATGAGTTACCACAATTAAATCATCTCCACGATTACTATGACACAAGCTCACCACAGCAGGTGCAGTAAGCGTGTTCGGTATTCAGTTTTCCTGGGACATAAAGCTATCAAAACCGTGGCTTTAACAATACTCAACTGTTTAGTGTTGATTATCCTAAACAAAAAAAAGTTAGTCTCTTAGGACTAGAATTTGCAAAAGCTTCCAACAAGCATGGCTGGATGGTGTAGTTGGTTATCACGTATCGTTAACACCGATAAGGTCCTGGGATCGAGCCCCAGTCTGGTCATTCTTTTTCTTTCCTTACTTTTTTTTCCCCCTTTTCCCGTCGAGTAGGAGGTGATCGTTCCTTGTTCTCTGCTGGACCGTTCTTTCTCTTAGGTTTAAAAAACTTTTACCTTCTAACACCTATGCATGATCGCTTTACTTTACCCACTTTGTGAAACTAGCCCAGCTATAATCAAGTAAAGAGAAGAGATACACGTGAGCTTCATCATCATCTTTGTACAAATTCCCGGCAGAAACCCCACCAAACCCCTCACCGCCCGCCCACTTACAGAAAAACTGTCATTTTTATTTTTAGTAAACGCTTACAGGCCCAGCTGAAATGCCCATCCCCTCATCACTGCTCCGCATCTACACCCAATTATTCAAACCTACAAAGACCATAAATATGCCACTCATCTCCAACTTCCAGCTCCCTGCCTCGGTGACCCTCCTTGAGGTCCCCGCGGACAAGAAATTATTCCTTGCTTTCGTGTCTTCCGCAGACCCAGCTACCGGACAAGCGTGGTGCCCGGATGTCCGTGCCGCATGGCCTAAGATTGAGGAGGCATTTTCCGGGGATGAAGGACCACAGGTTGGTGTTGTTGAGGTTGGACAGAAGCCTGAGTAAGATTTGCCCTATTCTATTCTTTACTATTTTTGTATACAGACTTCATGTCAGTCCGTTCTTGCTAACTTCACCCGCCTTATTTTCTCGGGGTATTGTAGATGGAAAGACCCACAGAACGCCTACCGGACAAGATGGAATGTGAACAACATTCCTGCGCTGGTGCGGTATGAGTCTGTTAATGGAGAGATTGTGGAGACGGGAAGGCTTGTTGAGGGGGAGATTCTTGACCAGGAGAAGTTGTGCGATTTTATTGGTTCGAGGTGAGGAGGTTGCATGTGTGTATTACAGTATGATGATATGAAACGTTTTAGACAGCGATGATCTATTCAAATGTGTAGTGATGTATTTGTGTCTTGGTTGCGGTGAGGGTGTACGATTGCATGTCACGTGTCACGTATAGACTTGGCTAAGGATATGAGTATCCAGGTGCCCGACCGGATTTGCTCAGATGATATGGTTTGTTGATAGAATCGGGCATAAGCGGTAGAGTAAAGGATTTTTGTCTGGCGGATTCAAGGATATTAAATCTGGCATTGGTTTCCGAAGGGAGGCGTTGATGCGCCCTGCCGCGAACACAAATGGTAACTCACAGCAAGGTCGGCAATTATGATGCTAATATCAGGACTTAACTACAGAGGAAAACCTGGGTGGTGAGAAGGAAATAAACAAATTCCCAATTGCGCCCACCTTTCGCGTTGTGGTAAATGTTGCATGATTACCTCACCTGGGAAGTGTTCCACGGTACCATGAGACAAATTGACGTAGGGTAGGTCAAGCCACTCCTGTCTGAGGAAAGGACCGCAACCTTAATCCAGTTAAGATATGTGATTAAGGTTACATGCGCACGCGCCAGGAACTACGGGCATGTCCGAATAGTAGGACGTATTTAGGGCTAATTTGGGGGTCGGAAGGGTGGAACTAGGGATGCCAATATGCGGAAAGGGATATCCTCGATAAGCATGATGCTGAAGACAGCTTAATAGAAGGAACATGGTCTTGACTGGCTTGAAGAGACAATGCATGCTGCGTTGATGACGCTGTGAGTGCACTGAGTGACATTCCAGTCTGGATGTTCTCCACATATGAACAGGTTCCGGTCGGCAATGTTACATTCACCCTCAGCTTGGCGACTTCCCTGCTGGACGCTGGCACTCAAATATTTTGGTTCAGTAGTTAGAAAAAAAGAGATGGGAAAAGGAGAAAACTTCCCACGAGAGGCTTAGGATTGTGTCCGTGAAAATTTTCTATATTGATTTGCTATACCTAAGGTCTTTCTATCAACCATGTCGGCCGGTACTCCTGAGCAGCGTGACCGCAATCACCAGATTATCAGCTCTTATTTCATTGGGCCTAAGGCGGGAAACCTCGAATACTTCCAGAAAAATATCCAAACTATACTGGAAGAATTGAAGAATGCTAGATTAGCTTACTTCCCCGATGATAAAGTAAGTGGCGAAGCATAGGCCACACGACTTGTCGAATGAGGAGCTAATCCGCAAAAGCCATTCATACCAGAAGATGTAAAGAACAAGGACCTATACCAGTTGATTGTGAAGAACTTCAGCGAGGTGGTACAGAAAGTTGCGCACCTGATGGGACAGCAGTCAATTCCGTTCTGGTCACCTAGATATGAAGGACATATGTGCACCGACATGACCATGCCAGCTCTTCTGGGCTATTTCATGACTATGCTGTACAACCCGAACAATGTTGCTCTAGAAGCAAGTCCATTCACGACCTACGCGGAGATTAAAGCCGGAGAGCAGCTTTGCGAGATGTTTGGGTACGACGTTGGCCCCAATGCTTCGCCCCGGGGATGGGGTCACATCACTGCTGATGGGACAATTGCCAATTTGGAGTCTATCTGGGTGGGTAAGTATAGGCAGCCTGTGCGACTTTCGTGATGGGAGCTTACTGAAGGAATTATCAGCCCGCAACCTGAAATACTACCCATTATCGCTCTACCTTGCTATTAAGAGAGGAAAACTACACTTCTTGACTGGCAAGTTCGAGATCGAGAACTGTCAGGGCGAGACCAAGATATTTAATGAGATGACCGCATGGGAGCTGCTAAATCTTCGGCCTGACACCGTGCTTGGCATTCCCCAGCATCTATATGATCACCATAATATCTCCAATGATTTTCTGGATAAGGTGATGGTGGATTACAATATCCAAAATATTAGTAAAAGCCAACTGGAAGAGGATTTCCTGGAAACTGATGTTACCAAAGACGTGAAGTTCCCATTCAGGTACATGGTAGGAAAAACTCGCCATTACTCTTGGCCCAAAGGCGCCGGTAAGTGGGCCCCAATCTTTGATCGCGCTAGAGCTCACTGTGTATGGAATAGCAATCGCTGGTCTCGGCTCCGACTTCATGTATGGAATCAAAGTTGACCTAGAGGCGAGACTCGACATCGAGGAACTACGAAAGGAACTTCAAACCTGTTTCGACGAAAAGCGACCCGTGTATGGGGTTGTTGCTATCATGGGATCAACTGAAGAAGGCGCTGTCGACAACCTGAAGGAGATTGTGAAGATCAGGGATGATTTCGAGAAGATGGGAATGTCATTCTTGCTCCACGCCGATGCGGCATGGGGTGGGTATTTCGCCACCATGCTGCCGAGAGGTAAAGAGCTAGAGCAACAAGCTGAAGATCTTAAGAGCCAAACGACTTCCAAAGGTTTTGTTCCAAGTTTGACCCTGAAAAGGCAAACAGCTGAGGACCTCAAAGCCCTCAAACACGTGGACTCTATTACAGTTGACCCACACAAAGCCGGTTACGTTCCATACCCGGCAGGCAGCTTGGTGTACCGGGACGGCCGAATGAGGTTTTTAGTTACTTGGACCAGCCCTTACCTTTCTCAAGGAAATGTAGACTCCAGTATGGGAATCTTCGGCGTTGAGGGAAGGTGAGTAAAGCTTTGCAGCACCGAGTCGTGTCGGCTTTCCTATGAGACTAACGTTCGCGCAGTAAGCCAGGAGCTGCAGCAATGTCGACGTGGCTCTCAAACAAAACCATCGGTCTCGATCAATACGGCTATGGAGCACTCCTTGGAGAGGCGGCATTTACCAGTGCTAGAGTAAGCGATTTAACCTCAAGTAGGGGGCCAGGACCATCGGCTAATAACCACAATCTAGCTATCAGCGTACTGGGCCGCGATAGGAGATGAAAATGACACCCCTGATAGGATGTTCATTTGCGTTCCCTTGAATCGACCGCCCGCAGAGAATGGAAATGGTTACTTCTCCACAGAAGCAAGAAAAGAAAGGGACCTCATTCGAGACAAGATTTTAAGAAAGTCAAATGACGATATTGCTGCAGCAGACGAGGATGGAAAGCTGATGGAATTGCTCCGCGAGTTGGGATCAGACTTGAACATCAACGCCTTTGCTCTCAACTGGTTTGATGAGCATGGAAACCTAAACGAGGACCTGGAAGAAGCAAACAATCTCATGAAGAGGGTTGTTGACAGATTCTCTGTTAATTCTTCAGATAGTAATCCGACCACGCGACCGCTATACTTGACCTCGACGGAATTCGAGCCTGAGTTGTACGGCGAATGCGCACAAGAATTTATGCACCGACTAGGAGTGAAGAAGATGCCGCAAAATCTATTCGTATTGCGAAACGTCGTCATGAGCCCCTTCCCTACGGATATGAAATTCATCGATGAGTTGATGCGAGAGTTTAAGAAAGTTGTGATGCAGGAGGTGATCGTCAGTCGGGAACGCAACAAACAGGGCCGTCAGCAGGCATCGTTCCTTATGCAGGGTACGGATGAGGTATTCCTCGTTTACCAGCCCTCCTTCCATGAAGCGACTAAGAGGGAACAAATCATCGTGACCGCCGATATTTGGCACAAAGACGATTACGTGAGCTTGAAGAGAAGTGGGAAATACAAGCAGATAAC